AATAGTAAATTTCAATAGATATTTACATGATAAATTCATTTACTTTCTAGGAAAGTCAATTGATAATTTTCATATTAATTGCATATTCTTTTTCTCCCACTCAATTAATATTAATAATCTTCAATTGCGATCTCAATTTTTCAAATCTTTCTCGTGGTAACGATTTTGTCATAACATCGGCAATCATATTCTCAGTTGATAAATAATAAATTGCTATTATTTTATCATTAACTTTTTCTCATATTTTTCTCAACTTTTGATAAAATGATATTTAATATCAATGTGTTTATATCGTGATTGAGACACTGGATCTCTTGCCAAGCGATTGCACATTGATTGTCTTCATTTATGACGATTGGCTTTTCGAAGATAAAACCAAGTTCAGTTAATAAAGATTTTAACCAAATTATTTCTTTTGTACACACAGTCACAGCCACATACTCGGCTTCAGCAGTCGATAGCAAAACTGTTGATTGTTTCTTACTACCCCAAACAATTAGATTACCAAAGTTGAAAATAGTTAACCCACTGATACTTTTTCTGTCCATAATACAAGATGCATAATCAGAATCTGAATAACCAACAACTAGTTGATCATTAGATTTGTCAAACAACAATCCATAATTCATTGTCTCTTTCAAGTATCGATAGATTCGTTTGACAGCCAAACAATGTTGTCGATTGTAATTAGTCATAAATTGACTAACTACTCCCACTGCGAACGTAATATCTGGTCGAGTACAAGTTGACAAATAAATTAATGCACCTACAGCACTTGAATAAGGATAACTAATATCAGCATTTATATCAGTTGATTTTGATAATTTAACTGATAAATCCGTTGGAGTTTTACTTGATTTAGAATCAATCATATTATACTTTTCGAGTATAAATTTGATGTATTTTGATTGATGCATTTTAATTGTTTGTGATTTTTGATCAATATCAAATTCGATTCCAAGGAAATACTTAAGTTCACCAAGATCTTTCATTTGGAACTTCGTTTTCAATTGTTCCTTGAGAATATTGATCATCTCAATTTTCTTCCCAAATATAAGCAAATCATCAACATAAATTAATACATAAATTCGTTTAGATTCACTTTCATTGAAATACAGACAATTATCCGATTGAGTTCGTGTAAATCCAAGTTTCGTAATAAAATCATTGAACAAATGATTCCAATTTCTTCCTGACTGTTTAAGTCCATACAAACTTCGTTTTAGTTTGCAAACAAGTTCAGGATCATCAACAAAACCTTCAGGTTGATCCATGTAAATTTCTTCTTCCAATTTACCGTTCAAATAAGCAGTTTTAACATCGAGTTGATGAACAATATAATCAAAATTAACGGTCAACGAGATTAATAATCTTAATGTCGCAAATTTTGCAACTGGAGCAAAAGTTTCTTGATAATCTTTACCCTTGACTTGAGTAAACCCTTTTGCTACTAATCTTGCTTTATATTGCACATCACCTTTTTCATTGCTTTTCATTTTGAATACCCATTTGTTTTTAATAATATTTGTATTCTCAGGTCGTTTGGTTAATATCCAAGTTCCACTATTAACTAGAGATTGATACTCTTCGTTAATTGCTTTTAACCAATCACCTGAATCATTTGATTCTATTGCCTCTTGATAACTTTCTGGTTCATTGTTTAAAGTTATCAGTGTTTTCTCATTTGAACTTTCAACTTGAGATAAATCAGTTAAATCATTTTCGATAAGTTCAAATTGATTAATCATTGAATCATTTTGCTTAATGAGAATTGATTTTTCGTCAAAAATAACGTCTCTCCCATAAATGATTTTGTTATTTGATAAATTGATTAATCGATAACCCTTTTTGTTTACATCATATCCAACAAATAGAACTTCGATCGACTTTGGTTCGATCTTGAGATGTTGTTCAGATGGAACACGAACAAAAGCTTTCGATCCAAATATTCTAAGATGTTGAACATTAGGTTTTCGACCTTTCCACTTTTCGAATGGAGTAACATCACCAATAGCTTTGGATATGCAACGATTTCTTAAATAACCAGCGGTCATAGCTGCTTCCGCCCAATATTCTAATGGTAGTTCGGCTTGATGTAACATCGAACAAGCCATTTCACGAATAGTTCGTTCGGCTACACCATTTTGTTCATGAGCATAAGCGATACTAGTTTCATGTTTAGTACCTTTTTCTTTTAAGAAATTCGTAAATTCAGATGATAAATACTCTCGCCCATTATCAGATCTAAAACACTTAATATTTTTACCATGGGGAGTCGAAACTTCAGCTTCATATATTTTATATTCATTGAAAATTTCTTTTCTCTCTTTTACTGGAATCACTTTTACCCAATTGGTAAAATCACCAATAAAAGTTATAAAATAACGACAACCAGAAAAAGATGGTACTCTGATAATCCGCAATACTCCGATATCCGATAATACTCCGCAAATATCTGAATGTACCAAGTCCAAAACTGATTCAGTTTTAACCATAGTTCGAGCTGGATACTTGTGCTTGGTCATTTTTCCTTTCAAACAACCTTTACAAATATCAGACTTCTCACCTTTAAGGTTAATACCATCGATAATATTTTCTCTAACCATCTTGGTCATATTATCATAATTCAAATGACCATATCGAAGATGCCAAAGATTAATATTACCAATTGGAATCGTTTTATCTTCACTTTCGACTTTCTCTTCCTCGATATTTACTAACGAGTAATCTTGATCAATTTGATTAACTCGCAAATAGTAAAGTTTCACTTTTCGTTCACCAACAACAATCAACTTATTAGCAAGATAAACTTTACATTGTCCATTTTTAAATGTACAAGTAGCTCCATTATCTTCAGCTTGACCCATGGAAAACAAATTGATTGCTAATTTTGGTACATGGTAAACGTTTTTAAGAATAAATTTAGTCCCAAATTCTGATAAAAGTTCAATATCACCAATACCGTTGACATCCATCGATGTACCATCAGCTTGAGTTACACTTTTACCTGGAGTTTCATAATAATTTCTGAACCATTTCTTATTCCAACTCATATGGTTAGAAGCTCCTGAGTCAATAACCCAATTGTCAGAATCTTTATCATGACTGACCATTGTAAGTGCATGTTCATTAGTTGGACTTTGTCTCTCAAACTTTTTCTTGTAATCATTTTTATCTTTTCTATTATTTTTCAAAGTCGGACAGTCTCGTTTATAATGACCTTTTTCTTGACACTCAAAACAAATAACATTTTTCTTGTTTTTATATTTGAATTTTGTCTTGGTCACCAAAGCTGATTCATGTTCATGAACCGTTTCAATTTTCATGTGATCTTCTTCAATTAATAAACGAGCGATGAGATCTTCGAACTTAATAATATCCAATGATACACGAATAGCTGATACAAAATGTTTGTATTCTGATGGTAGCTTACCTAGTAACTCAATTACCTTATCACCATCACTTATTGGATCACCAATAGAACCCAATTCAGACCACAAACGCTCTAACTCAGCAATCGAATCAATCAAAGGTTGATTAGACTTAATTTTAAAGTTAGAAAGTTTTTGCTTAACAATAAATTTCTTTGCTAAGTCTTTTCGCTCGAATGTTCGAACCAATATGTTCCAAACTTCGGCAGCCTTTTCTGCGTGTTTGATTAAATAAATATATTTTGAACCAACACAACAGCACAATAATCCAAGAGCTTTTTCGTTATTCCGATTGAATAAATCGATTTTTCTTTGGTCACCTGTATCTACAGTCTCATTGACTACATACCAAAGACCTTCTCTTTTCAGGAAGTTCATCATCTTAAATTTCCAAACATCGAAATGTTTACCATTAAAAATATCCACTAAACACGGAGAGTTTACCAATGAATTACTACCTCTAAGCGTATCTGGACCCATAACCAGTTGATAAATAGTGCCTCAGAACACAATTAAACTCAGTTAGTTAGATAATTTTATTTGTAAAATTGTAATGATGATTAGATGAAAGTAAAATGATTAACTTAACTTAAATTGTTAATCGATTGGGTTTTTATATCAGTAAGATTATATAAAGACAAACATGACAATTAGTAAATTGTATCCCAATTAAGGTTAAATTGTTAAAATTAAATTAAACACCAATATCCCATGATAATCCCTTAAGATGACGTTTCTTAAACATTGACTTTCTAAGAAATTCAATACTAAATTATCATGACCATTTCCATGAACCAATTCATCCACTTTCTAGGAAAGTCAATAGTAAATTTCAATAGATATTTACATGATAAATTCATTTACTTTCTAGGAAAGTCAATTGATAATTTTCATATTAATTGCATATTCTTTTTATATGAATGTAAGTTTTTAATTGTATCAACCGCACGCCCTGGGATATTAAACTTCGAGGAGTTAATCAAAGATTTGATTACTTTGTTTAACTTTAGATTCAAATAACGGTTGTTCCGTTCGACCATATAAAAAGACAGAAAAGATCACAGTCATGAATTCAATTTCTTAAAATTTACTCAGAAAAGCGATCATGTTGCTCGCAGGATTCACCTTGTTATTAATTAATATATTTTATCCTTTAATGAATGCATAGAAAAGGCTATAGCTTCAATTGTTAGAGATGTTTATTGATGATGGAAAATAAATATCAACAATTAACCCTAAATTCTGATGAATATTAAAAGTTGCGAGATATCTAGTTGTTTGATTTTTGATTGTTGATGGATTAGATTATCATTAATTGTTATGATTAAACAGGAAACAAATACTGATGAATTATGAACCCAATCAATCAAATTAAATATCATTTGGATCAAATTGTCTGACCACTCATTGGTTATTAGTCTAATTTTTTCATCAAAGTTCGTAAGTACTTTGGTTAAATTTAATTAACCAGCTAAAAACAAAAATACAATCATAATAACAATTTTTTCCGATGAAAACTTGGAATAGAAGGTAAAGTCAAACAGCAATTAGATTTGATTTAATAAGAACCAAATTATTTAACAATTATAAAAACATTTGTGATGATTGATTGTTTGATTGAATTAATTATGATCTAAGATAATAATGACCAGAGATTAACGATTAACTGTTGATTAGTTAAATCCGGTCAATCGAGTTGAGTGAGAAACAATTGGAAAGTATAAATATTGTTTCGTTAATAGTTAGATGAGCAATTGAATCAAGTAAATCAACTGATCATGTTGGCCAAGTTCATTTTATTAACTTTTCTCATTAATTTCCACCTCGATGAAGCTTGTTTCATCACTAATTGTCCACCCGGAGGAAAAAGATCTCATGTTGACATTGACCATATGAGAGAAGTTAGTTAATTGTTTAGTTCAGTTATTGATTGTAATTTCTCATTTTTTCATTCAATTATTTCAACAGTGCCTTCGTTGTGGTCCAGGTAACAAAGGTCATTGTGTCAATTCAAATGTTTGTTGTGGTTTAGACTTTGGGTGTTTAATCAACAATCACTATTCAGCTCCATGTAGAGCTGAAAATTTCATTCCAATTCCATGTAAAGTCCCTGGTAAACTCTGTTCGTCAGGCCAAGGAGTCTGTGTTTCCAACGGGATCTGTTGTAGTTCAGGTAAATTGTTACAATTTAAAGTTAATCAACAGAAATTTTCAAATTGAATTTGTTTTTCCCTCACCCCTCTTGATCATTTTAATTGTTTCCTGAATTTCAGGTGGATGTTTCAATGATTTAACCTGTGAAAATGATACAACAACTAACGATGAATCCATTCAACGTATCTTTGATTCACAATCTTCGCGTACGATTCAAATTTAATCGTTCCAGAGAGAGAGAGAGAGAGAGAGAGAGAGAGAGAGAGAGAGAGAGAGAGAGAGAGAGAGAGAGAGAGAGAGAATAGCCCTTTTCTAAAATAAATATTATAATACAAATGTATTGTAAATGAATTGAGGTTCCAAAGAAACGAGAGAAGAGAGAGAAAATGATTTTCTGAATGTATTTGATTCCTAATCATTAACAATACAACTCATTTTAAATTATTCCATAAAATTGTTTTGTTGTTTCATTCAGATAATTGCCCTTTTCCCAACTAAATGTTCAATTTGCATTGATGTTCCACAGAAAATTAACAAAAACAATTAGCACCAATTGATCAAATATGCTCAAGACACGTATGATCCTTGGTGAATTCTGGTTCAGAGGCGTTCGGTTAACATATACACTTCTGTGTCGATCTTGTTTATAATTAAATCATTTTAAATAAAAGTTTTTAAGCAATCAGTTTTGTTACAATAAGCTAATCTAGTTTAATACATATTAATCTGTCATCAGTTAAATAACTACAATCATGATTAAATTAATTGTCTTCGTTATCTTAATCTCCAATTCATTTTCGAAAAATGCGAAAAATTCGAAAATATTGCGACAGAATTTAATGAAACTTCAAGATTCTGACAATTGTGATCAAATCTTCAGAGATATAAAAGCTTGTAGGGTAAGTATTAATCACGACTAATTGTGACGATTAACTAATCATTGTCTTAATCGCTGAAAGGATTATTTAACCAAAGAAATTCACACGGACATGTGCCAATTGTTACATGTATCTTTCGTTGAAATTGATGCAGAATTGAAACATCGTCCTGGTACTAAAGCCGGCGAAGAAGAATACGGACAGGTAAAGTAACACAATTAACTAATGTTAAAGTAAATTGTTCAAGATTTGAGACTAATTGAAATGTTTTTTTTTAATTGATTAAGCGAACCGAATACTTGGATAAAAATTGTCCGGATGATCTTGGCTGTGAAAAGTCGAAGGTGAGAATTAATTGTTACACTTAGAAGGTTGATTGAATTAATTATGATCTAAGATAATAATGATCAGAGATTAACGAATAACTTTTGATTAGTTAAATCCGTTTGATCGAGTTGAGTGAGAAACAATTGGAATGTATAAATATTGTTTCGGCAACAATTAAATGAGCAATTGAATCAAGTAATCATGTTAGTCTCATTTATTTTATTAACTTTCCTCGTTAATTTCCACCTCGATGAAGCTTGTTTCATCACTAATTGTCCACCCGGAGGAAAAAGATCTCATGGTGCAATTGACCATATGAGAGAAGTGAGTTAATTGTTTTGTTCTTAATTTTATTTCTAATTGCTTTCATTCAATTACTTCAACAGTGTCTTCGTTGTGGTCCAGGTAACAAAGGTCATTGTGTCAATTCAAATGTTTGTTGTGGTTTAGACTTTGGGTGTTTAGTTAACAATCAGTATTCGGATCCATGTAGAGTTGAAAACTTCATCCCGATACCATGTAAAGTCCCTGGTAAACTCCGTTCATCAGGTCAAGGAGTCTGTGTTTCCAATGGGATCTGCTGTAGTTCAGGTAAATTGTTCCAATTTAAAATTAATCAACAGTAATTTTGAATGTTATTAATAATTTGTGTTTAGGTGATTAACAGTCAGTGTAACTTTTTACAAATATAAAAAAGCACCTGAATGGTTGATTGTTCAAAAAGAGAATTAAGTTAAATAGTAGTAATCATAATTTACTAATTGCAATCATCCCGACCCACAAGGAAGAAACAAAAAAAGAGATGAAAAAAACGGAAACGGAAATGATGAAAACTTTTGTAATAATACTAAGAAAATGAATAACTGATAAACTGGTGATTACTAAATGATTTCAAGCATAATAAGATCCCAATGAATTGGCTCTATGGTGGTGGTGATGATGTCCGAGGTGTCCAATTGATGCGGTGTAAAGAGGATTACATGAGTTGGTCGCCGCCGCCGTTGACCAATATGGTGGACCAGTGAACAGTGAAGGATGATGATGATGATGGTGGTGATTTTGATGATGATTAACATTTGCATTTCTCGCCGCGGCTCCTGCAGCCAGGTAAGAGTTGAGTTTACTTGCATGAGCGTGATAAGCAGCCGTTGGTGTTAATAAAAGTTCCGATTGATACTTGTAGCTGGCGGGTGAAGACTCGGTGGGATTTGGTTGACAGGCTTGAGCCAAACCATGGAAGTCAAATTTGTACGCATACCTTTTACCGTGAACTTTGGTCATTATATTTTTATCGTAATAATATCGAAGTGCTCGTGAAAGTTTATCGTAATTCATGTTTGGTTTGCTCTTCCGTTCACCCCACCGACGGGCGACCTCATCCGGATCCGTTAATTTGAACTCTCCATTGTTACCTTCCCAAGCGATACAATTTGAATTGTTGTCCGATAAAAGTTCAAGTAAAAATTGCCACAATTGAATTTGTCCACTACCTGTTAATTAGATTGACAATGGAAAAGATTAACTGATTGTAACAATTTATAACATGCAATTTGAAAGTAAACTAATTAATTTAACTACGTTTGTAAATCTAATTCATGCTAATTGATTAAGACAAAGTCAATTCTGCTCTTGTTTTTATCAATCGATTCATGCAACAATCATACATTGATAATTAAAATTAATTGTTTCATATTACCTTGTGATGTGAATCTTGTACTTGCTGAAGATAGGATATTGTATGAATCTAAATTGATTGTGAACAATTAATTATGGATCATGATTAAATTTTCCAAGTAAATTGTTTATTGAAAAAAAGAACGAAACAAAATCGATTAGAGAAAAACTTTTCTAATCAACCATTTTCACTTCTCAATGGGAAACATGATTGAATCACTCGACGTGATGGTCATCTAATTAACTCTCAGCATAAGACCATTGGTCATCTAGGATATAAATGAGTGAGATGATGATGGAGATGATAAGATGACCAAAGAAGATTAACTCAAGTGATTCCTCATCAGTTTATCAATTCTCTCCTTCGAATTCAATATCAGATTGGAAAACAATAGAAAGAAAAAACTTTTTCATGATAATACAAACTCCAAGTTATTGATTAATCTAATTCGAGGATGATTATTGTTATCTGATTGTTTAGACTAAAAAAAGCGATTAAATTAATCTTCTCAAGTGATTGATAAAAAACTGATTAAAATTAAATTGTCAACCATAAGTAATGATCTCAATTGATTACAATTTGATATTGAGATTGAGAAAAACAAATTGACCACCGATTTGATTTGTAAAATTGTAAAACAATTTAAATCTCATCATGAAACAGGTAAATTAAAATTTTTAACAAGTTGATCATGTAAATTAAATGGTCAATTCATTGGTTAAAACTGATTGAAAAGAAAAGGTAACAATTTGAATCTAAGAATTCATGTTCCATCTTAATTTTTTCAAATCTCAGTAATTTTATGATAATCATCGTGTTCATTAACATCACTATGATAACATTGAATAATTATGATTAAATTTCATCATGAATCAATCATGTCCATTTTAGATGTTAAATTTTTCCTCTAACTTGCATGTACATGTTTTAACTATTCTCATATTCTTGTGGTTTCAAGATTATTCATGATTCTACCGGAACTCGATTTGACGTTGACTTTTGATCATTTGCTGGTGAATTATTCAATAAAATTGTTATGTTGTTTCATTCAGACAATCCCCCTTGTCCCAAATAAATGTTAAATGTTTGCTGTATGTTTTTCATTTCTAATCACCAACAAGATAGTTCTAATAGTTGCCCTTGTCTAGAATAAATGTTCTGTTTACATTGAGGTCCCAAAGAAAATCAACAAAAACAATTAGAATCAATTGAGTAAATATGCTTAAGACACGTACGATCCTTGGTGAATTCTGGTTCAGAGGCGCTCGGTTATAAACTATTACTTGACATCTACACTTCTATGACATAGAATCTAAGTCGATCTTGTTTACAATTGAATCATTTGCAAAGCTAATAGCAAATGATCAATTCAAATGATTAATTAACTTTATACCAATATGATTGATATTTGATTAAACGAAATTAAATTTAAAATAAAAGTGTTTCTTACACTTAACTAATCTATTAATAGTTTGATAAATACACTACACTACTGTACTTTCATCAGTTACTCTTTTAAATCAGTTAAAACAACAATCATCATGATTAAATCAATTGTATTCGTTATCTTAATCTTCAATCCATTTTCTTTAATTAATTGTGGTGATTTATTGATAAGTAATAGGTTTTCTTGCTCGCCTTATCTGGACTTTTCAACTGCTGAAAGCCGTGAAAAATTCCTTAAAGCTACAGAAATTTGTATGGTTAGTATTAATCACGACTAATTGTGACAACTAACTAATCATCATCTTAATTGTTAGAAGAATTTTCTCTCTCAAGATGGCCATAATTCTTTGATGAAATGTCAAAAATTATTGCCAATAATATACAGTACAGATGATTGTTCTGATTTTGAACCCTACGCAGCAAAACTCGAGCAGGTAAAGTACAACAATTAACTAATTGTCAAGTAAATTGTTAATTTTTGTAAGACTAATTGAAATGTTTTGAAACAATCAAGGAAGAAGAATGTCTCGATCAAATTGGTATTAATGAGGATAATTTTGCTAAGGTTCAGGTGAGGATTGAATTAATTGATAGATCCAAATTTTTGTCTACTATTTCTTTAATTAATGAATATCTTTTATCCTTTTAGCAATGCATAAAACAAGCTGCACAATCAATGATGATATTTAATGATTGAATATCAACAATTAACAATAAATTCTGGAAATAAGTGTAAGGGGAGAAAGTTTTGAGGTATCTAATTGTCCGGTTGATTGTTGACGGATTTTTATTGATTAGATTATCATTAATTGTTATGATTAAGCAGAAACAAATATTCAATAAATTATGAACCCAATCAATCAAATTAAATATCATTTGAATTAAATTGTCTGATCAATCATTGATTATTATTATTTAATTAGTTTGTAACCTAACCAAACACACAAATAAAACCCTCAGCAACTTTTTTCCAATGAAAAATTTAAAATTAACGTAAAATCAAAAAGCAATTAGATTTAATTTAGTTGAAAATTCAAGAATAACAATGAAGACAACATTTGTTATGATTTATTGATTGACTGGATTAATTATGATCTAAGATACTGATGATCAGAGATTAATGTTTAACTGTTGATTAGTTAAACCCAGTTGATCGAATAAATAAGTATAAATATGGTCTTAGTAAAAATAAGATGAGCAATTGAATCAAGTATATCAACTAATCATGTTAGCCTCGTTCATTTTATTAACTTTGCTCATTAATTTCCACCTCGATGAAGCTTGTTTCATCACTAATTGTCCACCCGGAGGGAAAAGATCTCATGGTGACATTTACCATATGAGAGAAGTGAGTTAATTGTTTTGTTCTTGGTTGTAATTTCATTAATTTAATTGTTTTCATTCAATTATTTCAACAGTGTCTTCGTTGTGGTCCAGGTAACAAAGGTCATTGTGTCAATTCAAATGTTTGTTGTGGTTCAGACTTTGGGTGTTTAATTAACAATCAGTATTCGGATCCATGTAGAGTTGAAAATTTCATTCCGATCCCATGTAAAGTCCCTGGTAAACTCTGTTCATCAGGTCAAGGAGTCTGTGTTTCCAATGGGATCTGTTGTAGTTCAGGTAAATTGTTACAATTTAAAGTTAATAATTTTGACTTTTAATGCTTTCCCTCTCCCTCTCTTGATCATTTTAATTGTTTCCTAAATTTCAGGCGGATGTTTTAATGATTTAACCTGTGAAAATGATACACCAACTAACGATGAATCAATTCAACGTATCATTGATTCACAATCTTCCCATACAATACAAATTTAATCGTTCCAATGATCATTATAATAGCACATTAAATTTGTGTAATTTTGTTCATCGTATCAGATGGGACTTGATTCGCAATTTAAATGAAATGTGCTCCGAATGCGACTTGATGTCCAATTTTTCACTCGACTGGGAAAACAACCAAAGTTACTGAGGTACTATAATAACCAACTTAAAATGCCACCTTGATCAGTGTAATAAGATAAACAATAATAACACAAAAATTAATTTCAAATTCACACTTAAAGTTAATCAAATTAAAATTTATCAAGGGCGAAAAAAGTAAAACTTTCCTGTTTCCCGAAACGATGAATTCCAATTCATCGAAGCCCCTGAAGTCGCTGTTAAAACTTGCAATAAAAATACACCATTGTAACTAAACTCAACACTTGAAAGGAAGAAATTAAGTTCTCCGTCTTCATGTATTATTGGCTTGACAACCAAACTTGAATTTATCTTTTTGGGGAAAGGAACTGGAACTAAGAATGAATTTTAGCTATGGAGAAGAAAAAAATTCGAATTGTTTGACCTTGAATTGATTAGAATCGAAAAAAAATGATTTAGCTTAATTGTAAACTATTTTTGGTAGATTTGTTCGATCAACTAAATAGAAACCAATTTGCAATTTGATTGATGTTTCAATTGTATTAATAGTTGATCTGTTGATAGGAATCATTATTTTTCCAAGTGAATTAACTGTTGATCAACTTCGAATAACTTAGTTAGTCTTAATTTAGAAATTGAAAATATTATCAAGGTTGTGTTTCGCCCATAATCTTAAGAGAATTGTTGTTTAAATTGTTCAAATTATTCGGAGACAATATTGTCGATTAGTTCGGAAATACCCTGAGGGCATTTTCTGCTGATTGATGTTAGATTTGTCTACGCAACGAAAAACACTAATCATCCTTGGTGACATTTTAATAATCATTAAGAATCTGATTAGATTAACTCGTAAGTAATTAACGTGAGCACAATAGGAATCATTTAGTTGATTGAATCAGCAGATCTCGTTTATATAATCAAAATAAAACAATTATGACAATACAAGCCAATTCATTGATTGTTTAATTTTTTTTGCTAACCATCATCTCCACTTTGTGTGTCTTGATTTATAATCAATCGTGTAACATAAATCACGTCAATCAGATTAGTTAATTATGATTAGTTAACTTGATCAACTATGATGATTAATTGTGACGACTAGTGTATATGTGTACAACATCTGTATGATCAACAGTCTTGACAACAGAGTAAATAATATCGTGTATTGATGAGATGGATGAAATTAAGATTAATTAATCAATGATCAATTAGCATCGAAGGAAATCATAATAATTAAATCGTCAAAAGGCCAAAGTTTTATCCGAATCCAGTTTCGAGGTAAATTGAGCATAATGTAAATTGTTGAAGATAAAATCGGTTGATCGTCAAACTTTGTGCAGTCTATTGATTAAAAAATGTTGTTTGATCTCGAGTAATTTAAGAGGAACCAAAGATTCATCGGATAGACTGGTACAAAGATCTTTCTTGCTTAATTGTGATGTGATTGAATATCTTTTCGATTTCCATGCTCGTAACAATTTAACGTACTCATAGGCTTTGTCGGTCTCTCCGGTTCTCGTATAAATCCTGATGATTCCTTGATAATCAAATTCGAGGCCAATATAAGCACCGCCGAAAACTTTGATACCAATGTCAATCGCTTTGAGATAATAACTTTCCGCCTGCGGATACATTTCCATGTCGTAACTGTACAATGAGGCCAAAAATCCGTATGATTGTGCGACCTCATAATCATCTTTACCGAGACACTTTTCTTTAATTTCAATAGATCGTAATTGTAACATTTCCGATTCTTCATATCGGTGCATCGTTTGGTACAATCGACCTAAATTAGAGTAATTTTTGGCCGTTTGAAGATTCTCCTCGCCCAAAATATTTCGAGATATTTTAAGCGCTTCTCGGTGAAGTTGATTGGCCTCCATTAGCATCTCCGTTTTACCGACTATGTCCACATTATCGATGGCCATCTCTTCAATGATTAACGCTTTTATCCTAAACACATTGATAAGTAGATGGTGTTCCTTTGGTAATAGCGTTTCTAATGACATTTTGGCGAGTTCAATGTGATACAAACAAAGGTCAAAATGGCCTGTTGAATATTCTTGAATATAATAAGCGAAAGCTAATTCTTGACGTGAAAGTGCAAGAGGTAAATTTATACATTGTTCCGTTAATGTGTGAAGGCCAAAATACTGTTTACGAAAGTTGACTGAATTCAGATAAAATTTAACTGATTGTACATGCATATCGATATTGTGATAATAATAGCCCATGGTCATGAAAAGATCACCAATGATTGGATGGAAATTATTAATCTGAGAGAAGTCACATTTCTCGTTCAATTTGAACAGCTCTTTACAGGTCAAAAGCACTTGTCGTAATAGGAAATCGGCTATTTCAAAGTCTCTCTTAATGGTACAACATTTAGCAGCGGTCAACATGATATCAATTACTGAAATTCTGGGAGTACTTTTGGTTAAATATGACATTGATTGGCAACTCCATTTGTAGGCCTCTTTATATAGACTCTGAGCAGTAAATAAACAGGCAAATTGATTGTAAACTTGAGCAAGATCAAATCTATCAGGTAAATTGGCATAATTTTTTTCATCAATCAGGGTAACCATTTCTTCATATAATTGATTGGCTTCTTTGAAACGTGAATAACCAACGAGAGCTGCTAATAAACGAGTCTTAATCCTAAAAATCCAGGATTCAACGATTATCTCATTTGTATCAATCTCATTGAGATGTAATTTAAGGCTTGATGATAAAATCTTCTCAGCATCAACATACCAACCAGCTTCAATTAAGAAACCAGCCAAAGAATAAGCTCTTTGCATTAATTGATCGATTCAATTCACTCTACATTGAAAGATCGCGAACATTAAGTCTTGCAAATCCCATCGGGAGTATCGTCGATTCTGATACAAGATCAATAATCAAAGGATCAGAAATTTTCGAGTATCAATTCTTATTCACCTTAAAGAGATCATATTCTCAACCTAAATGTTTGATTCTCTTTGAAGGTAATAATGTTAAAATTGGTAAAAAACGTCGTTGGAAACGAGCCAAAGTGATCAACACTATTCGCTCAAGTTTACCTCATGATTGCGCTGTTATTGGGATCGACGCTCATTATGGGATAATTGGTGAAGATTCAGAGTCAACATTAAGCCGATACAAAGACCCGATGACAATAAGCTATGATTTATGTGGCCTATTTGGTATCTCTTGTTTCATGCTACCCAAATACGAAGGTGTGACAATAACAATCTTCGAACGGGCAACCGATGAATTAGAGGAAGATTTTAATTTTCCCGATGATGTTAAAGCGGTCATACTTTTCTCATCTGGGGTTGGTCATCATGGTAATTATTTGGCCCATTCTCAGGTTGATGCGATTTTTGACCATTTTCAGGGTCAACTGGCCTTGGGTGGAGCTCAGGTCAATGATAAACTGGTCACTAGACAACCGACTGTCCTTTACTATTCCGATGACACGGCCAACTTTTACTTTATCAACAGACCTCCACCTTATAATTCAATGTTTAATCCAAAGAAAATGTCACTCATTGGAATACAATTCAGTGGATCAAATTGTTCAGCAGCAAGTTTATCAATCGATTCATTGGTTTCAAATGATTATAATGACGGTGATTTGATTATGAAAGAATTGGCCCACATTGAGGCGACACTGATTGAATTTAGGTCCAACCTAACATTTGCTTGTGTAGGTGGCAAACAAATGCATTATTAATCAGTGAAGAAATGTTACTTCGATCTCGAAATGGTCTCAGAATTTTTCTGCCTCGAAGGAAACTTGGAAAAGGCTTTCAATTGTTACATTTAGATTGTTGATTACCTCTAATTAATATGTTTTTCTACTTTAAATTATTTGCTGTACATGTTTCATTCCTAATCATCAACAATACAACTCATTTTAAATTATTCCATAAAATTGTCCTTGTCTAAAATAAATATCCAATTTGCATTGAGGTTCTAAAGAAAATTAACAAAAACAATTAGCACCAATTGAGCAAATATACTTGAGACTCGTACGATCCTTGGTGAATTCTGGTTCAGAGGCGCTCGGTTATAAACTGTCAATACTTGACATTTACACTTCTACGTAGATCTTGTTAACAAACAATTAATCATTTCCATAAAATAAAATTTTATTTGATCAATCTCTATACGACTAAATTAACTAATCTAGTTTGATATACAATATGTAAAAATACAATATAATACATTAAATATGTAAAAGCTCATAAGGTTAGTGTTAATCACGACTAATTGTGGTAATTAACTAATAATTGTCTTTATTGTTGAAAGGATCTTACACCCAAAAATGAATACGATGCGTTGACTAGATGTAAAAAATCATTGTCACCCAGTAAATTAAATAGAGCAATTGAGATTTGTTCTGATCCTGACCTCTATCAAAAAGCACAGAAGGTAAAGTACAACAATCAACTAATTTTCGAGTAAATTGCTCAAGATTCGAGACTAATTGAGATTTGATCGTTTATTGTTTATCAATTAAGGCACAAAAATGTACCGAACAAGTTGGAATTTTCAAAAGATTGGTGTGACGACTGTGAATGAGGAAGACAGACTTAAACTGAAAGAATGTCTTGCATAAGAATAGTGATTGGCGATATTATCGGTATCGATAAATATCATCGATATTTTTGTGTCGACTTATCATCGATATAATAAAAAATACTCGTTGAATAGGATAAGCTAACTCGCTTAATTGTAAGCTTGAAACCTCATGTAAACAACTTTTTCTGGTGTATTTTTTATGTATTAAATGATAATTAGCTTTTAAAACAAAGTTAATTAGAATCATTCGATTAATGTTTAACAAGCATTATAAACTTTTAGCAAATAGAAAAGATCGCAAATAATCGAAGTCGATTGAAACTGAGATTTCTCACGAAAATTTTTCTTTCAACTAATGATGAATCCATTCAACACATTTTTCATTCATTTTTTTGTATGAAAAACTCATTGAAAATCTTGAAGCTTGTCAGGTTAGTAGCAATCACGACAAGATGTGACAACTAACTAATCATCATCTTAATTGTTAGAAGATTAATCTCTCTCAAGATGAGTACAATTCTGTGATGAAATGTCAAAAACTCAGTACAAATGATGAAGTAATTAAATCTTGTCCTGATCTTGAAGCTTACGTAAAAAAAGTCGAACAGGTAAAGTACAACAATTAACTAATTGTCGAGTGAATTGTGGAAGTTTATTTAGCGACTAATTGAAATGTGTTTTGAACAATCAAGACCGAAAATTGTTTCCATCAAATGGGTATTAATAAGAATAATCTTGATATGACTGAGGTGAGGATTGGATTAATTGTTAGATGTGGATTTTTGCTTACAATTTATTTAATTAATTGGTATCTTTTATCGTTTTAGGAATGCATAGGAAAAGTTGTAGCTTCAATTGTAGGATTGTTGATAGATTTTCATTTATTAGATTACACTCTAGTACCCACTTAAGTTTTTTATTTGCACTTTGGTGCGATGATTTAACATCTGACTGTAGGGTAAGTGCTACAGCTCCTCTTGTAGAGGAAAGTTGTTCACGACAACTTGAGGGTAGGGAAATTACAATAGATTTGGTTTACAAATTATTAGGTAAAAACAAAAGAAAATTTATAAATTATATTAATTGACTGGTGGTTAGTTTGATTGTCCAAAGGTCCAATTTGATGATTGTAAATAAGTACCAAGGGTTGAGGTGGAAGTGGAGATGAGGTCCAAATAAGTTTAACTCATTAGGTATGATACGAAGAAAAGGAGAAAATAAAATTAGGATTTCAATCTTTTAAAATGTGAAAACACTTATTTTGATTATAAATGTGAGGTAATTTTAATCAATTTATTTAATTGTATTTAAAGTATAAAATTTAAAGTATAATATTTAAAGTATGAGTTAGAGAAAAGAAAGTTGTATCAAATTACCAACAAAACTTACCAAGAGAACAAAAATGGTTGAAGTTATTACGACGCAACAAGAGTCTCAGTTTTAAGAGTAACAAAAAACAACTGAAGTAACTGTTGAACTATCGTGATTTTGGTACCAACTTGATCCGTGTGACAAGATAAACAATAATAACATGAAATTAAATTTTTAATTCACAGGTAAAGTTAATTAAATTAAAGTTTATCAGGAGCGATAAAACGGTCGTCTTCATGACTAAGCGCCCTCTTGTTATGACCGTTTTCACTATCGCCATCTAATGGTTACATAAATAGAAAAAGAAACATAAGATTACCAAACGATTAGTTAATTTCTCTTGTTGTTCAATATGATTATTTAGTTAAAATGAGTAAATTAGTGATTTCTAACAAATTAAATATTCTAAATCAAATTGATTCTGGTGTTTCTCAGTGTGAATTAGCTTCAGATTTTTCTGTCAGTCAAGCAGCGATTTCGAAGATCAATAAGAAACGTTCAGACTATCATGCTCTCAGCGAAAATTACCAACAAAAATGTCGACTACCAAATAAAAATACAACAACAATGGATAACAGCATTCATGAATTTGTTTCTCAAGCAAATATCAAAGGCTTTTCAATAAAACCATCGAATCATAAAAGCAAAGGCAATTTCAATTTCAGATAGAGAAGGTAACAAATTCAAAGCAAGTAATAATTGGTTTTCTAAGATGAAGAAAAGGGTTAATTTTTCTTATAACAAAGCCAGAGGAGAAGCCAAATCAGCTGATTTAGATCAAGTAAATAATTGGTTTGAAAATGAATTACCAAAGATAATCAATGATCATCCAGGTTATGATATTTTTAACGCTGATGAGACAGGTCTCCAATTCAAAGCGAATGACCAGAAATCATATTATACCGAAGGTGCAGATAAACATGATGTATTATTATAATCGGTAAGATCTTAGTTATGATCGCACTGGTGTGGCTTAAGTTAGCAGCAAAGTTGAAATCTAATTTACTGAGCTAATTAATGTAACTAATTAACTAATCGTTTGGCTGGTTTTGTTTTGTTAGATTAGGTTAGGTTAGGTGTCACTCGTAAACGGGTTAATCGATTGTAAGGATTAAATAGAAACGAATGATTAATGAATTATAAACCCTATCAATCAATTTGAATATCGTTTGGATCAAATTGTCTGATCACTCATTGGCTATTAGTCTAAATATTTTATCAAAGTTAGTAATTTAAATTTCATTTAGTTAAATTTAACTAACCAACTAACTAACAACAATTGAAATTAAATACAATTTAAAATTATCTAAAATAGAAAGTAAAGTCAGACCGCAATTAGATATGATTTAATTGAAGAATCAAAGGGTAACAATTATAAAAATATTTGTGATGATTTATTGTTTGACTGGATTAATTATGATCCTAGATAATAATGCTCAGAGATTAACGATTAACTGTTGATTAGTTAAGTCCAGTTGATGGAGTTGAGTGAGAAACAATTGGCAAGTATAAATATTGTTTCGGCAACAATTAGATGAGCAATCGAATTAAGTGAATCATGTTGGTCTCGTTCATTTTATTAACTTTCCTCGCTAATTTCCACCTCGATGAAGCTTGTTTCATCACTAATTGTCCACCCGGAGGAAAAAGATCTCATGGTGACATTGACCATATGAGAGAAGTGAGTTGATTGTTTAGTTCTTGATTGTAATTTTATTAATTTAATTGTTTTCATTCAATTATTTCAACAGTGTCTTCGTTGTGGTCCAGGTAACAAAGGTCATTGTGTCGCTTCAAATGTTCGCTGTGGTTCAGGCTTCGGATGTTTAATTAACAATCACTATTCAGCCCCATGTAGAGACGAAAATTTCATGTCGATCCCATGTAAAGTTCCTGGAAAACTCTGTTCATCAGGTCAAGGAATCTGTTGTAGTATTTCGCGCTATTTCTTAAATTCAATATTTGCACTGAATTGATTAACCATGGATGAGAAAGATAAATCAGCGGTGACCAGAATCGCTTAAAATGAGCTTATACTGAACAATATATTCATTCATCTGGACCAGAAGAGCCTTGACCAGTGCCTTTCAGTTTGTCGTCAATGGCATTATTTGGCAAAATCTGTCGATCGATCAAAGAGGAAAATTTTCCAAATAATCTCAGTCTTTCTAATTGATCGATTCAATTCACTTTACATTGAAAGATCGCGAACATTAAGTCTTGCAAATCCCATCGGGAGTATCGTCGATTTTGATACAAGATCAATAATCAAAGGACCAGAAATTTTCGAGTATCAATTCTTATTCACCTTAAAGAGATCATATTCTCAACCTAAATGTTTGATTCTCTTTGAAGGTAATAATGTTAAAATTGGTAAAAAACGTCGTTGGAAACGAGCCAAAGTGATCAACACTATTCGCTCAAGTTTACCTCATGATTGCGCTGTTATTGGGATCGACGCTCATTATGGGATAATTGGTGAAGATTCAGAGTCAACATTAAGCCGATACAAAGACCCGATGACAATAAGCTATGATTTATGTGGCCTATTTGGTATCTCTTGTTTCATGCTACCCAAATACGAAGGTGTGACAATAACAATCTTCGAACGGGCAACCGATGAATTAGAGGAAGATTTTAATTTTCCCGATGATGTTAAAGCGGTCATACTTTTCTCATCTGGGGTTGGTCATCATGGTAATTATTTGGCCCATTCTCAGGTCGATGCGATTTTTGACCATTTTCAGGGTCAACTGGCCTTGGGTGGAGCTCAGGTCAATGATAAACTGGTCACTAGACAACCGACTGTCCTTTACTATTCCGATGACACGGCCAACTTTTACTTCATCAACGGACCTCCACCTTATAATTCAATGTTTAATCCTAAGAAAATGTCACTCATTGGAATACAATTCAGTGGATCAAATTGTTCAGCAGCAAGTTTATCAATTGATTCATTGGTTTCAAATGATTATAATGACGGTGATTTGATTATGAAAGAATTGGCCCACATTGAGGCGACACTGATTGAATTTAGGTCCAACCTAACATTTGCTTGTGATACAATCGGCTCATGTAATGAGTCAATCGCATTTCTATTTTTTAATTTTGATTCTTATCGTCGTTATGTTAATCATACTAATGATGTTAATTCAGGAGTTTCCATTTTCCATAAAGTCTTTCCAAAAACCCATATAACGGGTGTCCTTTGTCACGCTCAATATCAACACAATTACACAAAAAACCAGATGAATCAAGAAAATCTTCAACAATTAGATTATCAGCTGAAACAAATGGACATTAATCTCAATTTAACTAATCAATCATTAACTAAATCAGATGAATCGAAATCAACAAATACAAGCTTATTACCATCTCCACAAGGTATTGCTAGTTTTGTGATCATAAACATACAAAAATAAAAGTACAAAATCTACTAAATAACAAAGTTAATCAAAAATGCTTAACTTGCCATTAATTATAATCGATTTGTCATTTCAAGCCAAACTTGGATTCGAAAGGTTCATGATAATCAACACAATGGACATTTTCGCGAATATTTTCATTAAAAATGAATTTTCCTCCCAGACCAAGATTTAAATGAGGGTTCTATTTTATTTTTCCATGTTCGTGATGCCAGAACAAAATAAAGATGAACTAAAGGTCCTCAGACCCATAATCCGTCCAAACGGCTTTAATTTTGTATTTAAGATTTCCATTCGTCGCCATGAAATCGATGCATTAATTTTTTCTGGTCGATTCTTTTTGGCATAAAATTTACAATCCATGCATACCCAAGCTATGAGTTTTTTGGCTTTTTTTTCGTAGAGAGTCGCGTTGAGAACATCGTGGCCGGACGAATTTCGGAAGTTAAAATCCCCCGCGGCCACTAAACTGCCGACAGGTTCGTGCTTATAGACGTTAGCATCTTCTCCGCTGGTTACCATCCTAATAAGAGTTAAACGCACGCAGGCCAGAAAAGACGAATTGTAACGAAAATGGGTAAGGCTCAAGATTCGGACATATCCTGAGCCTTATCCCTATTTCTTTAATTAATTACAGTTGCAATATCTTTTATCCTGTTAGTATCACACAGAGCAGGCTGAAAATCAATTGCTGATATCTAGAATTTCACGTTGTTTAATTCTAGATTATTGCCCTAAAATACATATTCAATTTGCATTGAGGTTCCAAAGAAAATCAACAAAAACAATTAGCACCAATTGAGTAAATATGCTTGAGACACGTACGATCCTTGGTGAATTCTGGCTCAGAGGCGCTCGGTTATAAACTATTAATACTTGACATTTACACTTCTACGTACATCTTGTTTACAATTAATTAATCATTTAAATAAATAAAATTTTTATTTGATCAGTCTTGATACGACTAAATTATCTAATCTAGTTTGATATAAAAGTACAAATTGATTACAGTCAAGTACCTGAAATTGTCAGTACCTAAATTTTATTAGTTAAGCCCCTTTTTGGGCATATAGAGAGGCTTATACGGCGCCTTTCTTGAAACCGTTACAAGTTTTTGTTACATTTTTAATTTTTTTTGAGAAATTACAGTTTAATCAGAGGGTGGGCAAGTCGGGATTGAACCCGTGTCATCGTAGACAAGAGTCCACGACACTAACCAATTGGCTAGCAATTCTACCTAAAACTGTCCACCAATCGTAGCTCCATGTATCGAACTGGAACTAGCCCCCATTGAATTAATTAGAGCGAATATTTTTTTTCTTGATTGAATCTCATCAAAATAATTTAAGAAAATTAAAATTATCATTTTCATGACAATTTCTAAGTGTTTAGAGGATTAGTTCAAGTAAAATATTTTTTTGATCAAAATGATTGATTAATTTACACCCCTTTCAAATCGCCCGCCCTTCGAATAATCCGTACAAAAGGGGGTAATTTTAGGTACTTGACTGTAATACATTTGTCATAAAATTTTTAAAATCAGTTTAACAACGACAATCATCATGATTAGATCAATTGTGTTCGTTATCTTAATTGTTAATTCATTTTCTTTAATCAATTGTGATGAAAACCTAACCAATCCATTTTTGATTTATACTAACTTTTGTTCAATGGTGAAAAACTCTACAATAGCACCTATTGAGAGTTTGTGTATATCTTACGTTGGACTTGCAAAAACTCTTGAGGTTAGTGCTAATCACGACTTATTGTGGTAATTAACTAATAATTGTTTTTATTGTTTAAAGGATCTATCGCCCAAAAATGAGTACGATTTGTTGACCGATTGCAAAAAAACACTTCCACCCAGTGAATTAAATGAAGTAATTAAGTCTTGTTCTGAGCCTCACTCGGAAGCGTCCATAAATAAGGTACAACAATCAACTAATTTTCGAGTAAATTGCTCAAGGTTCGAGGCTAATTTAAATGTGATCGTTTATTTTTTATCAATTAAGGGAGCAGACTGCGTCAAGAAACTTGGTTATTCCAAGAAGTTTTTGAGTAAGAAGCCGTTGGATGCAATCCTTTCTATTAAAAAGACTCCTCAATTACGCGATTGCGTTAAAAATAATTAGTAACCTAATCAACAGTAATTTTCAAACTTTATTTGTTTTTCTCTCTCTCTCTCTCTTTCTCTTGATTCAATGATTTAACCTGTGAAAGTGATACACCAACTAACGATGAATCAATTCAACGTATCTTTGATGCACAATCTTCACATACAAGTCAAATTTAATTGTTCCAATAATTATGATATAATATTAAAACACGTTAATTGAAATTTTTCTTCAATTTTGTTTGTTCGCAAACATTCAACCAAACGTATGGTAAACAATTAAGGATTTAACTCAATTTTCACTTCAAATATAAAAAAATTCATTCTATCATTTCACATAATTTAAATTTCTCTTTTAATCCAGTTTACTTGTTTAGATTTGATTGGCAAGGAAAAAAATTTAATTCTCTAGTCTGTATTTCGCGCTATTTCAATATTTGGACTGATACTTTAAGTTACTATCGAGGTTAATAGAGTTTTTGAAGATTATCTAATTTTCATTACTTAAGCATCGTTATTTTAATAGTTCAAGATGTTCATGACTCTTTAACCAAATGTACTGGGTGACAAATTGATTCCCACAATCTTTTTTTTGAAATTGCCGCTTTATTACTTTGACAATCGAGCTAATATTTCATAGGTGGACCAAAGGGTCAAAAGGAAATTGTTTGCGAGTAAAAAATAATTTTTGAAAATTTTAACCAAAATGCATGTATTAGACCGTTGAGTTAATTTACATAAATGTCTCGCCCATTGAAAATCAATGGAAAATTCGAAATTTTTTTTACCTCTAAACAAATTTCCTTTTAGTTGATCATCAACCTCAGAAAATCTTATAACAAAAAAACAAGTAATGAAAAAGTTATTCAAAAAAAAGATTGTGGGAATCAATTTGTCACCCAGTATTAATAATAAACTATTGCTGCTCAGTATAAATGATGACAGAATTTCGGTTTGTTCTGCTCTTGAAGACCCTGCAGAAAAATTACAGCAGGTAAAGTAAAACAATTAACGGATATACTTCCGAATACTAATGATATGCAGGTTGAACACAAATAGCGATAGATTATCGTATATATCTGAATGCATTCGATGTATTTAATCAACCGATTAACGACAGAAATTTAAACCAACAACTGTTTTCTAATGAAAAATTAGGTTAAAAAAACGGTTTAGCGAAAAAAAAATCAGCTTTGAGTGAAAATGTTGAACTGACATACACTTGTATCGCCTTACCTAATAATATCGAAGTGCTCATGAAAGTTTTCGTAATTCATGTTTGGTTTGCTCTTCCGTTCACCCCACCGGCGGGCGACCTCATCCGGATCCGTTAATTTGAACTCTCCATTGTTACCCTCCCAAGCGATACAATTTGAATTACTGTCCGATAAAAGTTCAAGTAAAAATTGCCACAATTGAATTTGTCCACTACCTGTTAATCAGATTGACATTGGAAAAGATTAACTGATTTTAACAATCAACAATTTATAACATGCCATTGAAAAGTAAACTAATTAATTTAACTTTTACGTATTCAAATCCAATTCATGCTAATTGATTAAGACAAAGTTAGGATATTGTATGAATCTAAATTGATTGTGAACAATTAATTATGGATCATGATTAAATTTTCCAAGTGAATTGTTGATTGGAAAATAAAATATATGAATAGTCTTAATTTAGAAATTGTAAAATATTATCAAGGCTGGATTTCGCCCATGCTAATCTTAAGAGAATTGTTTAAATTGTTCAAATTATTCGGAGACAATATTGTCGATTAGTTCAGAAATACCCTGAGGGCATTTTCTGCTGATTGATGTTAGATTTGAAAATTCCGTCTACGCTAAAAACTAATCATCCTTGGTGACATTTCAATAATCATTAAGAATCTGATTAGATTAACTCGTAAGTAATTAACGAAAGCACAATAGGAATCATTTAGTTAATTGAATCAGCAGATCTCGTTTATATAATCAAAATAAAACAATTATGACAATACAAGCCAATTCATTGATTGTTTAATTTTTTTTGCTAACCATCATCTCCACTTTGTGTGTCTTGATTTATAATCAATCGTGTAACATAAATCACGTCAATCAGATTAGTTAATTATGATTAGTTAACTTGATCAACTATGATGATTAATTGTGACGACTAGTGTATATGTGTACAACATCTGTATGATCAACAGTCTTGACAACAGAGTAAATAATATCGTGTATTGATGAGATGGATGAAATTAAGATTAATTAATCAATGATCAATTAGCATCGAAGGAAATCATAATAATTAAATCGTCAAAAGGCCAAAGTTTTATCCGAATCCAGTTTCGAGGTAAATTGAGCATAATGTAAATTGTTGAAGATAAAATCGGTTGATCGTCAAACTTTGTGCAGTCTATTGATTAAAAAATGTTGTTTGATCTCGAGTAATTTAAGAGGAACCAAAGATTCATCGGATAGACTGGTACAAAGATCTTTCTTGCTTAATTGTGATGTGATTGAATATCTTTTCGATTTCCATGCTCGTAACAATTTAACGTACTCATAGGCTTTGTCGGTCTCTCCGGTTCTCGTATAAATCCTGATGATTCCTTGATAATCAAATTCGAGGCCAATATAAGCACCGCCGAAAACTTTGATACCAATGTCAATCGCTTTGAGATAATAACTTTCCGCCTGCGGATACATTTCCATGTCGTAACTGTACAATGAGGCCAAAAATCCGTATGATTGTGCGACCTCATAATCATCTTTACCGAGACACTTTTCTTTAATTTCAATAGATCGTAATTGTAACATTTCCGATTCTTCATATCGGTGCATCGTTTGGTACAATCGACCTAAATTAGAGTAATTTTTGGCCGTTTGAAGATTCTCCTCGCCCAAAATATTTCGAGATATTTTAAGCGCTTCTCGGTGAAGTTGATTGGCCTCCATTAGCATCTCCGTTTTACCGACTATGTCCACATTATCGATGGCCATCTCTTCAATGATTAACGCTTTTATCCTAAACACATTGATAAGTAGATGGTGTTCCTTTGGTAATAGCGTTTCTAATGACATTTTGGCGAGTTCAATGTGATACAAACAAAGGTCAAAATGGCCTGTTGAATATTCTTGAATATAATAAGCGAAAGCTAATTCTTGACGTGAAAGTGCAAGAGGTAAATTTATACATTGTTCCGTTAATGTGTGAAGGCCAAAATACTGTTTACGAAAGTTGACTGAATTCAGATAAAATTTAACTGATTGTACATGCATATCGATATTGTGATAATAATAGCCCATGGTCATGAAAAGATCACCAATGATTGGATGGAAATTATTAATCTGAGAGAAGTCACATTTCTCGTTCAATTTGAACAGCTCTTTACAGGTCAAAAGCACTTGTCGTAATAGGAAATCGGCTATTTCAAAGTCTCTCTTAATGGTACAACATTTAGCAGCGGTCAACATGATATCAATTACTGAAATTCTGGGAGTACTTTTGGTTAAATGTGACATTGATTGGCAACTCCATTTGTAGGCCTCTTTATATAGACTCTGAGCAGTAAATAAACAGGCAAATTGATTGTAAACTTGAGCAAGATCAAATTTATCAGGTAAATTGGCATAATTTTTTTCATCAATCAGGGTAACCATTTCTTCATATAATTGATTGGCTTCTTTGAAACGTGAATAACCAACAAGAGCTGCTAATAAACGAGTTTTAATCCTAAAAATCCAGGATTCAACGATTATCTCATTTGTATCAATCTCATTGAGATGCAATTTAAGGCTTGATGATAAAATCTTCTCAGCATCAACATACCAACCAGCTTCAATTAAGAAACCAGCCAAAGAATAAGCTCTTTGCATTAATTGAACTCGTAACTTCCTATGGTAATTAATTTGCTCGAAATTTGATCTGGTCGCCTTTTCCACCCTCATTGTGATCTCCTTACTTATCGCTCTAGTTAAAAATCCAGTTAGATTGAGGCCTTCGTCCATTAACCGTTGTACCAACATGTGAAGTGTTTGACCTTTATTGTAAACCAGGAGATTGAGAAAATTGGTTAAATTTGTAAGATAATCATTCAAATCGGTCCATCGTTCATTCATAAACATCTCAAGGTACAGATCAAGTTGTACATTAACAGGTAAACAATGAATATTGGGTTGAAATTTATCCAAACTGGAGACTATTGATTTTACACATAGAGTGTACATCTTGGTACCACAATCGTAAACGCTATTTGAATAAGATGGCGACGGCGATAATGGACAATTTATTTCGACAGCAGGAAGGTAAATGTTTTTATTGTTATTGCCCTCCAATTGGAACATAATTCAAGCACCAGGTCAAAGGAATAAAAATAAAAGGGTCAACAAGGAGAAGAGAAAACAAAAAATTCTTAACACTGAAAAGGTTTTCCTTTCACAATGGTCACTTTTGGGACGCGAAGAAAACACAATTCAAGGTATTCATTTATCACAGAGAAACACTAGAAGAAGATGAAGATGATGATGGAAATTCAGGTAAAATAGAAAAGAAAATGCGAAAGTAAATCAATTTTTGTTTTGTTCTTTTGTTGATTGAGAAACAAATCTGAGGCCTAAAGACCATCAAGTTCCTCAAGGGCTACTTGTTGGTGGAGAAAAACAATTCAACTGATTGAGTTAATTTCTTTTCTCCTTTTTTCCTTCTCTTCTTTAATTCTACCTTGAACAGTTGAACAACTTAACTGTAATTAAGGTAAAAATAAGATTGGAAAAAGGGATAAACCAATTTACTCAAATCTCTTTCTTTCTCTTTCTTTATCTGTCATTCTCTTTATCCTTTACTCTGTCTTTTCATTTCTCTCAATTAGTTGATTGTGATTAAGCGCGTAGATTAAACGACATAGAACATTTTTAATTGTTGGTTTCATTTTTTTCCATTGTAATTATAATCGTGGAATTGTGATTCTCATAAATTGTTCACCTTCTCTCTCAATTGATATTCATTCAAATTCTCATCTCATGTTATTGTTTTGATTTTGTTTCGTTTCCATTTCCATTCCTATTTCCTGATTGTTTGACTTTCGATGTTAATTGTTTGGTTAATCAGCTGATCTCAATTCACCTTATTATTAATTTCACTCAATAACAATTTTATTGTTCAACTAATTGTTACCTTTCTCATCGGATCATTGAGCTTTCCCTTTTTGACTTTTGGTTAAATTACAATTAAGTTGATTGTTAGAAAATTAAAATCATTGATAATTTAATTACATTTGAATGGTTTTAACATTTCATTCAGTTGAATCTTTGTTTCAACAATTTAATTCAGTTCATTAAGAGTTTTTTTTCTGCTTCAGATTAACTTTAATTATATTAATAAATATATGAGTTAATTAGGGATTACAATTTGGGTTGATTATCTTGATGACATAAAATTAAGTTTCTAAATCAAAAGTATGTCATTATGTTGATGAAAAGTTAATCAAGAGTTAGAAACAATGATTAACTTAAATTGTTATCAAATTGACGATCGAGTGAAAGTCAAAGTACACAAATTATGAGATAATTTAGTTAATTGTCAAGGTAATCAGAGTTATTACTCTAATAGTAACGATGAAGAAACTTGAGATTATCGTTTATCTTTTAGATTTGTTCAATGTCGAGACTGGTCAATGTCCAGCATATTCAGCTGACCACTAAGATACTTTGTCTTCTGACCAATTGACCCTCCGGGCATATTCAAAGAAGCTGCATGGTCAACCAGAAAAGCCTCTTGATTGTCATCAATTGTTGGGTCAAAAGGTTCGGGTACATTGGTTTGCATCACTCCTGTTGTGGTCAAGCAAAAGGGATAAGTGACTTTTTTTTATTCGCTGTCAAAGTTAATTGTTTTGTTTACCTGATAATCCAATGGAACTGGGATCATACACATGGAATCGTCCATCTTGTTTATCGTTACTTGAATCAATTCTACTCAGAGATTCATATTGATCCTGGTCAAGGTTCTGATGGTAAACTGTGTCACCGTCCATCTTGTGTTTCCTTGTCTCTGTAAACGAAATCCCTTCGCTCGCAATTGTGTCCACTGTTTGGTTCGCCCAATCATTTGGTTCCGTTAGAGTTGATTTTGAACGAGAACTGGTCAATGGTAACGATTTAGGTCCACCAGCAATCAAATGACTCCCCGATAGTTTAACTGAATTACCAAACAAACGGACGGGTAACATTTTGTTTTTCTTACTTTTTCTCGCCTCAAATGCACTTTAATTAACTAATTGTGAATGATGGTCAACACAGTTGATGGTCAGTTTATTATTTACTATTCGACGGGAAGATTTATGTGATAGAAAGAGAGAAAGAGAGAGAGAGAGAGAGAGAAGGAGAGAGAGCTTGAAGAAATTAACAATCTCGTTTGCTGATCACTCGGTGAGCGAATGATCAACCAACAGAGTTGATTAAGAAAACAAGAAAATTAAGAATGGAAATGATCAACCACATGACTTTTAATTCCTTGTCTGATTATTTGAGTCTCTCAGATAAATTTCATCGGTAATTTAATCACAATCAAGGTTCTTGGTAAACTGTTTGTACAAGTTGATAATTGTCTCGGTCAAATTGGTAATGTTTACAACATGATTGAATCATGTTAAAAATAATCCGCTGATTGTTAATTGTAAGCTTCATGCTCTGATCATGAGATTGCAACAATTTAGTAAATTCAATGACTTTAACCAGAAAACTTTAATGGACCTCATCTCAACCTCTTTACAATTAAAAAAAACTACTTTTAAATGTCAACCATTTATTTTTACTTAAATTGCTTCAGGCATTGAATCTGCCCCAACAATTAGATTAATTATCTCATAAATAGAGATACACTAATAAACAAATCATTTCATCTTTTAGATTTTTTTCCAATCACATCAATCAATTATCGAGATTATTTGTTTACAAATGTTTCAATTCGTCGTGAATTAAATAATTTTAATGAATTGAAATAATGATTATACCATTTAAAATGATTAGAGATGATTAAGACAAGATTAAAGTTCTAAGGAAAATTAAACAAAATGATTGATTGTAAAAACTAAACAGAAAAATTGATTTGATTGATAGTTGATGATCAACTTGCAATGGAAGAATTAAATTAATGTTGTTCAATTGGTTTTGATTGTTAAAAAAAATGCTGATATGTTGAGATTAATGTTCATCTTGATTGTGATAATTAGTCGATTATTATCTCGGGACAATTAATCAGCTACTGAGTCTAAACATTTCTCATAATCGTTTACAGCTATTGAAGCTTTTCGTCTTAAATTGTTAACCCTTTCCTCTTGGCGTTTGATTTCCTCGTCGGTGATCACAATTGGAGCAATTAAGGGCTGCCTTGGATCGATAAATACACCAGGATTTTTATCGAGAACACTTCGAGCCGCTGTTTGTCCAGTTATCGGTTTCACGTGAAGATGTAAAGCCGTGGCCACACTACGAAGAGCTGTATCATTACCGACATTTGGTCCAACGGGTTTCATGTTTTTGGGTAAATCGAAATTCTCATAAAATTCTTGATTAGAATAAGTAGCTCTCAGACCTTCTAAACGTTTCTCCCAAAATACTTGTTTGGGTTTATCATTTGATCCATGTTTCAAATCGTGTTTACATTTATTTCCAGTGTGAGTTTTTATAATGGTAACTGGTTGTTTACAGATCGCAGCGGTTCGTCTAACGGGTAGAGATGATCCAAAATCATTAATTCTAACACCTTTTATGTTATCTTTCAGATTCTTATTCTTCCGTAACAATAAAGCGTTTATTTTACCCGTTCGATAATCAAAGCTCGTTAAATCAACAGAATCTCCAAGGTATTTGGCCAGTTGAGGTTTACTTCGGAATTTAGTTCCATCCGGACTATAATATAGTAAATTAAAAAGAATTAGCGATTAAATTGAATTTGGAAAATGTAAATGGAATTAAATCAACTCGAGAAATAAAAATAAACAATAACAATTGAAAAGATTCAATGTTTACCTGTAGTAATAGACTTCGGTCTTTCCAGTCGATAATCCGGTCTTCCGAGAGACCTCTTCGCGTTTCCAGCCTTCAGGTAATACCTTACATTCCATTGAGATTCCTTTATTAATTTATAATTCTCATTAATAATGAGAAATATGATTAATTGATTAATCAAAATTAGTAAATTTTTTTTCCAAATGTCAATAAACAGAACATATGTTCGTATCGAGTGCTGCCATCTATTGGTCGATAATCTCAATTGTTAAGTTCTCGTTGTTACATGAAAATCGCAGATGATAATGGCCTCAAGTTTTGTTTCCTTGCGAGATTCGAGTACAAATGGACTTAATCATCTTGTGATTTTACACTCAGTTGGCAAATTTTGTCTTAATTACTCTCAATTAACACTGTTTATTTCAAAAGTACAAATAAAACTCGAAAACATTGTCACTGATTCTGTGATAAAACTTTAATTGTCAAAGGGAATTTTATCAACTTCAGCCCGAAAGAATAAAATCAAATGATATTAATTTCTTAATTTAACGATTTCTTGATGTTCTGCAGTCGACTAATTGAGAGTTGGATCCATAGTCTATGGTGGATGTAATTGTGATTAGTCGATTAGAATTTTCAATTGTAACATAATTTTCATATTTAAGCCTTTTGATAATTTTAGCAGACAACCAGTTTACTTAAATGAAGTTAACTGTTAATTGCAATTATCTAGTTAAGTTTGAATTTGGATTCCCGAAAGTTAAAATGAATTCATTTTTGTTTGCTTTAATTGTCACAATTTCTTCATTATCTTTGATTGATTAACTGCTCGAACTTGGTTATGATTTCAGAGATTGTCATCAATCGAGGTTCTAATCCCGATTAGACAATTATCTTCATGTTGATGATAAAATTTTCGTTTCTTTGATTGTCTCTCATTCTGTTGATATTTAAATGGAGATGAAACTTTGATTTCATCAGTTTCACTTGCTATCACTTTATTATCACTAAATCAATATGAAGACAAATGAATGGTCAAATTTTCACGATTCGCAATTAACATGATTAAGGAATGAGTTGAAAGTGTGAACCGTTCATTGTATTACCAGAGCAAAAACAGTCGTGATTAAATTACTTTACAAAGTTAATCAAAATCTAACCGTAAACCAAAATACGATTGGGAAGAAGTGACAATAAAACATTTTGGACTTCATAATTTTCACGATCAATATTAAACCATAAATCCGGTTCCGTTGAAGGTTGATTGTTATCTGTGATTTGTTGATTTCTAGATAAACTAATTGAAATGTCTCTTGCCTCTAATTGATTAACAGCACTATTAAAGTTGTGGTTTTCCCGGAAAATGTTAACTCTGTAATGAGAAAGTGAAATGAAAATATTTTGTAATCAATTTTGGTTTCGATTCCCAAGTTAATTAAGATTAGTTTCTTACCCATCTTTGATTAGTGATGTTTTTGTACAATCATTTGATTGGTGGATATTAAGGGTTATCTTATTGTTGAAAAAGTGTCTAATTGAAAGATTAACTAAATTAGTGGTCTCTACTTTTTGCCAAACTCCACATTCATCGTTGATTATATTTTTTAAATTCTCAAATTTATTAGACTTTTGTTTCGGTTTCAGTTGATTAGGTCGAGGAATCAACGACTGCCACCATCTTTTAGGTACTTCCTCTTCCTCTGGTTCCTTAAAGCTCTCAAAGCACTTGGCACATCCCGAACACGGTTTCGTGTAATAAATGTCCGCGTCAACGGGCATAGTTTGATTAGTCAAATTCTGTAAAGAAAACGATAACAATTAGTTAACATTGAAACGAATCAAGATAAATTGTCACCTTAAATAAGATTTTCTTGCAAAGTGGATAATAAGGTTTGACTCTAGCTGAAAACAACCAATATGATTCAGCTGATTCTAAGTAATCTCGTAATCGACCAAAATCAAATGAATGTAATGCAAACACTGGTTTTCCTTTTTCTTTCCCTTCAACTTTAACTACATCAACAGGTTTGATTGATTCCTTAACAATGGCCATCGATAAACGACCAATAAGATCAATATATTCAACTTTATTCCTTATCCGTCCATTGGAATTAAGATCAATTTCAAATAGTCTAAATACTCCCGAGTTTCGTTTTCCTGTGGGAATAAATCCAAAGGGCAATGGTTTCTTTTTATTTACATCTTCTCGTCTCAAGTAACCTGTGATCGCATCATGAATGGTACCATCACCGCCGACGACAATAACACCATCAGTATTTGCCATAACCTCCATGTAATCTTTAGCTTGACCTGATTGGAAATCAATGAATATGCAACGGGATTAGCTGAGAATCTATTTACAATCAATATACAACTGATTTACCTTCATGTTCAGTCTCAATTATGCTTAATTTAATTCCAGCACAATTTAAAATAGGCTGAGCATAGTTGAAGAATAATTTTTTTCCTTTCCTTTGATTAGCAACCGGATTAAGAATGACTGTTAAATGTTTCAATTGTCTCTGTGGACTCCAGGGTTGATCACCGAATTTAACTGCTTCTTCACAATAAGCTCTCATCAATGCATTGACTCTACAATTAACAATTAGAAAGAGAAGAAAATTAAGAAAACAAATTGTCACAATTCATCATGATCATCAATCTACTCACTTGAATCTTTGGTCTAACAAATGGACTCCATAGACTGCTAAGGATGAGAAGAAAATAGATTTCTTCCAATGTTCACGAATAGTTTTAAATGGTTTCCACATGATTAATTAACTAATTAATTAAGATGAAGCAAGTTCTCAATTAAAAGTAAATAAAAGAAAAGAAAATGAAAACATGTGATTCTATGAAAATGTAAACAATAATAATTCTCAACTTGAATCGAGCAAAATTAACCTTGTTTAACTTTAAATCAACTCTAATATTTACGCTAATTAGTATTTCAATGACAATAGAAACTAATTAATCACAATTTTCACCAATTTAAATAAAATTAAATGATTAAATATTCAATCAAAACAAACTGAATATTAATCAGCTGAAGGAAAAAATTTCCAATAAAAAATCAACCTTCTCAAAATAGAATCACTTCTTACTTTTAGATAAAAAGAAGTTATATCAATAAAAACATTCCAATTTAAACACTAGAATAAGATTAACAAAATTCACAAAATAATTAAAAGTAATTAACTAATGATAGAAATTAGAAAATCAGTTAAATGTAATAAAGAAAAAAATTGTTTCCAAAAATTGGATTGAACCGCTTAACCTTAAAAAGAATAAATTGTGACCACCAGATGGCGTTTTCTCCAAAAGAGTTAAGTAAATTTGTTAACAGGTGGAGCTGAGATCATTTTCTTTCAGGTTTTTGTTTGATTTTGATTTTTTTTCTCATTGTTTATGTCGATTTATTTATCAAATTTAGATGTTTAATTAATTTTGTGTTGTTAAAATTACAATTTATTGTGACCATTTTGTATACAATTAATTTAACACGATTACCTCTGGTTCAGGTGAAAGAGGTTTTATCCGTATTCCAATTGAGTATAACCCGGGGTATCATCGTTGCGAGTTTGTCAAGAAACAATAGTGGTGGTGGAAGTGATTGTGGAAGCGTGTTAACATCAAGAAGAAGCAAGAGTAACAGCAGCAGCAGTAATAGTAATTGTTTCACCAGCAGCAGCCATCAAAATAATTGTAATAAGAAGAACAGTTCGAAAAAGAAGATGCCTATGCCCTCCAAAAGTAGGATTTACTGTGATGTTAATACTCACCGGCCAAGAGATTATTGGGACTATGAAAGCCATGTAATCGAATGGCAGAATCAAGATGATTACCAATTAGTAAGAAAATTAGGGAGAGGTAAATATTCCGAAGTATTTGAAGGAGTAAATATTACCAATAACGAGAAATGTGTCATTAAAATATTGAAGGTAACTATCTTCTCAATTTTCTTCATCTTTTCTATTCCACCTTTGTCGTTCCTCTCATCCTTTCTTTACATCTTTCTTTCTCTCTCTCTCTCTCTTCCTCTTTCTTCCTTCCATTTTGTCAGCTATTCTCTTATAATATTGAATACATGCACTTACATTTATGTTTATATGTGTGTATATGTTTTTCTCCATTTTCTCTTTTCTTTTTTCTTCCATCTAGTTTTTCTGCTGTTGAGTTATCCCGTAATCTCTAGGAAAGAAAGAGAAAGAAATTTTCTTTTCAAAAGACTGAGTAATTCTCTCTCTCTCTCTCTCTCTCTCTCTCTCTCTCTCTCTTCCTTTTTATCTTTTCTGTCTCCCAGTTCACCGACATTGTTTAATTGAATCCATCCCTCACCTGACAAGGCTAAGATCCCCTTAAAGAATTAGAGGTAAAACAAAAATGGAAGATGAAATTTTGTTCGATTAAATATCATCTGAACATTTTCTTCTCACATCTTGATTGACCTTTGAGAGCTTAATTAAGCACATGGGAGAAGATTGTCCAATTCAACTCATAGTCCAAGCCTTTTTACTTTGATAACTCTGATTACATGTACCGGCTTATACTTGAGGTCATCAGATTACAATATGTATAATATATCAAATATATAAGGTGATGATTCAATTTGAAGAAAACCTTCCAAAATGAATTCAATGAAAGTTACCCAATTAATTCAATTGACATTAAACTCTTTCTCCCTCTCACTTTTCTCTCTCTTCCTCTTTCTCTCCTCATTTCTCCTTTCTCTTTGTTCCGTAACTACCTAGCCTTTCTTTTCTCATTCCTCCATCTTAGTTGCTGCTTTTACTGTTTCTCCTCCACCTCCAGCAAGCACGCCTTTTCTTTGCAACTTCTACAAGACAGTCAATAATAATAATAACTTTTTCTCATGTCTTTTTTTTCTTTTCTCTTCCACAGCCTGTCAAAAAGAAGAAGATAAAGCGAGAAATTAAAATTTTGGAAAACCTCAGAGGCGGGCCAAATATAATCACCCTTCAGGCTGTAGTTAAAGATCAAGTGGTATGATATAACTCATTGTTTACCTGTTCAATCTAATTAATCTTTTGTTTTCCATTTTATCTTGTAATGTATCATCTCATATTTTCACCCAACATGGTCACAATTCACTGTTTTACATGTCCCGTTTTTTTATCATTTTGCTCATTATCTTTTTTTTCTCTTTTTCCTACAGTCGCGAACACCAGCTTTGATTTTTGAGTATGTCAACAATACGGATTTCAAGCAACTTTATCAAACATTAACTGACTTCGATATTAGATACTACCTGTATGAGTTATTAAGAGCATTGGATTATAGTCATAGTATGGGAATTATGCATAGAGACGTGAAACCTCATAATGTGATGATTGATCATGAAAAACGTAAACTGCGGCTTATTGATTGGGGTTTGGCTGAATTTTACCACCCTGGACAAGAGTACAACGTTAGAGTAGCTTCAAGATACTTCAAAGGTCCAGAACTCCTTGTTGATTATCAGATGTATGATTATTCATTGGATATGTGGAGTCTTGGTTGTATGTTAGCTTCCATGATTTTCCGTAAGGAACCTTTCTTCCATGGACATGATAACTATGATCAGCTTGTTCGTATTGCCAAAGTATTGGGTACCGAAGAGTTGTATGAATATTTGGAGAAATATCAAATTGAATTGGATCCTCGTTTCAATGATATACTAGGAAGACACTCAAGGTAAATACTGAAACTTTCATTCAATGAAAAATTTGTTCCATTTTAATTAATGTTTATTTATTCATTTTTCTCTCTCCTTTATTATTATTCAGGAAAAGATGGGAAAGATTCATCCACGGAGAGAATAGTCACTTGGTCAGTGCTGAAGCTCTCGATTTTCTGGATAAACTACTTCGCTATGATCATCAAGAGCGACTTTCGGCACTGGAAGCTATGGATCATCCATATTTTTACCCTGTTAAAGAAGCTCACGCTCGAGCGCGACATTTACAGGAGACCACATGCTTCACAGCCCCTGTTAGCAGTAGCACACCAGGAGGCCCAAAAGAAATGGATTGGCCTGATGTTGATAAGTTGGCCAATAAATAGTCAAATCCATTACTTTTTCCTTAATATTAATTATTATTATTATTATTGATACCTTTAATCACAAACTCTACACACAAAAAAATACACTTTCCAAATACCAAGTGTCCATCATGTTAATTGGAAGAATCAATTTTTGATTTACCTTTTTTTGTCCCAATTGTATCAAGATTATCTTTATTTAAACACCACAACTACTACAACAACAACAACAACAACTACTACTACTACTACAACTAAAAACAACATCAATTAAGTTGGAAAGAGAAAGTTTGAGAAAAAAGAATCAAATATTTCAACGAAAAAGAAATGATTTCATGAAAGAAATACTAATTTGGAAAACGAATCTAAATTGAATTGAGAAGAGAAGGAGAAAAGAGTTGCTAATGTAAATTTATCGCATCATCACTGTATACGGAAAATCCAAACAATTAACGAAAAAGAAGAAAGAAAACAACAATCAACTTTTTCTTTTCAATTTTAAGTAAAAAATGTTTTTTCTTTAATTTGTTTACACTTGAAAATAAAAAAACATTCAACTCAAAATGTAAATTCTCTCACCAGATGGATCCACTTTTCTGAGAAAAATTGGAGAATCAAATTTGATTCAATTGTTAATTTCACTTGATTTCCAATCAATTAGATTGAAAAGTAATAGATGATATTCGATGTTCGTCGATCGTTAATCTAAATGATTCAACTTAATTATTCTTGGCTTGAATTCTCATTTTGAAATCTCCTGCTGTTCACTTGTTAATCCTCAACTGATTGTTAGCATTAATCAGAAGGAAGATGAAGATGAAGATGAAGATGAAGATGATAATGATGATGGCGAATGAGTAAATAGAAAGAGAGAGAGAGAGAGAGAGAGACTGATTTCATCTTCTCAATATTGACCCAGTGTCTATGGAGCTTATGTTAATCATAGAAATATAAATATACTGTTATATTGTTTAATCTTCATCACAAACATACAACAAACATCATCCTCCGATTATCATCATCATCATCATCTTCATCCTCATCCCTTGAAGTGTAGTGATGAAAAGAGAGTGAAAAATAAAGACTTTGATTCCTAGTGAGTTGTATAAATAACTAAAAGTCATTTTCAGCCCTTCCCTGTGTAAAAATGATGATCAAGATGAAGATGATGAGGATGATAATACTGTTGATTATGATGATGATGATGATGACGGTGATGATAATGATCGAGTCATGATCAGTTAATATTGTCTTTGTGGCTTATTTGGTTCATTTTGAATCCTAAATCCCTTTTGATATAAGGTAATTTTTCACAATCCATTTTTTATATGTATGATTATCCAAGTTAATTCAGTTTTTATTGTTGATCACAATTGTGATGATGATGATGATAATTTACCTTTCACTCATTCACACACAATACAATGTTAATTTAAATCACTTAACTTACCTATGGTAATAATGAGGATCATAAAAACAGTTGATAAGAATTAAATTTGCATAATTTATAGTCAATTTAACTGAATTAATAGTTAGTTAAATCAATCACCGAGAATCTTAAAATTTCAAGCAATTTTATCATCATCAAGGATCACAATTTAGGTGATGATTGTTAATCATGATGATGATTGTTTTGTTGATGGTTTAATCTAGTTTTTATTGTTATTATCATCACCATTAAATCAAAATTGTTCAGAAAATTTAATCCCTGTTGATTGTTTAACTGATCAAATCATGTTAATATTATGGAACAATTAATCTTTGATTTCTCATAATATAATCAAGTAATCATATTGCATCACAACTAAATGGAAACAATTTACAGAACCAAACTATTATTAGGATGATCAGAAAGTTCTGCACGAAAAATCAATGTTATATTGGGCACGTAATTAAACGCGAACTGTTTGTTCTAAAAAATTAATCTTTTCTAATTATTAAAACTCATAGTTTTCTGATAGAAAATAATTAAATTAGTTAAAATTTAGAAATTTTTTCTCGGCCAAAAATAGCGAAGAAAATGGCCTTAAATTATTTTTTTATCGTCGATGCTTTCGACTAAATAAAAAAAGGGTTTAGAATAATGATTTCAATATTTTAAAACTATTAACATAAAATTCGATATTTTCACTTTGATTAGTGAAATTTTCAACAATTAACGAATCACAATTACGGAGAAAATTAAATTCAAAATTTAGTCTTTTTTCCTAGCAAAATTGAAAATTCATCACGAGATCATGAAATTGTTCATCTACTCAATGGTAAAAAATTTCATTTTCATGAATTTTCAATTTTGCTAGGAAAAAAGACTAAATTTTGAATTTAATTTTCTCCGTAATTGTGATTCGTTAATTGTTGAAAATTTCACTAATCAAAGTGAAAATATCGAATTTTATGTCAATAGTTTTAAAATTATTAAAATCAAAGTTTTAAGGCCATTTTTAGCTCTGCCAAGAGAAGCATTAAAAAATATTTATTTTAGGTCATATTTGTCGCAATTTTTGACCTGGAAGAAAATTTCCAAAATTTAATTTTTCTAATAATTTTCAATTAGTGCACTCTTAATTTTTATTGTTAAAAAAATTACTTCTCTAAGATTTTAGGTTTAGGTTTAATTACGTGTTGATTGTTAGCCTTAATTTTCGTGCAAAACTTTCTGATCATCCTAATAATAATAATTTTCCAGCAGAAAATCAACAATTAACTTTGATCATCATGACTATAAACAAATAAATCCCAAGCAGAACTTGATTGTTAATCATTATTGTAACATTAATCTATCATCATCTCCACCTTAATCCAATATTAATCCACCTCCTCCTCTACCACAACCCAACCTCATGGTTTCCAAACCTAATAATGATTAAACCTTAAATTGTCAACTACTAATTAAATTAAATTAACTCTCAACAAGAGACAACAGCAACAAAAAACAACGAAAGCTTTAATCTCAGTTGATTGTGAGTATCTAAAGCTCATTGATTAAGTTAATCATTTGCTCAATTTAGTTTTATGTTTGTCAATAACAATTATCCAACAAATTACCTAGTTAATTGTTTGAAAACTAAATAAAAGTGATTAAAACGTTAGCACCCTCAACAATTTACCTTTGCTAATATATAACAGAAATGAGAAAACATTTGAAACGAAATATCTTGAGACGATTTCATCGCCCGAGGCCATGGTGATGTCTAGTCACGATTTTTTCATCTCTCATCCTTTTCATCCTCATCCTCATCATCTTCATCATCATCATCTCTCTCCGTTTCTCTTTCTATTCTGTTTTTTTGCAAAAATTGTGCCAACCTACCATCGGTCACTTGGTTTATCCTCATTGGTTAACTTGTTGTTTCCACTATTGTATAAATAATATTGTTCAAAAGAAACCACGATTAGTTAGTTAATCAACAATCAATTGATTGTCTAAGTTAAGACTAGTAACGTTTTTCCATTGATTCGTGATCTTATTAACAAGTTAACTGTCCCCACGTTTACCGCTTGACCAACGCTCTGGACCATTCACTTGTTATCGTGACTTTTACCTGTTACCGTTAAGGTTACATTAATTATCGTATCAAAAGTTTTCGTTGTTTCCATATAGCTCCCACTTTCCGCTGACCTTTCACCTCTAACTGGACAACTTACCACAACTACTACGACCATTGCTTGACCATGTTTCAAGATAATTCAATTGCTTCAACTGAATCAGATGACTCATCAAATCAGGTTTTCGTTCGTGCCGGTGAGTTTACGTTTCCATTTTTAATCATTTTCTCGTTAATCAACTTTCATTCATTGATTGTAACACTTGCAAAAACTATTTCATTCATGACTTTTGTTTCATTGATTAAATTGTTTACTACAATGATGATTAGCTAATCAGAGTTTTAATTGTTCTGTGAGAAACAAAAAATGAAACAAAACTTTTATTATGTAACATGAATTCATTTTGATCAATATTATCAAATGATAATGATCTAGTTGATTGTCATTTAAATCAATCAAAATATTTTCATTCTATATTATCATTATAACAGTTATGTTAATCATTGTGATTTAGTCACGTGGCTTTTACAATGATGATTAAATGATTACATTGACTTTTATTATGAAAACATTATGATCACTTGGTTATTATTACTATTCAATTAAAAGTCAACAGGGAGTTTAAACAGCCAAAACAATTTACATTTTAATAATTGATAATATCCATTGATTTCAATAATTTACCGTTAATTACAATCAGTAGCAATTAAGTAAACAAAAACTGAGACACCAACCAACCCACAATTGAGCATCAAATCAAATGGTCAAGCCCAATAACATAACAGTAATAAAAACAAGCCTCACCTTGAAAACTGAATCAAAGCAAAAGCAAATGCCCAACAATCAACAAATCACCAATTAAATCACAATTAAAACAGTCAAACCATAAACAGTAACAACCAAAACAATCAAAGTTAAAAGAAAGGGTAAAAAGTGAAAAATTGAATCTCGAGCAAACGAAGCCCAATAAACCAACATGAACCCACAGAAACAATCAGTAAATTGTTACAATTTGGTCAACACAGAAAAAGATACAGAAACTTGCAGAGGAAATAGTTTTCCTTTAACCGGACATTAAAACAATATCCTTTACATAAGATGAATTGATTAAAGGCGAATCCACACCCAGAAGCCTTGAAGGTGAGTCGTGCTTCTGTGGAAGCACAAGGATTCCCATCATCATCTTAATCTCCATCCTCATCCTCATCTCCAACTATGAGCCGCACCTTATTTCTATCCATGACTCCCTCTCTCTTTCTCTCTCGAAGACGATTTCTCATCATCATCAACTTCATCTACCAAAGAATTAACTATAACCTTGCTGCCCACTTGCTCTTAATCATCTCCATCTAATCAAACGACTATTTAGGTTTTCGAAAGAGAGAAAAGAAAAGAAAAACTTTTTTTCTCTTCTCTTCTTATTATAATCGACATTCTGTGTAAATTATAATTCTAATCAAGATGATAATCTAAAATTCATCATCAATTGCATCAATTGCTTCTGTGTCCGTTTTCACAAGCTAATCAACTGAGTAACATTTTCTACTTTCTCCAAATTGTAATAGTAACTCTCCATATTGTCCACACCTTAAAAGCCCTCAGGGCAAAGTCGTGACATTGGTAAGCAACAATTTCAACTGCTCACCCGCCGCCAGAAATAAACCTCCCTCTCTCCAATCATTCATTCATTATTAACTATTATTTCATGAGACTATATTTTCACATGATAATCATCAACAAATCATCATAATTATCAACATCAACTCATTTTATCAATTCTAATACTAACCTTTTAAACAATCAATTGAATTTATTACAATCAACTGATGAATATAAGTTACAATTATCATTAAGGAATTTGTGTTCCATTCTCACAACAATTAACTTTACTCCAAAATCTCACTCAACAGAAACAATTAACACTCAATCTCAGGTGATCATCGTTCTCATTGGTGGAGTAACAATTTAATCACTTTGCAAATCAATCTCATTACACAGTCAAAATCCATGGAAGAGATTAAAGTTAATCCATAACTTTTACTCACTTTTTTTATCCTTTTTCCTTAGACCCATATCTTTGGGACTTTGGTGACATAAACAAATGGCTGGATTGGATTGAGAAAGCTTTCCTAATCCCGTCGATGATTAATAAATCATATTTCCCTGACAATGGACCTCAACTGTGTTCAATGAATTATTATGATTTTGCCAATATTGTCAACGATAAAGAGACAGCAAAGATTTTGTTTGACAATTTAAATCATTATAAAAGAGGTTAGAACTTTTTTTCCCTCCTCTCCACCACAAAATCGACAATCAATTTACCACCCCACTCCACCATTCCACCCACTCTCCATCACCTTGTCACCATCATCATCATTTATCATCATTCACACTCTCTGAATATCCGATTACATTAACAATTTGCATTCTCACATTTACTTTTTTTCACCTTTCAATCTGATTGTTAATTCAAATCATGGATTCCAAATGAATCTTCAATTATCCTACTCAACAATTAACTTCCCTCTGACGACTTAACAATTATCCAACTAATTTGATTCCTTATTAGATTAGATTAACAAAAATTAACCCTCTTAATCTGTTAACATTTATTAGATTATCGAAACTTTTTTAATTACTTAATTATTAATTACTAATTGTCTATCTCTTATTTAGCCTGCGGACATCATGTTGATGATGATGAAGATGATTTAATTGATTGGATAATTTGTGAATTCCTTATTAGATTAGATTAACAAAAATTAACCCTCTTAATCTGTTAACATTTATTAGATTATCGAAACTTTTTTAATTACTTAATTATTAATTACTAATTGTCTATCTCTTATTTAGCCTGCGGACATCATGTTGATGATGATGAAGATGATTTAATTGATTGGATAATTTGTGATGATAGTTCAGGTATGTTGATGTTAATTTAAATCAAAATTTAATCACTAACACAGTTAACAATTAAAACAATCAGTTATCGTAACAATTTTATATAATCAATGAAAACAATATTAACACCAAGACACAACAATTAACTTTTTCCATCACCAATTTGATTAAAAAATCAAATCCCCTTAAAGGTTAATTAATCATTTTCAGAGATTTAATTTGTTTCTATTAAAATTGATTGTTCATCTTTAATCAATGAATTAACATTCAATGTAAACAGCAATTAAAACAATCAATATATCATTGATTATTAAAGTGAAACCATCTCAATGTAATGTCATTAGATAAGTGAAATATTTAATCATAATTAACTAACTAAAGGTTAAAATATGATTTACATTAATACAACAATATAGCCAAACAATCAACTGCCTCCGGTAATCAATGTTTAACTTAATCATCATCAAGAAGCAATTGAAATTGTCCATGGGTGCGGAGTCACGATTGTTACCAAATTCAAAGGCCACTTTTTGATATCGACGGAAGCTCTGAATTTAAGCCCGGATTTTCAACTAATTTCAACTAATCACATTCATTTGCTTCTTAATCATCATCTCTTCTTGATGTTGTCCACTATTATAATTAACTAGTTTCCATTATGATCACAATTATGATCACAATCTAGAGGACTGATTGTTGTTGATTGTTGCCCTACCCAGAAAAGTACAAATTTCTAATCGAGTTGATCATTTGCTTGATTATTATTTTGTTCTGATTAACAATTAACAATCGTGATGGGATCTTTAATCATCACGATTTTGATTACTCCTACCTGATGATTATAAATACTATTTGAATCATAAAGGTACAATTAATTGTTTAATTATTGGATTCATCTTGCGAGAAATTTACCTTGATAATGTAACTAATATTACAATCAACGATTGATTAACTTAGTTTATCATTTGTTGTTGTTGATTAAAGTTTTTTTATATCAACATGAGGATTACATTTGAGCTTCAACAATTTAATCTCGTTTGAGAATCAAGTTTAATTGTTAATTAAAGGGAATCAAAATGGTGATTTGTTGATATAATTGTCACTGTTTGATCATTTTAATCATTATCACTCTGATTATCATGACTATTTATCAGCTGATTATTGATTAAAGTGTAAACAATAAACAATCATAACAGTGTTATTATTACAATGGTTATTGCCCCTTGACCTTAGTCACAATCAATTACAATCAAATGATCACAATGGATGTAAATTATCATAATGATGATAATAAAATGAAACACACTCCCAACAATTGACTTAATCATCATCATCATTGGGGGTGATTTAGGTTAATGTTTATAGTGAAAAGTTTGCCAGGGTGGGAGAGGTAAATTCAGTCATCATCATCCTCGGTGGGAGTTTGAGTGGGAGTGAATGATAAAATGCTGGAAACAATAAGGAATCAGGATCAGAATTGGTTCCTTGATTATTGATAAATTAAATCGTTATTAGGCCTTTTAAATTGTGGCTTTAATGATGAAACCTTTTACTTTTTTTCTCTCGCAATATGATTGATAATTTATGAGATTGAATTAATTACCATTCAGTTTATTTTGATACTTAAAACTTTGCATAGATTGACATTGATTGTCTTGTTAATTCCCATTCTCATCTCTTATTCACATAATTAAGATTAAATCTAATCTTCAACACAATTCAATTTCTTTTGAATAATCAACGAGCAACAACAATAAAACAGATCAAACAATGAGCTCGAAAAAAAAGGATTCATGTTAATGTGACACTTGAACGATTCTCATCTGAATTCATCATCTTTTATCATCCTCATCAATATATAGAAAAGATAATTATCTGAGTGAATGTTAATCATCAAAGATTTAATCCCATGTTAATCAATTCAGTTAAGATCAATATCGGAATCGGAATCACAAAGAATAGGCAATTAATCAAATGTTATTTTTGAAGGGATGATGATGATGATAAAGAAGCAAAGTTGACAAGGATTACCTTTTATCTTTATAGGAGAATCGAGAATCTCTTTTATTACCTTTTCTTTATTCAGAACATTTTATCTGATCTATAGATGGAGAAGATGAAGATGATGATGAGAGGGATGAGGAAGATTAAGTGAGAGAAATGAAGAGATTGCGCTTTGATATTATTATCGATATAGTTCTGAATATATTGTTGACCATTTTCTGTGATTCGTTCAACCAATTAACTTGAGTTCCTACGGAAGCGAAACACAGACTTGCCAACATCCTTTTCCGCTTTAATCATCATCATTATTATTTTCATCATTATCGTCATCATCTTCTTACACTTTCCTTTTCCTTTTCCTTATCAGAATCATTGTCTTACTTTACTTTCTCTATCATAATTTTTGTTTCTCTCCAACAAATGAAAATTTAATTTCACCTTTTTCCGCATTTACGGGACAACATTTTTAACACTCTTTTTCCGGTTCCGTGTACAAATCGTCTAATCGCTTTTACCGTTATTATTACTTCATCTTTCCACTTTCACTTTTCATCTTCTTCCTCTTTCTTTGTCCACTCTCTCTCTCTCTTTAACTCTCTCTTACCTCCGAATAGTTTTATTATTAGGGTTAACCCTCTCTCTCGCTCTTCATCAATAACTTCCGCTTCTAAAGTGACCTGAAACTTGTTCCAAAATGATCTATACCGGAACAAAAGCAAATTATCAAGTCTCTGGAAACTTTTCTACATCCGGTTCGTCACTTTTCACCTTGATTTCTTTAAATGTTTATCTTTTACCTGGTTGATTTAATTTAGTTCATTTTAATTTCTCTGTAAAGTGATTATATGTTTTCATTGGTTTATTCCTCTTGTGGTTAAGTTAATTGTTGGAAGTGTTTTTTGCTCTCCATCTAATTGTTTATCTTTCTCTGTTTCTTTTTTCCTCTTTCTTCGTAATTCCTAATTGTGTTTAGATGGCACTTATACAGAATCTTCGAGGAAAAGTAACTGGACTTCTCCTCTAAATGTTCAATCACTCAATTCGAGTCCCAGTTTCAGCGAAGCCCAAAATAGTCCAACTTCCGGTACAATCAGTTTAATCAATCAATCAACATCATCTTCTTCACCAACAACAACAACAATCAAATCAGCTCATGATTATTTCTCATCATCATTAGGTTTCAATCATGTTATGGTTAACGGTAATTCTGGAACTGGAGTAACAAAAGTTAACGGTAATAATAATTCACCAGCAAATGATCAAAAGTCAACATCAAATCAAGGTGAGTTCCGATAGAATCATGAATAATCTTGAAACCACAAGAATCTGAGAATAGTTAACATGATGAAACATGTAAATCAGAGGAAAAATTTAACATCTAAAATGGACATGATTGATTCATGATGAAATTTAACGAATCAATTTATTATATAAATGATTCTGTTTCATTCTGATCCCATGGTGATCTTTATTCATGAATAAATTTCCGATATATATTGAGTTGATTGTTGAGCATCTATTCAATGGTTGTATTGACAATTTGATGACAATTGTGATAAAATGTTTACGATGATATTGGAAAAGTTCATGGTAAATGAAATCAAAGGAATAACTCAGAGTAAGAGATTCAGATTCCCTGCTGAGTGTTGAGCCTATTCAGTTTTCACCTTTATTTTTGCTTCATCTTTGGTGATTCATTGAAATCCTCTTATGAAAATGTAATCATTTCAGATAAATGATCATCATCATTCAATGTTATCTTGGTGATTTTAATGAACATGATGATTATCATGAAATTACTGAGATTTGAAAAAATTGAGATGAAATTTTGTCAACGAGTAAATATTTATCCGATAAAGTTTAGTTAACTTATCCTAATGGATTTAAATTGTTCACTTGATTTTTGATCGTTTAATTTAATCAGATCTCTATGGTCAATTGTAAAGTCCATTATTCAGGATGAACAAAAAGTTATCATCATCAATCATGATAATCTTCACACTGAATCTTTCATCTATGGAACATGAATTCTTAGATTCAAATTGTTACCTTTTCTTTTCAATCAGTTTCAATCAATGAATTGATAAGTTAATTTACATGATCAACTTGTTAACAATTTAAATTTACTTGTTTCATGATGGGATTTAAATTGTTTTACAATTTTACAAATCAAATCGGCGGTCAATTTGTTTTTCACAATCTCAATATCAAATTGTAATCAATTGAGATCATTACTTATGGTTGACAATTTAATTTTAATCAGTTTTTTATCAATCACTTGAGAAGATTAATTGAATCGCTTTTTTAGTCTAAACAATCAGATAGAAATAATCATCCTCGAATTAGATTAATCAATAACTTGGAGTTTGTATTATCATGAAAAAGTTTTTTCTTTCTATTGTTTTCCAATCTGATATTGAATTCGAAGGAGAGAATTGATAAACTGATGAGGAATCACTTGAGTTAATCTTCTTTGGTCATCTTATCATCTCCATCATCATCTCACTCATTTATATCCTAGATGACCAATGGTCTTATGCTGAGAGTTAATTAAATGACCATCACGTCGAGTGATTCAATCATGTTTCGCATTGAGAAGTGAAAATGGTTGATTAGAAAAGTTTTTCTCTAATCGATTTTGTTTCGTTCTTTTTTTCCAATCAACAATTTACTTGGAAAATTTAATCATGATCCATAATTAATTGTTCACAATCAATTTAGATTCATACAATATCCTAACTTCAGCAAGTACAAGATTCACATCGCAAGGTAATAATATGAAACAATTAACTTTAATTATCAATGAATGATTGTTGCATGAATCGATTGATAAAAACAAGACCACAATTAACTTTGTCTTAATCAATTAGCATGAATTAGATTTACAAACTCAATAGTTAAATTAATTAGTTTACTTTTCAATTGCATGTCATAAATTGTTGATTGTTACAATCAGTTAATCTTTTCCATTGTCAATCTGATTAACAGGTAGTGGACAAATTCAATTGTGGCAATTTTTACTTGAACTTTTATCGGACAACAATTCAAATTGTATCGCTTGGGAGGGTAACAATGGAGAGTTCAAATTAACGGATCCGGATGAGGTCGCCCGCCGGTGGGGTGAACGGAAGAGTAAACCAAACATGAATTACGATAAATTGTCACGAGCACTTCGATATTATTACGATAAAAATATAATGACCAAAGTCCACGGTAAAAGGTATGCGTACAAATTTGACTTCCATGGTTTGGCTCAAGCCTGTCAACCAAATCCCACCGAGTCTTCACCCGCCAGCTACAAGTATCAATCGGAACTTTTATTAACACCAACGGCTGCTTATCACGCTCATGCAAGTAAACTCAACTCTTACCTGGCTGCAGGAGCAGCGGCGAGAAATGCAAATGTTAATCATCACCAAAATCACCACCATCATCATCATCATCCCTCACTGTTCACTGGTCCACCTTATTGGTCAACGGCGGCGGCGACCAACTCATGTAATCCTCTTTACACCGCATCAATTGGACACCATCATCATCCTCATCATCACCACCACCATAGAGCCAATTCATTGGGATCTTATTATGCTTGAAATCATTTGGCAATCATCAGTTTATCAGTTATTCATTTTCTTAGTATTATTACAAAAGTTTTCATCATTTCCGTTTCCGTTTTTTTTCATCTCTTTTTGTTTCTTCCTTGTGGGTCGGGATGATTGCAATTAGTTAATTACGATTACTACTATTTAACTTAATTCTTTTTTGAACAATCAACCATTCAGGTGCTTTTTTATATTTGTAAAAAGTTACACTGACTGTTAATCACCTAAACACAATTAACTAATCACAGCATCATATTAAAATCAGTCATATTAATCATTAATTATGTTTCATGACTGTAAATTAATTATAAGTAAAAATAAAATTTAAACAATCGCCTGATTTTTTAATTATGATATTTATTAAAAGTTTACAAATTAACAAACAATCTGTTTAATTAGTTCAAGAAAAGTACGTTTTACAATTGAACAAATTAATACAAAAGCTAATTTATTAAATTAACATTTGAAGAGTAGATAATTGATTAAAAAGTTAACTATGATTAAATTAACATTCTATATCTAGGCAAAATACGGATAATATGATTGAATTGTTTCGCTCCGTCTACAATCAAGAATGAGACAAATATTGAAATGATGATTAAGTGCAACAATTAATTAATCCTCGAGACATCTATTGACCTCGATAAGCACTTGCAGTATCGAGTCCAAGTGTTAAAATGGATCCAAGATTTGCAATTAAGATATAGCGCGAAATACAAACTAGGAAATTCAATTTTTTTCTTTTCTTTCAATTAATCATAATTATCATTGGAACAGTTAAACTGTAATTTTATGCGAAGATTGTGAATCAAAGATACGTTGAAGTGATTCATCAGCAGTTGGTGTGCCATTTTCACAGGTTAAATCATTGAAACATCCTCCTGAAATTTAGGAAACAATTAAAATGATCAAGAGAAGGAGAGATGAAAACAAATGTTAATTAAACACCCGAAGTTTAAACCACAACAAACATTTGAATTGACACAATGACCTTTGTTACCTGGACCACAACGAAGACACTGTTGAAGTAATTGAATGAAAACAATTAAATTAATGAAATTACAATCAAGAACAAAACAATTAACTCACTTCTCTCATATGGTCAATGTCACCATGAGATCTTTTCCCTCCGGGTGGACAATTAGTGATGAAACAAGCTTCATCGAGGTGGAAATTAATGAGGAAAGTTAGTAAAATAAACGAGGCTAACATGATTACTTAATTCAATTGCTCATCTAATTTTTACTTAGACCATATTTATAATACCTACCAATTGTTTCTCCCTTAACTCTATCAACCGGATTTAACTAATCAACAGTTAAACGTTAATCTCTGATCAACAGTATCTTAGACCATAATTAATTCATTCAAACAATCAATCATCTTAATATAATAAATGATAATCTAATCAATGAAAATCCAATAACAATCAACCAAACAGTTTGATAACTCGAAACACTTGATATTCATCAGCATTTAACGTTAATTGTTGATATAAAAACTCACTCACATAAATTAAATGATTTATATCTTTCTTATACCAGTCTAAAAGAATTTAATCGAAAAACATATTAATTAGACGTAATCAACAATCTGAATGTAACAATTGATTAAATTCTACCAGGTATCCAAATTCACTAATCAGAGCCAGGGATTGTTTTACTTAATTGATTAAAACAAACATTTCATTTAGTCTCAAGTCTTACTTGAAAATTAGTTGATTGTGTTACTTTACCTGCTCGACAGTTTTTTTGGGTAAATTGCAGTACCAAAGCAGTTGTTAATTTTGCCTTCAGTTTTACCTTGCTCGTATACTGTAACAAGAATTGATCTCATAGCGTCTTTAACACAATCCTGAATGGATAAAACATATCAATTGATTGAAAAATCAAATTCATATACAGCCATCGACTTTGAGTTTGTAGCCACTTTTAATTTACTCGCGACGATAATGATAATCAATGAGAGATCAAGTTAACCCAAAGATATGATAATAATCAATGTCCTCTCATTCAACTGGTGTTATCTTTTCAAATGGTCATCTGATTAGATTTATTTTTGACTGATTATCAGTAATTGCGTGAGTAAATTAAAAGTGGTTGCAAACTCAAAGTCGATGGCTGTATAGTAACCAATAATCTGAATGCAACAATTAATTCAATTCTCACCTCATAAGTATTAATAATATTATCATCCTTTACTGTTGCAATGTATTTTACAGTTACTTCCAGATCTTCTACATATTTCTTGATTGTTTAAAATGAACGTTTCAGTTAGTCTCGAATCTTGAACAATTAATTAATTGTGTTACTTTACCTGCTCAAATTTTTTTGAAGAGATTCTTATATCAGAACAAAACTCAATTACATCATCATCTGTCCTGAGTGGCAATACATCTTCACATTCGGTCACATTGGTGAAACCACTTTGGCGTAAATAATCCTTTCAGTAATTAAAACAATGATTAGTTAATTGTCAGAATAAGTCGTCGTTAATACCAACCTCACAACCTTTTATAGCTTCCTCAGCAAGTTTTTGACAATCTTCATGAATGTATTTGTGAGTATCGTTTCTACGCATATAAATAATTGATGGAGAAAAGTTGAAAATTACTGAAAACAATACGATTGACTTAATCATGATTATCGCTGTTTAACTAATTGAAACGATTTGATGACAAATGTATTATATTGTATTTTTATATCAAACTAGATTAGTTGCTTGTATCAAAAACTGATTAGAAACTTTTATTTTAAATTAGGGTAATCAAACGTATGATGATAACAAATCATTTGAATAGAATATTGTTACAGAGTTGGAAATTATTCAATTGTAAACACGATCGACATAGAAGTGTAAATGTCAAGTATTAATTTATATCCGAGCGACTCTGAACCAGAATTCACCAAGGATCGTACGTGTCTTAGGCATATTTGCTCAATTGGTGCTAATTGTTTTTGTTGATTTTCTTTGGAACCTCAATGCAAATTGAACATGCAGTTGGGACAAGTCAATTATCTGAATGAAACAACAAAACAGGTTTATGGAATAATTCAAAATGAGTTGTATTGTTGATGATTAGGAATCAAATATTAATATGTACAGAAAATCATTTTCGCTCTCTATCTTTTTTCTCTGATTTCAAAATGTGTGAACGTCAGTTCATTATCACCAATTATCCGGTTTATCATTAGGTTCATTTATTGTCTTCGAACGTCATCGTTTCGATGAAGTAAATAAGTGAAAATAGCGCAAGTAGTACCTTTCGGAACAAGGTAGCCATCTTAATTGAAGGAAATCATTAAAACTTTTTGTGAATCAATCAACTATAGTCACTCACTAATCATTGTGTCCTCAGATAATTCTCGACCGATGAACGGGGCCACTGGGTAGACTCTTTGTACTTCCTTCAGAACGCAATCCAAATACTTCATTTGTTTCAACTGGTTAATTGTAAATCCAGTAAATTGTTCATCTTGATTGTTGTAATCTGATTCTAAAACTGAGTCGATTTCATCTCGAACCTTATCTTGAATATCTTTGTATTACAAACCGAGAATGTAAAGTGTCCAACTAATGGACATCGCAGTTGTATCATGACCCTAACGATTAAAATGAAAGACAATTAGTTATTGAAAATTGGTGACAATTTAAACTAATTTACCGCGAACATGAAAGTGTTTACTTCCTCTCGAACATCTTCAATGGTCATCACATTGTTTTGGAGCTGATGCTCCATGAGAAGGAATAACTCAGAGTAAGAGGTTAAGTTTCCCTGCTGAGTGTTGAGCCTATTCAGTTTTCACCTTTATTTTTGCTTCATCTTTGGTGATTCATTGAAATCCTCTTATGAAAATGTAATCATTTCAGTTATTACAGTCGTTCAAGTTCAATATGAACAATTTAAAGAGACACTGAAACGGCTTTTTTCCAATCAACAATTTACTTGGAAAATTTAATCATGGACCATAATTAATTGTTGACAATCAATTTAGATTCATACAATATCCTAACTTTGTCTTAATCAATTAGCATGAATTAGATTTGAAAACGTAATAGTTAAATTAATCAGTTTACTTTTCAATTGCATTTTATATATTGTTGATTGTTACAATCAGTTAATCTTTTCCAATGTCAATCTGATTAACAGGTAGTGGACAAATTCAATTGTGGCAATTTTTACTTGAACTTTTATCGGACAACAATTCAAATTGTATCGCTTGGGAGGGTAACGATGGAGAGTTCAAATTAACGGATACGGATGAGGTCGCCCGCCGGTGGGGTGAACGGAAGAGTAAACCAAACATGAATTACGATAAATTATCGCTATTTGCGTTCAACCTCCATATCCAGATTTGATTCTACCGATTTATATCGACAATTCTGAAAGGATAAAGATATTAACTAGTAGTAATCGACAATACGAATATAAAAATGAATTTAATTCTCACTAAATAACCATCGATCATATCAGATTCGGTATCCGTAATAATTTGATCGCCACATTTGTGAAACTTGATTGATAAAAAAACGATACTATCTCAATTAGACTTAAGACTTTAAAAATCTACTTGATCATTAGTTAATTGTGTTACTTTACCTTCTCTAATTTTTCTGCGTTTTCTTTAATAGCCAAACAAACCGAAATTCTGTCATCAGTTATACTGAGCAGCATATTATTAATACACTCGGTAAAAGAGTCGTGAACATCGTGGGGTAAAAGATCCTTTCAACAATAAAGATGATGATTACTTAATTGTCACAATTAGTCGTGCTAAATACTAACGTTACATTTATCAAATGCTTGCATGTCGTCTTTAAATCTCAAAGATAAGCAATAATCTTTATCCGATACTTTATGACAATTAATTAAAGAAACTGAGTTGAAAATTAAGATAACGAATACAATTGATTTAATCATGATGATTGTCGTTTTTAAACTGAGTTAAAGATTTGATAACATATGTATTATACTTTTATATCAAACTAGAGGAGTTAATTCAGTTGTATCAAAAACTGATAAAACTTTTCATTTAATCAAATGATTAACAAATTGTAAACAAGATCGACACAGAAGTGTAAATGTCAAGTAGTGTTAACAGAACGCTCCTGAACCAGAATTCACCAAGGATCGTACGTGTCTCAAGCATATTTGCTCAATTGGTGCTAATTGTTTTTGTTAATATCCTTTGGAACCTCAATGCATTTATTATAACATTTATTTTAGAAAAGGGCTATTATCTGAATAACTCAATTCTGAGACCATTACTATATCGAAGTACCATTATCCACTAATTATTAGCTTGTCCCTTTCATCAATTGACCTTACTGAAAAGGATTCAAATACCATCGCTAGAATAGCCTCTCCATCATGCCAAACTCTGAAACCATTTCTAGATCGAAGTATCATTACCACGCTAATTAATTACTAATTCGACTGTTTGTCAACTAACTCTATTTACTGGATTTAACTAATCAAAATTTAAAAGTTTATCTCTGATCATCCGTTTCTTAGATCATAATTTTCATTAAATTTTAATTTTTCATCGAAAAACTTGCTATTGATTTGTGTTATTGATTTTAGTCGGTTAATTGCATTTGATCAAATAGAAATTAAATTACTAGCGGATTTTGATGAAATAACTAAACTAATAGCCAATGGTTGATAAGCTCAAATTGATCCAAATGATATTTAATTTGATTTATCAGGTTCACAATTTAACTCTATTGACCTCGAAAGTAACTTAAAGTATCAGTCCAAATATTAAAATTATGAAAAACTAGAGAATTTAATTTCTTTCCTTTCCAATCAAATTTTGACGTTTAAACCAATTGAAAAGAGAAATACAAATTTGGTGAAATGATAAAATGAATTGTTTAATATGTGGAGTGAAAATTGAGTTCAATCTTTAATTGTTTACCATAAGTTTGATTGAATTTTCTCAAACAAACAAAATTGAAGGAAAGTTTTAATTAACGTGTTAATATTTTATCATAATTATAATTGGAACGATTAAATTTGAATTGTATGTGAAGATTGTGAATCAAAGATACGTTGAATCGATTCATCATTAGTTGGTGTATCATTTTCACAGGTTAAATCATTAAAACATCCGCCTGAAATTTAGGAAACAATTAAAATGATCAAGAGAGAAAGAATAAAATTAACATTCAAAATTACTAATAGTAATTTTAAATTTTAACAATTTACCTGAACTACAACAGATCCCATTGGAAACACAGACTCCTTGACCTGATGAACAGAGTTTACCAGGGACTTTACATGGGATCGGAATGAAATTTTCAGCTCTACATGGATCCGAATAGTGATTGTTGATTAAACACCCGAAGTCAGAACCACAACAAACATTTGAATTGACACAATGACCTTTGTTACCTGGACCACAACGAAGACACTGTTGGAGTAATTGAATGAAAAAAATTAAATTGATAAAATTACAATCAAGAACTAAACAATTAACTCACTTCTCTCATATGGTCAATGTCACCATGAGATCTTTTCCCTCCGGGTGGACAATTAGTGATGAAACAAGCTTCATCGAGGTGGAAATTAACGAGGAAAGTTAATAAAATGAACGAGAACAACATAATTAGTTGATTTACTTAATTCGATTGCTCATCTAACTATTAACGAACCAATATTTATGCTTTCCAAATGTTTCTCACTCAACGCGATCAACCGGATTTAACTAATCAACAGTTAATCTCTGGTCATTATTATCTTAGATCATAATTTATTCAGTCAAACAATCAATCATCATAAATGTTTTTATAATTGTTGCCCTTTGGTTCTTCAATTATTAATAAATCAAATCTAATTGTTGTCTAACTTTACCCTCTATTTAAATCCCTCATCGGAAAAAATTGTTATTATGATTTTAATTGTTGATCCTTAGTTGGTTAATTAAATTTAACCAAAGTACTTACAAACTTTGATGAAATAATTAACTGAATAGTCAATGATTGACCAGACAATTTGATCCAAATGGTATTTTATTTAATTTGATTGATTAAGTTCATAATTTATTAAATATTCTTTTCTGCTCAATCATAATAATAAATGATAATCTAATCAATGAAAATCCAATAACAATCAACCGAACAGTTTGATAACTCAAAACAATTGATATTCATCAGCATTTAACGTTAATTGTTAATCACTCACCAATGATTGCATTCTAATAACAGTCTAGTAGGATAAACGATTTTAATCGATAAACATTAGACGTTAATTAGACGTAATCAACAATCTGAGTGTAACAATTAATTAAGTTCTAACGGAAATTCAAGCTCACGAATTAGAGCCAGGGATTGTTTTACTTAATTGATTAAAACAAACATTTCATTTAGGCCCGTATTCACCAACCGCGCTTAAATCTGATCAGAGATCAAGACTTGATCATAGATGGTGAAACACAAAAGCTGTGATCAGCTGATTTAAACCTAGACTCAAATTTAATTACGGTTGGTGAATACGGGCCTTAGTCTCAAATTTAACTTGAAAATTAGCTGATTGTGTTACTTTACCTGCTCGACATTTTTTTAAGGAGATTCTAATATCAGAACAAACCTTAATTACAACATCATCTGTCCTGAGTGGCAATACATTTTCACACTCGGTCACATGGTGAAACCACTTTGAGGTAGATAATCCTTTCAGCAATTAAGACAATGATTAATTAATTGTCCCAATAAGTCGTCCTTAATACTAACCTCACAATCTTTCATAGCTTCCTCAGTGAGTTCAACGTAACCTGTACTTATAGGGTGTTTCGTACCTTTATACCTTTTACAATTAATTAAAGAAAAAGAGTTAAAAATTAACATGTAATACAATACAATTGATTTGATCATAATGATTGTTGCCGTTTAACTAATCTAGAAGATTAGATTATAAATATATTATATTGTATTTTTATATCAAACTAGATTAGTTGCTTGTAACAAAATGATTCAATCGTAAACAAAATCGACATAGAAGTGTAAATTTCGAGTAGTGTTAACCGAGCGCCTCTGAACCAGAATTCACCAGGATCGTACGTGTCTCAAGCATATTTGCTCAATTGGTGCTAATTGTTTTTGTTAATTTTCTTTGGAACCTTAATGCAAATTTAACATTTATTTTAGACAAGCTGAATTATCTATTACATAGAAGCTGGTTTCAAAATGTGTATAACGATTCTCAGTGAATTCTGGTTCAGAGAATCTCGATTATACTTGAAAGTTACTCATACAGTTATTGAAATTTTTTCTAGTCACTGGTTGATTAGAAAGTGGATTGTATTTACAATTAAGTTGATTGTTGTTACACTTTGAATCAATTGAAGTTGCAAATTTAACATTTATTTTAGACAAGGACAATTTTATGGAATAGTTTAAAATGAGTTGTGTTGTTGATGATTAGGAATGAAACATGTACAGCAAATAATTAAAAGTAGAAATTTAATTTAATTCGATCAATTAAAATCGTCACATGTAATCAGGTTAAACCAGAAATCGTTATTAATGCTCGAGAGAATGAAGAACAATTATCAGCTGACTTCTGAAACTTCAATTGTACAGGACCGTAGTAAAAGGCAAAAAAAGGCAAAAAGGCAAAAAGAAGCAAAAAAGAGCTAAAAGACAAAAACACTTTTTAAATTCAATTCTTTTTACTTATATTTAATTTTTACGATTTGAAGATGAACTCAGGTCAGTATATGTGGTCAAATTATCGATAAAAAATTAGATTTTTAGTTGAAATTGAATAAAAAAGTATTCGTAAATTGATGTTCAAACTTCGCGCATCAAAAATCAGAAAAATTGAATTATTTTGAGATTTTGGTTATTATTGTTTCGTTTAAGTGTTATTATTGTCAATATTTCGTCAAAAATTCAGAATAAAATGTCCTGAGGCTCTTCCACTTCAATTCTACTTGACGGTGGAGAATTTTGGCCCTTTTTTGCTCTTTTTTGCCTCTTTTCGTCTTTTTGTCTTTTACCACGGTCCAATTATACAATCTGCAAAGTCTCTCTTTCCATCATAATCAGGCTCATTTTATTCTCATTTGAAGATCTTCCAGCGATGGTTCATCATGGTTGTAGTTATTGTAGTTTTCCTGATTCTCACTTAATTCAGTATTTTTTCTAACACAATAAAAAGGTTGAAATGTAAACTATGATCGACTTAATCATGCGCTGCTAATCATTTAATCTCTTGTGCATAACTGTTTTTGGTGAGGTGTTTTTCAATCAGTCTTTAAATATCATGATCTGAGGTGTTTGAGTTCTGACTGAAGAACTCGATTTTCTCGAAAACTACTAATCAGATCAGAAAGAAATATATATATTTGGACTTGTCATTAGTTGACCTACAAATACACAAAGTCTCAACTCTTAATTAAAAAGTCCAATTTTTACACATCGTCCTCAATTTCTCTTCTCTTTTCCCATTGAAAAAAAGTAATCAGCGCCTCTGATCCAAATGTTTTAACTACAACTCCAACAACATTAACTGATCTCTCTTTCTCCTTACTCTTTGGAATTGTGTTTACAATCTATCTACTATATTGATTAAGATAAGCTCAAATTTTGGGTAAAGATTGTGCTCAAGATAAAAGAATTCTATGAGGTGATGAGGTACCGAAAAATAGAGATGAAAATACTACAGTAGCGAAAATAGTACGAAAAAAATCTGAGTAGCCGTTCATGAGAAATTCTGACTCAAAGAATTTTATGTGCGCATGCGCAGATAAGATTTTTTACAGCGCGCATTTCAAAAAGAAAGAGAAAGAGACGAGAAAGAAAGAGACGAGAAAGAAAAAGGCGAGAGAAAAAGAAATTTAGTTTTGCATTCTTCGATTGAAAACGTCTTGTTGTTGATTGTTATTACACTTTGAACCAATTGGAGTTTTATCAAAGTCTTTTGCAAGCTTTCTCCGAGACAACACAATTCTGAGCACCATTTCTCTGTTAATTATTAATAATTACTACTTCGTCTCTTTTTCATTTAACTCTATCAACTGGATTTAACGAATTAAAAGTTCATCTGTTATGATCATTAGTATCTTAGATCATAATTTCCATTCAATTGAAATTTTTCATAGAAAAAAACTGCTATTGATTTTTATCATTGGTTGTTAGTTGGTTAACTGCATTTAATCAAATGGAAATTAAATTACTTACGGACTTTGATGAAATAATTAAACTAATAACCAATAATTGATAAGAAAATTTGATCCAAATGATATTTAATTTGATTGATTGGGCTCATAATTTATTAAATACAGTTGTGATGAATTTCGAATGGTTTTTAATCATTCGCGCAACTTAGCTACTAAAATCAATTGATAAACTTTATCATCAGTGATAAGACTTACTTGTTAGATGATTTACTCATTACCCAACGTGGCCAATGGCTCTACCCAATCTTGATGTTCTATGATGTTTCTCAGGCAATACTAAAAGAATAAAGATATTAATTAATTAAAGAAATAGTAAGCAAAAATCTAACAATAAATTGAATTCTTACTTTAGCCTCAGTATTAATCTCTTCATATACATATTCATCATCTGCTCTTTCCATGATAGTTTGCAAAAGACATTTTTGGTACTTGATTATTTAAAGAATCATTTCAATTAGTCAATAAATAAACTTGAAAGATTTACTTGAAAATTAGTTAATTGTTGTACTTTACCTGCTCGAATTTTTTTTCGTAGGCTCCAATATCAGAACAAACTTTAATTACTTCGTCATTTGTATTGAATGGCAATAGATTTTCACAATGCTTCAAAGTGTTGTAAACATATTGGGGTAAATTGTCCTTCTAACAATTAAGACGATGATTAGTTAGTTGTCACAATTAGTTTTGATTAATACTAACCTCACAAGCTTTAATTTCTTTTATCGTTTTTTCATAAGTCCCAGCAGCTACTAATTCTTTCGCAAATTCACAATAAATTATGCCCTCACAATTGGTTAAAGAAACTAAGTTGAAAATTAAGATAACGAATACAATTGATTTAATCATGATGATTGTCGTTTTAACTGATTTAGAAGAATAACTAACGAAAGTATTTACTAAACTAGATTAGTTAAGTGTAAGAAAAACTTTAATTTTAAATTTAATTTCGTTTAATCAACTATCAACCATATTAACATAAAGCTAATTAATCATTTGAATTAATTATATTTATCACCTTTTATTGTTTTTCTTTGAAACCTCAATGCAAATTTAACATTTATTTTAGACAAGCTGAATTGTCTAGAATGAAATAACAAAACAGTTAAATGGAATAATTTCAAATGAATTGTATTGTTAATGATTAGGAATAACGTATGGAGAATAAAATGAGAACGATGCCAGCTAGTGAGTTAAAATACGTACAGCAAACCGATGAAAAGTAAAAGTTAAGTGAAAAATTTAACATTTAATCAATGGCAAATGATCTTCGATAGAATGATTGTCCGTCATAAAAGTCTTTTTACAGTTTTTGTTGATTTGAATAGATCTCAGACCATTTCGAGATCGAGGTTTTAGACGGAAACTTTGAACTGATTTTGTGGCCAAACTATTACAATTAGAAAAAATTCAATAGTATTATTTGAGAGGCAATATTATGATCTTTAGCAATGTCTACTTATTGAATCTCAAATCTTTTGGTTGCAGCTGCTCGAACGGAAATAGACCTTAAAAAGTGACCTATTCGTTTATTGCAGAAAACGGAAAGTTGAAACGCGAAAACGTCGATATATACTATAGTATTTAAATTTTCTACAATCTATCGAGATAAGAAGGTTACCTATTGAACTGCATTTTCGAGATATTCCAAGAAAACTATTAACGGAACTGGAAAAGGCCTTTTACAGCCTATTGACAAAAGATAGAAGAGATATTTTCAATGATCATGGTCTTAAGAATCCTGCAAAATGTATTCCGGTGAAAAAATGAACAAAAATAACCTTCGTTTTTGACACACTTTTTGAAGCTCGAAAAGTTGGTGAAAACAGAGATTGTTGTGATTCTTGTTGACTTTTTTGACTGGGATTACATCGTGCCAGCTTTAAAAGATCATGTACACTAAAAACTTTGCTTCTATCTTTTGTCATTCTCTCTCTCTCTCTCTCTCTCTCTCTCTCTCTCGAGCGATGGTTAATCATCACCTATTATCAGGTTTATCATGCGGCTCATTTATTGTCTTCGGAGGTTTATCAAGTTCACCGTCTTTGTACAATTAACTAAAAGCTGCTCTTGAACGATTCTCTGTGAGTTCTGGTTCAGAGACTCTCGGTTATATGAACAGTTACATTGAATTGATTTAATCAATCACACAAATTTGTAGTTGACTGTATTGGTTGATAGTTGGTTAATTGCATTTAATCAACTGAAAATTAAATTACTTACGGACTTTGATTAAATAATTAAAATAATTGGTAAGACAATTTGGTCCAAATGATATTCAATTTGATTGATTGGGCTCATAATTTATTGTATTATATTTGTTTCTGCTTAACCATAATAACAATTAATGATAATCAAATCAATGAAAATCCATCAACAATCAACCAAACAAATTTGTAACTTTAAACTTTTTAGAATTTTTGTTAATTGTTGATATTTAAATCCAATCTTTAATCATTATTTGGTTAATCCTTAATTTTTGAAAATACTCCAGACATACAAAACTAAAGAGATAAAGACATTAATTAATTAATAGTAACTAACAATCAGAATGTAACAATTAATTCAATTCTCACCCAATACATATTGTAATTCCAAATGATATTCAATTTGATTGATTTGGTTCATAATTGGTCTGACAATTTGATCCAAATGATATTCAATTTGATTGATTGGGCTCATAATTTATTGTATATTTGTTTCTGCTTAACCATAATAATAACAATTAATGATAATCTAATCAATGAAAATCCATCAACAATCAACCAAACAAATTTGTAACTTTAAACTTTTAGAATTTTTGTTAATTGTTGATATTTAAATCCAATCTTTAATCATTATTTGGTTAATCCTTAATTTTTGAAAATACTCCAGACATACAAAACTAAAGAGATAAAGACATTAATTAATTAATAGTAACTAACAATCAGAATGTAACAATTAATTCAATTCTCACCCAATACATATTGTAATTATCCTTATCAATTTGATGGTAACATTTTAGAGTCTTGATTGATAAACGATAACATTTCAATTAGTCTTTAACTAAACATTCACTCGACAATTAGTTAATCGTTGTACTTTACCTGCTCGAACTTTTTTGCGTAGATTCCAATATCAGAACAAACTTTAATTACTTCGGCATTTGTACTGAGTGGTAATAGATTTTCACATTGGGTCAAAGTGTTGTAAACATATTGGGGTAAATTGTTCTTCTAACAATTAAGACGATGATTAGTTAATTGTCAAAATTAGTCGTGATTTATACAAACCTTACAAACTGTTATATCTTCAATGAATTTACCATAAGTCCCATTAGTTACTAAGTCCATCATAATTGCACAAACGTTACTCAAAGCGGGCAATTTTTCATCACAATTAATTAAAGAAAATGAATTAACAATTAAGATAACGAACATAATTGATTTAATCATGATGATTGTAGCTTATAAACTGATTTAAAAGAGTAACGGATAAATGTATTTATAAAACCAGATTAGTTAATTTAGTTGTAACAGCAACTGATTAAATAAAAACTCATATTTAATTTTTTTGTGATCAACTATTAATTATATTGAGTTTGAACATAATTAATTATTTGAATTGATTATTGTTATCAGGGCTGGAAATAATTTAATTGTAAACAAGATTGACATTTACATTGAGTTGATTTAATCAATCATACAACTTTGATGACATTTAATTTACTGATTGTTGACAAAAGTGTTGATTATTAATGATGATTTAAAAATTCAAGAGGTAATTAGTTTAGTGATTGGTACATTAATTTTGAACAATTTAATTATTTGAACTTAGATATTTCTAGTCACTGGTTGATTAGAAAGTGAATTGTGTTTACAATTAAGTTGATTGTTATTACACTTTGAACCAATTGAAGTTTCATCAAAGTCTTTTCCAAGTTTTCTTCGAGACAGAACAATTCTAAGACCATTTCGAGATCGAAGTACCATTTCCCCGCTAATTACTAGCTTGTCCCGCTCATCAACTGACCTTACCGAAAACGATCTAAGCACCATCGCTAGAATGGCCTTTTCCTCCATCACGGCAAACTTTTGACCAATACAATTTCGAGGTCCAGCAGAAAAGGGTATATAAGAGTAGGGATGTCGACCTGAGCAGTTTTCAGGGAGAAATCGATCAGGATCGAAATGTTCAGGGTTTGGGAAAGTTTCCTCATTTCGATGAAGCAAATAAGTGAAAATAGCGCAAGTAGTACCTTTCGGAACGAGGTAGCCATCTTAATTGAATGAAATCAAAATAAATCATTAATATTTTCCGAAAATAAATCAACTATAGTCACTCACTAATCATTGTGTCCTCAGATAATTCTCGACCGATGAACGGGGCCACTGGGTAGACTCTTTGTACCTCCTTCAGAACGCAATCTAAATACTTCATTTGTTTCAACTGGTTAATTGTAAATCCAGTAAATTGTTCATCTTGATTGTTGTAATCTGATTCTAAAACTGAGTCGATTTCATCTCGAACCTTATCTTGAATATCTTTGTACAAACCGAGAATGTAAAGCGTCCAACTAATGGACATCGCAGTTGTATCATGACCCTAACGAATATAAAATAAAATGAAAGACAATTAGTTATTGAAAATTGGTGACGATTTAAACTAAATTTACCGCGAACATGAAAGTGTCCACTTCTTCTCGAACATCTTCAATGGTCATCACGTGGTTTTGGAGATGATGCTCCATGAGAAGGTCAAGAAAGGCCATTCGTTTAGCTCCATATTCATTGGTTGGTTTTTCGCTTGTCTGGTCATCGCAGGTCAGCTGATTAGTTGGTGATGATTTTGATCGCTGACCATTTTTGGAATGTGACTCTATCCATTCAGCTTTACGTTGTTTAATTACTTTCATGGTAAATGTTTTCATTACATTTAACGCTCTCTTATACCGTTGACCATGTGACGAAAGAGCGAATGACCAGTCAGGCCATAACCAAGGTCGACTGATTCGGATAAGAAACAACTCACTGACCTGATGGAGACATGAGACATATTCTGATTCTTTAGTTTGACAATGGACTTTGATTCCCATCGCAGTTTCACAAATAACATCGAGCGTGGTTAAAGTTATATAGTCCAGAATATCGATGACCTTTGACTCTCCTGATTGATTGTCGGTTAATTGGTTCAACTTATTGATCAGAACTTCAGCATTTTCATTGATTATCGGCAAGAAATCGTTTAGGATACGAAAATGAAATGCTGGGGTCAATAATTTTCGTCGTTGTTTCCATTTGTTGCCCTTCGAAGTGACCAAACCAAGACCTAACCAAGGCTTTAGAAAATCATATTCTGCAGCTTTATCGGTCAGTGTGTTACTGGACAATACAACCTGCATAAGAAAAATCAGATTGTTTAACGTTAATTGTTATCAAAATGTTCAAAATTAAATATAAAATTACCTCAACTGCCTCGGGGGTGAAGAGAAACACGAACGGCCGAGTCCCAAGCCACATACTGACGATCCGCTCTTTCCCATAGATCAATGAAGTTGAGGTCAGCATTTGATAGATCACTGGTCAATAGGAAGATAAATATTCAGCAATCAAGTTAATTGTTATTAAATGATAACAATCAATGAGAAAGGAAAACAACATTTCACCATTAGGTTTTATTTTCAGATAATATTAATCATGTTAATCCCTCAACAATTAATCATTACCATCAGCAGGTTATTACCAATCATTAATTGTTGATGATCAATGTCAATGGTGATTAACAAATAATGATAACAATTAAATGTTATATGAAATGTTTACCTTGTTGGCCTAATTGTGAATTTTCAACTTAATTGTTGTATGATGGGTCAATTGAAAAAAAAACAATTTGGGACAAATGATGAAGATCAAATCAATTGACAATATATTCATCATAATTGAATCAACAATCTCAAGGATTTACAGGTAAGGTTATTACCAATCATTAATTGTTGATGATCAATGTCAATGGTGATTAACAAATAATGATAACAATTAAATGTTATATGAAATGTTTACCTTGTTGGCCTAATTGTGAATTTTCAACTTAATTGTTGTATGATGGGTCAATTGAAAAAAAAACAATTTGGGACAAATGATGAAGATCAAATCAATTGACAATATATTCATCATAATTGAATCAACAATCTCAAGGATTTACAGGTAAGGTAAATACACTTTAGTGTGTTAATTGTTGGAAGTAAAAAAACTAATTGTAATTTAAAGTGTAAAAATTAAGGCCTGATCATATTTCCTGTTTCCAACTGTGAGGTGTTGGTGTTTTAAAGCCAAACCCAATGAGGAATCAAATTGTTGAAAAAATCAGAGGGAATCTGATTAACAATCAGTGAGAGATTGGAAATTTATTTTAACAATTAGTTGTAATAATTAGAGGCAATTGGTGACAATTAAGGGAATCAAAATATTTGAGCACAATAATATAACCACAGAGACTTTGTTTCTTCATTTAACTTGGCAATCAACTAATTCAGTTGTGATTTACTCAAGTTAATTGTTGCTAAATCCCACTCACTTTAGTTTAATTGCTTCTGATCAGTTTTTTTTAACTCTATGGTGATTTATTAATCACATTTTCACTTTCAACAGCAACAATCAAAATTGATTTGATTTTTCAGCTTATTGTTTGGAGTTTTTTTTGAATGAAAATTTTTGTTTGGCAATTAACACATTTTGCTATTCTTATTAATTGAATTAAGTGTTAACTACGGTGATTAGTAATTTAATGATTGTGTTAATCATCAAACCGTGAACTATTTGATAATAAGATTGATTAAATTGTTCAAACTGGTGAATGGTCAAGAGAGTGGTCAATATTTTCCGGTTTAATTGTTATCCCTTTGATTGGAAATTTTTTTCAATTTCAGTTTTTCTTTGACAAATTTACAATTGAATTAAATCAATGTCCAAATGATTAAAGTAAACAGTATTAATTGTAACCTTAAAAATTAACATGAATGTTGAAGGTAGAGACAATTAGCAAATAATTAAGTGGTAACTCTTAACTAGTATCTCAAGACAATTGATTCAACAATCAAAACCTTTCAAAGTGAAAGTTTAAATCACTTGTTGCTCTTAATTGTTGCCTGATTGTTGTTGATGAGTCTAAATAATATTGGGCAAATCAATTTTGATTGACAGTTCCTGATGATTGTTAAATCATGATTAACTAATTGAACTGATTTACAATTCTAATCATTCACCTTTAACTGACTTCCTATAACTTTGATAATCAAATTTATTAACAATCAACTCAGGGTTAATTAAGATTGACAATTAAGTTACAAAAAATTTCATTTCTTCACCAAATTTAACATGAAATTTATACAATAAACTTTTTCATGATCATAATTAAGAACTTTGAACTTTTTTTCTTTGGCAATTCAATAAGTAAATCACAGTGATTGCAAACAGAAAATAATTAATTGCAATTAGCAATGATGCGAGTGAACAATTAGTCGGTGGGAAGTTAATTGTTAGAATGTGAAACAATTACTTACGACAATAAGTTCCATAGGGAAATTGAACTCGATCCAATTCGAGGACAATCTTTGCATGTCCAAGGAGCCAATGACAGGGTGGACCTGGAATTTTGGACATTAGGTGAGTTATACGTTTCCATTGGATGAGTCGACGAATCACAATATAAATTAATCCGAGAGCAATTAAAGTTAATTGTAGTTGGAGCCATGAGAATTTAAAAAAATCAAAGTGAAAGTAAGTTAACATGTTGAACGATGTGAATTGAATTGAGATGGAGAATTAGAAAAAATAATTCGAATCAAAATTTTAGACAAAATGATGATGACGGAAGAGAGAGAGAGAGAGAGAGAGAGAGAGAGAGAGAGAGAGAAGGAGGAAGATGGAAAAGAAAGAGAGAAAGTGAAATTGAAAGTGAGAGATGAAGATGAAGATGAAAAGCCTATTGTCTTCAATGGGGAAAGAGAGAGAAAGAAAGAGAGAAAGAAAGAAATAGAGAGAGAGAGAGAGACTTTCTCTTTCTCTTTCTTCATCTTCATCTTCATCTTCACCTTAATCAGATGATGAAGATAAGGATGATGAGGAAGATCAAGTCCGAACTTGATTTCATCTTCTACGATTTCCTCTCATTGGAATTGTTTAGTTGACCTAATTCAACAATTAACTTAATTGTTTACTCTGTAATCTTAATCATCGTCTTCACAATTATCACATCAATATGTTAACAATTTCACAAACGATTGTCTTTTCAAGTCGACAATTAAATTGACCTAAATTGTTGATCATCAATTGACCAAAAAAAATTAATTACCCAACTGGTGGGACGATGATGATAATTTAATTAATCATAAAGATTTATTTTCATAATTTATCAATACAATGTAGAGATTTAACAATCAAGACTGTAATCAAACAGTCAATTCTAATTAATTAACTTCTTAATTCAATTAGACCAAATTTTGGTAAATTTTCGTTATAAAATCATTACCCTTAATTGTTTGATAAACTTTAAATTGTATTAATTATTTGATTATATTGATTAACTTCCGGCTATTTGTCAGTTGATTAATTGTTATTTGATTTTTGATTAGTATCGTTAATATTTGGTTACCATTTTTGATCAACCATTCAATTTATTTAATCCAATTGATTTTGACGGAAACATCAACAATTAACTTTAACAATTTAATATGTGTAACTTTGCACACAATTATCATCACCATTAAGTAACAATTTACTGATTACTATTATTTAACCCTTTCCAAATAACAATTACAATCAAAAATGACCAATGCGATTTTCAAAGTTAACAATTTAAACTACGAGACAATTGATTTCAATTTAATAATTATCTTAATCACTTTTAGTTAACAATCAATAAATTGATCAATCCAAGGACAATGATTGTTAACAATCAATAGATACAATTAGTTGGATCAATCAAAAAATATTGAATGTTAATTGTTTCATATCCTAAGGATCTCAAAGGATGTTAATCATTTGGATTAATTTAATTGTTCCCAGTTGAGTTCTAATCACAATCTAATCATTAACTTGACAAAATGATTAATTTTTTTCCGCGAAATTTGAAAAATCAATTGGAAACTTTTCTAATAATTTAAACTTTTGCCCTCAAGGTATTTACACATAAAGTTATCAATCTATAAAAAGTAAACTGGACAATTGATTTGATTTATTGAATTTATCATTTATTAATTATGATGATCATTTTGAGGAAGACATTTGTCATCATTGAACAATTAATTGTATCCCCAAAAGATAATCTGGTAATTGATTAACTTTTTTACGGTCAATTTATGTAACAAAAAACAACAGGGAAGCTGAAAGGTGAATTAAAAATAAATCAAATTAAAGAAAAACAATTATGATTAGAGGGAAGATAAAGTTAATTGTTATAGAAAATAATCTCCAAGATAAATTGTCACAGGATAATTAAAATTGGATAATATTGATTAGCAGAAATTTACGAAAAAAAACTGGCTGATCAAAGGAAAGCTCATTGTGATTCCATCGATATTTAGTGGAAATTAGTTGATTGTTTCACAGTTTAATTGTTGGATCCTTTTTTCTAGCTAAGTGTTTATTGTGCCTTCGGGTCAAACCTATTAAACTGACCATTCGGGGCTCAAAGTGTTCCCATGACTGAGTTACCATGGCTTGAATAGTGTTCCTTTAGATTTCCCGTTCGTTTGATTCGAGATTCAATTATTTTGGACGGAGCGGTTTTCAGATCATAGGCTTGACCAATGGCCGCCATTGTATTGATGAAACACGTGGTGAGATTCCATCTCCATCCAAGTTCAGAGGTTGAATAATCCCAGGGGAAAGTGTGATGATAGTTATGAAAACCTTCACCAAGAGCACCAAGAATAACGTATTTATTTTCACGAGCACCAATCGATTGATCGTAAGGTCGATTGCCCCACAAGTGAGCAGCCGAATTGACCAAATGAGAGTTAAAAATGAATTTCAGACAGCCAGAGAATCGCTAATGGTAAGAAGAAATTTTTCTGAATTCGAACCACCGGATCTTCCAAAAGGTCACTACAATCAACCGATCGACCCTTGTTCACCACATCGGGGTGTTTTTTAACGCACAACCAGCCCATATGAGCGAAAAAGAATCCTCGATTAGCGTTATGTGGATCGGCATCGGTCTCACTGTACATATGGTGAACTCGATGGTCTCGACACCATTCATAGATTGCATTCTAATAATAATGAGAACAAAAAAGTTAATTATTATCAGTATACAATAGTCAACAAGTAAATTTACTTAATCAATTGATGGTTAATCAAATAACCTAAAAATAATCAACTCTTCCTGATTGATTTTCTTGATTGTAATCATTATTTGTGTGCTGTACAAATTTCATAATGATAATATGATTACATTTTATATGCTAAGTTAATTCATGTAGGATAACAATTTACTGATTATCGTTAATCAACTATTATTATTATTATTATTATTATTATTGTGATTACCAATAATATTCATGATTCAAGAGACAACTGAATCAGACAAATCGTCAACAATCAACAATTCAAAGTGAAATTAAACAAAAAAAAAGATGATAGTTAATAAATTCTGTCTCCTTATTAATAGTAGTTATCTGAAGGAAAGTAAATATTTGAAAAAAATTGATTAATCATTTTGTTGGTTTGTTGATCATGACGATGATTACAATTGATTGCAATCAACTTACCTGACCGCAAGTTGTTTGTAAGATTGCAAGAAAGATTCTCAATGGTAACTTAGCCTTGTAGGCTCGATGGGACCAGAGGCGGTGGGCACCCGCTGTAACACCGAGACCTCCGAAAGAACCGATTACAAAAGCTACACAACCATGAGGGTGGGAAATGGAGGTGGAAGGAAAATGAAAAAGAATAGAAAATATTAATAATAAGACAGAATAAGATGTAATTGGGGAAAAAAGGTCATTCGAAAGGAAGAGAACAGGTTATCTTCAATGAAGATGAAGATGAAGATGATATGTTATCAAGAGAAAACTTCTTTTTTTCGCTTCAATATATTGGGTACGATCGATAAGAGTTCTTTGTTCGTAGTGTGAGAGTCGATCAAGAGAGTTGAACTTTTCCATTCGCAATTACATGTTACCCCATCGACGGATTAGATCAACCTAATTAATCCAGTATAGTGAACGGCTCTTCAAGTGTAACTAATTCTAAGTTCCAACAAGCAAGACTTTAACCGAATCCTTTCCCTTTCCGGCGATTTTAATTTGGAATCAGCTCCTAAAAAAATCTTCCATCAACAATTTCCCTTTGGAGAGTCAATATCGTTTTCTTCAATTCGATTGGAACTTTTTTCCCCAACTAATACTCGATCTTTAATTGTTGGACTTTTAATTGTTAATCAAGTGAACTATCACTTTGTAATCATGGGAAATTAATCAATTGTTGTCCGATTGTTACACAGTTGTTAACATTTTATTCTGATTTTAATTGTTAGTCTTTTTTTCAATTGAAACGTTCATATCTGTCAATCAGTTTGTGGGTAACAATTAAAACAATTAATTATCAATTCATATTCATCAATTGTTAATTTTTTTTTCTTCATCTCTATTTGATATTATGATTAACATGGAAAGAATCAAAATAACAAATTAATTAATTGTTGTTCACTTTTAATCATTAACTCAATGTAATATTATGATGAACACCAATAGAGATTAAATTTAGTTAATCATTAATTTAACTTAATGATAACTTTTAATTGATTATCATTAAATTAAAACGGATATCACAAGTTATTAAGTTGTGTTAACGTTAATTAACAACAATTAATTAAACATCAGCAATGAAATTTGATAATAATTATCTTAGTGTTTACAAACAAGTAACAATCATAAAATCAATTAATTTGATAGTAATTACATTGTTTTAATTGTGAGCATAGGGTATTAATTGTCAACAATTAGTAAATTGTACTCACCATAAGCCATAGTTAACCAAGGTGGATTAGTGAACAATTTAATTGCTCCATAGATTAGAGATGAATGAAGTAAAATAAATGCAATTACATTTTTCCAGACAATGGTAATTGTTTCCACTGATTGTGACTCCTTAATTGTTTCCATAGAACAACAATTAACTGATGATTGATTGGAAAATGAAGGTGATGATAAAGATGATGATGAAGATGACGATGATTCCTTAATTAACCGGACCGAGGGTAATTTACGTTCGGTTAAATTTTCCTTAATTATTTCACGAATTCTGTCAACCTCATTCTTGGAATAGGTTTGGGTGATTGAGGTGACGGCAACCATGTTGATTGTAGATGAGATCACCAACAATTAACCTTTGAGAAATTAAATCCTTTGGAAAAGAAGACACCTCCACGGATAAAATGTATTTGTGTGCCAATAGATTTCAATAGATGAGGTCGTGGTGACGATCAGGATGAAGATAAAGATGAAGATGATGATGAAGATGAAGTGGGAATCAACTGATTGTATTGGGAAGAGGTTGATTGGATCTATTATTATTTCTCGAATGGTATAAAGTAGTAACTTGATTTCCAATTGATTTTTACCTTCTTTTCAATCCGGTATTGTACAGGTACTTTTAAGGCGTTGTCATCATCCTCATCTTCTTCATCATCTCCATGCCCATCATCATTTTTATCCTCATCATCATCTTCATCTTCATCTTCATTAACTTTGCTTGCATCTAATTCCTTTGTCCGTTTCTCAGTTCTCACCATTGATGGTCACTGGTCACTACGAGTTCCACTACGTTTCCGATTGTTGTTATTTTCTTCATGGTGATTACAGATTCAGAGGATAATCAAACCAGAACTTTTTCAGAATCTTCTTTCTTTCATCCTTATCATCCTTGTCATCTTTTTCTCTCTCTTTTTCACTTTCTTTTGGAGCGGTTTTTGTCTTGAACAAACAGTAACTACTATTGATATTATCATGTTAGGCATTTAGTGTGTTTGATTTTGCTACCTGACGAATTACAAATTGATTATGAATTAACTTAATTGCTAATCAATCCTGTTAATTGTAAATAATTTACTCCTTTCGCACTTTTTTTTTCTCTAGGCAATTAACTTTTAACACTCAATCGAAGTGGACATTTACGGGAATCAGTACAAGGACAATTAATTCAGTTACAACAATCAATTTAACAAGGTAGGAAATAAGAAAAAAAAACCTAAATCATTATCGTAATCAACACAATCTAGAGATAATCAATATTGATTTAACAAGCAATCAATTATTAATTATTTAACCTTGTTAAATTGTTTAACTAAATTGGTCGCGACTCACCAATGGTTAAACTAAATTAACTGAATTCACGTCAACAATTAATGGTTTGAGTTTAGATTCATCAAATTTCATTGTTGTTACGCGATTCTAATAGTAATTAAATTAACTTGGAGTAAAATCAAAATAATTAACATTATTTGAGACCAACAATCAACTGATTGTGATGATGAAGCTTCAAAAAGTTTACATGTGAGTTGATTTGTTTAATCATTGAATTGAAATGTTAATTGTTGACAGTGAATATTTTAAGTCCAACAATTAGATTAACTTTTTCTGATACTTTTTTTAATTGTTTCTATCACCCAATTAATTTGGTTATGCTGATTGTGATTGATTTATTATATTACTTTGACAATTAAAGTTTCAACTGTATTGAAAATTGTGATTTACAATAAGATGAGTACAATTAGTTAATCATGAGTCTCCCAATTGAACTAAATTTCAATTGTTGAACATTTTTATAGCTTAATTTAGTAACATGTTATTGATTGTGGTCTGATTGTTGTTACAATTGTTGATTGGCCAGAAAGGTGATCAATTGATTTAATTAGATTTAACAATTCATCTCAATATTCAGAGCAAATTAAGTGTTAACTAAATCAGTTGAATGAAAATTTATCTAATATTTTCACAATTTAAATTAATCATTTTTAATGATTAAATTGTGGTGAAAATTGAAATTTACTTTCAGTTTTACTTTCCACTTTTAACAATCGTAGTGATTAACTAAATTGTTACAATTTACGATCGACCACAATAACAAGTTAATCATTTAGAAATTACTTTTCCTTGTCTCATCTAATCACAATTAATTAAAGTTAATCATTGAAATAATCAAAAGTATTAGTTTTAACCTTGGCAATAATTGACCAATTACCAACCAATCAACTGATCACAATTAATTAGCAATAATTGGCACAATTAACTCGGACAATCAAAATCTCTGAGAAAGTTTCGACCCTGTTATTGGAAATTAACAATTCCTATGAACAATTAAAGTTAATTGTAATTACAGGTAACGAAATTTACAATGATTGGGTCCATAATAATGAACGAAAGATAATTGAATGAAACAATTAACAACAATTAAAGTTGATTCGAATTCGAGAAAAAAAACTTTTCTAGTCTAATCAGCATTTTCTTTTCTAAAATCATCTTCATCTTCTTATCTTCCATCATCATCTTTCGCAACATCCTCTTTCTCATCCTCATCATCTTCTCATCTTCTTACAAAGAGGAAAAAAGAAAGAGAAACAAATATTTCTCTTTCTTTTCTAAAAAATTTTCTCTTTGTTATTCTCATCATCCTAATCCATCAAAAAGTTATCCTCATCTTTTTCGGCCTCATCATCCTCATCCTCATCTTCATCATCATCTTAATAGACATTGTTTCAACTCATCATCTACGTAATTATCATCTCATCATCACCATCAACAACATAATCAAACTCAGAATTAATTAATTGATAAAAAAAAACAAAAACAATTTCCCAACTGATTGTTAGTTGTTGATTAGATTTCATTACTTACTAAAAAGTAACAATTAAAATAAGATTAAAAATAAATCATTGATTAGATTTACTATTGAAATCAATTGGTTGATCAATAGAAATCTAATTAATCACAATTAATAAATTATAATCAAACTATAAGATACTTGAGATGAAAGTGGTTTAGACAAAAAAGTCGCAATTATAATTAGCTCTTCATCATCTTCATCTTCTTGTCTTCATAATCATCATCCCACTCTGGTAATTGGTAATAAATTACATGGGAAAAGAGACAAGGGGATGAGGGAAGATGATGAGGATGATGAGGATGACGAGAGAGCAGTGGAGAGTGGGAATGTCTGTCTCGAGGAAACGATTTGGTTAAATGTTTTTTTTCTCGCAAATTTTGTCCACCAATCAGTTAATTGTTTGTGATTTAAATTGTTTATTTAGAAATGAATTGAGTCTTGTAATTTGTTTTGTTAATGTTTACAATTTAATTTACAAAATTTTTATCAAAAAGTTGAGTTTCTTATTGTTCAAGTTGATTTATCATCCAGAATTATTGATTAACTATTTCAATTGTATTTATTTATTGATAGTAATTAATGTTATCACTAATTGTTAACATTATCATGATTGTTGGTGGTGGTGATGTGATTGATATTATTGTTGTTAATTGTAATTATTAACTGTCTTTATCTTATTTTATGTTAGGACACAGTTTGTTGATTAACAATGAAAATAAAATGGTTGTGATAGTTTTTTTTGGTTTAAATCAACATGACAATTAGTTGATAATTCAGTATGATTTAAGAAGATGAATGATGGTCATGATGTAAGAAAAATTTACAATTAAACTTTCTCTGTTATAATTTAAGGCAAACCAGAGAGAGAGAGAGAGAGAGAGAGAGAGAGAGAGAGAGAGAGATATGAAAATGAGTGGTGAAACTAAATGCATGAGAGTTGCGGGATTAATTTACAATTTACAAATTACTAGAGTAAAAAAATGTCTTTTCACAATTTAAACTGTCGTTTGTTGTTGTTTTTTGGCTTTAAAATGATTCATCAAACGGTCGTTTCACTTCCCGGGTGATAGCAGCGTCTTCGACCGTCAATCGTTACGAGTGATGATGATGTTACCGGGAGAATGTGAATATTATTATGTTGAGGAATAATTTGTATTGATGGTTGGGAAGATTTTTGCCAATCCGCTCTAATGACACATGGAAAATTGGGTTCCGACATCCAGATCCAAATTCCGGTCATAATACCGGCTAAAAAAGACATGAAAATTTTAAGTGACATTATCTCCACATTGGGTAGATCATTTGTCGAAACGGAGTACCAATCATTTTTATTAAGATACTCATAAAAGGAAACAAATAGTAGGTACGATGAGATGGCAAAATAGATTATTTGAAAAAGAAAGAGACGAATTAGAGCAATACCCAATTCCTCTGTTAATCTTGGTTGACTGGTCCAAACAATTTGCGATTGGATTAGTGGAGGATGAGAATTTTGAGAAGATAAATTGTTGTAGCTGATTTTCTCAGATGATGATTGATAACTTCTATGATGATGAGCCTGAGATGTATGGACTTGATTCATCGTTCGACCTTTAAAATAACCTCTAATGGTCAAAATGAAGATCACTGACCCAATCAACAGAATCGTTGCCATTGGTATGATGATAAAATATAACAGAGATTGAGGATTGTTACTGCCAACATTACAATTGCCAGTTAATTCATCAGCTCCTATATCACCAATCATGAAAATTAAAATTGTGCTAAGAGTTGGAATGCCCCAGGCTAAAGAGTGATAGTAGTTAGAATGATCGCTCAATTTAGATGATGACCATTGTTTGGCCACAGTAAAATATAAGGTAAACGATAAAACAAGCCACCAAATTAGACTGGACATTTGAGAGTAATAGAGAAGAGTGAAAACAGTTACACAATATGGGTTTTGATAACTGTTTTTAATTAGCAGAGAAACATGATATTGATCATCTTCGTAGCAGCTAATCTTTGCTCTTCCTATGAAAATTGCCACCAAATGGATGCTACTGAAGACGAAATAATTACATGCCATGAAAACGATTGCTCTTTCAGGATAATCAATACGAACGTTGGAACGTGAAAACATGAGAATGGTGAAAATCGAAGAGACAAAACAAAAGGTTGACCAGAATGCGATCCAAAATTCTGTGAATTGTTTAGTTGTAGATGGATAAAGTATATCGGCTATACACCCATGCGAACATTGGCTTCCATTGTCACTTCGGCGAACTTTAAAATATTGTTGATGGAATTTAAGATCAAGACAATCCTCAACAATAGGTCCATATAGTTTAGAATGATTATTTTGTGGGTTGGTAATTGAAGGAGTAACTATTTCGGTGATAACTGGTTGATGAGTAACCTCACGATTTTTATCCGGATTGATTGATGTTTTATAATTTAAAATGGTTATTTTACTGGTACTTGAGCGTTGTTTATTTGTATCCTCTCCTGGTCCTTCCATGCACATATTTTGATGATCATTAACCAAAGGGAAAAGGCTACAGTTTAAATGAGCTGGCCAAGGGTAACCAAATTCATTGAGAATGAATAAACACCGATCACGAACGGTTTCACATAATCGGCGACATGGTCCAAGGGTGGAAACAATTTTCTCATCACACATGGGAACATGTACAGAGCATAAGAAAAACTGTAATTGCGATGAACAACCAATACTAATTAGAGGGTTAAAAGTTTTCAAACTTTGTTCCGCTTCATCTTGAGTCTCATGTCCAGCTAAATTGGGTAAACCGGTTGCATTGTATCCAATTTTCTTACACATCTCCAGTCTAATCGGTTCACAGGTACGAACTGAAGGTGGTGCAGAAGATTGGACAACATTCTGTAAATAGGAACAAAATAGAATAACCACTAAAAGGGGATTGACCATGGTTGGAACATTAAATAATCTTTGATGCGACCAGAAGAAACCAAGAGAGAATGTAAATCCTGAGTGTAGCACCAAAGAAAAGAAGAGAATAGAACAAAACAAAATAGAATAGAAGGAAAAAAATTTGAAAAATGAAGAATATTTATAACCAGAAGATGGAGAGAAAGTTAAAAAGATGCCGATCGGATCAAACAGAAATCAAGGAAATAGTTTAAAATAGGAAAAATCAGACAAATGCAACGATGAAAAAGTGATGATAAAAAAAAAGAAGAGGAAACTGTTGAGGAGTAAGAGAAAAGAGAGTAGAAAACACAAAAGAAGAGGATCAACCAGATCACCTCACAAGTTGATGTAAATCTATTGATGAGACATTCATTATTTAACCAATTCTTTTTCACTGACCAATCGGTCAAAGGTAAAAAAGAAATCGGATTATCGATTAATTTTACCAATATTAAGATGAATAATTAAGAAAATAAAATGAGATAAATGAAACAAACAAAAAGAGATTAAGAAAACATCTTGGTGAGAAAAGAAAACAACTAAATAGACAAAATTATCTTATGATCTTTGGAAAAAGTTTCTGAAAGAGAAACTTAGAATTTCGACCTAACGCCATCTGACGATCGTTTGGGTAACCATATTTTCTTTTTTGGAAGAAAAAAAGTTGGCATTGTCGTTAGAATTTCCTTTGTTAATTCTGTTAAATTAACAGAGATATAAATGCCAATTAGTAAAAGGAAGTATTCTAAATAAGGATTAGAACAATTAATAGGATATTGATGTTGGAACTTGATTGAACAATGAAGAGACCAAATTTATCGTTCCAAGTTGATTTTTTTTCCTTCTTTTATTGATTAAGTGAATTTAAATGTCATATCAGAGCTTCAGTTGTTGAGAATCCATGAGGATACGAATGGGCACCAATAGAAACTTGGACTTGTAATCAATGTGTGAACAGATAGTTGATCATTTTGTGTTTTCAAAACAATTAATTTGATAATGATTAGGGATTATCTTAATTATCTTTAGGTGATGCTGGTGTTTCTTTGAAAAATCCTTTTGTTTTGTCATCTCGTTTTTGTGATAAGTTTAATCGCTTTAACTGTTTATAGATAATAAGGGAAAGTGTTTGTTGTTGTTTTTTAATCAACGATTAACAATTAATCTTGTCAATTGTTGACTTGATTTTAGTTAATTAACACGTTTACAATTAGAATAAGTTGACAGTGTCAAGAGCTATTGAATAATCTCAATGTTTTGATGGGAAGCAATAAAAGTCAATTGGTCAATTTAATCTCTCCCATCAACTACTATTCGTATTGAATGTTTATCTTTTCCAATTACGATTAAGACATTAATCTGATTGTATTGATGAAAAAGACGTTTCCAATTAAAGTGACAATGTGGCTCTCCAATTAAAAGGTAATTATTTGCAAATATCTACTGATAACATTGAACATACAAGATTAAAAGATTTTCCAATCTCTCTCTCTCACAGATTATCCATTGAAAGAGACAAGATTAAGAAGGATTATCTCCATTCTGAATTGAATTATCGTCTATCTCTCTCATACATTTTTATGAAGTTCAATTGGACAATGAATTTTATTCAATACACTAAAACAATGGCCTATCTGTTATTTGGATAAACTGACTAATCTCTGGATTGGTGGTCGGATTAAAAGGATCATCTCTGAATTTCATTCGTCTCTGGATGGAAATGAAATTCTCAATGAAAACTATTGCTTCTTACATTGTTTTTAATCGCTCTTAGTGTCATCCTGTTCAACAGAACTTGTTAACATTACACAATTGAGAATAGAATAAAATAAAAAGGTAAGATAATCCCAATGATTCTCTTTCTTTTTATCATGTTGACATTTTTCTTTTCTTTTCACCAGGTATTCTCTCAGGTAATAAAAGAAAACAAGGAAAATGTTTACCTGTTCAAAGAAGGAGCCAAACAAGTGAAAAAGTCTGAAGCAAATTGTGATTCAGATAACAATAAATACGAATGATAATTATCATCATCATCACTAATTCCAATTACTTTGAGTGGATTTACTGGATTATCTGCTCATCTTATCATCTAATCATCATCACAACCACTCACCACATTCAACTAAAAACAATCTTGAAACAAAACTATCAACAATCATACAAATTGTTACTTGTGAAAATTAAATCTTAACATCGACAGTTAATCAATTAGGCCAATTAAGGTAAGATTATATTGGAAAGTGAGAAGATATTGTTTTTCTTATGATTATAATTGTAATTGTAATTGTAAGAAAAAGCGGGAAAATCAATTGGTAGTCAAGATAAAGAAATTAGTATTATTAGTACATTTTACTAACAATTTAAGGTCAATTGTTGTTAAACGATTGATTGATAAGATGACAATTAGTTAACTATCATATTAATTTAAGAAAAGTGATTGAGGAAAGATTCACAATCCAATTGAGTTTTTAGATTTGTTTTATTTTCTGTTAAATGTTAATTGAATGTAAACAATTTACTGATTAAGTTTAACAACAGCAACAACAATTAATAAACCACAAAACATATTATCGAGTAATTAATGATTATAATTGATTATTTGAAGATGAAGAAGAAGAAGAAAAAAATAACAGAAATAACAACTTGAACAATTGATAATATTGATCATTATTATTAATACAATTTAACAAGTTTTATTTACTGACATGTTTACCAATCTTCCTCAACAATTAACGAACAATTAATCGTTAATCATTAATCGATTTTCATGTGTTCAAATGATTTCTTCCAGTTTCCAACATCGGCCCATTTACTAGTCGCCGAACTCATTGACGATCCCATAGACGAGCCCATTGATGATCCCATTGACGAACCCCAAGGTGCCGATAGACCAGGATTAGAACCAAATATTTGACCATAGTAGGCGAAGGTATCGCCTTTGGGTATCGACCCGAGTGGTGGTAAAATGGTTTTACAAAAAGCACTTTCAACCGGATAAGTGCGACACAAATTGTTTGCCACTGATGAGGCGAAAATGGCTGCGATTTTTTGGCTAACAGCTAAGGCATCGGCTCCACATTTGTTTCGAATTATTTCGGAGGTACAACCGACCAATCGGTTAAAAGCGCAGCATCCACCCGATATTTGGGTTGTCTCATTGATCAGTGAAGCCTCGAGTCCAGCCTGATAGTCAAGAATACAGGGTCGACATAACATCTTAGTTGATTGTAGACAATAATAGTTGGCGACGTACAAGGATTTCCAATAAGTCGATTCGGGTTGTGAGCAAAGTGACTGAAAAGCGGCATCATTTTTCTGTGTCATCAATCTGATCATCACTAACGCCGAAGGGGTTGAACACCGACTTAGGTAGTCCTGACGACATTGGTAACTCTCATTAAGAAAGGCACACATCCGGTCAAACACATCGCCGGGGGGCATCATTGGCACTGGTTGCGACAATAAGATCAAGTGAGATGAACATTGGTCCAAATTACGAAGATGACACTCGCAAGTATCTGAAGGTGATGAAGAAGTTGATGAAATTAATGATGAGGTTACCGGAGGTAAAGATGAGCTGATTTGAGAAAAAGTTAATATACATAATAAGATTGATACAAATTGTGAACAATTAAAACTCTTAATTTGATTTGAAAAGTCCATCTTTAGATTATCTAAATTTCTAAACTAATTGTTGCTAATTGTTAACAACTTAACAACTAAATTTGCTTTGATTTAAAGGAAACATTGCTAAATGTGTTCAGGAAATTTAATTCTGACAAATGATTAATGTCCAGTGATTAGCTAATTGTAAATACACACACACACACTCATTGATACTTGTATCATATTTAATTGTTATCAAGGAAACTAATTTTATACAAGAGGATTTTTAATTTCCAATTATCTTTGGTCAATTAAACTTTAGTTTGAAAATAAATCGCAGTTAATTGCTCCCCAATTGTGAGCAATTATAATTGCTTATTGATTTTGTTGTTGTTATATTGACAATTTATGATTAATCATAATTTAAATCGTTTAATCAGCACAATTAACTCCTCATAAATTGTGCATTGCACTGCAATTGTTAACCAGTTGATCGTTGGCTTTTTTTTAATTGTTGACATTTAATTGTTACCATCGTTGATGATCAACTCTCAAGGTGATTAATCATTTTACCTTACAAATGTAATTTGATTGATGAATTAACAACACAGAAACAAAATCAATCCAACTAAACTGTCAACAATCAAAACAAACAAATTGTTACTTCACCAATTGCTAAATTGATTAGTAAATTGATTGTTGAAAGGACATGAACTAAGGTGATGAATTAATAATTAATAAACTTCCACCCAGAAAAAAGTAATCACAATTAAATTGTTGGTGTAACTTAGATTGAAGCTGATTAACTTGATCAACTGAAATTGATAATTAGTAACAATTTAATCGCTTCCGATCAAAAATACTGTTACTTTTTTTAATTAAATCTCAAATCTTTAATCAATATAAAGATGAAACAATCAGTAGATCCGGTTGGAAGATGATTATTGATTAACTTGTAAATAGTTAAATCAACTTCCTGTCAATCATTTGAATATTGTTAAAATTAACTGACGTAAATTAGATTAACTTACCTGATAAGAGGTTAAATTGATTACAATTATGATGAGATGATAAATGTTGATGATAAAAATAAGAGTGACAATTGGCGACAGAATTAAAAATCATCTCTATCTATTTGTGATCCATCATCAGCTCTCACAATCAAGATGATTATCATCTTAATCATAATTAGAAAATGATTAACAATTGTCTCCACCCGAGATAAACTCAGGTAATAATAACAATTTCAATGAATTCAAACTTAAACCCAGAAGCAATTGATGATTACATTAATTTGATTAAATTGTAATCATCACAATCGTCATCTGATCATCATAATCATCACCATCATCTTCTTCATCTTCTTCCTCCTCCTCCACCAAATTCCCACCTTCAGTTATCATGAACACTCCCATTTTCCCTCCTCTTTACCACTTCGAATGTCAACTTTAGTTCTAACAAGTTCGAGTTTTTTTACATTCGAAAGAAAAACAAAAAGTTCTCACCCATTTCGATCATCCTTTCAAACTGATTAACATAATAACCATGATGATAATCATGATAATCATCACTGCGCACTGATAATTGAGTCAATAAATTATCACCATTAATAAATTATTACCATAGGTCCATGTGAATATAAAAGCATCGTCTATGGGTTAGTCTATGTAAGAAAGTTAAGGTAAGAAGAAGAGGAAATTGGAGAAAAAAAATTTCGATTATCAAAATTTTCGTTGATCATCTCAACTTTTTGAATTGTTTCTCGTTTTGATTGTTGTTGATTTAGTCCAACAAGTTGATTGTTGAATAGTTTATCCATTTAATCAACAAAAATACTTACTAATTGTGAACAAGTTTTACCTTAATTGTTGGTGTGATTGTTTCGTCAGGAATCATGATTGTTTGTTTACTTTTCTCACTCATTTCATTTAATTGTGTTACAAGTTTACCTCTTTCTGGTCATTCAAATATTCCTGATGGTCAGTCTATTGGTGATTATACCTTTAATGGTGATGATTTATCATCAGATTCATCATCATCATTATCTTCATCTTCATCAACTGGATCATCTTCCGGTTTAATTGCGACTAATGGTAACAATTTAGATTCATCTAAAGATTTGATTGAATTAAAAAATTTACTCACTGATTTAGAGCGACAACGAGTTCTATCAGGATTAAATCACAAGTAAGTTAATTGTCAATAATTAAATGTGATAATCTTTTCTCTCTCATCAACAATTAATCAATTTCCTATGTTAATTACTTTTTTATCATTTAACCTAATTGATTATTTAATTCAAATCTATCATTGATTTTCAATCTTACTTATTAATGTGATAATTGCTGTTGATTTATGATCAATGATTAACTAAATATAAATTCAAATCCATTGAGATTTTATATTTTTAAATTGCAATTAAACTAATCAATTTATATAAAATTTTTGATTCATTCAAGTTTCAGTTAATCGTAAACTCAATTTTCAATTAGTGATCATTTTTTATTAATCATGTTGCATTTCAATCAATTTGATTATCTTCAATTAGTAAATAATTAATCTCAATTTACTTTGGCTTCATTATTTTAGAGTTACATTAATAATTAATTAACTTTTCATAGTCTCAACAATCAATTATAACTAAACTGATTGTAAGTGATAAACTTAATTGTTGCTAGAAAAATGAAAACTTTATCATTTCAAATGATTCAGTTTATTAGTTTGTTTGAAAAAAATTGTTATCGTCACAATTTAGACTTGAATATGATTAAGATTGAATCAGTTTTGACAATTTAGATCCGATTCAATTGATTTGACAATTTAACTTGAAGTTCTTAAAGTTAATTCAGTTTGATTGAAGTTCCATGTTTAAATCTTCATGATAAAATTCAGAGAAAGGAAAGAAAGTTCCAATAAAAATGTTCTGAGTTCGATATTGAACTTTTCATGTTTCGAATCAGTTAAATTCACAATCGATGTAATTTGATTGTGATCATCAAATTGTTCACAAAGCCAACAATCTAATCAAACTGACATAATATCTCAATCTCAGGTTAACCAAATTCAATCAAATTAACAATCAAACAAATTGAACTGGATTAAGGTTCACAATCTTAAATCCTTTCATCTGATTTGATTATTTCAAATTGTGCTCAATAAACTTAATTGTTGCTAGAAAATGAAAACTTTATCATTTCAAATGATTCAGTTTATTAGTTTGTTTGAAAAAAATTGTTATCGTCACAATTTAGACTTGAATATGATTAAGATTGAATCAGTTTTGACAATTTAGATCCGATTCAATTGATTTGACAATTTAACTTGAAGTTCTTAAAGTTAATTCAGTTTGATTGAAGTTCCATGTTTAAATCTTCATGATAAAATTCAGAGAAAGGAAAGAAAGTTCCAATAAAAATGTTCTGAGTTCGATATTGAACTTTTCATGTTTCGAATCAGTTAAATTCACAATCGATGTAATTTGATTGTGATCATCAAATTGTTCACAAAGCCAACAATCTAATCAAACTGACATAATATCTCAATCTCAGGTTAACCAAATTCAATCAAATTAACAATCAAACAAATTGAACTGGATTAAGGTTCACAATCTTAAATCCTTTCATCTGATTTGATTATTTCAAATTGTGCTCTCAATTGTTACAATCAAAATTGATTGTTATCTTGTTACAATGATTATCTTTCCCTAACCGATTGGGTTAACAGCAATTAACGAAATTGTTTAAAAAAGTTAATCCTTTCGAGTTGTAAAAAATATCAACAAGATTAAATTAATTAGTCATTTCATTGATTCTTTAGTAGGAAAGTTTTAATTAGTTGAAATTGAAGATAAAAATTAGTTGATTGTTGATTTAACTTCTTATCATAAATCAATGTTTAAGGTGAACTATTATTAGATTAGTTAAATGATAACAATCAAGGTGATATTTGATTAATTTTTGTTACCCATCTAATGATGAGACAATTAATTGTTTCAAGTTTATTGTAAACAAAGACGATCAAACATAATTGTCAACGTTTATTATTAGTTAATCAGTTGAGAGTTTCAATTGCTCACAATTAAAACTTGACATGAAAGTAGACATATGGAGTTGATTGTTTAAACAATTAACTTAATCATGTTGGGTTTCATTATTTTCAATTCACCACAATTAGTTATCCACTTGATGATTTGATTGTTAAACTTAATCAAAATGTTTGATTGTTGGTAAATTGTTCAACTTTTAGTTGATTAGTATCAATGATTTAGATACGGGTTCGTCTATGATTTTTAATTAAATCAAGTTCACCAACCTTAATATAAGCTAATCAATGAATGATGATGGTTACAATTAGCAAATTGTTTAAATTGTTAAACCTTTTGGTTGTTACTATTTAGTAATTTTTTTTTTGGATTTCTGGTCATTCATGACAATCAGTTAATCATTTTTAGGGTTACACATTGAAGGTCATTCATTATAATCAAATCTTAATCAACCTGTCAATGAATAATCAAGTAGCTTGATAATGATTGATTGTGATTATGTAGTAAATTAACTTTGATTGCTTACTGATTGTTGATCTAAAATAAGAAAGGAATGAGATATTAGTTTTAATTGTGCGTAACTAAATTAAATTAGTTAATCCAGTGGTAAAACAATCAGTTGATTGTCACTGTAAATTGAAAATTCTGCAAGTTAAACCAAAGTTGATGAGTTGATTGAAACGAATTGGAAAACAATTAAAACCTATTCAGTTTGACAAAAATTATCGATGAAAAGTTTGTATTAACTTTGATTATTTTTCTTGATCAATTGAATTTAAATTGCAACAATCAAGGAACTGGAAACGTAGTTGCACAATCGATGCAGGAATGACTTATAATTGTGACTTTCGACAATTACTATCAGCTGTTAATGCCCGCAAGTACCTGGAATCGTCAATGACCCCAGGGCGAAGGAAGCGAATTTTATCTGCGCTTCTAAATCAACCTTACTAACGACAATTAGTTGGAAAACAATTAAATAATAATCAGGAAGAAAATAAATTGTATTATTTGTGTGTATGCGTTTTTTGTTAGTCTACGTAACAATTAATCAATGGAAACGAGTGTCAAACAATTGACACAAATTCCCCTAGAAATTAATGTAAGTTTTTCAATTCTAATCAACTTTCGTTATGTTGACTGAATCTTAATTGTGATTGTAATTAACTAATTTCTTGTTTTTTTTCATTGTTATTTCTTTATCAGGTCACAATTTATTATTCTCACAATTAAAGGATTGCCAAAATCAACTCAACAAAAACATCTTAATCATCACTAATTGTCATCGCAACCATTGCATTGACTTTAAATCTTAATTATTAATTGTTTAAGTTTATCACATCAATTGTAATCATTAGATTATGTCTCTAATTAACTGAAACAATCAGTCAATTGTCAATAAAAACCAAAGTAATATGAAAAAAAACTCCAAATTAAAACTAATTGTTACCAAATACCTTGTTACAATTAACCGAAATCAATTATTTTACTCGCTAATTAAACAAGTGATTAGCTGATTGTCTTATTAAGTGAAGATCAAACTTGATTTGATACAATGTTCTGAACTCATTCAGATCAATTCGAAACTTTTCTTAAAAGAAAGTGGAAAATCAACTGAATTAAATCAATTAGACAATTTTTTCCAATGGTTCATTTAATTTGCACATGATTGATTAAGATATGACAAGACGGATGCAAGTTGATTAAATGTAATATAATGATAAAGGTACATAGAGTTGAGGTGAAAAAAACAATTGTAAATGTTAATTGTCATTGTTGCTATTGTGTGTTTGGCCTTAATAGTGATTAAATCTCATTGAAAATGCAAAGAAAGTGGGAAAGGGAGAGATGCAAGTATAAATATAATGATCACCAGGGTAAAAGTGGAATAAATTGTTTCCTTTCATTCTCAATCTCTCAAGTTCATAATTAAATAGATTTCACTGATTTCATTGAATCTGTAACAAAAAAAGAAGATACCAAGAGACTGACCAATAGCAAGAAAGAGGGAAAAGAGAATAATAAATGTTTGTTTACATTGTTAATTGCTCTTGTTGCTCGGTAATTAATATACCGATTATGGCAGACAAAGGCAGTTAAAGGAAAACAAGACATTGGGAAGATGATAAACAATTTAAATTGATTCAGAAATGAGTTGGAAGAGGATAAATAATTAAATCTATTGATACAATTACAAAGGGATTGTTTGTTCTGGTCAACTCCTTTTGAGTTGTATATAAAAAACGGTTTGACTGGACATGAAGAAAAGAGATAGAGAGAGATAGAAAAAGGGAGAAATCATTCCAAAAGTTGTTAGAATTGTGATTAATTTGGTAGCTGATTAATGAACTTTCGTTCAATTCCTTTGTAAAAATAGTTTGTTACTGTTGAAATTGACCATTCCATGGTTAGAAATATCCATGAGTCGTGGTTGAAAGTGTTGACGGTGATTTGTTCAGGAGGAAGTAAATTTTTTGAATGAATTGAAAGTCTTTTTTTTTTCACTATTTTAGTTAATTAAGAGTTGGCTGGTTTTCCTTTCCATTTGTTTATCCTTGTAATCATGTAATTATGTCTACAACGGCAAATTAATTGGTAAGACAATTATCGTCCAAAAATCTCTCCTTTGCTTTCTGTTGATCCTCTGTGATCCTTTTGCATTGATTCAATGAAGATGAGTTTACAATTTACAAAGCTTGTTTTTTGTAGGTGTATTTAGATGTTGGTGTTTATGTTTATGTTCAAAGTTGAATGTAACCATCAAAAAAATAAAAGAAATCATTGACTAGCATTGCTGATAAATAGGTTTTCGCACTTTGTTGTTTTGTTCATTAATGTCCAAGTTAATTATTTACACATTGGAACGGTTGTAATTCAATTGGTATTGATGTGAGCTTCCAGTCGATCATTCAATAGTTCGCAGCGTTGGTACGCATATTTCTTTTTCTTTTTCAAAGGCTTTCCAATGGCCGTTTGATTTTCAATTTCGTTGATTCATTTGCGATGGAAACAAATAAATAAAATGCGATACGATGAGAGAAGAAGAAGAAGAAGAAGTTAGAACAAGTTCATTTCGATCTTGTTAATTATTCACAATCTTATCACATCCTAATTTATCCATTGATAATGGTTAGAGTGCCTATTGGTGGGTATGATTATTGTCTCCTTCTCGTTTCTCATATTGTCCAAAGTCATCAAATATCATCAACGGACAATCAATTTAACTGTCCATAAAGATAATTATCTTCCATTGTTGGAGAGAGAAAAAATTCAAAGGTATCCACAAATCAATAAGATGATGATAACATATGATGATGAGGAAGAATTTCGCCTTTTCATACTTTCTTTTTGGGTCTTCCCTACGGGTTAATAGATTAACTATAATTAGAGATGATGATTGAGTTAGATCCAGATTGTATGAGAGAGATGAAGATAGAGAAAGAGAGATCATCGAAGTATTTTCGCTTTTGTTTAGTTTCTTTTTTGTTGAGCATCAATTGATATTATTATGTAATATGTATAGAAATGGGCAATTAATTATGTCTTCTTAAATACAATGGGTATTCATCTATTGCTTAGTAGTATCAACTGGAACCAATGGTTTAACAATTTCCTCCTTGTAAACTTTAACTATCGCCTCCAAGACAAAGCGAAATTGATTCTGGAATAACAAAAAAAACCAAAAACAACATTAGAATATAAATTGATTGATTGACAAACAAAATATTAACGAACCGAAGTTTGTATTAGCATAGCTCTTTGATCTCTCATTGATCTAAGAATTTCTAATGGATATATTGGTTCATTCGCTTCTATAAGGCACATTGCTGTTTCCATTAGTATGAGTACTCCGGTTCGTCCGATACCAGCACTGGAAAAGATAAATAAAAGATTATCGTTAATATTATTGATCGAGAAAATATTATCAACCAAAGAAAGTTCAATTTCTTACCTGCAATGAACTATTATAGGATCGTCTACAGATGATCGATGTTTTCTAACTTTACCAATAAGATTAAGAAATTCAGTAGCATCATCGGGAACACCATGATCAGGCCATGCGAGATACTGTAAATGCATCACCTCCCTTTCTTCAGATGTTTCTAAATTGGTTAATTTTAAATGTCTTTCAACCATTGAGGAGTTACCACTTTCTGAGGTGCTAACGACCTTTAAATGGTCACCATACTTTTCCGATTCATCTACATCAGGCCAATATTTATGACATTTAGATCGACCTCTCTCAAGTAAAGGTGTAACCATAACAATTAGACTACATCCTTGTTCCCAGACCATTTGCCAAAACTCCTCACAGGTACTGGACAATGGCCCTTGAGTGGCGATATATTTATTAATTAAATCCGAACCGGGTATTTCCATCTGAAAGATATAACAAGATAAATACAATTAGAATCTGATTGGTGATTAAGAATCAATCAATATACTTACGTTAACAAAACTAGCGTTTACGTAATCTCCTGAAATACAGTTTTTCAGAATAACTCGAGTGGAATCATCTGCAAACAATCAGAGATAAACAATTGAATTAATAAACGTTAATCATAATACGAATCAACAATAGAGAGAAAAAATCAGTTACATAATTAACTTGATTTTCAATGATATCATCATACAGGTATATGAAGAGAATTAAGTGTTTGTCAGATTTTCTGTCAAACATGAATTACCAAAGGTAATAATATTAATAGAAACTTGGAACTTGTAACAATTAATAATAACAATTTCGAAATCATTAACAAGAAAATGAGATGAAAGGTTGATTGTGGTTACTAAGAATTATATTGTTAACTGTAATCGAGCAATTGAAAACAATATCAACATCCGTTGAGAGTTAATTAATTGTAAACATTTAATCAACATAGACATATAAACGGGGAGAGGACAATTTAATTTGATTAAAAGTAATTAGATTGTTACAAAATCAATTTTTTCTCTCATTCTAACTGACAAGATCAAGGTTCATCTGATACAATTTAAGTTGTGTCTCTAATTAAATCTCTTCTTATTTAAATAACCATTGATAATATGAATTGTCTTTCCGTAATTCAATGACAGAATGGAAACAAATTAAGTTAATTCATGAAAATATTAATAGTAAACTAAATAAGTGAATGAATTTAGTTGAGTGACAACCAATCTCAGTGTAACAATTATCCATTTTTTTCCCTCGTCTTCAAGTAAAGATTAAGTACAATTAAACAGTGTGAGTAACCATGACACCGATATCAATTTCTTTACAATTGTAAAGACAGAAAAAGAAATCAGTATCAACAATTAGCAATGAATTAAATGCTAATCAAAAATGAATAAAGGTAAAATTAACTATCTAATAAAAAAAAGGAAAGAAACATCAATGGTACTAACAAAAACACTAGAAATACATATAAACATCAAGCAGTGAAAATATATGTTAGTAAAACAAGGTAAGTGTAATTTAGACAAGGTAAAGTGAGAGTATATAAATAATCACATATGAAGGGAATAAGGAGAGAGAGAGAGAGAGAGAGAGAGAGAGAGAGAGAAGAGGAAGAATTGCCATTGATGATCGAGGTTACATGATTTGCTGAATAAGAATGAAAATGTAAAAAAAAGTAAGTTGCAGGAAAAATGATTCTCAAGGACTGTTCAGTAACTATGGTGGAAAGTTAGTCATAAATTCAACATGAAATAATGGGAAAAACTGTGAATTCACGTGGTGGTTAATGAAAAATATGTATTGATGAGGATGATATTCAATAAGTTTCATCATGAATGATAAGATCATCTTGACATATCAACAAGAGGGATAATCAAAAACCGTTAATCATGGTCAATAAAACTTATATTATTTACTTGATTACGAAATGGGAGAGAGAGAGAGAGACTAACATGATACACCGGTGATTTTGCTTAATATTTTCAAGGACTAATTGAATATAATCAACAAGTTAATTTACGAATTGCAATTACAATAGCTAATATAATAAATCGGAAGTGTGGGCCTCAATATGAAGATGATCATGATGATAATTGCCTAAAGGGGAACAACTATTTTCATCGTAAGAACTTATGATTTAAGTTCTGAGAATCAAGAAGAATTAAAAAGAAAAAGATACTATTATTATCAGATTGATAAGAAGATGATAATATTTTATCTTCCTCTGTGTCTTCTTTCTCTGTCTATTTTTCAAGATGATCTTCTCTTTTGTTCTTATCGAGAGTCTGGAAGATAAAAGAGGCTTTTCATCATCACTCGGGTATAATTCAGGATATAATTCAGGGTAGCCGGTTAAGTATATACTTCCTGTGACAACAACAGTCATCTTGATTGATTTAATGTTAAATAATTAAATCAATTTTCTTTTGGTCAAGTCAAAGTCATGCTCTAAAGGTGAGTGTTCACTAAAACGAAATGGATTAATTTAAGAGGATTTGATTATTTAACTAAAGTCTATTAAACAATTAATTGATTGGAGAAAATGTTTACGATACTTATTTAAAAGTAAAAATGGTAAATGGTCAATACTTAAACTGTAGCAATTTAATGATTTGATTGAGATAAACTAATGAGAATTGAGAAATACCAATCAAGAGTAAAAAACTCACTTAGGTAGTTTAATTGCATGCAATTAACAGAGTTTCATTTAATAGCTCTCTCTCTCTCTCTCTCTCTCTCCTATTCGAGCTCATTGTAAATCAAGAAGATATCACAAAGTAATAAACGATAATTGAGTGATGGATTGATTTAGACCGTGAACAATCAAGAATATACTTGATTGTAATTTGATGTAAACGTTAGTCAACAATCAGATTGAAATCATTATTTTACTTATGATTATGGTTGTTGACACACATGAACCAGATCACAATTCAGCAGGTAAATATAGAATCAATTGGAGCACTTGATTAAAATTAATGAGAATTCATGATTAACTTACAAGGTGATATGTCTCTGTAACGGTTTTTACAAAGATTGTCTGGTAAGCGAGCAACGGACATCCCTTCTCCCGGCTTTCTACGGTAAAGTTGCTGTTGTAATCAAGAAAATGAGTCATTAATTAGTGGCCATTACGACGATATTGATGGTTATCTCAATCAATCACTTTAGTATCTTCATAGTTCACAACACTTACTTCAAATTGAAATATGATTGCTCCAGATTCGAGACCCTCTCGGAGTAACATTATTGATTCTAGGAGACGGTCACATTTTGTCCTTGATCTTGAGGAAGGTGATGCATCCACAGGAATGTACTGAAAAGGTGGCTCCTCATCATCATGTCCATCCTCATTTGTGGTGATATCTCTTGAATAAACTGCAAGAGTAGCGGTGGAAAAAATAGATTGTTGTTGAAATTGTAGTGAATGAAACATAGATGATTAAGAGAAAGCAAATAAGATGGATGAATAAATGAGGGTAATTGAAAGATTGATGACAAAATGAAGATGATGGAGAGTAGTGAAAGAGTGATGAGGGAGGCAGATTAATTAAGGGATAAATAGACAAAAAATATCACAAACAATGTTTTCTGACAAACAAACCCATACAGCAGCATTTGCCGAAAATCATGAAACAGTAGTGGAAATAATTTAGTGAATCAATTGATCAACAAACATTTAAAACTAATCAGATAAGAAGATGAAAGAACTGAAGATAAAAGCATCGAAAAATGAAGACGATGATGATGAGTGTATTAAAAAGTAATCCAAAGTCTCATATCGGCCAAAGTATAGAATCAGATTTGATTGATGAAAGAGAGAAGAGTAAATTTGTTAAGAGAGAGAAATGTAAGATATGGAAGAGAAAATGAAGAGAAGAGAAGGGGGAAGATTGAGAGAGTTAGATGACGAGGGAGTCTCTCTTTTTTTCTCTTTCTACATAAATTTTCACTCAGACTGTCTCATGAATTACCACCAATCCCCTTTCATTCACAATTTTCCTCCGCCTTCTCGAAAATTTCTTATTACCAGAAAGGAAAACAACATCGAGAGCCGAAGAGTAGCAGGAGAGAGAGAGAGAGAGAGAGAGAGAGAGAGAGAGAGAGAGAGATGGGAGGGCGATAAAAAGAGAGAGATGTGGGAGAGAGGGAGTGTTAAAAGTGGGAGAGTAAATGTTGATGATAAAAAGTAACAACTATCTGATCAGGATGAGTTTTTTGTAGATTAAGAATCAAGTTAATGGAGAGAAAGTAAAAAAATGTGATTTGCAGAAAGAGAAAGAGGTCGGGATTGAGACACGTGAAAAGCGTGTTGACCGGTAGACAGAGACAGGACATCAAATCATCGGTAACTAAATGTAAACAGAGACTCAAGACGATGGTGTAAGATGATAATGGGAAGGTTATAAGGAAGATGAAACATCGAAAGGTAAAGTCCATACCAAGTGGTCGTATGGTTAAAATCAATTCTCCGTCAATCTCAGTGTCCTTTGTTGATCGGATCAATTTGACAACCTTCATGATGGGAAAACAAAGAAAAAAGAAAAAAAATGGATCAATAGAAAGTCATTGAAGAAATTAATGAAGATGATGACAAGTAAAACACAATTTACAGATTTTCACAGTTAAATTTATCATCATTAACATTGCAGTTACTTTCCACTTGAAGATTGACAAATAAGAATGAAAAATTAACGCCATCTCTCAGAAAGATTATATAAATCAATGATTTTAATCATAAGTTCCCTTGGAAACATTGACCACAAACAGTTAAACAATCTAATTTAATTTCTAAAAATATATTAGGAAATAAATTAATTACAACAGGAAAAGAAACTAATGTGTAAATTATGATTTCAAACACAAACATAATCTATTGGTAAATTATGATTGTAACTATTTGTAGAATTCACTTAATTAGTAAAAGCACTAGAAATACACTTGCTGATGAAATTGTGTTGATGTTTTCAGTGTTTTCTTTACTCAAAATTCAATAGTTTAATTAACTAATTTTATTTACCTGATCATGGGTAAGACCCTCAACGTCTTTACCATTGACCGACATAACCTGGTCTCCTTCATTCAATTTGGGTATAGTTGAATCCGCTGGCGTATTTGGGGCAACACGGGACACTAATACTGGTAAATTTTGATCCGCACCTCCCTGTAAGAGTGTTAGTATGACAATGATAAAGTGGTTAGTGAGAGTATAAGTGCGTAGGGGAGAGAGAAGAGAGAAATTGGAGTGAGAACTTGAGAAGACTTAAATTTGAGATTAAAAGACGTTCTATGTTGATGATGATGATGTAAACAATGATGAGCATGAGTAAATCATAGAGAAAGTATTTTGACGGATACAATGACAATGGTATTCAACTGGTGGATGATTAAGGTAAGAAAATTAACGATTCAATTTTCAATTTTTCTCTTAATCTTGAATGAGAATGAAAAAGTGAAACTAATGATTCGAGAAAGTAAAAAAAAGAGAAAACAAAAAAAGGAGAGTATATTTGATGAAGGAAAAGGAAATTTTTTTTTCTTCTCTTATTATTATGACGAATACTTTTGAATGAAACAAGAAAAACGTCTCCTTTCCTTCTGACTGAATAACATTGTGAATGAAGAATCAATTCAAGTTATTCCAAGCGGATCCCAGGTATTTAAAACATTCCAGTAAAAGAATGATAATTTGTGCTCTGGGATAGTGAGTAAGGAAGGCTGAGAGACGATGTAAGAAGAAAAGAGAGAAGAAGATAAAGAGAGAGAGAGAGAGAGAGAGAGAGAGAGAGAGAGAGAGAGAGAGAGAGAGAGAGAGAGAGAGAGAAGGAAGTTGAAAAGCAAGCAAGAAAAAAGAGGAAAGGGAAGGGACGAAATCGGGAGATGTAGAAGAAGAGGTAGAGTGAGTAAGTGAGTGAATGAGAGAGTAAATGAAAGATGATGATAAGAGGAGGAAAAGTAGATAGAGATTGAGTGAGTAAACGAGCGAGCCCAAAAGACCACACCAATAAGAGAAAATGAGCCAACAAGTACATCCAGCGACACCATTGATAATAATAAATCAACATCAACATCAACATCATCATCAAACATCATGCAACAAGTTACAAGTTACAAATACCTAAACTTAACTATACATCACCCTCATGTTTATCTTCATCATTATAATCGTACTTTTTGTTTCCCTAATCATGTAAATGAATAAATACCTTGACATTGAAGCCAAACCTTCCTTGTTCATCAGGTTTCATACGAATAGTTATGAGAGCAGGTTGTCCCTGAGTTGGAGATTCATCGATAAATAAACTTAAACGGAGATTTTTAATATTCCCTTTGCCGGTACTTGATGTTGATGATGGAGATGTTGGTGATACTGGTGAAGGTATTCCTGGAGATGAAGATGGTTCCGGTGGGATGGGTGAGGTGTCAAGTTGTCGTTCTAATGAAGGTTCTTTGCTAAAATTTATTGGACCATTACTATCAATGTAAGGGACATTACGAAATGAGAGAGGTGATGGACGGTAATTAGACGGACTTCCATCTGATGTAGCACTTTCCCGGATCCTAAGTGAGTAAGTAGAGAGAAAGAGAGAAAAAAACACAACAATTAGTAAACAATTTAAATCAAAACAACACAAAGAAACGAAACTATTGATCACATTAACCGAAAATAAATAGAAGAAAAAAAGACAAAAGTATTTGTTTTTTGCTTCACAATCAGTCTCACGATTTTGTGAACAGATCACAAACATGAGACACTTGCAGGTAAACAATTAAAAAGTGAAAGTTTCACAATTAATCAACAATTAAGATAAAAAAATGATGATCATGATAATAGAAGTTAGAGTAATGGAAGACAATATCCCAACCTAGATCTCATAAGTTCACTTGAAGCCTGGAAAATTGGAAGATAAGAAACACCGAGGAAATTAGTTATCATTGATTGTTCAGTTGAATTAAGGTCATCGAATTATTGGTAAAATGAGTCGATTAATTAACACAAATCGAAAACTTAATTGAAGTGTAACAGTTAACACACACACACACACAATTCGAAAACTTAAATTTAATTAATTAGCAGAAATGAGAATTTTTTTCTGCTTCGTTTTCAACAGAAAGTTAAAAAAAAGGTTGAGAATAGGTGAGATTGTTTAATAGAGTCGATGGGAAAAAAGAAAAGAACAAAAAAATAGGATATAAATTGAATTGGAATCAATCATCACTAATTATAAGAAAGAAATCACTGAATTCCGGTTACCAAGCAAAAACAAAGATTATTTTCTGCCTCAAGGCAACGTAGGTTTGCCTTATTATATTTTAACTCTAGTTAAGTTTAGATGCTCAGTGCAATGTTGCCCTATTTTTAGACTCAGGATGAAATACGCAATCAAATGAGTGTGTAAACGCCTTCAACTTTTTTCATCTTCTAGATTTTTATTCATCATCTTCTCAGCACTATCATCATTATTATCATCATTATCATCATCATCATCGTCATCATCATATTCTTTTTCATCTTCATCTTCTTTCATTCTTGCTTTTTTCAAGCATTCATTTAACTTGAAAGAAGTTATTTTTTTCTGTATGTTGAAAGAAAACACTATTAACAAGAGATGATGTTGATTCTGATGTTGATGATGATACAAAAAGATACAAGTTTCAAGTTTTTACCATTAATTTGTTATGATAAATTTAAAACTTTTGCTGGTATCACTCACACAAGTTATACTTATGTTCATGAATAGTTTGGGTTGAACAATCTGTTAGGTTGGATTGTTGAATGAATTAGATGCTTTTATCAATTTTAATCAGAATGAGTAATGATTATATTATGAGGTATCATCATCATCATTTAGAATAACAATATACATTGATGATTAATATTGTGAAAGAAAATTCATTCATTGATTGAATGTTTAATCTTGATTAATGTTTGTATTTTATCAAACTTACCTTAGATCATCAGTGAAAGTTTGTCGAGATGAGTTTCTTTGACTATTGGAGCAAATTGAATCAATTGATTTTTCAATACTTCCATTTATTACTCCGTCAACTGTTAACCTTTGATGTTGATGATGAGTTACAAAAGCGGTTGTTGCTGATGTGAAACAGGGCAATGATTTGGCATTAGGTGAGATTGAGCCACATTTAAGTGACCCACAACTGACCGCGGGAACAGAACCATGACCTGAAACAGAGGTTACTGGAGAGTTCGATGACGCACCTCCAACGCCATTGACTAATTTGTTTGAAGGCCAGTGAGAACTATGCCGAGGTGATAAACTGTTAGAAACATTCGAATGTGAGATCTCGGTGGTTCGACCAGACGAACAAAAAGTGGGAACAGTTTGTCGAGCGTAACGGCGACTTGTTGTTCTTTGGAACGTTTTCTCTGGTCGAATTCTCCTTTTACCTTCTTCTAAAGTTTGATATTCCGTTTTACCACTAAAAAAGTCAAAGAGAAAAAATCAAAAATGAATAAGTTGAACTGTAGAAAATATTTTGCTAAGTGAACGACTGTATAATCTTCACGAACTTATTTTCGTACCTGTAACGGAATTTAGAACCTAATTGAAAGAAGAAGAAAAACCTTTTCGTCTGAGGCTTAGGACTTTGGAGACGGAAAAAGGTGTGATGTTCAACACAACTTTTCCAAAGAACTTTACAACATCGATAATTATTCAAATCAAAACCAATCATGTTATCAAATTTTTCGAGTCCTTCTCGCCTTAATTGTATAAAAAAATGTTTCCTTTTAAATGAGATCTTGATTATTTTGGCCCAACAAAAAGTATTCATTTTGATACTATTCTGGAAAACAACGATACCAGAAGAGCTAACACCCATTTGAATATCAGATCCATTTTGGTCCTAAATTGTGATTTAAAGAGGTAACAATTAGCAACAATTAATGATGATGTTGGATAATGTTAATGTTTAATTACCTTAGCCCAATGAAGCTCAATACCATACATATCTAACTTTTTGGCATGATCAAGGAAATTAAATTCAGCATCAGCAGGAGTTTGGCCTCTGTTTAAAGAGAAAAATAGAAACATTAATAACAGAATATTAAAAGAAAAACTTGAGAATTAATTAACTGATTAGAATAGAAAATCTAAATTCGAAAATGATAAATAATCAAAAAGCAATAATGTCTCGATAAACAACAAAACTGACAAGGTGAATACCTGTTATAATTAAACATGGTAAACATGATATTTTTTTCCTATTTAAACATTGATCATATAATTAACTAGAGAAGTTAAAAATATTGGACTGATGCAGCTGATAAATTTCAACAATTTACTAACTAATGTAAACATTATTATCCATGAAAGTATTGGCTGAGAATGAGTAATTGCAACAATTTAGTCAAATGGCTACGCCATCTTTTTGAGATCAATAATCTGTTAATGTTTTGGAAACAACAAATGATCACTTGGTCAGTTATGTGAATAATTTAGGTTTCAACGTTAATATAATCAACAATTAACTAAATCAACGCGAAACTTACTGATGAAGCTGATGAATCTCACTAATTTTCTTCTCAATTTCGGATGTTTGGTTTGGAAGTAGACGAAGCTCAGATAGATATCCAGGTTTATGTTCCTCTGAATTATAGTCTCCAAGTTCAGCTGAAATTTGAGTAAAAGAAAAAGATTAATTATTAATTGAATGAAAGATTGATCATGAAAATATGAAAATAAACGAGAGTAAACATAGAGGGAGAAAGACAAGTGTCAAAAATAGAATTGGTGACAAGAGAAGAGTTTAAACATATGTTAACAAAATGATAACAATTAAGGAAACAATTTGATTCTCACATTGAGCCGCGTAACTTGCTAATAGAACCGCTGATGCCGGAGGAACCAAGAATTTATTATCGAGAATATCTCGTCGTAATTGAAGAAAAAAATGATATCTAAATTGGAGATGAAATAAAAAGGAGACAATTAAAAAGAAAAGAACAATTAAAGAAGTAATGACAATCGCCTTACCTGGTAAATTCTTCTTGTAATTTACTTGGGTCTGATGCGTAAAATTTTACTCGAAAATATAAAGTATGAAGTGAGTTTCCATATAGTTGCTTTTTGAGACTTTTGTTAGCATCGAGCCATTTCTGTGTGTATATAAGGGAGAGAAGAAAAGATTGAAAGGAAATGAGAATAATTAAATATTTCCTCATTAGTGTTATATGATTTTCTCTTTCTTATGAAAGAAAACGAAGCACAAGATGAACGGAGATCATTTGAAAACTAACCATTTGTTCAGAACTAGAAGAAGATTTTGAAGAATGAGTTGACACTGGAGTTGACGGACTATTAATACTTAAGCTTGAGTTTTGAGTGAGTGAGAGATGACCATTTACTGAGAATGAAGTATTTAAGCCAGCAGATCGATGATAAGTATCAACATATTGAAGTCCGAAATAGTCTTTCTCAATAAGTTCCAAATGTTCAAAAACCAGATCTAATAGAACTTGTCCTTTGCTATTTTTCTGTATAAATAGAATCAAAATGATGAATGAAAAAGAGAGAAAGAAAAAGATTAATATTACAATCAGTTCATAGAATCAATAAGTGAAAAGGGAGAAGAAAAAATTGAAGAATAAGAGAAAAAAACACCATCAATTCATGCTCCGTTTACTCGATGACAGTTAATCCTTAATTAGATAAGAAAATCATGTAACGGAACTGAAAACACGGATCAACTGTGACTAAGGATAAACTCGGTAATAGTAAAACAAGAAGAAGAAAAAAGTTGAAAGTAAATATTAGCCAATTGTTAATATCGAAACATTTTCAGTGTGTAACTTTTTCCTTCAAGTACTCAGGTAATCAGGTGAGAAATTATATCCAATAGTTGAGAATTAACAATGATGACTATGGATGAATGGACATCATTTAATAATCGCAAGTAATAATGAGAACAAAGACAATTAACTGGAACAATCAATTGTTTACACCAATAACTTACATCTAATGTAAATACATGATGTACATCATCGAGGAAAATTACTTTGCATCGAGTTGTTTTAATTGGTTTAACTGGAGGTGAGGTAACACTGGAATTATTGCTTGATTGTCTATCACGAATTTGGATTAACTCGTTTTCTCTGACATTGTAAGTACCACTAGATCCTCGAAAGCCACTGACAAATGTACGTTTGGACATTTCTCCGTCTACAAACAATGGAAAAGAAAAATTGAGTTAATCAATCAGGTAAAACACTGTTGGTTAAAACAAGAGAATCCAAAGCCATTGAGAAAAAAAAAGAGTGTACTGGTCAAGTAGAGTAGAGAGAATGAGAGAGAGAAAAAAAATCGCCAAGTAAATCAATAAATAAATGGCTAAACTAAATTGACAATTAGCTTATTCACAGAATCGATCCAAGGATAAAACCACAATGAACAGTTAGATTTGAATGGGAAGGGCAGTTAACCCCTAAGGTGATCAAGTGGATAAAAGATGTAAAGATGATAACAGTTGATTGTAGTTCTTTTTTTAAATTATGGCTCCTTGGATAATCCAAAATAAACAGAGACAAATTATCGAATCAAGGTAAGAGAAACCCATTGACAATCCACTGAGAAAGTGATAAAGAATCACAATAATGATGGTAACAATCAACATATGTAACTTTATCGATAATTTGTCTGTTCGCATTCTCTGTGTAGTAATTAATACTTACACTTGTCAAGATTGACATGAAATGGCATGTTGATTAGTCCATATCACAATCAACTTATACAAATAAATAAATAGACATAATAACCTATCACAACTTGGGCAATCCTACCAAAGACACTGGTAAGCCCACCGGAAATACTGAAGCAAATGGATCAATCAGTGATTCCATCAACAAATTGATACAATCCATAATTGACCAGACAGAAACATATACAATTATTATAACACATACACAGGGAGAGAGAGAAAGTGAGAGTAAAAGAATAGAAAAAAAAACGAAAGAAATAGAAAGAGAAAAGTAAAAGGGCAAAAACAAAGAAAAAAAGAGAGTAAAAAAGACAGAAACAAAAGAGAGACAATTAATTTAGATGATTGGGTTTAGGTGAACAATTAGTTGACATTAATCGAGAATTGATTAATTCTATTGATTTGATTGTGTGACCGGTGAGAAACATGAATATGTTAATTAATCGATTAAATTAAACTAACAACACGCGCTGAAAGAGAGAAGACAAAAAAATTAGAAAGAAAAGAAAGAGAAACAAAAAGATTAACTAAAATTAGAAAGAGAAAGAGAAAGGAAACACCCAGTCTTTCTTTTCTTTCTTTTATTCTCTTTCTTTTTTTTTCTTCACTTTGAGCGCCACTTTTGAAATTTTTTTCTTAATCGAAAATTAATTAAACCAACAATTTGCAATTTTCTTCAAAACTAATTAGCAAACATTTCTTTTCAATTTAATAATATACATTCGAATGTGTTGGCTAATTGTTGAGTGATAATCATTTTATTGTAACAATTAAGTTGAATGATTAGTTGATTTCTATCTCAATGAAAGTAACAATTTAAACTTCATCTGGAATTTATCATTGAAATATCATTGAGAAAATTGAGATTAGTTAAGATTACAATCAATTAGTATTTGTTTCCAATTGATTGGTTAATCATTTAATAGTATTCAGACTTTGTTAACAATTTACATTCTTGGTTGAGGTTAAATTGTTGATGGAGAAAAAGTTTAATCACTTGTGATTTGATTTACATTTTCATCTCTCTTGAGAGTTAATTGTTGATTTAATCTCATCGTCAGTTGAACAATTTAGTGTTAATCAAATAATCAAATTAAATGAAAAATGTTTAATTTTATGGATAAAAAAATCTTCTCATTCTCATAAGAGATAATTGTTATTCAATCCAAATTAATTTCCACTAATCAACTAACCTAATTTAACGGTAATTTAATGATAATAATAAAGAAACAAATTGACCATTAGTGAAAAGAGTGGTCAGTTGTTGATCTAATTACTTTTAATTTATTATGTCTATTCATTAATGCGGTCAGTTTAATATTATATTTATATCATCAACAATTTACTAATTGTTTCCGCATCAATAAAAATCTAAAATTAAAAATCAACATCAATATTCAGTTAACAATTAAGACGATTGGTTACAAATTGCTCGTAGTAAAATTATAATCACAGTTATAACAATAATTATCTATGGATAGGTAATTGTATTAGAAAAGGTTAACAGATTAAAAGTAAATTTAATTGTGATTAAATTGTGTTGATTAATCGAATAGGCAATTAAAAAGAAGATTAAAAATAGGAAAAAGTGAGAAAAATTATTTCGGCTTTTGTTTGTTTGTTTGTTTGTTTTCGCGATGAATTAAAGATGAAGATGATTAAGATTTTGGGTATTGGCCTTAATTGTTGAGAATTAAATTGTTAATTGGTTAATTAGTTTCGATTTCGATTGGGAAACAATTTGTTTGCTGGTTTTCTCGTTGAGAAGACTCCTCTTCTGTAAGATGATTCGGTTGTTGATGTTGTGCTGGTTGTTGAACCTCGACCGCGACCTCGTCCAGGTCGAGGTGTGGTCGTTGTTGTTGATGTTGTTCGTGATCTGGATGAAGATGAAGATGATGATTGTGAAGAAGAAGATGAAGAAGATGAACCTCGAGGTGCTGGAGCCTCGAAATCTGGAGGTGGGACACTTATTGGTTTCTTAATGAACGAAGGTAAAGTTGGCTTGGGTTTTGTAGTGTATCGAGCGGAGACCAACTTTCGTCGGGAGTTTCGAGGTACAAACAATTGGGTGAATCGATCTTCGGTGAAATGTGATTTTGGCCTTAAATCTTCTTGTTCGGCCAATTTAGCCTCAGTTTGTTTCTTTGCGTCAACAATTAACTCTCCATCAGTGACCTTCTTTGCCGCTTGTTTATTTCCGCTTCCATCTTGATTTGATTCCTCAACATCGCCTTCAAATGATCGACCATCACCTCCATCATCATCTTCTGATTGACAATTAACTAATTGTTGTGAAGTGATTAACAAGGTAATCAATAATAATCCGATAAATTTCCCTCTCTGATTAGAATGATTAAAAAAGTAATGAAAAAAAAAGTAAATTAGTTGATTAACTTTCCAATTGATTTTTTGACTCAACTTCATTGAAGGAAACTAATTGTTTCCATTTTAATTGTTTTCACATTTTAAATACAAATGAAAAAGGAAATGATTGATTCAATTGAAATCAACTTGAGACGGACTTTTGATTAACTTAAATTGTTATTGATTAAGTTAATTGAAATGAGTAAACATTAACAACAGAAAAAAAAACTTATTCTTAAACTTTTCCTTCTTAACCATTAAATTAACAGTTGATTAAATTAAATTGTAAACTCTAATTGAAACACTAATCAATGTCTCCCTTAAGGCTTTGTTGTTGATTAATCAAAAAGTAATTGTAACACAATTTAATCAATAACAGAAACAAAAACAGATCCAAACAATTTAAACCCGAAACTAAATTAACTTTTTTGTTTCTCCTTCTCTGATGTTAATTTGTTAATCTTAATGAACAGACAATCAACATTAACTATCAACAATCAGCTTAATTACTAATCTCAGGTTACATTTGATTACAAACAATATACATAAACACAATTAATCAGATAATCCAAATAGTGATTAAAAGTTAACACAATTAAAATCACTAATCAATTTGCTTACCATTTTCAATCAGATGATCAATTAAAAACAATTAACTTCCAATAAGAGTGATAAACAATATTAATCCAAATATAAATTCACAATTTAAATTGTAAAATTGTGAATCGTTGATGAAAAGATTGGCACTTTAATCACAATTTGATTGGAAACTCACAAAATTAACCCAATGGTTGACAGTAATTAATAGTAACAATTAAGTAGAAGTAAACTAATTACAGAAAAAGGGTTTGTCCATTTGGTAATTAATTAAACTATATGAAGAGAAAAAAATCGCAAAAAAATATCAACAATTAAGAGAATAAAAAAAAAGTTCTAACGTTAAGATGACGACGATTTGAAGCGAATGCAAAGTTATCGGTTTAACGAAGAGAAATAATTTTCGCTTCTTAATCTAGATCATATTCGTGTTTGGTGTCGATTGAAACTGGTTATAACCTCTCCCAGCTCATCATCATCATCATCATCATCATGGCCCACCCTTAATTCATCTTCCAAGTCTCAAAATGTTGATCACTCTCTCTACCGATGGGTAACATTTTCCAAATGGCCTCTTTACCTTCATCTTGATCCTCATCTTAATCCTCATCTTTCATCCTTAATCTTTATCTTCATCTTCATCCTCCCTCCCTCTCTTTTCATCTTCATCTTAATCTTCATCCCATTTCCATTATTATTCCCTATCCATTATATATATTTTCATACGAAAATCAAGTTTACAACAATTTCTTAATCATTGTGACCACAAATCATAATCTTAATCATGATATTTAATTACCACGTGATTAGATTATTAAGTTTTGTTTGATTTTTTTTTCTTCTTTTAAATATTAATCATAATCTGGTTTCGTCCGGTTTTTTTTTCCAACTCACAATTAAATTAGTTAGTTAATTATATTATTCATTATTTATTATTATTATGATTATTGAGATGATGATAATTAAAATGGGTGGCAAAAGGATTAAGGTGGATCAAGGTGTTTATGTTGACTCAACCCTTACGAAAAAAATTACATTTAAATCACTTCAATGAACTGGATTAAAACTAATTTGGTTCGTGGATTGTTGGTAATCATTTAAATTGTTTCATTATAATGATTAGTTATTTAGATGAAGATGAAATTAATTTAGATTGTTTTTTTCTTACTCTCTTTCTGTTAACAACAATTTAAATTTTACCTTTTCTGGTGACAACAATTAACGACAAAGAGCCAAAAAACTTTATGTGTTTAAATTTGGTTGTTAATCAAGAATGAAATAAGACTTAATCAGCATAGAGGTTAATTAGTTTGAATGGTTAATCAGTGAGTCATTAAAATTTCCGAATCTTGTTCGTGTTTCAAATAATCCGAATAAATTTTGATCGTTGATTGAGTTACGTTCATCGATACTATTGAATGGACCATCGGCACTAAATCGTCCAGAATCGTCCTCTTGAAGTACAACGATAACGAATACAGTTAATTGCTGCCGATCGTTTCATAACTGTAGTTAAAAACAATCTTGTGGTTTTGATTATCAATTAATAGATTTGTTGTGTCCTCTCAACATCGACGCTCTACTTGACCAAGAAATCGTTAATCTTTCCAGTGGTCAAGCTCAACGTGTTGGGCTGTAAAGTTTACGAAATGAATTGTATCATCTTTACCGCTTCTCACTTAGTCTCTGGACATTTGGTGGACAAAAAAAGTAAAGAAGTTCTCAGCTCTTTGATTAACGATAATTCTGATATCATCTTGTAAAATGATGTTTAAGTTAAACCTTGAAAAGTTTCCGATTGAATATCGATAATAATATTTGATCTGATTGTTGATGAGATTAGCGCTTTTTTAATTGCCTGAAACTATCATTTCCTACGATTTAAGCAGTTAAGTCAACTGATTATCACATCTTTGTTTAGATATTAATCAATGATCACATGAAATAGAAACTGCAATTAACATTCAAAGGCGTAGGTTAAGATATTCATCGGCAATTAAAACTTTAATTAATGAATCACTCAAATCGTGCTTTGGTATTTTAGGTCCAACTCTTGATTCCTTGACCAGCGACATTCGGGCAAATCTTGGAAAATTTTGGAAAATTATAAAAGTTGGTTGATTTTATTTACATAATATCGAAGCGCTTGAGTGTTTCTTGGAATCAACTCGAGGCAAGGGTGTGATCTTCTATTGTGATAAAATTCCCGACACTCCTCAGGAATCAAATTATCAGTTACAATTACCCTCGGGCCTTTTTTACAGGTTCGATTGATCGAGGTGATTTAAGTTGTTCGGTTGTTACTGGTCAGGTAACTAGAGGTGCATTGGTCAACGGTGCTACAGGGGTCACTTTGGGTGTGGTTAGGACAGCAGTTGCGAATTTATCATATCGATAGAGATAAGATCTCCATGAGTTTCAACGTCATACTAATGAGGTAAATTGTCACAAGACACTTCAGCTGATCCATCAAGACAATCATTAACGGAATCGAAACAAAATCCTAATAAAAATAGAAGAAAAAAATTTCTTTTCTTCATCAAATGTACTCTCCTTTTTTGTTTTCACTTTTCATTCTCATTCAAGATTAAGAGAAAAATTGAAAATTGAATCATTAATTTTCTTACCTTAATCGTCCACCAGTTTGATATGATCGTTTACATGATCATCCATATCATCATCAACATAGAACGTCTTTAATATCAAATTTGGGTCTCTTCCAGTTCTCACTCAGATTTTTCATCGATTCGAATTATCTTAATATCAATTTAATCGTCTAATTAATAAATAATTACGCCATGGAATCCATTGCTTCTATCTATTTAGCTCATCAGAGCCTTCGATAGTTTCATATTATCAAATGTAACAGAACAAAAATTTAACAATTGATAAAATGACGACAACAATTAAAGATTAATCAACTCGAAAAGTGAACACGATTTTTACACTAACATATAAATCACTCGATAGATGGAGCTATTGAAATATTAACGGAAAAAAGATTCAAGTTGAAATTAAATGACAGAATTTTCTGAACGCCTTCCATTTTTATTGATCTCGAGATTATCTTTTAGTTTAATTGTTAATTTAACCGACTTTTTGTATCATTGAGATCACGTGAAGATAATTTCCATCAGAATGGGATGAGAAATAAAAAAGTTCTGTCATGATTGAGTTTAACATTAGGTTCTATGGACAATGACGGGACTACGAGATGATTGAGGTCAGAGTCCTGAAAATTCAATTTCTTGTAGTTCTTTTGACTGTTCAAAATTTAATCGATTAACAATTATATTAGATTAAGGATACGATAATAAGAAAAAGAGAGAGAAAATTGATAGCTTTTGACCCTTAACCCCAATGACATTGGTTCTATTTTTCGTCATTGCAGATTTCGTTAAGCTATCGAGTGATATTTTGATATATTCGTAGCACTTTGGGTTCTTCAATGTTTGCACCAGAATTATGATTATTATTCACTGATTTTTGGGTGTTCATGTTCAAACGGAATTCATTGGGTGATTAGTAGTTATGATAACAATTAAATCAACAATGAGGGTTGAATTTACTGATTGCTTGTTAAATGTTGAAAATAAAATGAATATGAATAAATGATTCCAAAGGTTTGATTTACTTACAGTTGATTGTTATTCATAATCAGGTTTGACAATCACTTTGGCTTTTGGTGCTTAATTGCTTCGGGCAATTTAATGACTCATCTATTAATATTAGTTTGATCAACTTGATATATAATATGAGACTTAACCTACACCTTGGAGTTAAATTGTTAATATCTTAATGGATATTCAACAGTTGAGTTAATTGTATCGGTAATAGATTCCTGGACTAATAAGACAGTTATTATCGATATGAATAAATCCAATCAATGATTATATCTAAAAATAATCACAATCAAATCAAATTATAAGCATCAACATAATGAAAACTCATATTGAGCAATTAGAGTTATCATGATTTAAGTTATTACTAAATGATTAAGTGAATTTGTTATATTATTAGTTGATTGTTTAACTATTGAACGGAAATTTAATTTTATCTCTTAATCAACTTTTAATCAACAATGAAACAAGATCAAGTTGATTGACCAAATAAGTTGGACAGTTTCCGATTAAAATGACATATTGACCAATGGTCAAGTAACTTAGCACACAAATGCCAATGTTATTGATGCGAATGGAGAAAACAATTAAGTTTATCACAATTAAATTTAGATTCATTTCAATTCTCAGTGGGATGTTTAAAAATGATTACAATTTAATTTGATTGTAAACAAGAAAACATTATTATCAAAATATATCAAATATAATCAATGAAATTGAATTAATTGTAATCGAGGATAAATAAAAAGTTATCCTAATGGTTGATTGTTGTGATCATTAATGGATAACAATTCAACTCAACTAATCAACATCAACATAAACATCAACAATCAAACAAATGAAACAATTAAGGATAAACAGCAAGATAACATTCAGGTATCATTGATAAGGTCAACAGGAAACGGAAATTCAACCTTATTTACTTAAGTCTCTATATATCATGTTAACCTTATGATCAACAATTTGTTCATGTCATAGTGATCAGAGTAAAATTATCATGATGATGATGATTAAGTTAATCATGAAAACCTAAATTGCGCAGAAATTGACAATTCTTATGACGATAATATAAAAAAATATTCGAGTGATGAATCCGGAACTGGGAGGAGTTGATATTCTGAGGATGAGGATGGAGAAAAAAAAATGATGAGGATAAAAAATCATCTCTCATCATCTTTCATGATTAAACCAATTCAGTTATAGGAGATTCGATTCAGTTTTCAGTTCAATAATCAGTCATAAACTACACCTTGATTAAGAATCACAGACTTGTGATAATCTATTTTTTATTCCAACAATTTAATCAATTTCTTTCAATTCTAATAATCTCAAGTAGAAAGGAAAAAAAGTTAAATCATTTGTTTTCGCCTCTTAATTGTTACAATCTAATACATTTCCAACAAGTAGTTATGGTTTACCATCAGCAATCCAGAGGAATGATTAAAACAACCACAATCACAATTGTTGCTTTGGTAGCGTTAATTAAAATTGTCTCATCAACGGTTAATAGTAATAATTTGCTTGAATCAAATGATTTACCAACAATTAACCAACGTCGGCCATTCGTTGATCAGGAAAGTAATAAATTGTACCGTTACATTATGGATCGATTTGCCCCATTCACGTTCACCCGAACACCGTGAGTAATTAACTAATTCACTTTAAATTGTCACCATCCTTTCATTATTTTATCCGTTTTATTACATTGGGAATGGTTTAATGTTTGATCATTAATGAAAATCATATTGATTTGGAAATTGTTGCTTAATTGTTTTGCTAGAAACTCTCAATCAATCATGTCAGATTTTAGTACTTGTTAACTTGATCAAGTTTTCATTTTAATGTAAATTCATATATTCAATGAATTGAAATTCATGCTTCATGAGTTGATTCAGAATTCAAGATGTATTCAATGGCCATGATGATGACCAGTGGTCAGAATAGTGATATATATTCATTATATATATTGGATATTGGGGTTGAATTAATTATAATGAAGTTGAGATCACAATTTAGATTTATTGGAATCAAATTAATAATAATTATTTGACCATTTTTTGATTGTAGTTTGATCAAAAGGTAATACAAACTAAAGGAGATATGATTTTAATAGGAGACATTTAAATTAGTAAACAATTTAAATTGTTATACAAAATATTACAATCTAAACAAATTAAGTTTACTTGACAATTAGCATAACAATCAACGAAAAAATTGGCTAGACTTTGATTCCAAATGATTAACCAGACAACAATTTATCAACCATGAATATTGTGTTTGCCTTAATTGCTTGTAATTCAATTGGTATTCAGATGGATCGAAAAGGTTAATCATAAATTGTCAAATGTCAGGGTGAAAAATTGATCAAATTCAATTGATTGTTGAAATTAAATTAACATAATTTCAAAAGTAAAGTGAACAATGAATGAGCTCAATTGATTAGCCTGATATTTAAATCAAGTTAATCAAAGAAAACAAAATCAACTGATCAGAATAAATCTTAATCATGATAAGGTTTCAATATAACCTTAATAAAATCAATTGATGGTAATTTTAAATTCACTTTTTCATCAATCACGAAAATCAATTGATCAAAATTCATAACCTTACATATGAAAAGGAAAACCTTATTTACGAGTGAAAAAAGCAAAATCCCAAATAAACTAACAATTAACTCTAACAATTTACTTATTTGTTTCTTTCCTTTTCTTACTTTCACATTTTACTCAAACTGAATTAAATTTAATTCAGTCCCTTGGATGAATCAACAATTAGCTTGGCTGATTTCTTACGGAAGGAAAATCGATTCAAGAAAATGTATAACAACAATTACGATGATTTGATTCCAATTCCAAGTGATCATTACAATAAGAAAGATAATTCTGTTTACAAAGATGCTTTTATCGGTGTAAGAGGGTGATGATTAACTTTAATTGTTGGTCAGAATTAACTTACAATTTCATTGATAAATGTACATTAATAAATTCACAATAAATTGTTGATTGTGGTAATCAAATTGAACAGAGAAATAATTAAATCGACCATTTGTTTTCCTTCATTTTTTGATTCCTTTTCATTTGTCTCATCTAAATTATCATCATTATTGTAACAATCGAGTTTTTTTTTGATTTAATGAAAGATTCAAATTTAAATTGTGATGAATCAATTGATTATGATTTAACTAATTATTATATTGTGTTCATTTCATCAAATAAAATGATTTCTTTTCAATTCTTAGTTTTAATTGTGAAACTTTTTTTAGACTGAGAGTCAATATTTTTCGGCACATATTCAGATTCGGATAACTAATAACCGGATGGGCCAAATAGTCGTCCTTTTGATTAATTAGAAAGTGACAGTTTCTAATTAAAGACCTCGTGATTGAGAATATGATAATTAAGAAAACTATTCAGGGATAAAACTATCAATAATTGTTTTCAGTCAATTATATTACGATTCACGTTTTTTGATGCAAACATTGAGAAAGAACCTGATGTGCTACAGAGACATCGAGACTCTCATTCGAAAGCTTTTTGAATTCTGCACCAATGAAAAATAGAAGCAATGTTTTAGGGGTCAAGGGTCAAAAGTTATAATTTTTTAAAATTTTCTTTCTTTTCTTTTCTTTTGACGGAAATTCCAGATTATCTGATAGTTGATTCCAGTTTTTCTCCAGGTGAACAGGTGAACATCTTGATTAATACACAAAATCGATTAAGAAAAGATTGATTTTCGTCAGTTGTAGTTGATTAAGCAAAGATGACAAATACTAGAAATTATCTCAACAATTTTTGATTGGTCAAACCTGAGAAAGAATTAAATCAAACACAAAAGTTGATCATTGATTTTTCTTGACTCTAAAGGTGAAAATCTCTTTTTTGTGTCTTTTTATAATTGGTTTGAACTTAGACGACTTTATTTTGGTAAAGCTCAGAGAGAAATTTCGTTTCGTATACTAAGATTTCGAACTGAAACTAACCTTGATAACTCAGATCAAAAGTGAAAGAAACAAACCGGCATACACTTTCCCTAATGACTATCGCAATATGGTCACTTGAGTCTTATTTTTTTAAGTGACCTTGAGATTAAAATGACCTTGAATCTTCACCTCAATGAGCTCTTTATGCTCTAGCAAAGCTTAGATGCAAGTGACCTTGAATTGACCCTAGTTGTCGTTATTCGTCTTTCACTATCTTCTAGTATAACTTTGGCGCAAAATGGCCAAATTGGTTCGAATTTATTTTTTGGTTGTTTTTTCATAATGAGAGAGTAAAAAATTGATAAAATCGCTCAAAGTCATCAATTTCTCACAAATTAGCTTAAATTTTTTAAGATTCTAGTTTGAAAGTTGTCTTCAGCTCTGGATAAATTCACGCTATGTGTTAAACCAGAAGAGTTGGACATTTGAAATGTATCGGCATAAAATCTGACAGGCCATAGAAAATTATGTAGAAAAAATTTCTGGTAAAAATAATAGATTTAAAAAGATATTGAACTTTACTTTTTGAATTGAAGTTGCAAGAAAAGCTCTATTAAAATGGTATATGGATTTGATTATCAACGTAATTGATCAATTGGTCAAACTGTAATACAGCCAAAGACTTTGAGTTTACAACCACTTTCTTAATCATTTGCGCTGTTAATGATAATCAATTAAAGATAACTTTTGATATCTAATTAGTTTACCATTTTAATACTATCATTCTTTATTCTTAATTTCAACTCGAAATCGACAATTAATAAGGACCATGTCAACCCTAAAACCGACATCCTCCAAATTGAAAATAAGCAAGATTTATTGATAGAAGCTTTGAAAAAACTCAGTTTTTTAAATGTCCATAAAGTTTGATTAGGCCACAATCAGCAATCGAAGTTTTTTGATTTGGGTCATAATACGTACACTAAACTAAATTTTGTCGTGATGTACAATCTGTAACAAGTTTTTGTACAATACCCCACGTCAGTTAAACGTTGGAAACCTTTTGACCATTAACCCCCAGCCAATCTTTTTCCTCTGATCTGTCGTCATAATTAAGACCTAATCATTGGTCTCCATCTTTGATCACCATAATAGTAACCTTTAAACCATATGTTTCACTTGTCATAACCAGTCGTAACCTTGTTACGCTGTACTTTCGCCTCAAATGTAACGATCTTGATCGATACGACTTTTATCCTGAGAGTACTTTCTGTTCTTGGTACTTTACCATACTTTCAACCAATTTACCCTCAAAAAATTGCTTAGGTTTCAACTACGTATTGACTGATCTCTACACAAGACATAATAAAGTTCATTACCTAAGGTCAAGGGTTTTACAAATTATTATTATAACTACTAGAAGCATTGAAATATTTCCCAAAGTCAATTTAATTACACGCGATCATGTTGGTCGCCCTTTCTATTTCTTAAATCATGTTTCAAACATCTCGTTGTTTGTTACATTAAAGCTTTCTGATGTTATCTTTATCAATACTACGCGATTCTATTGATTGTTTATTCAACTGTCACAATCAGTGGTATAATCAATGAGATACAATTAACATAATTGTTTATCTATCCAACTTTGTATTTACCTATGTAAGTGATACTCATAATCAGGTTAGCAATTAACAACAGTTGATTGCTGACGATTTCTAGACCTTACCAATATTGATTTGTGCCTTTTAATAATCAACTAATCACATTATTCTTGAGGATAATAATGAAAGGTGACAATTTAAAGTTGCAGTTAAAATTAACAGTTGAGTTTAATTGATTAACGTTTTGACTTGTTAATTGGTTAATTAACTCCAAATGGTTGATAACAATCAACTCATTTTATATTTGATTAATATCTGATTGATTTAAATACTAGATTTCAAGTTTGATAATTAAATTTTCGACAGCAGTGTAAATGTTAACAATTAACTGATTAAATGATTTATTTATGATGCAAATTAGCTGCTAAATATTAATTAATTGTATTGTAAAACAATTAATAATATAATGTTAAGATAAAAAATTAGGTTTTATTAATCAGTTGATTGTCTAACCAATTTAATTGTAGTAATTAATATCAATGGGGTAACGAATTGATGTAACCTTGATTTAGCACTGATTATGTGATTGTTGTTACAATTTAGTTGATAATTTAATGATAATCTGTTTTTATTAGGGGATGAATTGATTGGATTAGTTAATTGTTCCAATCAAAGTCAATTGATCAATTATTATCATTAAAAACGCCTCTAATTTAGTTAATAATGAGTAAAAAAATTTGATTTAGTAAATAAATAAACAAATTGTTAACAATTAACTATCGGAAAATTTTCATTTCTTGCAATATCATGAAGTCAAATTAAGCATTTAATTGTTCAATTAATAAAAAATCACTTTCATTAGGAACATCATTGTAATTAACTAATTTTAATGTATTTTGTTAATAAATTTTAAATCAAATTTTTATTTTAATATTATCATGTTAATCAACATGTACAATTGTCTTAACTCAAGACTACTAATCGCTTTGGTCTTAATTGTTGGTGAGTCTATTAAAAATCATCAAACTATTTAAATTGTAATTAAAAATTTGAAATAATTAGGCGTCTCTGGGGATGAAAATAATTACGATTCACTTAATTGTAATTTTGATAATGATACTTGCGGTTGGAAGGATCTTAATCATGTTTGGACAATCGGAAGCTCAACTAGTTCTCAACACAATTTAACCTGGACACCAATTCAAGGTAATTTAACAGTTAATCAGCTAATGTACTATGTTAGTTATTAGTTAATTGAGCTATTCGGTTATGTAATTAGGTGATCATAACCATGGACCTGGTGGTTACGCTTACCTTGATCCAATCAGATTGTGGTCCTCAAAATCACGAACAGGATCATTGATTAGTCCAGAATTGAAAGGGTCCGAAGCTTGTTTAACCTTCTGGTATTATATGTTTGGCCTGGAACCCGGTGAAATGACCGTTATCCAGTCGATAGGTGAAGATAGTGACACAATTGTTTGGAAACGTCAAAGTAATTTTGGTCGCCAATGGATGAAGTCGAGTGTTAATTTAGTTGCTGGCAACAACTTCGAACCTTGGACAGTTTCATTCATTGTTTCATACGCTGATGTGAATCATGAAATATTGACCATTGACGATACCAAATTATCGAGTGGACCTTGTTCATCATTCGAAATGTGCGATTTTGAAACTTCAAATTGTCTTTTAACAAACGAATCGTTTGGTGCTTCATTTTGGTCAGTTGGTCCAGTTTATAAACTTAATCATCCGTTAATAGTGACTGATCACTCGACTCAGACAGAAACGGGTCACATCGCTTACATTCGTGGTATTGGGGCCAAAGATGTGGCCATTTTGCAGACAGAAACTTTCAACCACACTGGTCATCGGTGTTTAAAGTTTTGGTACACATCGACTTCCGACTCGTTTCAAATGGAAATTAACCAAGTTGATCAGGAGCACAATACAAATTACCAATTGTGGACTCGTAATCGTAATCACTTTGGTGATTGGAGACAAGGTATTGTCCAGTTGAAAGAAATGGCCTCAAGTTCATATAATATTGACTTTAGAGTTGCTTTTACTAAACCTGATGGAGGTTATTATGCACTCGACGATTTATCAATTGAAACTGGCTCGTGTCCTGATTCAGTTGATTGTGATTTCAGCTACAATACTTGTCAATGGGCTACATCCAATTCTATGGAAACATTTGATTGGATTCGTATGAATGGTCAATTACTAGGATCGGGTCTTGTTGGACCAGGAAATGGTCAAGATGATAAAGATGATGATGATTTCTATCTGTATGCTTACTTTGATCCAAGTTTATCGATAAAATCAGCTATTATCGATTCTGGTGATTTTGACATTACCCAACAAGATCATTATTGTTTAAAATTCAATCTGTGGACAGTTAATCGGGTTAAATTGGAATTAATCGTTGAAATGTTACAAAACGAAAATGAATTGAAACCAGTGTTTACATTGAAAGATGAGGATTTCCCTGAATCATCATGGCAGCAGGTTAGCACCCTGATTTACGTGAATCATTCAGATTCAATGAACGATTTCCAGTTTTTGCGACTTCGAGCTGTCTATGTATCAGAGGATGAAGAACTTGGACCCGACGGTAAACCGAAACCTCATCCATTTGCTGCCATTGCGATTGACGATATTACATTTACTGAAGGACTTTGTCAAGGACAAGAACCAACACAAAACCCACCGACAACCACATTACCTCCACCGATCACCGATGAGATTAATTGTGATTTTGAAACTAATACGTGTGGATTATTCAATGATCCACTTAAATCGACCTCTTCTTGGTATCGAAGAACATCCGTTCGAACTAAAACTGACGTAACAAATGTTCCAGCCACTGACCACACTTATAATCAACCCAATGGTCATTTCTTATTTTCTCGGTTCCAAAGTAAAGGTGAAAAGAAAATCAGTGAATTATCAACGAAAACAATTAAGGCTATTGATTCAACCAAAGGAGATTGTCTATCATTCTGGTACTACATTAGAGGAACCAAATCAACCTCATTGTCCATCTCAATGGTCAGATCATCAGATTCAGTTGAAAAAATTATTTGGAAACGGACTAATATCTATGCCGACTATTGGTACCAGGGATATGTTAACATAGAACCAGTCGATTATGACTTCACCTTGGAAATCATCGCCGATCACTCAACTGATACCGATTCTGGAATGGCTTTGGATGACATTATTTACTCAAGTGGCCATTGTCCAGCTAGTACAGCAAGTGAAAATTGCGACTTTGAACTAGGTTCATGTGGCTATGATAATGGTGACGTTTTCAACGAAGTCTGGAAACTTGCCAATGGATTTGATAACAAATCAATCACAACCGATCACACAACTCAAACTGAATCAGGATCTTTCTTAATTGCTCAATATGACTCAACGATAACAGAAGATGGGGATGCTAAAAATGGTTACCTATTTTATGATTCTTTCGTTCATCCTCAATATAATTGTATTGAATTCTCAGCTAATGTTCACCGTGGTCAGTTATCATTTAATATTATATTTATGATTTTTATGGCTGAATTAGGAACGAATGATGTTACTCTTTGGTCAGCCAACGAAACACAAGGATGGACAACAGTCAGATTACCGTTACCGTTTCCTGGTCAAACAAAAATGCTCGCCTTTCGTTTCATTGGTCAAGGTTATGCTGCTCTCGATGACATTTCCTTGTTAACTGAATGCCAACCGGTAGGCTATTGTAACTTTGAGCGGGACACTTGTGGATGGACATCGGGCTCTGATGATTATAAAACATTTAGACGAGACCACGGGAGATTATATGATGAGTACAGTCCGTCTCATGACATGACCACGAAGAAAGATTCTGGTTCCTATGTTGTTGCTAATTTTGAGAAGATGAAAAAGCCGACCAGCGAAAAGTACAGTTTGATCTCCCCCTTAATCTCACCAATGACCAATTACTGTTTATCCTTTTGGTACTACAAGAATGGTAAAGATTTACCGACGCTTCATGTAATCCTCAATCAATTTTATTCAAAAATGATCTATTTAAAAACAATTGACTCTAAGACCAAGTTGGACTTTTGGGATCGTCTAAGTATCCAAATCGACAAATTAACAGGAAATCCATTCACAATTGAATTAAGAGCGAGTGTTAAACCGCGAACCTTACGACCCGCTCTAGTTGCTATCGATGATATTGAACTTTACCCTGGTCAATGTGCGGACTCTATCGAGGTGATCGATGAGACGGAATATTCCTGTGATTCACATGCCACAAAAGTAACGGGAAATTTATTGTGTGACTTTCACGCTGATTGTAAAGATGCTTGGGATGAATCTAATTGCGGCTACAATTGTGACTTCGAAACAGGACCTTGTGGGTGGAAAGGTGGAGTTAATCCGAGTGACCAATTGCGTATTATCGACCTCGATAAGAGCGCCATTACTCCTCAATATGAGATCAATTATCACGAAACTGGAAAAGGGAAATACTGGAAACTGAATACAAAAGTATGTAAATTCAACTCATGCAATCGTGGTTAACTAATCTCTTTAATTTTGTACCGATCTAGACTTCGAAGACTTTGACCTATTTAAGTCCAGTGATGAGAAATTCGGGTGAACATTGTTACATCGATTTCTATCTTTATATGACCATTGCCGATAACGATGAACCAAATTCTGATCTCTCTGAAATATCTCATCTTACGATTAGTATAGTTGATTTAAGATCAACCCAAGTGACACCGATTCATCAGATATCCGATAATTTGGGCAAAAATTGGCACTTAATTCGATTGTACATTGGTCGAATTCCGAGCGATTTCCGTCTAAGATTTGAAGTTCTAAGTAAAAAAGCCAACGACCGTATTGTTATCGATAAGATCACTGCCGATTCCGCTTGTTTCGCTCCTCGAACTGGTGATGCCAATTCATGTCCATCTGATAAATTTTTCTGCTCTCGAAGTAAAAGTTGTATTGACCTTTCAATGACCTGTGATTATTGTGATGATTGTGGCGATGGAGAGGACGAAGAAGATGATCTGGCTCAATGTAGCTTAAGGTCAGGTCGATGTGACTTCAACCAGGGTAATTTATGTGATTGGTCAACTCAAATCAGTTCAAATTCAAACCGAAAAGAAAAATGGAGATTAGTTGATTACGATGATGACACTTACGATGTTAGGTCAACATCTCCAACCCGTGATCATACGTTTAATACCGCTGAAGGTAAATTCATGATCAGCACTGGAACTACTGGGTTACCGAAGTACTCATTGACTAGTCCGTTACTTTATCGGCCTGATCCACAATCAATTTGCTCGTTCAACTTTTATTATCAATTCACTGATTCTCAGTCAGTAATTAAAGCGGTCAATTCATCGGCTATCGGTCAATCAAATCACAATTACCTCGAGGTTTCAATTGATCTTCCACATTTGAGCTCAACTTATTCGTTGGAGACAATTTTGGGCTCATATTTACTGGAATCGCCTCATTTCAAACGAGCGACAATTAACATTGGACCTGAAGTGGTCACTCACAATAGATTATTTCAATTAAGTTTATCGGCTGTCCGATCATCAGATTCATCAGCCTCATGGGCAGTTGATGATGTTTCTTTCAGTTCTGATTGTAAATTAGCTGATTGTTACCTTCGGTGTAGTCGAGATCAATCGTGTATAACTCTTGACCATCGGTGTGATTTCATTTCCGATTGTGACCCAACAGATGAGCCATCCAATCTTGGCGAGGATGAAGTTAATTGCACCTCAGTTAATTGTCCTTTCGGTCAAGATGATACTTGCCATTGGGAGGTAATTAAATCAAATGATTCAGAAACATTAACCTGGAAACTTTATCAACCTCTAAGTGATCCAGTTGATCAACCACAATTTATACCCAAATCAGATGCAACTAATCATGATGCTTCAGGTTGGCTCTTAATTTTTGATTCTCGTGATTCACTAATTGCTGGATCGGCTCAACTTTGGTCGCAAATGATTGGACGGACCTCTGCTCAATGTTCATTGAGTTTTAATTACTTTTGTCAACCTGACCAATGTGACCTTACAATTTACCTGGAGACGGACATTGATCGACCTGAGACTAATTTAAAACGCATTTGGGAACCTCATCAAGTTAATCAAGATCTAACAATTAAATGGAGACCAGGAATTGCCCAAATTGGAGCAATTAAATATGGTCGGATATTGATTAGTGGTTCAAGTGAATTCAACAATGATTCATTTGCAATCTCGTTGGATGATTTAACCTTCGTTAATTGTGCACCACCTCAACCCTCCCCACCAGAGACACCCTGTGATTCAACTAAATCATTTCAATGTTCAAACGATAATTGTATTGATAAATCATTTGAGTGCGATTTCGTTGACGATTGTCTTGATGGATCAGATGAATTATCTTGTGACAATTTACCTGCTCGGTGTGACTTTGAAACTCCTTGTGTTTCATGGAAACCTGATCCCTATCGATATGACAAATTCGCAACTATTTCATGGGGACAAACAGCTGATCTTCCCTCTTACGATCACACCCTTGGTGTTGCTTCAGGTACTTATTTGAGTCTTTCGGGTTCACAAAAATCGGTCGATGTTTGGGCTCGTCACTACTCCCCAGTTATCAATGGGTCAAGTGATGATTGTTCATTAAACCTTTGGGTCAATATTATTGATACCTCATTGTCCAGTGAACTTGTTATCTATCAAAGGTTCAATTATTCCACTTCCGGTTATCAGGTAATCGCCAGGGTTTCATCTAGTCATGTAGGTGAATATTGGAAAAAGTATAACATTAAACTACCTAAAACTGTTGATGAATATGAAATTGTCCTGGAAGGATTCATATCGAAAGATATTGATGCGTCGATCAACATTGATGACCTCACATTGACCAGAGGCTGTTATCTTGCTGAAAATGGTACAACCTTACCGGGTGTTGATGAACCCACGACATTACCTCCAACAACACCGGGATCTTTGTTTGATTGTTATTATGGTTACAAACCCTGTTCATCGGTAGTTAAATGTTACCCTTTTAAGGCTGAATGTGATTTCAAAGATGATTGTGGTGATGGTACCGATGAGGCCAATTGTCCGTCGCGTTGTACCTTTGAAAATGATTTTTGTGGATGGAAAAATAGTAAGAGCGATAAATTTGGATCGTGGATCATTAAAAGTGCCAGCAAAACAACTAAACCAAACATAGATCACACAGAAGGTGACGAATCGGGATACTATGCAATAGCGAAGTTTGAAACTGAAGAAACCGATATTTCAGTCTCTCTGACCTCACCTCTTTTCTCCTACTCCGGACCAAGGTGCACTTTCACCTTCTACTATTACATGACCCTCAAAACAATCAGTGATGCCGATAAACACCCAAGGTTACAGGTTTATCTTAATCAGGGCAACACAAGTAAATTGATCCAATCGCTTTGGGGTAAACATACCGATGCATGGTATATGAGTTATGTTAATATTGGGCAGCACGATGGCCCTTTCAGTGTCACTATTGAAGCAATTAAATTAGGTGAATCATCTGATGTGGTTAAGGCGATTGATGATATTTCTTTTGATGAATGTCCGAGTTCAAAGAAATCAATAATGGAAGATTGTCCAGTTAATCAATGGGAATGTCAATCAGCTACGAAATGTTTACCAGTTTATCATTTGTGTGATGGTTTCAACGATTGTAACGATGGTCAAGACGAGGTACATTGTTCAGTTGTCCCAGGTAATTGTGATTTCACTAGTTCGTGGAGAGGTCAATGTTTATGGACAGAGGTTGAAACTATCGAAGGAGGCTGTTCGATTATCAATCCCAGTTCGAAGGATAATTTCATTGAATTTATCGCAGATAAAAGTTTCGTTTGTGACTCGACTCTAGTCAGTCCCAAATTTCCGCCAACGACTCATGATAGTTGTCACTTCTCGTTTCAATATAAAACTAAAACTAATTCAGGTGATACTTGGATCAAGGTAAGTGTTTAATTAAGCTGATTGTTTGTTTAGTGTTTAATTTTTGTTATTTTGTATTCTCTATGGGATTAGATTGGTTTAATTAGTGAAGGTAAACATCTTGAATTAAACAGGTTTAAAGGTAATCGAGTATCAAACGATTGGACAATTTATCATTTAGCAATTAATCATTCAAAATCTTATCAAGTTTATCTTATTACTTCAATTACGGAGAGTGATTCAAGTATTTACCTTAAATCAATACGATTTTCACCAAATTGTCCAACTGGAGGACCTTTAACTCTTGAACTTTATCCTGGTAAAACTGAACCATGGGAACCATCAAGTGAAAAACCCTTTGTACCAACGACTGTCCCAACGGCTGTACCAACCACACACAAAGTGACCACTGCAGAACCGTTGACCATTGCCCCTCCAGTTACCCGGCCAGTACCAACCGAACGGCCAAAATCAACCACTAAGGCACCTGAACCGGTAACCAAAAGGCCCGAAGATCATTGTAACTGTAATGATAATCTGATTCCGGAAGAATGTCGGGAGTTTTGTCACAATAAAAAGATCGCCCCATTACCTCAAGGCCATTCCAAAAAACACTCAAGCGCTTCGATATTTTGTAAGTAGAATGGACCAATTTTCTGTGATCTTCTCTCATTTCTAATACTTTATTTTCTGAATTCAGATATTTCTCTTGGGATCATTGGCTCAATTGCTATAATTGTAATCACAATTAACTTTTTAATGCCAACAATTAACCGCATTCGTTATCGTCGTACATTAAGAGGAATACTTGACGATAGATTCAATGATGATGGTCAATTCGATAGCATCGATGGACGTAACTCAATTAACGACCCAAACTTATTTGGATTATCTGAAACACGAACAAGATTCGGAAATTTAAATGACTCACTTTAATTAATCATTCAAACTAATTAACCTCTATGCTGATTAAGTCTTATTTCATTCTTGATTAACAATCAAATCAAAACAATGCGTTAATTTTGAATAATACTTATAAAAACAATCATGCAAATGTAATCACAATTAAATCTTTCTATAGAATATTAAATTTTAGGTTATGTAATATATTGATTAATTCTAGAAATTTGATTAATCATTGGGTGTCAAGTCAATTGTAATTTACAGCTAATCATATTGGCTATTGATTTGTTTCCTTTGATCAATCAACATCAACTCGAGATGATTAATTAGATTGTAATCAAATGAGCCATCGATCATTAATCCAATTATGTTACAAACATGTAAATAAAGTTCAGTTCAATTCAATTTCTTAAACCATGAAAATCACCAAATCAACAAAGGTAAGAAACTTATAAGATATTAGATTGTGTTAATTAGTTAATTGCAAATTTTATCTTAAAACAGGTCAAGTTATTGATTTTAGTGTTAATTGTGATCATTATGGTCTATTATACTGTTGAATCGGTGGTCGAACTGAATTATGATTACAATTTATTCAACATCGCTTACGAAACTTCATACAACGATTCAGATAAATTTGAACTGATTTGTTTCCTTTGATCAATCAACATCAACTCGAGATGATTAATTAGATTGTAATCAAATGAGCCATCGATCATTAATCCAATTATGTTACAAACATGTAAATAAAGTTCAGTTCAATTCAATTTCTTAAACCATGAAAATCACCAAATCAACAAAGGTAAGAAACTTATAAGATATTAGATTGTGTTAATTAGTTAATTGCAAATTTTATCTTAAAACAGGTCAAGTTATTGATTTTAGTGTTAATTGTGATCATTATGGTCTATTATACTGTTGAATCGGTGGTCGAACTGAATTATGATTACAATTTATTCAACATCGCTTACGAAACTTCATACAACGATTCAGATAAATTTGAACCTCCCTGTATTGCGATATGTTTCAGCGTAACGGAGATACTGAACTTTACCTTGTTGTTGAGCAGTTATCCAGAGATCAAGCGACAAGCTGAAAAGTTAATGGATATCAACGATCGATTTACAAACTGTACAGCCGAACAAGTATTGGAAGATCAGGACGAAGGGCAAAAGTTGATCTTTGAACATTTAACTTTGATCCAAATCGATAAGATGTTGATTCCCATGGAAAAGTTATTCTCCTGGTGCTATTATCTTGACCAATCGATGGCACAAGCCAAATGTGATTATGGTCACGCACGAAAATACTTCTATGACCACGCAGTTTGTCAAAGTTTCCAATTTTGGCCTCGAATCGGGATAACTTTCAATCGTTCCGATCTAATTATTCCTGGTTATCGAAGTTTACGGTTACTTAATGTTGGCCTAGATTTTAGAAATCAGTGGGCAGTTAATCAATTAAGGGTTACTGCTCATCGACTTAACAAAGTACCTTGGAGTCAAGGGGAATCGACCATTGAAGTTCCGGTCAAATCTTCGCACGAAATCGCTTATGGACTCTCTTTTCAGGAAAAAACTGTTCGATTATTGCCCCCACCTTACATTAGTAATTGTAAAATACCATCAAAACCTTATACTTCCGTGGGCCATTGTTTGAGTCGCTGTTTCATGTCCAGTTTTACCAAAATTACAGGTCGATTTCCGCACCACTACGTAGTCAACAAACCAAATGACCTTAGATTTCTGGAAGGCGACGGACTCGCACAATACCATGAACTGGTCACTCAGTTGTACTCACCTTGTAACAAAATCTGTGGTCAGGTTGATTGTGTGGTCGATACCTTCGAATGGCGTAAAGTTGGTAGGCCAATTTATAATCTTCAATCAGGGTCGAAATCGTTAGTTCTTCATTTCCATCCTCCTTCTAAATTACCGTTAATCAAACAAGCAAAACCTCAGATCAATTGGTTAAACTACTTTTCCTCAGTGGGAAGTGTAATTAGCCTTTATTTTGGTTTATCCACTTTATCACTAATCGATTGGCTAATTAACAACAATCAACTACAAATTGTTACTTTTATTCGCAAATTGTTGTCATCAGATAATCAAGTTAAACCTTTGAACGTTGAAATTTTAACTTTCCAACGGATCGATTTAAAACCGAAACATTATTTAACTGAAGTTAATTCAACAATTGATTCGGCGATTGTTAATCAATATGATACAAAATTTTCATCTTTCAATGATTAATCAATGAATTGGATAATGTAACATTTTTAATTTATTTCTTTAACTCTGAAGTCCCTTTACCTTAATTATTGCACAGGGTTTTTGATTAATTTGTTTTCTCAGGCTGAACCCTTTGCTTTTTTAAGGTCTTGATTTCACCTTGATAAGTTATTTTAACAATTCTTTATATTTAATATATTAATTAATTTGAATTCATAATCATTTTGAAAATTTTGATTAAATTATATGTGTAATCAGTAGATTCACACAAACATTTAAACGAGTGGTTCATCGATTAGATAAACATCGGCGGGTTTACCAAGACAAAGGACTAAAGCGACACGTTGAGCTTCACCACCAGAGAGATTAACAACTTCTTGATCAAGTAGAGCGTCGATGTTGAGAGGTTTAACCACTTCGGCTTGGAATTGGGGATGGCAATAAGCTTCACGAATTTTTTCAAAGAGTAAATTCTTGACCGTTCCTTGAGATTTAGGGCTAATCTTTTGAGGTTTATAACTAATGTTAAGAGTTGGCACATCAGCGGCTCCCTCATCAGGAGGAAAACGACCGGCAAGGAGACGAATAAAGGTAGTTTTACCTGTTCCATTTTCTCCTAGTAATACTATAATTTCGGAGTCGGTGAAAGTACCAGTGGTTACATTCAATTCGAATTGATCACCCATCCTTTTCACCATCGTTGGATACTCGTAGCGACACATTCGTCTAACCTCCTCTTCGGCTGCTGTCTCGGAGACTTTAAAGACAAGAGAAGTATCTCGGAAACGAAGATTCTCAGTTGGGACAAAACCATCGAGAAAGATGTTGATTCCTTCACGAACTGAGAAAGGCATAGTTACCACTCCATAAGCACCAGGAACACCATATAAACAACAGATGAAATCTGATAGATAATCAAGAACCGCAAGATCGTGTTCAACTACAATTATGAATCGATCAGCAGCAATCAGATATCTAATGGCTTCAGCAGCTTTCAAACGTTGTTTAACATCAAGGTAAGATGAGGGTTCATCGAACATGTAAATGTTTGCTCTTTGAATACACACCATGGCGATCGCAAATCTCTGAAGTTCACCACCACTAAGATCTTCTACATTTCTGCTTCGTATAACATCATTAATATCCAACATAAGGCAAACTTCGTCTTGGTTTTTCATCTCATCCTTTTTGGTTAAATGATGTTGAACTGTACCTTTAACAGCTTTAGGTATCTGATCAACATATTGAGGTTTAACTATAGCTTTCAATTCATCTTCTAAAATTTTGGTGAAATAATTTTGAAGCTCAGATCCTCGGAAATAAGTCAAAATTTCACTCCAATCTGGTGGATCAGTTCCCCATCGACCTTTGAAAAAGAAAATTGGAAAACCATAAAAAAAAGTCAAACCATTAGAAAATAAAGATGGAACAAAATTAGAGCACAAGAACAACTTACCTAAATTGGGCTTAAGTTTACCAGCTAAAATTTTAAGAGCTGTTGATTTACCAATACCATTAGTACCTACAAGACCTAAAATTTCAGCAGGTCGAGGAATTGGAAGTCGGTGAAGTTTAAATGAATTTTGTCCATACCGATGAGTAGTCGCCTTTTCCAGATTACTTGGAAGATTGATAATGTGAATCGCCTCAAATGGACATTTTTTCACACAAATACCACAACCAATACAAAGCTCTTCACTTATTTTGGCAATCTTATCATTAGGTGTAACCTCAATACAAAGTTTACCCATTCGGACAACTGGACAACTTTTCTTACATTCTTGCTTACATCGTTTAGGTTTACATTTATCATTATTGACAATAGCGATACGAGTTAACTTATCTTGGGTATCACCTCCAGCTGGACCTCGTCCTGCCATTTTATTTCCTCAGGGTAGATGAGTGATAAGACCACAACAACAACAAACAACAAACAACAATTAAATCACAACGACAAAAAAAGCAGAAAATAATTAAAATCCAAGACAATAACAATAAAAAAAATCTTAATCAAAATCAAAAGAAATTTATTTTTAAAAATATGTTTTCAAGCCACGTTGACGTTTAAAGCGGCTCACGAGAGATGGCGCTGTTGCTTGAATTCGAAAAGCGGCAAATTCAAACTCTAAACCGAGACGAAGAAAATAATTAAAATCAATTTTTTCTGATAAAAGGAAAAGTTTAATTGTTAAAAAACTAAATCAACAAACGACCAAGAAAAATTTCCATTTAGTAAATCAATGAACAAGTAAATTATCATTAAGTTTTTTTCCACCAAATCAACGACTAATTGTCTCGATTTATAAATGTACAAGTTGAATGTGATTAGTAAAAGTTGTGAGTCAAGTTGATTGTTAAGTTAAATTGATTAGAAAATTTTGTAATTAACTTGGTTAAATGTTTGAAGATAAATTTTAACCCATTTTGTTTTAATTATGATTTAATAATCAATTGTGGTGATCATGCTAACTAGTGATTGTTATGGGAAAAAAATAACAACACAAGTTAATTAACATAATAAGTTGATCACTATGGTTATTATGAGATAGAAATCAAAACAAAATTAAGATGTTATTGAATTAAAATTAATGTTTAAAAAATCAGTGATCAACCTAATCTAAATTGATAAGCTAATAGTTAATTAATCTTAGTGTTTAATCACCGAAAAGTTAAACCAACTAATCAACCTAATCAAATGTGTTCAGGTTGCTTATGTTTTCCGAGGTATAATTTTCTTGTCACCATTGACCTAATTAACTTAATTGTTCAATCACTTTCATTTTTATTCTTTGATTGTGAATTTTAATTTCCAATCAATCAAATCACTTACATTGTCATTCCTCTGCACTAATCTCTTGATCACAATCAACTCACAATCAAATCTGAAAAAAAACCTTAATTGACGCTATTTCTAGTTGATTGAAATCAATTGTGATTATTGATTTAATTGTTTAGCATTCATGATAATAACATGTTAGTTTTTAAGATAATTTAAATCGTATTAATTTAAATCATGAATCAATGTCGTCAATATCATCCCAATCATCATTCTCATCATCATAATCATCTTAATCATCATCATCTAAATGACTTGGAATCACAATTGAAACAGTGTCAATATGGGTATGCTCATAATCTCACAATTTGCTTAATCACTCAGTTAATTGTTCCCATATGCAAGTTAAATGATTAACCATTTTCTTACACTTAATCATAATCATAAACATCATTAACAGTAATTCATTGCAACCACCATAATTGATCAACAATTATTGATTAGCTATTCTAATTGTTCATTTCATTTTCATTTAATTTTCCTTATTCAAATCAATCTAATTATTATTGATCACAACAATCAATTAATTTTTATCAATTACAAAAACTTAAATCACTAATTATAAACTTAGTTAATAATAATATTGAACATTTATTTGTTGGGACAAACTTTTCTAATACATTTCTTATTCCTTAATTGTTACAATGTTGGCTAATCAACCTGATGATTAAAGTGGTACAATTAAACGTATTCAAATGCAAACATTTAATCACAACAATCAAAACACCAACAATTCAAATATGGATAAATATGAAAAGATATCAAAAATCGGCGAAGGTTCTTATGGCCTAGTGTTCAAATGTCGTAATCGCGAGAATGGACAATTAGTGGCCGTTAAAAAGTACGTCGAAACGGAAGACGATCCATTGATTAAGAAAATCGCTCTGAGAGAGATTAAAATGCTCAAGGTGAGTAGAACAATTTAAAATGAATAATAAATGATAGAAATCAATAGAGAGGAAAAAATTCGAAACTTCGAAAATATCGATTTTGTTTATCAGAGCAAATCGATCAGTTTGTTACATTTTTCTGTTCTCAAAGCTATTAATTAACACTGACACAGAATTAATTGTTTGATTTACTAACATAATCTCCTTGGGATTGTTATAACAATTAACTTTTAATCAACATCATAATCGTAATTGACCAGTTTGGTGATTCTGTCAAGTTTAATCAATAGATTAAATCAATTATCGTTGATTGTTATTCAATAATGAACAATATTTTTGTGCCAAGGTTAATCTAGATTCCGGTGGATCATTTGATTGCATGTTGATTAACTAAATTGGCTAACAATTGAATCAATCAATCAGTTGAAAATACAACTAATAGAAAACAATCAAACTAAAACAGAAATTGTTTACTAATTGTGAATAATTAACCAGGTAATATATTTACTTTTTCCATTACCTTAATTTAGCAACTTAAACATCCCAATTTAATCAATTTGATTGAAGTTTTCCGACGGAAACGGAAATTACATCTCGTCTTTGAATATTGTGAACTAACGGTCCTCGATATCCTCGAAAAGTATTCCAAAGGTGTACCCGAATATTTAACTAAGCGAATAATTTGGCAAACAATTAACGCAGTGAATTTCTGTCATCAGCATAATGTGAGTTTTGTTTGAACCTTTAATTAGATTCCAAGTGATTAAATTGATTGTTGTTATGTTTAGTGTATTCATCGTGATGTCAAACCGGAAAACATTTTGTTAACTCGAGATTTTATCGTTAAACTTTGCGACTTTGGGTTTGCTCGAACTCTGAGTCCAAATGGTAATTATACCGATTATGTGGCCACCCGTTGGTATCGAGCACCCGAATTACTTGTCGGTGATACTCAATATGGTCCAGCGGTCGATGTTTGGGCGATTGGTTGTGTGACCGCCGAACTGATGAGAGGTGAAGCTCTTTGGCCTGGGAAATCAGATGTTGACCAATTATATTTGATTCGTAAGACACTTGGTGACCTCATCCCTCGACATGTACAAATTTTCAGATCGAATGACTTTTTCGCTGGGGTCACAATTCCAGAGACCGAAATAACCGATCCCTTGTCGGGCAAAATTCCTCGACATGTTGAAGACACTGGATTCGATTTCTTACGAAAATGTCTCGATAAAGATCCACAAAAGCGACCAAATTGTGACCTTCTACTTCGACATCCATACTTCAATAATGTCAAAATTCCTGAACTCGAAAGTGAAGAGGTACAATTTAAATTCCGTCAACGATCAAAGGTAAGAACCAGAATCGAGTTCGAACCTTCATCAGAATCTAATTGTCTTAATTGTTGTTCTTTCAGTATGGACAATCTTTACTTCCACATTTACCTAATCATGGGTCCCCAGAGATTAGGTCAGTCCAATTACATTCGAGGACAATTAACGCAAGAGGAAGCATCGGAAGTACCAATGGGACAATCAACGGATTAAATGATCGACCCAACAGATTTGATCATTTACCAAACATTTAACCTCAATGACATTGATCCACTAAAGTATTGATTGTAAACAAATCTCACCAAAATCAACATCAATCATAAAAAATAATGATAACATTTAATGTCACAATTAAAACCCATCAAATATTAAACGTCTAAATTGTTTACTGATTGAAATATTAAAGAAGAAAACAAAATCTATTCATTTAAAAAAAGAAGAGAAATTGTCTCGAATTGATCAAAACAATTAAAACTAATGTCCAATCAATCGATAATTTGATCCTTAATGGTTTACCAAAATGATTAACTTTCCCCTTGACCTTTGAAGTGAAACAAAATATTTAAATTGAATATCGATTGACTTTGGACATTTCAATTGTCGCTGGTTAATTGTCAAGATGATAAACCAAATAATCTCAATTAGATTGAGTTGATTCGTTGAAATTCAAGCACAACTTTTATCTTCATTTTCAGTTTGAAATATGTCAAAGGCGAAAAGTCATTTACATGGTAATTGTTTACAGTTAATTGTTAATCCATCACAATTATGATTCGACTCTCGCAACCACCAGATGGCTCTGCGAGCTTAGAACAATTCGTAGCGTCACCTGATGGCTCTTCTTTTGGCGGCTTTTTTTTCATTCATGGTTTTGGTCGTTGAGAAATTGTGGTTTTCTGTTGATCATTTGGTTTAAATTGTTTGTTTTTATTTTTAATTGTTGATTATTGGTGATTTTCGTCGATCGTTAATTGGTTATTCCAACTATGGACTTCATGTTGCTGAGTGATGATGATGATGACGACAGGTAAGAATCACTTTGTCTTCTTCTGCTTTTTTTATTCACCTTTTTCTCTCATCTTTGTGTTTGTGTTTGTCTGTTCTGGTTTCTTGTTATCCATTTTCTTTTTTTCTTTTTCATTTGTTGTAATTCTGGTTCTTATTAACACACCCTTTCTTTACCTTATTTCTATCTTTTCTTTTATCCTGCTGTAGTCTTACTATTGTTCCTCCAAGAAAGCGTCACATCAAGAGGAGAATCATGTCATCAGATGAATCGGATGGTGATGATATTGAGGTTATTTCTTCTCATTTTGATAGAGAAAGTCAATCAAATGAAAGGAGTAAAAGGGCTAAAACACCTTCCAAGAAGATGAGAACTATTAGATTATCGGATTCATCTGATTCTGAAGAAGAGAATGAAAAAAATAGTGAGACTAGTGACTCCAATTATTCTGATGAATCGAAAGCTTTTGAAGAGAAAAGTGAAGAATCTCTGGATGTAGATTCTGATGTTTATGGAAGCAACTCTTCAAAATCTCCCACAGCAGAAGAGGAAGTAGCAGAAGATGACATTTTGGATGCATTTAAAAGTTCTGATGAGGAGGAAGATCTACCTCCTGATCCCTCGGCGCCAGAAGATTTGGACGATGATGAAGATTATGATGATATCGTGGGTGAAAGTTCTGATGAGGAAGATGAGATCGCTATTACATCTTCATTGGAAGCAAGTAAAATGACCTTAAGGGCAAAAGTGTTATCCTACCTGGAAGAAGCAAGTGCAGCTGATCTACTTATTATTCCAGGAGTTTCAAAGAAAAAGGCTCAATGTATTATGGGTTTAAGACCTTTCGCTAACTGGATGGACCTGATAACCAAAATTAGATGTGAAAAGTCATTAAGCATTGATCTTATTGATGATTGTAAAGAAGTGGTGAAAAGTCATGCAGCCATCACGAAACTTTTAGGTGAATGTGAGAAAATTTCAGAAAAAATGAGCGAGACTGTTGAGAAATTGGAACCCGCTGTACAGCCAAAGATTCTTAATCAATCAATGTCATTAGCAAATTATCAATTGATTGGCCTCAATTGGTTAGTTTTATTATACAAGCGGAATATCAATGGTATTCTGGCTGATGAAATGGGTCTTGGAAAGACCATTCAAGTTATCGCTCTATTGGCTTACCTAAGAGAAAATTGCAAGAATAAAGGACCTCATTTAATTGTTGTTCCATCATCAACATTGGAAAATTGGCAAAGAGAATTTGAGACTTGGTGTGAGCCCATTCAAGTTGTTCTTTATCACGGATCAATGGACTACAGAGCTCAACTGAGGAATCAAATGGCAACCAAAAAAATTAAATTCGATGTGATTCTTACCACTTACAATCTTGTCGGGAATCCAGATGATAAGCGTTTCCTGAAGCGGGTTCCAATTCAGTATATTGTCTTTGACGAAGCTCATATGCTTAAGAATATGAAAACCAATAGATTTGGTAATTTAATCTCACTTCGAGCCAAACATCGACTTCTACTCACAGGTACTCCAGTTCAAAACAATCTACTCGAATTGATGTCCCTTCTTTTCTTTACAATGCCAACATTTTTCTCAAGTAAACTAACCCACCTACAGAATCTATTTAAAAATCGTGAGGGTGAGACAACATTTGAGAAAGATCGAGTGGACCAAGCAAAACGTATTCTTAAACCGTTTGTCCTTCGTCGACTTAAAGTTAATGTTCTTAAACAATTGCCCAACAAGACGGAACATATTAAAAAGTGCCCCATGGAAAATGAGCAAGAATTCAAGTATATGGAACTCGTTGAAAATTATACTCGAGAGTATCGATACAGTGGGAAAAATATTTACGAAAATGGTGGTGACGAACCTGATGAGAGTTTTGTCAAGTACCGAAAGGGAGCAGCCATGTTGATGGAATTAAGGAAGGCAGCTAATCATCCACTTCTACTGAGAAGATATTACGATCTGAGTAAACTTCGAGAAATGGCCAAGATCATCGTAAAAGAACCAGCTCATCGTGATGCCAGAGTTGATTATGTCTTTGAAGACATGGAAGTGATGAATGATTTTGAACTTCACAATTTATGTTGTAAACATCAATCATTAGAGAGATTTAGATTAACCAATGATTTTATCCTTAATTCTGGTAAATTCAAAGCCCTTGACGATTTACTGCCTTTCTTTAAGAAACGAAACCAAAGAGTTCTGATTTTCAGTCAATTCGTCATGATGCTTGATATTATGGCAGAATATCTTAAAATAAGGAATCACAAGTTCCTTAGATTAGATGGTCAAACCAAAGTTTCAGATCGATTAGCGCTCATCGATCAATACACAGAAGATGATAACATTTTTATCTTCCTTCTTTCCACTCGAGCTGGAGGACTTGGTATCAATTTAACTGCTGCCAATGTGGTCATAATCCATGATATCGATTTCAATCCATATAATGACAAACAAGCGGAGGATCGATGTCACCGAATGGGTCAAGATGAACCGGTTGAAATTTATCGATTAATATCTGAGAATAGTGTCGAAGAGGGAATGATCAAAATTTGTGATGAAAAACTCAAATTAGGAGAAGACATTTACGTTAAAACGGGCGAAAAGTCAAGTAAGTGTCGTGAACTTATTCCAATTTATTACTTTATATCTTCACCAATAAATTCTAATGTTTTGTTTTTTTTCCTCTAATTTCCTCATTCACAGTTCGAGATGATTCCAAGGATATCAAGACACTTCTACGTCGAACTTTGGGCATTTAAAGTGTTTCGAGAATCAAGATCAATCTATTTACTTGTTTTTTTCTACCTCTAAAAAGATCCCTCAATAAGTGATGTACTTATCTTAATTACTTTGCGAATGTGATTATTTTTTTACAATCTATTCTTTCAATTATTATTATTTTCATCTCATGTCACCAACAATTGGTGTTCATTGATCTTTAGTTGAATTTAATTATCATCTAAATCTTATGTTATCAATTTATCTCAATGTGACTTGCCCTTTGAATTTGGTATTTACAACTTATAAATCTAATTGGAAGCCAATGGATTAATCTGTTACTTCATTTGACTCATCTATTATTATTAAATACGATTTATGATCACCAATTGTGTCAATTAATTGATCAAAAGTCTAAATTGTTAAAAGTCCCACGTGACCGATATTAACTGTACTGTATTTATTTACAAATTTCTCATCTTAATTTTGATAAAATTTTCAACTATTCAAACGCTTTTATTATTAATGGACGATTAATTCATTCCAATGGCCAATCAGTAATATAAAAGTTTTCGTTCTTATCACATTTTAACTCAGAATATCAATTAAACCCAAGAACCAAATTCTTGATTATACAAAACAATCAAATGAATCTTCAGAATAAGAAATCATAACCATTAAACTCGTGTTTAACTTTTTTTCATTGCTTTAATTATCTTATTATTATTAATATCCCATATACATGTACATAGATAATTAATACCCTCGGTAATTAGGAAAATCTAAATCAACATAAGCATTCAGGGTAAAATTGACTGTAATTCACTGCCAATTCAGTAAAAAACACGAGACTTTTGAACATAACACTAAACAGAGCCATACATACAGACCAGGACGGGACCAGGATGTAGGACCAGATCCAGCACCATCTCCAAGAACTTAATTACTGAGAGCACCACCCACAGTCGGCATTTTATTTACAGCAGAAGTATTTATAGGACCACGAGGACCAACATAATCAGCCGCAGAATTGGAATAGAATTCATCCAATGCTGGTCCATCAGGAATGAACATATTCACAAGAGAAGATGTTTCATCAGTATGTTTACCAGTGATAGAGCTTTCATCAGTTTTCTCCATGTTTATGAACGAAAAAATTGACAATATGATAACACATAAAGTAAAAGCTGAGATTTTGGTGAAGTTCATGATTAACTTTATTAACGGTTTCAATTTTATAATTAATATATCAGTGATAATATCAATATCTTTGTGTCTAGCAAATGCTACTTTTTACTATCAATACATCGTTTGTCAATTTACTAGTGAAAAATTTAATTAATCAGCTTCGTAAACAATGATCTAATTTACCCGTGCCATGTCAATAGAATCGGAAAAAAACATTTATTTTCTGAATACTCACTATTATAAGGTTAAGGTAATCACATGATAAACTCATCAGTACAGAGTAGTTGTTAGTTAAACAAAACTCTCGACAAAATCGTAGTCTCTAAAGTATTGAAGTTAATTAAATCCGCTATCTGTGTGACTATTTAATTTGCCACAAAAGCAGATTCTCAATGTTATTATCTAGTGAAACGTGAATATTAAAATCAAGTGAAACTTTCATATAAAATGAGTATACATTTGATTGTAACTTTAGTTTAATTTTTGCTTTTAGTTAATAGTCATAACTGAGCGAGTTCAATTGTAATTGTGAAAAAAGTTCATCATGAATTTCATCAAATGTTCAACATTTACTTTATGCGTGATATTTTTAGTTTTCTCGTTTATAAACATCGTTAGAACAGATAAAATTAATCAACCGCAGGAAGAATTGCATTCACAGGATGTAAAAAATGCGATGATGAATGGCATGACTGGTGAATTACCTTTATTGAATGGTGGTTGGGATGATGGTAATGATAAAGGTGATGGTTTCGGGAGCTGGGGTGCTGGTAATGTTCAACGTGATAGTAATGAGATTGAGCCAAAATTTGATCTTAAGGATCTAAGTAACTCAAGTACTTTGCAGATGATTTCCATGACGCCACAACAAGAAAATCAATTTTCTAAATTAAACAAAACTGTCTTGAATAGCAAATTCATTAATGAAATAAGCGCGCTTACATCTATGTTTGCTTAATCCAATAAAGTCTCTACTACAAGTGCTGGTTTTGATAGTCGTGCTTAGATTCGATATGGTGGCAATAAACAGACTCATAATCTAAATTCATTATGAATAACATGAAGATCTGTTCATATTAAAACATTTGTTGATTCATATTTTTCAGGTTATCAAAGATTCTGATTGTATAAACTAAAGAAATTTAACAATTTGATTTGATATTTTCACGTAACTAACCCTCTAGAACATTAATTATTAACTACGCGATACTTTTAACGTTGAACTTTATCCGCATCATTGGATCTAAATTGATCAAGTAAACTTATTCCAATTGATTACTTTATACCTTCACCAATAAATTCTAATAGTTTAACGTTTTTTTCTCTCATCTCCTCACTTACAGTTCGAGATGGTTCCAAGGATATCAAGACACTTCTACTTCGAACTTTGGGCATTTAAAGTGTTTCGAGAATCAAGATCAATCTATTTACTTGTTTTTTTCTAATACCTCTAAAAAGATCCCTCAATAAGTGATGTAGCTGAAGCTTTGTAACGATCATGATCGTTACAAAGCTATTGTTATTGAATTAATAGATGCATCTATTAATTCAATCGATGTCATGTCAATAAAAGAATCTCAAAAAAAATATTCAACATTTACTTTATGCGTCATAATATTTGCTGGTGCTGGTTATGGTCAAGGCTCTGGTGCCGGTGCTGGCACTTTTGCTATTGGAGCTGGTGGGGCTGGCGCTGCTGCAGGTAGATAAGTTTCTGGTTCTTATGTTTCTGAGTACTAAATATTTTTACCTGGGGTTATTTCTGCTTTTGCTTTTTTTTTGCTAGCTCTTGTACTCAACGTTCCTTCTCATCTCATATATTTCTATGGTTTACTCTTTCATTTGTTGGTGATCGAGTTTATAAATAAATTTAATAATCGTTTATTTGTGATAAACTGTTGAAAACGAGACTCATATTATAAATAAATCGCTTCTTAGTTTACTGATGAGAAAAGTTTTTTTTGTTATTCAAAAAGTTACTGATTGATCAGCTTTGTAAGAATGATCTATTTTATCCATGTCATGTCAATAATAGAATAACAATTAAAAACATTAAACGTTAACATTCTTTCTGAATAATCATATCCATAAGATAACTATTACTATTAATACTTGATAATCGTATAGCTGGATTTTAATTCTATTGATTCGTTTAAACAAAACTCGTAGCAAAATCGAAGCCTCTGAAATGCTAATTGAATCAACTTTACCGTTCAAAAGATTATTTCATTTGTGTGAATATACTACTGCACATAAGCACTTCTAGACTAACAACATCAAGTGAAAATTGAATAAAAACTGGTTCGATTCAAGTTGGAATATTTCTGTCAATTTACAAGCTAATTTTTACTTATTTAGTTTTTTCATTTTTTATGAATAATTATTGATAATCAGAATAGTTTAATGAGCTCGTGCTTGATCGTCAATTAATAATAGAAAAGTTTTCGTTTTCAAAAACTATTATATTTCAACTCGAAGTATCATTTAGTACCAAATGACAATTTCTTGATCGTACAAAAAAATCAAAGAAACATTTTCAGTGATATATGCTATGAGTCATAGTGACGCGACACTTGAATGGTACGAGTTTGAGCAATACTCAATGAGGATGTCGATTCGTCGATTGACTTTCGTGAAAACAACGTTTAAACCTTCTATTTATTCAGATAAGGAGGATTTTTGTTCAATCAACAAAACGATGACTCTATTTATATGACTGTATAACTTAACACATCAGCAATTTCTGTATCAAAAAGTGAAAATATCATGTAAAAAGAGTATTAATTTGATTGTGATCTTAGTTCGTTTTATCACTAATACTATTAATAGTCAATCAGCATTGTGAATTTGAAAATTTATCATGAGTTGCACCAAGTTTTCCACTTTTATTTTATTTTTAACTGTGTTGAAAATTTTCTCGTTCAATAACGTCGTAATATCACAAGAAAGGCCTAATTCTGCTCACCTCGCTGCTAAACTTACTCAGAGTGTTAAAGTCCCGACCATCAAGCATAGTGGAGGTAACGTCACATCACAAAATGGTACAAATGGTGTTGATTATACATGGTTCATGAAATAAGACAACTCGTAACTATGTTTGCTCAAGTAAACGCGAATGAAGTTAAGGCTGGTAAAAATTGACATGGCGATGGCTATTCAAGAAATCGAAGTTCTAAATACAAAATAACATGATGATTGGTTCATTCATTTCCATGTGTCAATCCAAACTTATCCCATATGTTGATTACTGAATTGTTAGTGAATTGCAATAAATTTTTTCTTGGATAAATATGTTGTTTCATATTATTCTTATTATCGAAGCTCATAATCATTATTTCTTGATTTACAAATTGATTCAATTTAAGCCCCTTAATGGTAACCAAGTGTGACTATTAAAAGATTATGAAAATTGTCCACCGAGAAAATGTGACTTGCAAAATTTTGTATAATCAAAATTAATACGCTGATTCCAAAACTAGAAAGCATAATTTTTGGTATGACTTTCACTCTTTCACGATAATTCGGTTGATTAAAGTTCTTACAGGAGATCGTCATTCCAATGGCGAGGTTCATGGAAATTGGTACGATTGAAGTTGGAATATTTTTATCAATTTACAAACCGATTTTATTTAAGTCGTTTAATTTAATAATTATCATGAATAACAATTAACAATCAATATGATTTTCTGGAGAAAAGTACTAACAGTTTTGTTGTGTTGTCATGAAGCGAGATGGAAGTTGAGACAAACCAAGTGATTGTAATTCACTTTTAAGTTTGTCAATTGTATCAGCCGGTAGAGTTGATTGTCGGGAGAGGATCCAAGCATCATCTGAGTTAAACAACAAACAATTTACATGAAATTAAATGTTAACCTTTTTCAGTATTGAATACTGATCACTAATTGTTAGTATTATGTTAATAGACTAGTACTTACTGATATTGAAGAGACCCAAGATATCGTTACATGAGACAATTAAAGCGTAATTGGTGTAATCAGTATCAACGACCCAATATTGAGCTGCTGGAGAAACTGTTTCGAGAAAACAATTCATTGATTATTATCTATGAATTTTTAATAACAAACAATTAAAAAAATTAATACACTTACGAGGGAAAAACTTGACAGCCAAAACATTGTCCTTGTCAGTTGGTTTTCCAGTACCAACATTGAAAACTGATTTATCTTGATTATTGATTCCACTGTTGTTTACAACCACATTACCAGTCGATTGTTCAAGTTTGTAATTAGCTTGGACACATCGTTGACCTTTTTCAAAGATCAAATTGGTTCGTTCAATTTCATACCAGGTACCAAGGAACTGGTCAACAATTAAGCATATGATTATTTTCTCGGACTAAATTAGTCACAATTTAATTTTCTTACCTCATTGATTTTAAATGGTTCAGCCAAAGATTTAGTCTCTGGACATTTACCTGGTGTAACACTTTGAGCGATCTCATTTAAATTGGGTAATTGTAAATTAGTGTAATTAAATAGATTGGGAAGTAATTGTTGAATCTGTTTGATTAATTGTTGTGGATCTAATTGAGCTGGAGCAGCCAATGTTGAGGTAACAAGGGCCAAAGTAAAAACATTGATCAAAATAAATTTCATCTTTAACGATTTTGATTCACTTCAATCCGCTGACAATTACAGTTGACAAGTTGACAATTAACTAACTACAATCAACTCGCTTCCATGTAAATATATAAAGTCCATGTAATTATTGCTTGTCATTGCTACTCTTTGTTTACAGAGTATCTTAGCTATTAATAATTGCTAGGTAATTGTTACACTTGGAAAAGGGTAAAAAATTACAAGTACAATTTAAGAGCAACAATACTAGACAATCAACTGGTAAAACTTATGATTGTAATTAGCTGATTGTGATTCTCGGAAAAAAGTAATCACTTTGTATCTGTTATCAAGAGTAATATGATTTACAAATCAATTTGAAATCTTTATTTTAAGTTAGTCAAATAAATCATGTTATGTTTCTAACTGATTTAATCTGATTAACTTGATTTTTTACCCCATCAGCCACAATCAACCAGATAATTAACTGTAGCAATCATTAGATTTGGGTTTGTTGGTTATCATTGTTGGTTTTTTTCCTGATTAACTGATTCATCAACTGATTGAATTAATCTGTATATTAATTTTTTCATCAGTTAAGTCATTGCAGGGGAAACAATTAACTGATTGTTTGCAGGTTCAAGGTTTTTTATTTATATTGTTGTTGTTTCAATGATAGACTGATTGATTTGATTCAGTTTGAAAATTATCAAGGATTGAAAGTTATGGAAACATAACTCAAGGATTGACAATTAACAATGTTTTTAATTTGTATTGTTGATATTAATTAATTGTTTGAATATAATGGTTACCGAGAGATGGAAAAGTTTTTAATTATATCAACACATCAATCAAAGGTTATCCTTTTGATAGTTTATTAAGCATAACTGATAATTACCGAATCAGTTAAATTGACAGTTAACGGATAAAGTCACAGTTAATCAGGAATTAACAAAGACAATAATGAAAATTATAATCAAGTTAATTGTTTGCCTCTCAATTGCTGAATCATTTATTTCAGCAGCTCCAACAACAAGTGAAAAAGATTGTGGTGAGTATTGTTATTTGTTCAATTTAACCAGAATTTTTAAAATTAAAACAATCAACTAATTACCACGAAAAAATTAACTAATTTCAGTTTGTGGGAGTGAAGTGATTAAATCGAGGATCCGAAATGGACACAAAGTCAAAGGTAACAAATACCCTTGGATGGTTCAACTCAAGTAAGTTAATCAAATGAATACAAGTAGAGTTTACAATCTGATTAATTGTTATAATTGATTCAGATCGTATACTGATCGAGATGAAAGTGAATACTTTCAATGTGGTGGCACATTGATTGACAATCAACACATAATTACCGCCGCTCATTGTTTTGAAAAAGATGATGGATCTTTCCTTGAAGCTAAGGATGTTGATGTTTACATGGGGACCAAGAACTTTATTGAAGAAGATGAAGATGAAGCTTATTCAGTTGAGAAGCTCTGGATTGACCCTAAATATGACGGTGACTCCTTGGGTAATGATTTCGCCATTATAACTCTGGCGGAAAAAGTTGATTTCACTCGGCACATTGGACCGATTTGTTTACCCACGACAGACGAAGGAGCCGATCAGTTTACCATTGCTGGTTGGGGCAAGACAAGTTCAGGTAAAAATGCTCATTCTGCTACTAGATTGATGGAGGCTGTGGTCAATTTAGTTCCAAGTAAGTGTTGATTTTTTTATTAATTATTTTCAGTTTGTTGTTATTTCTGACTAGTAAATGGGTTTACTTACTGTTTTTTACTAAGGGGATGAATGTGAACAATTGGCACTTAATTGGTTGGAAAAAACTGAGCCCGATGCGGTGAAATCACCTGATTTCAATGTAACCGAGTTAATTGCTGAAACTCATTTGTGTGCAAGAAATATAATCACTGGTAGCGATACTTGTGCTGGTGATTCTGGTGGACCATTGATGTATCTTGGACAAGATGACCGTTGGTTCCTGATGGGAGTTGTTTCTGGTTCATGGGTTGATTGTGGTGTTGATAAAAATGGTGCATCATTTTACACTAAATTAAACTATTATGAAGAAACAATCAAGTCTCAAGCTCCATCAGCTTGTTGGCGAGATATTTGATTGTCACTTAAATTGTATATGCTTTCAATAAATATATTTAAACTAAATACAGTCTTTTTCCTTCGGATTCATTATAATTAACCTTTTTTTCATTCGAATTAATTATCAATATGCTCTTACTAATACAATCAGGACTATACAGCCACGAAAAATGAGATGAGAACAAAATTGTGACTTATAAGCATAGAGATAATTTTTCTAATTGTGATTACATTTTCTATTACTTTCCATCTAAATCAATACAATTTCTCTTTTAAATTTGATTAAATTATCTCTTTATGCGCAATTGATATAATTTTTGTTCTCATCTCATTTTTCGTGGCTGTATTTCTTCATGTGATTGTACTGATTTTCATAATCTTTCGGTGTAATCATTTCTGAAGCAATTCTACACCTTGGATAATTTTTTTTATAACCTTCGATGATTAATTTTCTTTCTGGTGTTTTGATGAACAATTAGAATTAAAAATCATCTCCAACTTATGAGATCGAATTGGTACAGATCAATTCCTTTGAAAAAAAGTTAATTTAGAAAGAGAAAAGGGTCAATTCTAATGAGAAAAACAGAGATTAAACCTCTTCAGCCCTGAAGGAAAATTAATTTGAATGAAAAAAGGTTTATTTCTAAAGAGAAAGAAGGTGAATCCGGAGGAAAAAGACTGTAATAACTGTGGAAACATAAGTTTCATATTGGAAACAAATTTGTTAATCAAATTTAAAGGATTTTCCGGTCACTTGACATTGGTATTGAAATAAAGATAGCCCTTGACTTCACTTAGCTGTTCAATTTTATTTAATTTAGGATATTCAATAATTAGAACGATAATAATCAACACATTAACTCGAGATATAATTCGAGCAGAATCTAAACGCATCCAGCAAAACCAATACCAGTGCAAAGAACAGATCATTCTAAATTATCCTACTAGAGTTCTGGTCATTGCTGTTCTCACGAACAAGTTGTAAGTTTATCAACAAGAAAAGTGTCACTAAGAAAAAAAATAATGTGAAAGGAGGATGGTCACCGAATTTTAGTTTTGAGTTGAAACTTTGTATATTTGTAGGGCCACAAATATGAAGTCCAAATATATATAGTTTTCTGATCTGATCAGTAGTTCCGAGAAAATCGAGTTCGAAGTTAAAACTTCAAGTCGCTTTTTCTCAGCAACGATAAGTTTTTAGATCATGAAATTTTTATTTTATCGACAACATTTCATGTTGATGTTATTGACTGAGAAACTGTTTCTGTGTAAATTAAAATATTCAAATAAAAAGAAGTTTCATTTTAATCAAAAAAGTTAATTAGGTTTGACTCTTTAGATGCTACGACATTTATCGAAATCAATTGGCAAAACTCAGCATTCGTCGATTTACTAGAGAAAAATTTACTTTTTTCAATTCTAAAATACAACTAATAGTCTTTGTTACGATGATCTATTACCATTTTTCGGTATATTGTCAATAAAAGACTCACAAAAAAACATTTATTTTCTGGATTCTCATTACCAAAAGATTTAAGTTAGTCATCTATTAAACTTATTAGTTCAGCTGAATTGGAAGTCTATTGAAACTCGTTGGAGTAAAACTCTCAACGCAATTAGTTGCTAAAGTTAATTTAATTATTTTCGTTACCTGTATTTCACTGTGACACAAGAGAAGTTGATGAATAACTGCATTTTTGCATAAAAAGGCATTTATTTGATTGTTATCCCAGTTCATTTTATATCATTCAGTCTATTTCCATCACTTATAGAATTCAATTAAAACTGTGAAAAAAGTTAACGATCAGTATCATGAAACGTTCAACACTTATTTTATTTGTTTTCATATTGTTACTTTCTTTGCTTACAAAAATAGTCAATGTTGATGCTAGTATCGATCTTCGAACAAGTTTGGGTGAAACTCGCGATAAGCTGGGTAATTTACTCAAAAGTCCACGGGAGGATGCAAACACGAAGTTTGTTGGAGAAGTAACTGCGCTCGTAGGTAATCTGTCTCAGGCAAACCCATATAATAAAATTTCTGGCAGCCATGCCGTTCAAGGCGGTATTCAAGTAAATGCTTCAGCTACTATTTCTCCCAATAACAGTGATCCATTGTTATCCGTTATCCATAACAGCCAACTTTCATATGATCGAGGTGCTGGATATGTTGTTGGTCGCGATGATCGTTCTCGATTAAATATGGCTACAGTAAAGTAAAATGCGAGATTTAAAAGCAGATTAACTTTAAATAATATAAAGATCTGTTCATCGAGATACATTTTGATGCATTGGTTAGAGTAAATAAATAAATTGTTTGATTAATCGTCTAGTTGATATTAACCAATCGCGCCATCGTTTCCTCTCTTAAAAAGAATCAATAATAAAAACGTTGAAGATGAATAATGAGCTGATACGATAATCGATAAACTTAAACATAGTCGGTAAACATACGAGATACTCAATTTGTTAATGTTAATAATTCGCTATCTTGATTGTGAGACGACAAAAGGAAGATGCAATCAACACAATGGTTACCTTTGTTCAAATAAATATACGTTTAGCCCATTAAGTGATCAAATTCACTTTTAATTAGTTGAAAACAACAGCGAACAGTGTTACATTTTGTCACTAATTAATCAGCTTTATTAGAATTGTCTATTTTTCCATATCATTACATGTGATAGAATTAACAAAAGAACCATTTCCTTTCTAATTAATTGGTAATTGAACGACTAGTTTTGAGTTGGAGATAATCACTTGACAGTTTTATTAGTATAACCTATGGCCAGAATAGATGAGACTCTTCGCAAAAATCGCTATAACTATTGAACAGTAATGAATTTTTTTCTTAAATTTTATATTCGAATAGTACAAACATATAATTAAGACATAAGATGAAGGTAGTTCAGTCGAGAAGCTCTGGATTGACCCTAAATACCCACGACAGACGAAGGAGCCGATCAGTTTACCATTGCTGGTTGGGGCAAGACAAGTTCAGGTAAAAATGCTCATTCTGCTACTAGATTGATGGAGGCTGTGGTCAATTTAGTTCCAAGTAAGTGTTGATTTTTTTATTAATTATTTTCAATTTGTTGTTATTTCTGACTAGTAAATGGGTTTACTTACTGTTTTTTACTAAGGGGATGAATGTGAACAATTGGCACTTAATTGGTTGGAAAAAACTGAGCCCGATGCGGTGAAATCACCTGATTTCAATGTAACCGAGTTAATTGCTGAAACTCATTTGTGTGCAAGAAATATAATCACTGGTAGCGATACTTGTGCTGGTGATTCTGGTGGACCATTGATGTATCTTGGACAAGATGACCGTTGGTTCCTGATGGGAGTTGTTTCTGGTTCATGGGTTGATTGTGGAGTTGATAAAAATGGTGCATCATTTTACACTAAATTAAACTATTATGAAGAAACAATCAAGTCTCAAGCTCCATCAGCTTGTTGGCGAGATATTTGATTGTCACTTAAATTGTATATGCTTTCAATAAATATATTTAAACTAATATATAAATAATAATTGTGGAAAGATAAGTCTCATATTGTAAACAAATTGATTAATCAAATTAGATTTTCATCTGGACTCATCTTTTTGTACCACTTAACATCACACTTAACATTTTTATAGTAAGAGAAAACCTCTTCAGGCTCTTATGTTACTTGTAAGGTTGAAATTAGTAAAACGAAATCAAACTTAATATCAATTTAAAAGTTCCCGTTTTTATTCATGTATCATAGACACTAAGATTCATAGTTTCTTGATTGTTGAAAGGGTCACTTGGACTGAGAACAATGAAAATTTTCATAATTAGAATGAACTTTTGGTTCCAAGTTAACACTAACAATTAACCTTTTATCAAACAAATTTTACTAATTTACCTTGATCAACTTTTTCCTTTTGTATCGAAAATTCTGTATCAAGTCTGTGTCAATATACAAAGAAGTGTTCAATTGTTTTCAGAGAGAATCTTATTTGATTATGCAAATAATGAACTTTATTTTCAATACATGAATAATCATCTGGAGCTGTGAAGCAGATAATTAATGATAGAAACGTTGAAGTGAACTATCAATAGACACAAATCGATATAATTAAACAATGTCAATAAACACAAGAGATAGTCAATCTCTCAATAATTCGTTACTTTTGCTTGTGAAACGATCTAAAGAAGACCATTGGTCAGTTGATAGTTTACAAGATTTATTGAGCATTACTGTTTCCGTTAACCGAAATGAATAGCTAATTCGTTAATTAAGTGAGTAAATTAACTTCCAACTAACGAAGACAACATCAAACAGTATTGAATTTTGTCACTAATTAATCAGCTTTGTATCAATAAGAATGATCTATTTTTCAATATCATGTCATTTCATGTGATAGAATCAACAAAATAACCATTTCCTTTCTAATTAATTGTTAATTGAACCACAAGTTTTGGGTTGGAGATAATCACTTGACAGTTTTATTAGTATAGCTGAATTTAAACTCTATTGAATCGTTTAAACAAAACTCTCAACGAAATCGTCACCTCTCAAATGTTAAATGTTAATTAACCTTCCTGGTCGCAAAGTTTTATTTTATCTGTGTCCCTATTCAACTCTACATATCAGCAACTTTTATTAGATAAACATCTAGAGAAACTTTCACCGGAAAGAGTATTCATTTAATTGCTATTATTAATTTCATAAATTCTAGCTGTTTTGACTCTATTTCAATTGAAGTCAACCAACTTTGTCACGAGAGTAAAACTATTCTGTCTGAATAACTGAATTCTATGAATTATCCATTTAAAAAGGGCATTCATTTGATTGTTATATAATATATAACTAATATTTATTTGAATATTTTAATTTGCACAGAAACAGTTTCTCTGTCAATAACATCAAGTGAAACTTTCATGTAAAATGAGTATTCCAATAATTGTGATATTTTCAAATAAGCTTTTTTATGGAATTACCATCCCATGAGCTTGAAATGCGTTCTATCACCAATGACCTAAATTACCTTGATCAGACAGTAATAATTTTTGAGAACGAAAACTTTCTATTATTAATTGACGATCACGAATTTATTGAATTATTTTGATCATTAATAAGCATTCTTAATTAAACAACTTAAATACGTAAAAATAGCAATAATAATAGTTGAAGCATTTTCTAGGACACCACCTCGAGTGACATGGTCTCCGACAACCACACTGCTTTCTGCTGAGCTTAGCTTAGCGAATCATAGTTATGAGGTCAGATATTTCTTTAATAAACGCCGAGTTAGGGTTTTGGACAGTCCTCTCCATATTTTTGTCCGAAAGACCTGGCATATCAGCGCCTGTCCCAAGACCATTACTATTATCAGTTTTGATGAGGTTTGAAAACAAGGAAAGCAACAATATGATAACATGCAAGGTAAATGTTGGATATTTAATGAAATTCATGGTTGACTTTTTTTTCACACTTTCAATTGTATATAAGTGATGGAAATGGACTGAAAGCTATAAAATGAACTGGGATAACAATCAAATATATAACTTTTTTATATGAATAATTCACAACATGCAGTTATTCAGAAACTGGTCTCGTGGTGAAGTTAAATTCAGATAACGAAGATAATTAAATTCACTTCATTAATTGATTTCGTTGAAAGTTTTTGTTAAATAGAACTTTAATTCAGCTGAACTAATAAGTTTATCAAGTGATTAACTTAACCTTTTGGTAATGAGAATCCAGAAAATAAATGTTTTACATGTAACTCTCAAAGAAATCGTCGCCTCTGAAGTGGTGAATTTAACTGAATCCAATATCTGTGTAACTATTGATCTTGCCACAAAAGTAGATTCTAAATATTAACATCAAGTGAAACTTTCATGTAAAACGAGTATACATTTGACTGTGGATTAAGTGTAATTTTTGCCTTTAGTTAATAATCATCACTGAGCAAGTTTAATTGTGATTGTGAAAAAAGTTCATCATGAATTTCATCAAAGGTTCAACATTTATTTTATGCGTTATAATGTTTTCAATTTTATCGTTTTTAACCACCGTCAAAACAGCTAATAGTAATCAGCCTGGCAATAAGCATAATGAAAAAATTAGTTTAATAAGTTCGCATGGTTCTGATGTTGATGTTAACTGACGTATCTTTGGTCGTTCTCAGAATGGAAGGGGATGCGTTTAACAAAACTCATCATATGATCATGTCAACAAATTTTCATAAATTCCAGTTTATGAATTATTAATAAAATCAATTTTATCACAGATACATTTAATTATTCATATTTTTCGAGTTATCCAAGATTCTGACTTAAATAGATTTAACAATTTGATTTGATCTTTTCAAGTCACTAGCCCTCTAGAACATTAGATTATCAACTAAGTGTTGATTTAAACGTTGAACTTTGTCCAAATAATTGGATATACTATTAATAGTATTGTAAATTGCTCAGGTGACCTTTTCGAACACAATGAACAGTTAATGTCTGTATTAACAGCTAGTTTTAGATTAGTTTTTATTAGTTATCATTAATACAAGTAAACATTTGATTTCGACCTTAGTGTAATTTTTTCTTATAATAAATAATCACCATTGAGCAAGTTCAATCTTGACTATGAACAAAAATCTGCGTAACTATTGATCTTGCCACAAAAGCAGATTCTAAATATTAAAATCAAGTGAAACTTTCATATAAAACGAGTATACATTTGACTGTGGATTAAGTGTAATTTTTGCTTTTAGTTAATAATCATCACTGAGCGAGTTCAATTATGAGTGTCAAAAAGTTCATCATGAATTTCATCAAATGTTCAACATTCTTTTTATGCTTCATCATATTCTCTATTTTCCCGTTTATAAATATCGTCAAAACTGATAATAGTTATCAGCCTGAGCCACGAACTAATCTTCAGGATCTAGATATTTTAGATACTGCCATGAAATCTACAAAAGAAAATCAATCCACTATTATTGCTAGTAAGCTAAACTTTGGTCTTCAGGGTCGTAGTAATTGGAGTATTATCCAGATGACTTCCATGGTGCCTATTCAAGGAAATCAATTAACTGAATCAAAAATACCCCAATAAATCGCCCAGCCATATCTAATGAAGTATAACAACTTATAAATATGTTTATTGAAGCACAAGCCAATGAAGCGGTGCGAAGTGCTGATGCTAGGCCAGTTTCTATTGCTGGCGCGCCTGGTGGACCTGGTGCTTTAGCTGGTTATAGTCAAGGTTCTGGTGCCAGTGCTGGCGATGTAATGCTAAATGCACAGATTTCTGATATGACTAGTCAATTCCTTACATCGAACGAAGCTCGCGATAATGTTTACAAATTGATTAATGACAGATATGATGTGACTTCTAATGCTGAAGCTGCTAGTCGATTTTTCGAATTATTTAACAAGACTATATCATAACTAACATCTTGTAAGATTGAACAACCTAAATAAATTTAACAATTTGATTTGATCTTTTCGACCATAATTAATGTTTGTATTAACAGTTAAAGATTGGTTTTCATTTGTAATTTCTGAACACTTGGTTCATTGAAAGACTATAAAAGTCATCGCTCTTCTGGTTTACCTGAGAGAAAATTGTAAGAATAAAGGAACTCATTTAAGCGTTTTATTATCAACATCGACTTCTACTCACAGGTACTGCAGAACTACAAAATATTTTCATAGCAGAGAAAATTGGGATGGGTCCCATAGGTAATAAATATGTTTGATCAAACAGGTCAAGGAATCAATCGCGTGGCTTCTGTTCCTTATGCTGCAAATCATAATTATGGTCAAGCTTCTGACAACTAATCTCGGCTTCTAAATAAAAATCATTAAGTTTCATAGAGATGTTTACAATCAATTCGAGGTGAACTCACTATCTATTGAGAAACAACTTATCGAATAAGTCTCATCTTTTAGTAGATTTAATTACTCAAAATATTTTTTTTCTTGGAAACAACATGTAATTCATTAAACATTTCCGTTCGCTTCCGATTTCATTTACAAAATTTTTCGTGATTAATAAGTAGAAACCAGCCTTTTACTATGGATATAATGTTTGTCAATTAAATGGTGAATTAAAATTAAATTAAGCAGCTTCGAAAACAATGATCTATTTTATCCCACGTCACCAATGGAATCACAACAAAAACATTTATTTTCCGGGCCTCAAACACCAAAAGCTCCAGATAATCACTTGATAATTTAGTACAGTTGAATTTTAGTTCTAACAAAACTCTCGACATAATCGTTGCCTCTTAAGTGTTGGATTTAACAAACGTGAACGTTGAACTTTGTACAAATAATTGGATATATTACTAGTATTAATAAATTGCTCAGGTGACTTTTTGACCACAATGAACAGTTAATGTCTGTATTAACAGTTAATTTTGGATGAGTTTTTATTATTTATCATTAATACTACTTTCAAACGGGATAAGATAAGTTTCGAGTTTTGTGTGATTAAACTCTTCGGGAAGAAAAGGGAATGTTAAAGTGAAGGGGTGGTACGACGATGGTGTGAAGGGTTGTTTATGATTCTCACATTACCATCAGGACCAGTCAAGCCAATCATTTGTCCTACTGTGGATATCTCACTAGGTGCAACTGTTGACGCAATACCAGTAGATCGTGAGCCATCAGATAGCGATGTTCCAATGAATGATATCAAAACTGTTAATGAAAAGGTTTGGATAAACTGGAAATTCATAATTATGATTAGTTTAAGACGAAACAGAATAATAAATTTATTTGAACAGAATTAATTGGGAAGAAACTTCGATTGTTGTTGATCGACAAAATATTAGGTTGAGCAATAATATTAAAAATGGCGACGGCACTTTTAGAACAAAAGAAATAAACTTTGTTGTGTAAATTAAACTAATTATTGAAAATGACGATGGGTCGTTAAAAGCTAGTCCTTTTTGTATCAATCTATCTGCAAGTATTCAGCTTTGAACAACAGGGAAAGTGTATTTACCTGTGGAAATAAGTCACGATCCAATTAAAAAGTAACCTCTTAATTGTTTGTTAACTTATTCTTCAATTAGAATAGTTGAATTTGAATAGGGTTTCGTCTGTATCAATACAGTTTTCTATTACTGGGAACCTTTATTCTTCGCAATAGAAACTCAAATTCAACCAGTTTAGGTTAGTTTTTCGCTGGTAATTTTAATAAACTTTTCCAATTGTTTAGATTGGTTATTATCACGATTTTCGGATTGCTGATGAATAGCTTATCAATAGAAAAGGATAATCTCTATCATTTACAACATTTATCGTGATCGATTGGTAGGAACCAGCATTTTACTATCAATAAAATGTGCGCAAATTTATTGATGCAAAATTTTGATTTTTTGATTTTTTGATTAAAAATCAATTAATCAGGTTCGTAAACAATTGTCTGTTTTATCCCATGTCAATAATAGAATCTCAAAAAACATTTATTTTCTGGATTCTCATTACCAAAAGGTTAAGTTAATCACTTAATAAACTTATTAGTTCAGCTGAATTAAAGTTCTATTTAAACTCGTTGCAACAAAACTCTCAACGAAATTGTAGCCTCTTACAGTAAGTGTTGAATTCAATTAAATCCAATATCTGTGTAACTATTGATCTTGTCACAAAAGCAGATTCTGAATATTAAAATCAAGTGAAACTTTCATATAAAACAAGTATAAATTAATTTCGCCCTAGTGTAATTTTTTCTTCTAGTTAATAATCATCACTAAACAAGTTCAATTGTTATTGTGAAAAAAAGTTCATCATGGATTTCATTAAATGTTCAACATTTACTTGCATTATAATGTTTTCAATTTTATCTTTACAAACATCGTCAAAACTGATAATAGTTATCAGCCTGAGCCACAATCTAATCTTCATGATCTAAATATTATAGATACTGCCATGAAATCTACACAAGAAAATCAATCCACTAATGAAGTAAGACAATTGTTGTCTATGTTTTCTCAAGTAGCAGCCAATGAAGACTCTGGTACTGGTGCCTAACCTGGTTTTGCTTATATTCGATATGTATCAATAAACAAATTCTTGGTCTAAATAAAAATTCGTTAGAAATAAGATCAAGATATTATCATACATCAATGTATCAATACATTTTTATAAATTCGCATTCGCAAACCAAATTTTCACTTAAAAAAACCACAATCAACCATCAGTCAATGATCAAAAATCACTCTAATAGTTTCCTGCTAAATAATTTTTAAAAATTATTGAAAAAAAGTGTCTTATTGATGAAACTTTCGCGAGTGAATCAATTGTTGATCAAATTTTCATTTACAATCAGTTAGTTGAAAATAACATCATGAAACATGAATATAACAGATTCTATCAATCATCTCTTTTGCTGTTCTGTGGGTAATTGTTAATTATAACGAAATTATCATAACTCAATCATCTCAATTCAAAGCAATCGTAATTTTAACATCTTCTAAATTGTTGTCGATGGCTTTGAATTTAGAGCCGTTTTTCCGTTTATGAATAAGGTTTCAGGTCGATACAAATGATAAATTGTGAGAAACGATATTTTATTCAATTCTGATTACAAGTAAATTTAATTTCTTCTCTCTAAATTACCTGTTGATCGTTTATAAGGATAATAGTGATTAGAGTTGCAATAAGGATCCAAAAATTAATCGAAGACAATTAATAGAATGGTTTATGTTGCAATACTAATTGGATACTAAAAGAATTGACTGATTTTTTATATATTAGTTTGTGACAATTAACAGTAATAAATTTGATCGACTAATTGTTAGGGAGCTTTTAATTACAAGGAAACTATTGAATCTGAAAGTTTATCATCATTTTTGGTTAAACGCGACAATTTAAACGTAATTCACACTAATCAATTGCTAACAATCAATGATATTGATCAAGACTCTAATCTAGCTTAAGGTTAAATTATATTTTAATAGTCGTTTAATCATTAATTGTTATCAATGGTTACGATTAAAAAATCTGGGTGACCTTCAATGACCTGAAAGATGATTGTAACAATTAACAAATTATCGCGAGTAAATTTAATTATTTTTACAGGTCAAATAGCAAAACAATTAACTCTTAATAACTTTTTCCCCTTGATTATAATTAACTTTTGTATTAACCACTAAATTAAATATTGTAAACATTATGATGATCAGTTAATCAAAATGTTTACATTGGCAAAGGAAATATTATTGTTTACCTAATTGTTAACAATTAAAATGATATTTAAATCAATTATCACCTTCGTACCAATGAATTGACCTTTTTTCCCAATCAACAGACAATCAAAAAGTTTTAGTTATTTTTTTATTCATTGATTAGTTGATTGTTGATAACAATTGATCATAATGAACCATCAAAAGTTAATCCATTGAAAGTTAATTATAATCATTGATCAGTTAAATTGTTGATCCATTGAAGGAATTGTATACAATTTAAATCGTGATTAAGACGATCATCATCAATGATGAAAAAAAAGGTAATGATAATCAGCAACCATGATGATGATGATTAAGTTGATTGTGATGACCGGGTTAATCAATTTCGTTAAGCTTGATTTGTTCTCGAGTCGATCGAATGTGAAAAAAAAGTTCTAACGTCCATTTTAAGACTTTCTCCCTCGATTTAATCAGATCTTAATTGTTAACAATCAGTCGAACTTTGAATTACCTTGAATCACCATCACCTTTCAATCAAATGAATCAAATTGTTTGTTTTTGTCTTTTTATTTATGGTAATTTGTTAATTCACTTTTGTTAATTGTCATTGATTATCGATCATTTTTTCGTTTAATTGTTCATGTTTAACTTTCATATTTACTTGATTCTATTAACTGTTAATTAGATCATGTTTAGTTTTGATATTTTTGTGCTCCTTTCAATTGGATTAATCAGTTCAAGTGCATTAATTGTTTCATCCAATAATAATAATAATAATGTTACTAATCAATTGGATTATCGTCTTGCTTGGCAACAATTAGAAAATTTTACTAAACTTTCTGTCAACAATTTAGTTAATCATTATGCATCGGATGTTAGTACAATAATTAAATCATCACACATTTCAAATCAATGTCAAAAGTCAATTGAAAATTTTATTGGTGACATTAAATTAATGAAAGTTAATGCACTTAAACGTAAGTATTAATGATTTAATTGCTTAATGTTGCTGATTCGTTAATTAAGATGAAGACTTGAATTGCATCATAACCCTGAGATATAATTGATAATAGTTAAACTGATCACAATCAGATCCATCGATTTGATTGTTTTTCAATTGATTGTTGATTGAATTTCACTAATTTTTTGTTGATTGATTGTTGATTGTTGAACCAGAATTTGATTCTATGGGAGGATTACCAACGGGACTACTTGATGGTACTTGGATTGATTCGGGTTCATTTCATGAGTGCCTCGAACTACCTGGAACTCAATATTGTTTCATGTTCTCGAAAATGCCGTTACCTTTACCTAATCCTCGCGAGGGTTGGCACAGGCCGATTAACGGGCAACAGTTTAATCTGACCACTGAGACATTCAGTTACTTGACCACGTACGCTCATTTTTTCCGTTACCTTAATTTGACAACGGGACTTTGTGTACCTAAATTGTGTTCTAAAGATGAAATCAAAACAATCGCTGTTAAAGGTCATCAATTTTATCGAACTGGATTTACCGTTGATGTTGATCTTTGTACCAATCGCTCAGAGTTCAATCCGATTGTATTTCGGGAAATGATCGCGGGTTTTATCATCATATTAGTGGTTTCGCTGAATGTTGTTGGTACAATGATTGGAGGAGTTCGAGGTCCACAATTTTTAGCGCATTTTAACATGGGAAACAATTGGAAACGATTGTTCCAACCTCGGTCCATTGACGCTGATATTCCGACACTGAATGGAATAAAATCGATCACAATGGCCTTTATGATATTGGTGCACATTTTTTTCCTTCTTTTTTATCCAAAGTACATTTCGTTTTTCAAAATTCCCGGAACATCAACTTCGCCCTTAGTTATCACCTTTTTCTTGGGTCCTTTCACAGTGGACACTTTCTTTCTGATAACTGGACTCGAAATGACCCTCACATTAATCCAACGAAAAAGACCTTTCAACTTGACCGGTTTTCTAGTTCAAAGGTATCTTCGATTCGCAACAGTCATTGGCTGGACAATCTGTTGTTATATTATACTATTTTCTAATCACACCCGTGATTGGGTCGGTGGACCTTATTGGCCTTTCTTCAGAGCAACAGGAACCATTCCCGTTAAATGTGGCCATAAGTGGCCTTTGCACATGCTGTTGATCGCTCACTATTTCAATATTGGTGAAGACTCTCAACTTTGTCTATTAGCTGATTGGTACCTTGAGGCTGATTATCTGTTCGCGGTTATGTTTCTACTTATTCTGATTCCAAGTTTAAAGGGGAAATTTAAAATTTCGTATTTAATTACAATGATTTATATCGTATTTGGGTCGGTGGCCATTGGCCTTATCATGCACTTCGGGCAAGTTCAACACACTTGGCAGCCATTGATGTTCCAAGACGATGGATTCATCCGCTATCTGGCCTTTATCCATGGTAAACCCTGGGGACATATCAGTCCATATTTCATCGGGGTTCTGTTGGGCTTCAAATTAACTGATCCAATTAAGATTAACAAGGTAATAATTGTTGGCATCTTTATGTCAATCTTTTGATTAATTGACTTTTCTACCTTTTTCAGATGAAAGTAACAACGATCTGGATAATTTGGGCCATTAGTTGGGTCGTTTTAACGGTCTACGAAGCGGCGATCAATTTGAACATTTTCCCGGTTCCCTATTTGGTTTCACTTGCTTATGGGATGTTCTCGAAAATCCTCTGGTCATTTATTGTTTCCTGGACAATTTGGACTTCTTATCATGGTTATGCTCATCGATGGATCACTAAATTGTTGTCTCTTCACTTATTCACTGTTCTTTCAAGAATTAATTTATCTGTTCTATTTGTTAATTTACTAATTGTCAGGTTTAGAAATTCAACCATCCAATCTAACTCATTCCCTTCTCTGATGGATATAATTTTCTCTGAAGTTATTCCTCTTTTTGTTGTAATTTATTCAATTTCATTTATTTTCAGTGTTCTCATTGAAGGTCCAACAATTAACTTAATCAGAGCGATGAACAGTCCGAGAAAGTCAAGCAAAACAATTGCAACTACGGAAATCGTATTAACTGCTACTAATGGAATGAACAATAAACCTCAGCTCGCGAATTTGTGATCATTTTTAAGTTCAATTTGTAGAAATGTTCAAACAATTAAAGTAAAATCATCTTGTCACAATTTTCTCGCAATTTAATTCAAATCAATCAACTAATAATTTGAAGACAATTACAAAAAGCGCCACCTATTGGGTAAGAATTCATCTCCTGATCATATGGCCTGAAAATCAAATTGATCAGAATTTTTTTTTACCCAATTGTCAATTGAGTTTCTGGTTAATTGTTTTATGTTTACATTTTACTAAGTTGATTCTAATCAATTGATTAGAGTTTACAACTTGATTGGGCCTTTAACTGTTGTCTATGTTTATTTTAATTGTCTAGATATTGTTGACCTTTTGATGTTACTTGTTTAAAGCCTTGGATTCTTATGGGTGTTTATTGAGATACAAAATTTGAGTAAGTATTTGGTTTGATTGTTACTCTTTATTTTGAATTGATTGTTGTTTTATTCTAGTTTATTGGTGTTAGCTGATTATGGCCACTCAAGCTCAAGGAACGCCTGATACTGGGCCCATTGATTATCCAGCGAAAGTGAAAGATCTTGAAGAGAAATTATTGACTTTGAAAATCAAACGAGCTGAAGATGGTCGAAAGATCCAGGAAATGGAAAGAATCAAGATTCAAAACCAACAGTTATTAGAGTTTAAGAAACAAATTCTTGAATCAAGGGCTGAATTGCAGAAACAATTAGTTCAAGCTAAAAAAGACGCTGAAGAAGCCATTGCTGATAAAGCTCGTCATGCTGAAGAGATGAAGGATTTGGCAGAAACAGCGGAAATCGCTTGTCTTGATAAAGAAATGGCTGAAGAAAAATATGAACAATTATTGAAGGAAAATGAAACATTGAAAGAAAAATTGGAAGAAATTTCAATTGATTTCGAATTGTTGAAAAGTGAGATTGATGTTCATGGTGATGGTGTTTCCAATGCTTATGAGGTTAAGCAACTTCAACAACAAAATGCTCGTTACAATGAGGCGATCATTAAATTGAGAGATATATTATCAGCTGATAAGGTGGAAATCCAAGGATTACAAAAAGACTTGAAAGAATCTCTTAATCAAGTGAGTGAGCTACAAAAATTGAAGGAAAAATACGAGAAAGAGATTAGCAGTTTAGAGGAAAATATCAATGAGTTAAAGGAACAGATTGATGACGCTCTTGGTTCTCAAGAAATGGTCGAAATTTTGACGGAGAAAAATCTTGAACTCGAAGATAAAGTGAAAACCCTTCAGGAAGAGGTAGACGATCTCGATAAAATTCACGAGATAAATGAACAGTTACAAGAAGGAGCTCGTGACACGGAATTGGAACTTCGTGAAGAATTGGATCTCAATCGAACCAAAATAAACAACCTTCTCAAGAAAGTAGAAGATGGACAAGAAGCCTTAGCCAGTTACGAAAGTACCATTCAGAAATTCAGAGAACTTGTGAAATCGTTGCGAGATGAAAACTCGGATCTTCGTAAACAAGGAAACCTCGCTCAAGTTCAGAGTCAAGAACAGCAAGTGGAAAACATTGAATTTAAAATGCGTTTCGCTGAATCAAAAGCCTTCGCTCATGCCGTTGAAATGGATCTTCGAAGATTGGAAGTGACACAATATAAGAAACAAATTAAACTTTTATCTAAATTTTTACCTCAAAGCTTCTTCATGCCCGGAGGAGATCATGATGCTATACAAGTGCTTCTCTTTGTCATTAGAATGTTCGAAAAATGTGACATAATCTCTCGTCAGATCGTTGAAAAATACCCGCTGGTGGAAGATTATCAATTAGAGGCTTGTATTGACTCAGATTCTGTGATCAAGAAAACAAATGAAACGATTAGACAACAAGGTTTCACTCGTCGATTGCTTTTCCTTTTGTCATCTATTCAAACGATTCTGGGCCAATATACTGATTCTTTGAAATCGTGTTCCATTGAATTGTATCTCAAAATAGCTTCACTTTATCCCGAACTGAAGACTCACGAGAAAACGATTGATGGATTCATTGAATTACTCAAGAAAGATCAATTCGACGAGACGATTTCATTGGATAATCTTGAGAAAGCTTTAAATTACTTTGTCTCTTTATATAATCTTCATCTTGCCGATAACAAAGTTAACAATTGCCGTGACTTGCTTTCTAATTTTGTCTCCATCATGAAATCGGGTGTTGATGTTTCCCTTATTGATGTTATCATGATTGACAAATGTATCTCACCAAGCGCCGAGGGAAGAGAGCGAATCGATATGCTGAAAACTTACCTTGGAGATATTCAAGAATTTTGTAAAAAGATAAGACGTCGTTTGATTGCCGACAACAATGGTATCAATTTGAGTCCAATCTTGGAAAATGAAATTCGTGATTGTATCATTCAAATGTTCAAATCAGTCGCTGCTCTTCATACGATAAGAACTACAATCGTTGAAGCGGCTATCGAAACGTCGTTGGAAACCGATGAGATAACACTTTTCCAGGGATTCCAAGAAATCGACGCCATGATCACTCAAACGGGAGGATTCAAATTCTTGGAGGTTTCTCTTAACGGCATCATGAGTGTTTGTAGTCAACTATCAACAGGATTACAACAGGGAGATTTTGAGGGAGAGGTTAAACGAATTGAAAGTTCAGATGAAGATCGCTTGGATCCTCTTGAAGCTCGTGCTCAATATGTCACAGATCAAAGTGGTAAATTAAGTGAATACAAGATTAAATTGGAGAGCAAAGAAAACGAAATTAACGAATTAAAGAAAGCGCTGAAATTGAAAATTTCGGAAACAAGTGAGATGCAGATTAGAAAAGATTTGGCCGAGAAAAAGTTACTTTCGGCAACTAAAAGCTCTAATGAAAAGGTCGGTAAACTTCAAGCCGAACTTGATGAACATCGAGATATGACCCGAAGACGAGAACGTGAATATGAGGAGACTTTAAATCATTACCAGGCCGATATTGAGGCTCTCGAATCTGAGCGAAGTGAATTAAAAGAGAAAGTTAAAATTCTATCCAAACGAACCATTTTCGAAGGACTAACCAAATCAGTGACTTCATTAAACTCATCAAATCCTCGCCATGACACCTCACCTTCAGCATCACTTTCACCGCTCGAGGCCAGTTACATGCAACAAATTTCATCCCTACGAAATGCCCTGAAAACAGTAAAGGACGATAACATTAGACTCCAATGTCGCCTTGAAGAAAAGAAATTGAAAATCGATAATGTTAAATTTCACTCGATTCTTTCCCGAACTAAACCTCTTTGGTACCTTAAGGTAACCGGAAAAGAGAAACAATTAATTGGTAACATTGATGATTATTCTGGAGGAGATAAAATCAAAGCCTTGTACATAAAAGAGCGAAATCTAATCAATCGAATGGAGAAATTCCGTCATGAAGCACGAATGAAATTAATCAATCAAAAGCTTTTCGATCCTGATCGTCCTTTTCGTGATCTCATAATTGAAGATCAAATTGAAAAGAGAAAATTACAAGCCGATTATGACCAATTAGCCGAAGAGATAATCAAATTCGCTGCCGAGAAAAAGTCAGCGGTATTGTATTAAAAGCGAAGCGAAAAAAAAAACGTAAAACAAAGACAACTAATTAACTATTCTAAACATTTGGGATACCTGGTCTCTTGTAAAATATTTAATTCACTCAAATAAATTAATTGTTTACTTTTAATTTTTTGCGCTCAATCGAAATTCAAAATAAGAAAACCAGTAACTATGGTTACCGTTTGTTATCATTTGAGAACCAGAAAAAACATCTGATCAAGTGTCTTCCTTGTAGGCGTTCATTTGATTTCCTCTGGTTTTAATTGTTGATTGATTTTGATTCCATAATCTACTTTGATTAGTCTTACAATTTGTCGGTGTTAAGATGACCAGCGATCTTTGAATTGGCTTCGTTTTGTTTAGATTCTAATTGTGGTTACTCTTTTGTGATGGCGAAAATAAATTTGATACAAAACGACATTCGAAATGAAGAAATGGTCGACCAAGTGGTTTGTACTGTTGAAAGATTGTCACTCGTCATGGAGAATATGTTCAATTCGGTTGATGGTCGTCTGGATGCTCTCAAGGGACGAATGACAAGTATCCAGGATCGATCGATCGAGGCTCAGAGAAACATCGACAAAATTAGAGAGTCGAAATCTAAAGTGACCAAAGTGTTTGCTCGTCATCGTTATCCGGCCAAATCCGTTAATCGACCATATCAAGCCTTGGATAATATTCCATGGACATCGATTCGACCTGATGAAAGTAACATGAAATCTTATTCTAAAGAGCCGATCAACGGAGCTCATATTCCTTTCGATGATGAATCATTGAAAGATAAGATTAAATTTTTCATCACCGCTCGGGAGAAAAGGCCCGCTGGCAGTGGATCTCTTGATTCTAAAAATGGTGTTGATTCAGTTCCATGGGAGAGAATAACAAATGTCGGAACTTTGGTCATGTTTAATTCGTCAGAAAATCCGTTCCTTCGCTCTCGTCAAGTTTCTTCTCTAGTTGATGTCAAGATGAAAATTCGAAAAGGAGTTCAATCAATGATTGATGATACCGATGGTATTGTTCCGTTGACACCTTCTTCTATTCTAAATTCTGAGCAGATCGAAAGCCAAGAGAAAATGTTGCAATATAATCCAAACTCACAAGCTGCCCCAAAGATACTCGATTCATTGCCTTCAGCTTTACCCCATTTACCTGGAATAGCCGATGATTTATTATTTACTAGCGAAGAAACTTTCGATCATTTTAATCGAAGTTCATCAGAAATTGGATCATTACCTAAACTGATTAGTAGTCCTATCGCTAAACCAGAAGCAGCTCATGATTTTCAAGCACAACGTCAAGTCGCTCCTACGAACATTCAATCACTTAGCCAATCAACTCCACCGCCACCAATGTCTTCAGGACAACAAACATTACCTTCAGCTAACACTCCAATGGTACCATCTATACCTCCACCTCCTCCTCCTCCACCACCGCCACCCTTAGTTACTCTGCCATCAGGACCTGCTGGACCACCCCCACCACCTCCTCCACCTCCACCTTCAGCACCTATTGCACCTCCTCCACCTCCCGCACCTCTTGTCCCTCCGTTATCTACCGACGATTCTCAACCCACTGTCCCTACACCAGCAGCGCCTAAGGCACCAATCGGCGATCCAAGAGAAGGCCTTTTAGCTTCGATTCGTCAAGCTGGTGGTCGCCCAACAAAGAAACCTATTAACCTTAAACAGCGGAAAATCGAGGAGAAAAAAGAGGCTCGCGCTGTGGTCAGCGACGACTTCATGTCAGCCTTACAACAGAAACTGAACGATCGACGCAAAGGAATAAGCGGAAAAAGTAGCGAAGTCGATGGACCAAAATCAGGTTCATCTCTATCTCGAGCTGCAGCCGCTATCATGTCACAACAAAGACGAGACAGCGTTTCATCATCAGCCTCATCAATCAACGACGATGCAGATTGGGATGACAATTAACCGAAACAATCAAGTCACTAAACTAAACCTGTAAATAGCATCAAATGTAATATAAACAAAAAAGCAAACGACAAAATCAAGAGAAAACCAAAACTATTATTGTTAACAAAATGATATTCCAATCATAATATAAAACTAATCATTCACAATTAACAAACAATCCAACAATCCAACAATCAACAGATAAAACAATCTAAATTTAAATGGAAAATAAAACCTCTAAAAAAGTGGATTATGCTCAATATGCTTAAGAATAAATCATATGTTCCCAATAACGAGATTTCGTTTTTTAGATAACATATCTTTCCACTGATTACAATTAATTCTAATCAATTTAATTACCTAAATCTCTTACAATTAACTTGTTAAATTGAACATAATTGACATTAATTGTCAATCAAATGAATTCATCTTTTCTAATCAAAGTTTTCTCCTCATTTCTTTGTGATTCTTTCCATTGACAAACAATTTATTTACTTTTCCATATTTAAACATTGATAATTATCTTTTAATCATCTAACTAATCGTTCCCGTGATCATCACCAACATCCATTAATTAGTGTAACCTGCTCTTGATCACTGACCATCAACAATTGACCACAATACAATTACCATTAAATGGAAAAATGTAATTTCCAAATTGTGTTAATCTAATTTTCTTGTTTTCATTTGTCAACCTTTTCCATTGAAATTTCATCACCTTTCAATCAAACTTTTCAATCTAATTCACTTCCATTTGGATTAACCTTTAGTAAGTAAATCTAAACAGTTAATCTCTGTTAATCAATTTAACTATTAATTAATTTTCTATTAATTTAAACCATCAAAACATTTCTATACTTTTCTCAGTATAAACACAAAGAGGCTCAGGTGAAGTAAACTGAGTTTACTCTCAAGGTAATCAAACGTAATTTGGTAAATAGAAAAAGCTAATTAATCATCTAATTAACTTGAGAAAAAGTTGATTAACTAATTGTGATTAAAAGAACAATCAATTTGAAAGAAAAAAATTTCAAACAATCAAAGCAAATATTAGTAACTTGAGCTAACCCTTGACACTTTCAGTTGTTATTGAATCAAGAAAATCCCCTCAGGCCATTGAGTTAATTATGGTTAACATTTAATCTCAATTAATTTAGCTGATTGTTGGCAATGTTGTAAAATGATTAACCCACAAATGTTGCTAATTAACAATCTACTAATCAACTTTGCCCATTTCTAATGGCAAAGGTAAATTTATCTCACTTTTATATTTAGTAATCAAACTAATTCAGTTGATGATCATCCGATTGATTAAATCATCTCACAACTTCATCACCTCATTCAGATAATCATAATTGTAAATCATTAATTGTTTTCACCTTAATTTCCTAATATCATATTATTATTATGATCAAGCTAATCAGTGGCTTCAATTGTTGTAATATCTAAATTTTACTTCATCTTATTTAATCTGATTGGTTCTATTCTGATTGTTAATACAATTAGAAACACGATGATTAGTTAATTGTCTACATTTAATGTTTAGATTTCCCGTTAATTGTTACTTACATTTCCTCCTTAATCTCTTCCTCATCTTTTACTTTCTCAGCTTCGATTATCATCCCACCTCATGAATATAATCAATTATTTCAATTAGTGTTTTAGATTACAATCTTAATTGTTACAACAATCGTAATCAAAATTTGTATACATTAATTCATTGGGAAAAAAAACTTATCTGGGTCATTCAGATTCAGGTAAACTCTTATCATGTTTATCATGATATCACTACGAGTATACATTTAATCAGTTAGCAACCGATTTAAGCAATTTGTTCAATCATTAAATTGTTGTTAATTGTTGTAGTTAAAGAAGAGACTTAAATGATTAGGCTGATCGCAATTTAATCTCGAGAAAGGTGGAGCAATTGATTGTTTTACTTTTTTTCGGTGATGAAGATTGTGGATGAATTGAGTTGATACAGACAAAAGAGTTAAAAAGTAACTTGATCTTGTTATTGTTTATAAATTGTTGCGATCAATTAATCATCTAAATCTGATTAACTGATTAATCTGTTAAATCAGTTAATTTATGTATCTTTCTTGTTTGTAATCATGTTTTTCATGGTTCTGCTTGGGAAGCCCATTCATCATTCCATAAGTTTTAACAGCAATTAAATATCGAAATCATTTAAATTACAATTTAGTAAATTGTTCACGTGAAACTTGTTTGATCATTAACTAAGTTCTAATAACAATCATTTCTCTTTCTCCCTTTCTCACTTTCCACCTTCTCCCTCTCTCTCTCTCTCTCCATCTTCCTCTCTCTCTCTCTCTCTATCTCCATCTCTTTCGATATTTTCTTCCTTTGTTTATTTCTTGTTTTCCATCATCGTCATCATATCGAAAGTTTCTGTTTACCTTTCAATTCCCTTATGTTATTAGTAGAAATTTGTTGTTCTGTCAATTAATTAACTATGGTCTCTAATTGTGCTCCTTCTCATCCTTATAGTGATTTAGGTCAATTAAGGTGTCTTCGTGCTTTGGGTAGTTCGTCCCAAGAATCTTGTGAAATGCGTCAAATGCCCTGGTTTGGAATGGACATTGGTGGAACCCTCGTTAAATTGGTTTACTTTGAGCCAACCGATTATACTCCGGATGATGAGAAAAACGAAGCCGAAACGGTTAAGATAATCCGACATTACCTGAAATCAAGATCCGCCTATGGGAAAACAGGTAAACGAGATGTTCACCTTCAAATGGATTGTACAATTAAAAATCGCCGGGGGGTATTACACTTTATCCGTTTTCCAACTAGTGAGATGCCCGTTTTCATTAGTTTAGCCCATTCCAAGGGAATCGCTCAACTGGCCAGTACGGTTTGTGCAACCGGAGGTGGAGCATATAAATTTGAGAAACAATTCTCAGAGGAACTGAATTTAACTTTGAAAAAATTTGACGAACTTGCATCTCTCATCCATGGGATCCATTTTATTGAACGTTACAATCCTCAGGAATGTTTTTACCTGCAAAATCCAATGGAAGACGATAAGTTCAGGAAAATTCCATTCGATTTCAGTGACTCTTATCCATTCCTAGTGGTAAACATTGGCTCGGGAGTTTCTATTCTTGCCGTTTACTCTCAAGACAAGTACAAACGGGTCTCGGGTACTTCGCTTGGTGGAGGGACATTCGTTGGTCTCTGTTGTCTTCTCACGGGCTGTGAAACCTTCGAGGAAGCCATCGCACTCGCAAGTTCAGGTGATGCAAATAAAGTGGACAAATTGGTTCGAGACATTTACGGCGGCGATTATCCTAAATTCGGCCTCAGCGGGGACACAATCGCTTGCAGGTTAGTAAATGTATCATTCATCAACGATTTCGACTCTCAATATACTTAATCCTGTCTGATTATCATGATGATCGTTTCAATGAATGAGACGATCATCGGATGATCAAGTTCATCGTCCTGATTGTTAATTCACTAGTTTTAAATCAGATAAATTTAACTAATTAATGTTAATTTGAAAAGATAAACAAAAATTAGGGTAATTCATGTTTGCTAATTCAACTAATCATTTTCAACATTCAAAGTACCTGTTAAATTATTATCAACAATTAACATCACTTTTCAAGTTTCATGTAATAACTTTGATTTGATTGATCAGGAAATCATAATTCAATATTTGTAAACATTTAATTAGTCAGTTAATTATAATCATATTTTAATAACCAAAATTAATTATTTGATCACCATTAAGTTGGGAAACAAAGTGCTGATTAAATAATGATGTTGATGCTTTTTCAATGTTTTCAAATTGAACATGTATGAAAGCCAACAATCAGCAAATAACTCGAAACAATTAGTTAATTGTTGAAGTGTTTAGCTAAATCCTCTTATAATAAGACAGGTTAAATTGATTTCTCAATCAATTAAACTACAAGAATTCACAATTAACTGCCAAAAGCAATGAAATGTTTCCCATTTTACATTAATAACATAGATGACATTTCGCTAAATGATTAATCAACTAATTAGATAATTTATTTGTCTTTTTATTAACTCGCAGTTTTGGACACATGATCAGCAAGGACAAACGAGATAAAGTGAGCAAGGCTGATTTAGCTCGTGCGACACTGGTCACTATTACGAATAACATTGGTTCGATCGCTCGAATGTGTGCCGTTAACGAAGGCATCGAACGGGTCGTTTTCACGGGAAATTTTCTTCGAGTGAACCAAATCTCTATGAGGCTACTTGCCTATGCCATGGACTTTTGGTCCGGTGGAACCTTGAAAGCGCTTTTCCTCGAGCACGAAGGTTACTTTGGTGCGGTTGGTTGTCTTCTCGAATTGGTGTAAAACAATTAACCCTCAACACACAATTAACTCCAATTGTCCTTGGTCTTTTTTTCTCGTTTTTCTTAACTTCCCATGTTTATTATTACGATAATTGGATGAGTGTTTCCTCGTCTTGGTTATTTCCACCTTCGTCCTGTTACAATTTTCATGGGGAAACTTTCAATCACCATGATGGAGAGACAACCAAATGTTGTATCACATGCAATTAACATATATTACACTAAGAAACTTACTTCATATTAATTTTATATATATACGATAACAATTAACTCGCTCAAGAGTTAATTGTTAATCTTCATCATCTTCATCCTCATCATCAATATTATTATTAATTCATCTCTTAACCAGCAACAGATTCAATTGGTATTCAAGAAAATTAACACAATAGATATTATCAAAAAATGCCTCAAGGAAAAATCTTAAAATTTATCAACAATTAAATCAACTAATCAACTAAATATGATTGATTTGTTTTCTGTCTCTTTGTAAAAGCTAAATAATTAATAATTAACAGTTTCCATTATAATAGACTGTGATTTTGTCCATTCTGCCATAAACACTTTGTATTTTGTTAATTTTGACATGTTAATTGTGACCAAAACCATAAATTGTCTTGGTAATTAAAAAATAGTAATAACAATTCCGGTTTCAGTAAACAACAATTTACTAATTTACCTTCATCTTTACTGTGATAATTAGTTAACTGGTCTCTCATTTAAGTTTTTCATCTTCATCTTTTTATCCTCATCACTTGAAAATGACAAAATATTTTTAGATTGTTAATATTTATTTATAACTATCAACAATTTAAACCAAAGAGACGATCAACAATTTAAATGAGCGCAAGTACCAAGTAAATTAAAACTATAATTAGCATCAAATCAACTCATAGTTAAGAAACAGTTACAAAGATTAGTTGAAGAAAAAAAAAGTAAATCAACAAAAATCATCATCTAAGTTAATTAGTCCAATGTCTCAATCTAAATTAACCTTTGGAACAACGTGACACAAACTAATCAACAATTAATTGTTACAATTAACATGAATTATGGTCAATACACCTAATCATCAATATCATCAGTCTCATCATCTTAATCACCATCAATTGTTTAGTTTACTAATGATCACAAAGTTAAGTCATCAATGGATTTCATTACCTTGCCTGATTACCTTAATCATCTTGATCCAAGCAATTAAAACTTCATCAACCAAACCAATTAAACGTTTAAATCAACCTTTCCTACCAAATCAAGGTGATCAACATGATCAAAGACAACATTTCCTATGGGCGATTGTGTTAATTGCGACAATTTTGTTAATTTTCCTATCAATTTGTTTCTGTCGTTGTTATTATCGTTACAATGAAATTTGTGATGAACAGAAACAACAATTAAGCCGACAATTTAATTCACACCGAGATGATTATTATTATCAACCTTCACCATCATTAACTCCAACACCTCAAATATTTCAATTAACTAATCCAATTGCTCATGAGATTAAATTTAATTCTAACGATCCAAGTTCATCAGAGTTAATTGTTCACCATCAACATGGCCGAGGTTCAATTGAAATTGATCCGGACAAAGTGATCAACGGTCAACAATCAAAGATCAGGCGACAATCAACTCTACGAAGTTCAGTGTGAAACAATTGATTCAATGTAAATTCTAATTGTGATTTAATTTTGATCCATTTCGACAATCAAATTAAATGGTATGGAAAAAAAAACTTTCTCTCTGATTGTTGATGACAATTAAACAATCAGTTTCCTATTTTTGTTTCTCCAAATATTTACATTACTCTCTACGTTTAACAATTAAGCTTAATTGTTTCATTAACTAACATTTGGGAGAAAAACAATTAATACTTATGAATTAAATTAATTATCCTTTTCAATATTGATTCAAATAAATATTAGTCCTTTTCCACAATCAACTGATTGTTAGTTAATTTCATTTGGTTTACGTTTCAATCAATCTCATATTCATTTTTGTGATTCCATTGTTATCATGTTTAATTGTTTACCTGGTTTTTTGTTAATTGTGGTTAGTGTTCATTTCTCATCGGTGAAATTAGTTGATTCATATAAAGATGATGAGTTTTCGTTATTCAAATTGATTGATCCTTTTGGTGATTATGAGAAAGTTAATCTTGAAACTAAAGATGAAGTCAAATCGGCGGATCAATCGGATAAAGCTAATCCTAAGTGTCTCCCGACTCTTACAGTCGGCGGTGGATATGATTATACTGGAATAGAATCTGGTTCAGGGGGTTCCGGGTTCGGTGGAGGAGGTGATTATGATGGTTTGCCACCGCAAGAGATAGCACGACGTCGACAAATAGCTGCTCGAAGGGCAGTCTTGAGGCGAATCGCTGCTCGACGAAGAGCCATTATAGCTCGTCGGCGGGCATGGATCAATAGGAACAGAAAAAGACCTCAAGGTAATAGACCAATTGGTGGCCCCGGTTTAGGTCCAGGAAGTGGTGGCGGTGGTCCTGGTGTAGGTTCTGGAGGTGGCGGTGGTCCTAATTTAGGTCCTGATGGCGGTGGTGGTGGTGGTGGTGGTGGTGGTGGAATCGATAACAATTATGACTCTGGAAGTGATGGTGATACTCAGTATGACCAAGGTGGCGGAGGAATTGATGAAGGGACTGGTCAAGATAATGGAGATGGTCAAGATTATCAAGGCAAAAGTGGCGTTTAATCAACTCACTGAGATTTTTTCTTTGTCAATTATTTATTATCTATTAGAATTAAAAATTTAATAATAAGATGAACATTGAGATTTGTTTTTATATTATAATAATTAACTTGGTTTAAAATTAAACATGAATTAAATAAATTGCTAATATTTTATGGCGATTAATTGTTTGATGCAAGACCAATTTTCTTGATTTATAATCATTCAATCTCGTAGCAATCTAAATTAATTGTATGCTAATACTCCCATTATCACGTCCAAGAAAAAAAGGGAAACTTTTAAATAGTAAATTATTAAAACAGCCTCGGCTAATCGCCAACAGTTAATTATCCAAACTGTAAAGTTTGATTGTTGAACAATCAAACTTGATTTTAGTGACCCATTGAGTCCGACAATTAGTTGACCATCGGTGGGTTGAGTTGAACAATCATTTAAATTGCCTTAAACCAATCTAATTGGGTGAAAATGTAGAGGTAAATGAGTTAATTGTCTTTCCATCAGATTTGGTATAATTACATTTAAAGACAAAAAAAATTAAGGATAATGAGTGAATAACAAATATATTTTTCATTGGTGAAAAGGTAAATGGATAATAAATAATTAGCTTTTAATTGTTTAGATTGTTAATCCAATTGAATCAAGTAAAGCTGAGGGAGAGATTGTGAGTGAGAGGATGAAGAGATTGAGCTGGAAGGAGAGGGAATATTAATTATGTATAATTTATTTGCAGTTTACAGAGAAAGAGGGAAATAGATTAATTGTTCATCGGGACAATTTATCTAATCAACTGGAACTTGTATCAGGCTGGAAAAAATCATCGGCAAATGGATCGTTTTCTTTACGGAATATGTTACGTTCGGGTGGGCTAACATGCTCTACACCAAAATGATTAAAAGGCGACGGGTTACGGCCACTTAGATCGCTATTGTTTGGTGCTAGTGATGATTTATTAATGTATCGTTGTTGTTGTTGAATAGCAGTTTGTGTCATTTGATTGGGATCACCGCTGGTCATCATCATAGCACCAAGACCAGTGGCCATGTTATTACTAGTATTAGCTATTCCTGTTACACTTCCAGTGAAAGATGGGGCCGGAGAAGAGCGTAAAATGGCCTCAGTGAGTGAATTTGATTTCTCGAGGCTTGAAAGTGCCTTCCAAGGTTCAAATATTGAATTGTTGGCATCTTGTGAGGTGTTGAATGACATTTCTCCGGTAAAAGAATCAATAAAACCCGGAGTGATTCTGGTGATATTTGATATTTGTGAGAGTTGAGGAGTTGATTTAATGGCGGAGGAATTTTGTAAATTTGGTTCACAGATTGAATATGATCCAGATGAGTTTAGATTTAATCCCTCATTTGGGTTAATCTGTGATACTTGATGATTATGGTGAATAAAAGGTTTTCCCATTGAATCACTGAAAGTAGAAAGTGGAGTTGAGAAACGCTCTAAATTTTTACTAGCTTCGTAACTATTTGATAAATTTAATCTCATCGCTGGTAAAGAATCCGATGAATATGATGATCCACGACTAAGTTTAGCTTCATCTAAGCCGATTACTGATCGACTAAGGGAGTTATTATTATCCAATAGATAATCATCTCCGAGATAACAAACAGGAGTTTGACTTATAGAAAATGATCCGGTAGTTAATCCAGGACGAGAACTTGATCTATCTTCCGATCGAGATGGGATATTATTTGAAGTTCGAGAGGAATCGGTCAATTGAAGAGTATTGGTGATAAAAGCAAAATCAAAAGGATCATACATTCCGGAACTCGATGCACTGACCATCGAAGTGGTTGGAGTAATTGATAATTGAGTTGATGCTGATTGTTGATTAGGATGATTAAGTTGTTGCGATTGTTGTAACTTTTGATATTGGCTTTGAAGTTGACGATTATTGACATAAAAATCATTCGCAGTTGAAGTTACATTGTAACCTTTTAATGATGAATTATGAGATTGAAGTTTCCTTTGAGGTGCTGGTAAGGGTGGGGCAAATCTTTCCGGAGGCTGAACTGAGGTTGACCCAAAAGACTTTGATTCTAATGAATCGTAAAATGGATTAGTGGACAGCTTAAGTGCAGCACCAAGTTCACCAGATATCATTGATAAAGAGGAAGAGGATAAAATGTTATTTGGATTTGATGGTTTTCGTTTGGGTAATGGAGGAGGTCGCATATCACATTCAGTATCACTTTTCATTGGTTTCGGTGGTACTGGTGGTGGTGGTGAACCATCATGAGATGTACTTTGGGAGCTATTTGAGTTATCATGAAATTCTCGGGGTGGAGGACGAGGCGGCGGAAGAGGAGAAAGATTTTCTAAACTGGGATTGATAAATGACTCCGTTTGGCAGTAGGGTGAGAAGCGAGCGTTTGATGAAGACGAAAGTTCTGAGAAACGAGGATTAGATAAACTTGAAGGTGATCGAGATGATCGAGAGTCAATCGATTGTGGGGTGACTGATCGATTCGAGGCAACAAGCGATTCAATTACACTGTTACAAGCCGAAGGATGTTGTTGCTGTTGTTGCAATTGAAGTTGCTGTTGAAATTGAAGTTGTTGTTGCAACTGTAGTTGTTGCAATTGGAGTTGCTGTTGTAGAGCAGCAAGTTGCTGTTGCTGTTGTAGTAGTTGTTGTTGATGATGATATTGCGTTTCTTGTTGTTCCTGTTTCTTTTTTTCTTCAGCTAATTCATCGAAAATACTTGAGGTCATCGAATTGATTTCAGAAAAGACAGCATATCTGTCACCAGCTGAAGATGTGTTGTGCTGTTGATGATCAACATTACTGCTAACACTAACTCCGTTATGAGAGCTTGGACCTGGAGTGTTTGAATTGACCAGTGAGCTGATTGCTGGGCTAGCCGGAGGATCATTGATATTGGTAAAACTACTGGTAAAACTTGATGGACTATCGGCACCACTAGAAAGTCCACTTCTATTTTTACGAGAAGTATTAACAGGCGGTTTAATTTTGAGTATAGCTGAAATCCCTGGGTCCGGCCGGGTGATCTTCATCATCAAAAGATTCCCAAGTGGCATAAGGATCACTCCTTGTTTGGCTGAAGCAATGAGCTCCTTTAGATTAGACATATTCACAAGGCATCATCAAAGTTGGCTACAAAGTCGAGAAAACAAGAAAAAAACAAGAAAAAGGTAAGACAAATGATTAAAATGATGATGACCACTGGTAAGGAGGATCATTGATATTGGTAAAACTACTGGTAAAACTTGATGGACTATCGGCACCACTAGAAAGTCCACTTCTATTTTTACGAGAAGTATTAACAGGCGGTTTAATTTTGAGTATAGCTGAAAGTTCCCTGGTCCGGCCGGGTGATCTTGGAGGTGAAGGTACTACGGGTAAGTTATTGGCCGCGGTGGTTGATTGGTTTGACTTTTGGCCTGGTTTACTTCGACCTGATGTATCCAACGAAAGTGAAGCAAAATCATCATCAAAAGATTCCCAAGTGGCATAAGGATCACTCGCTTGTTTGGCTGAAGCAATGAGCTCCTTTAGATTAGACATATTCACAAAGGCATCATCAAAGTTGGCTACAAAGTCGAGAAAAACAAGAAAAAAAAAACAAGAAAAAAGGTAAGACAAATGATTAAAATGATGATGACCACTGGTAAGAATCAACTCTAAGCAACAAAAGCGATAATATCAAAACCACATCTTCCATTGGTTAACAAACTATCAGCTTATTTGAATAACTATTGAGTTTAGGGGAGAATAGAGAGAGAAGAGAGAGAGAGATGATCATCATCATAATGATGGACGATGGATGATGAAAATAAGATTACACAAGATTAAAGGAAGATAAAAATGAGGGAGAGAGAGAGTCACACTTAAATGGTTGTTTGTGATAAAAACACAGGTTCATTGGTTGAGATGGGCAAATGATGTTCATGCTTTTGATGATGATAAAGATGATGAAGATGATGAAGATTAAGATGATGTCTGCACCCAAATAACTGGAAAGAGGAAGTTAATCAGTTTTTAAACTACACACCCTTTAGATTGATTTTCAAGGTAAAACTAGTCTAACTTACTATTAAGAGGTAAAAGTTATTTTAACGATCAATTTTTCCAATCAAATTTAGTATTGACAGTTATTGGATCTTAATTGTATAAACGATTACCGTTTAAATTTGATCAAAATCATGTAAACAAATCATCAAATCATTAATTATACTTGATCACCTTTTATTGATTAATTGATTGGTAGTTTCTTGCTTTTCATTGATTGGCAAATTTTCACTACTCTCGAGTAAAAATCATTGAGTTTAATCTGAACACTGAATTTTGGTGAGAACGATCTTAATTGCTTCATGTTCATCTCAGGGAATCAGGTAAATTGTTTCATTACCTGTGAAGACATTTCCATTAAAATCAGAAGCCGCTGATTCATTTCTAGGCGGTGGTAATAGTGGTGGTAGATTATTGATCTCTTGTTGATTAGATGATAACTTTTTACTAAGAGATTTTGAGTTTGTTTCAATGATGGACGATGGCCCAAGGTCACCATCACTTGTCGCATCTCCGGAAGTACCACTGTCAACACTTTGATTGCGCTTCTTTTGCTCGTAAACGTAAGTAAACAATTCACCGATAGTTTTCATCACAGGGATTGCCGATTTCTCGGTTTTAATTCCAATGAATTGATGCCCAGTATCGGGAGAACCATAAACAAAACCGAAAGCGCGTTTATCACTCGCATCTCGTGCAATGTAGGAAATCAATGGAATTGAATAAGAGCTAATTGATTCACCGGATTTTTCATCTTTAATTGTTACACCTTCCAATGATATTTTGATGACGATTCGTTGCTTATGAGATCCTGTTTCCTTTATTAATGCCTGAGGGGGGAATAGTACAAAAAAGACAATAGAATATAAGAAGAAAACAATTAATTAAACATAAAAGAAACAAAACATTTTTATTCATGATAAAGGGTTGGGTCAGGTAATTAATATAAATTGTATTCCTCATCTGAATGGACAATTAATTATTCCATCATCATTAATAAATCAAAAGGGTTGAGAGTTTGAGTTTGTCAGATCATGATAATCACAATTTGCGGAAAAATTGTGATTAAATTGTTGTTTTAATTGAGTTTTAGTAGTAATTAGTGACCAATCTCTGATTTTAATGACAAATGATAACAAAAAATAATCGATTATGATGATTTATTGATCATTTATGACTAATGATAGAAAGGAAATCGATTGTGTTTTTTAAAACTACGAGTCATTTTCCAGAAAATTGTTGATTCATTGTTAAAAACACCAAACAATTTAATGACTGGATTAACTAATTTGATTATAAGATGAATTGATTCAAAGAAATATCAATAGATTTCGTGTAAATATTCAATTCTATTGGATTGATTATCTTAGTCCAGCGTTGTAAATGTCAATGAGATTTGATTGTTTACATTTCATGATTGATTGTGATCATAATTGATAAACAATCAGTTAATTGACTAACTAAATATCGTTCCTCTTTTCTATCAACTAATGATAATATAATGTTAGATTTCAATTCAGACTCTTAAATGAAAATAAATCTCCCAATGGTCATCAAAGAATTAATATAATCCGGAAGAGATTCATTCTGAGAATCATGATTAATGGTTAATGGGTCAAATTAATACGATTACGATTAACTATTAACCAGTTTAATAATAAAGATTTAATCTATTACTGGAAATATATACGATTGATACATTGAATACTAATCATAATCTACAAATTGTAATATTGTTTTTTCAAGAAAAACTTAATTTAAATAAGATTAAGCCGATTACTCAACTTGGAATTACAATTCATTCATTCAGAATCACAATTGAATCCATCAGAATGAGTAAGAGGGAGTAACAATCAACTAATCAATGAAAATTTATGTAGATTAGGTTTCATTCAATGATTATCATGATTTTGATAGGAAAATATTAATTTCATCAATGGAAAGTGAAAGTTAATGACAATTAATTGGGTTAAGTTCACGATAAACTGAGTTAATTGTTTACAATTAATTGTCAACTGTATTTTTATACAAATCTGTTAATCAGCTGACTTTTTTTTTAAAAGTTCAATCAATTAAACTTTAATTTCATATTAGTTAATCAACTTCACAATTACTATTCAATTTACCTTTGATAATTATTGTCATGAGTTTCAAGTTATAATCAACTGATTGTTAATAATTATAATGAATCAGAATCGCCCAAAACCAGTTTGTCATCATTTAATCAACTGATTTAATTGATTTAATTAATCAAAACTTACAATCAATATAAAGATTGATAATGAAAACTTGTTATTGTAGTTAATTGTTGAAACAACTACTGAACACTAATTAACAATTAGTATATCATCGTACCTCATATTCAATGGAAATGTTTAATCATTTGAAACAATCAAATTTAGTTTCTCATTTGATAATAATCAAGTTGAATCATTAGCAAAATAAAGCGTCAATTGATTGATCAAAAAATCTGGTTAATTGTAACGATTAAATTTATATCATTAAGATCAATATATTAATAGTAAAGGGAAAAAAATTATGAGATAAATCACCATGAAATATATAATTCATTTGATAGTAACTTGGTCAACATGATTATCTGACCCAATATCAAATCTGATAAATGAGGTGATTTTATACAATTTAAATTATTGATTAAATTGAGTGTCTATTGATTGATTGATTGATTGATTGTAGAGATTGAGGAAAAACCAGTTCATCTAAAGGTGAGCAAAGAAAGTGATCTAAGGTGTTTCCACCCTTGTTTACCTGGGCACAGGTAATAATCTATTGTTGATCATTGTAAATGATAACAAGGTAAATATACAGTTTGGAATAATAGTAAATTATCAACATTATGATTACGCCAATTCTAAGGTAAATTTTAAACTGCAATTTAGAGGTGATTTTCTGTATCTTCATCATGATGATCAGTTAATTGTGTTTGCTGTTAATTTCCTTAAATGGCGTCATCATCATTATCATTTTAATCATCATTATAATCATCGTTTCTTCAAGAAGGTAAATTGTTTGCTGATTGTTGGAGCTCGACAAGATAAACCTTGATACGATTTTAGGGAAAACCATATTGAAAAAGAAAAGAAAAACAAAAGAAATCAAATGAACAGGTAACATTAGGCTAAGATTTTCAATCAACAATCAAGGTAAACGATATTGAATCTTGTTGGTTAAAGGTAAATTTCTGTTGTTAATTATTGCAACTTATTTTTAATTTTTGATTGATTTTTTGTTTGTTTGTCCAACAATCAACTAATCTTATTAACTCTTACAATTGAATCACAAAGTTTGATTAAACATTTTCTTCCACGTTGATTGTAAACTTGTAACGAGAGAGAGAGAGAGAGAGAGATTCAATCTCCTTCTGTATAATTATGAATGGAGAAAAAATTATTACGATGAACTTGAAAAAGAAAATGTTAATTGTAAAATTATGGAAACACAATTAAATTGTAAGTTACACTACAATTATGATTATATTGATTACCATTAAAGGATCACGTTTCCTTGAGTTGTGAACATCTTAGTATATGAAAAACAATAGTTAATCATTTCATTCAATGAAACCTTACGAGAAGTTGAAACATTTGCTTATTATCAACAATTAAGCAAATCTGATTGTTTCAAATTTAAGGTTAAATCATGACAAGTGATTAAAAATTATACACAGAAGAAACAAAATAAAAATTGATGATACAATTAAACCTTAACTCAATTCAATTAGTTAATTTCTTTTCTCAAATGTTAACCAAAAATATTAATATTACATTAATAATATTGATCGACTCGAATATGATCAAAATGATTGATATTATTGAATATTAATCATGATTAAATTGTAATCATTGAATTGAAAGTTTGTGTACATAAATGTGGTTATGATAAGTTGACTGATTGTTAGTTGTAATTGTTTTAAATAAATTTAACTTGGTCTACAAGTTTGCTAATCAACAATCAACCCGGATATCCGTTAGTCTAACAGCAAAAATCATTTCAGGTCACGTTTTAAAATGTATATATATATAAATATATGAATTAAACGTAACCTTGATTAAATCACTATTAGCAAGGTAAAAAAGAGTAACCTTACAATTAGGAAATGAGAAATTGATGAAATTAAGCATTAAAATTAAAGTGGAAGTGAAATTGTTGTTGTTGATTGAAACACCTTAAAGGCAATTGATAAATTGACAGTTAGTAAACAAGGCAACTCAAAAGGAGAGACAATTTAATTTGATAACAAATTGTAAGTTGATTAGTCGCAATTGTTGATGTTATTCAATTTGTTGAAAAATCTTCAATTTTATGACATTTCTTTCATGTTGTTGTTGTTGTTTTTCACTCTTGTTGTTATTGGTAACCTGAAATTCATATTGAAATCGTAATCATTTCATTACAACTCAAGGTAAATCCACAAACATGATATTATTTTCTCTCTCTCTCTCTCTCTCTCTTCGATATTGAGGATAAAAGGTAAATAATCACCTTCACAATCTTCCCAATAATCAGATGGAAGATGGAAGATGATTTAAAAAGGAATAACCTTAAGCTGGAAGAGAGAAATTTATTTGATAACCTTAATGATTATCATGATAAGAGGAGGTGGTGGTGGTGGTGGAGGTGATATAATAGTCATTTAAATTCACGTCATTTACCTTTAAACGTTGTAAAGCCGATTGGCACATCTTATCACCTCTTGGTCCAGTAACTGGATCAACACCGATTAGTTTGGCTTTAAAGGTAATCCCTTGTCCAGAAAATTTCTCCTCACTTGGTAAAGTGTCTTTACTTGTTATTGATTCACCATCGATTGAATTATTCTCCTTGGATTCATCTAGAGAACCAGATGATTGACAGGCAATCGAAGTTGGTGGAATAATTCCAGTTGATTTATTCTTTGAACTTCGACCAAAGGTGAAACTTTTCCTATCATGTGAACCTTTTGATTTGGATAATTTAAGGGTTAACGATTTATCGGATTCTCGCTTAGTTGATTGACCATTTTCCATCATCATCATTGTCTTTCTACTGATAATTGTTGGTCTTATTGAAATTGTTTCTTTCGCCACAGTTGATAGATTAACTATACGAGTTGTTCCAACGCTTTTACCTCGTCCTTTTCGTCCTTTAATCGAACCAAAATTGCTACCACTCGTGGTGCAGGTCAATTCTTCGTCACCGTCTTCACGACCTTCTTCCTCCCACAGAAAATAGTCTTGAGTTGGCGAGAAAATGGTTGAATTGTTAACAATTGGTTCTCAAGGTATCGAGATAATATTTCGATATTAAATCGAAGGATAAACAAAATAACCAAAAGAGAGAGAGAGAGAAATGCAAACAATCACTTCGTAACAATTAAAACAAATTAGAGAGAAAAACGATTCCAATGGCCGGTTAATTAAAGTTAAAAGAGGTTATTGTCACGTTAATAATTAGAAGGATAAAGCTAATTGTTGATGTTTTCTAAATTGTCAACCAATATAATATACACACACACACAACTAAGATAGAGAAAAGCAGAGAGGGAGACAAAAATGCTCTCAAAAACTTTATATATAAGCAATAGCGATAGAGAACTGATTATGGTGATGTAATTGGTGCCGATTGTGATGATGATATTGTTGTTGTTGTTATTTCTGTTGATGATGAGATGAGGATGATGTGGATGATGATGACAGTTTGACTACCTTAAATACAATCAAGATGAAGCGAAAATTATATTTTCAATTGGCGTATAATTGAAAATTATTATTATCAATTCTTATATCAAGGTGGTGAGCATTGGCCTTGCACCTTCCTCCACACATTATGCTTGTCAATGATAATCCAATGAGAGAGAGAGAGAGAGAGTCACTTGTCGCTTGGGTATCAGATTGTTATCCAGTCCATAATCTCAATTGTACACAATTAACGCCCCGATAAACATTGTTACTCATTGACAAGACAAAAACGAGCAATTAATCTGTTCAAGAGAAATAGAGAAAAACATAATTAGTGAGAAATAAACATTGGAAAAATTGATCAATATTACACCATCATCATCATCATCATCGACAAAATGATTTACATTTCAATTCGTAATCATTAATGAGGTTGAACCATTTAATCTGTATCACTGATCATTAAATCATCTCGCATTTCTCATCATCTCTCTCATCCCAATTAATTATTCCCTTTTTTTGTCAACGATTAACTGTGAAACTGGTTGGAAAGAGAGTTGATTTAATTGTGATTAAAGATGATTAAACAATCCTATTGGTAAGTCACATGTAGAAAAAGGTAAAAAAAAGATTAATCCATCTATGGGTCCGTCCATTGGTGGAGGTGATTTCTCACTATTCTGAAGTTCAATTGTTCTTGGAATGGAAGAGAGAGAGATGAATGAGCACCAAGAGAACATGGTGATGATGATGATTATGATGATAGAGAAAATGGTAAAACCCAAAAAATAGAAAAGAATTTACAAATTTTACCATTGGAATAAGTAGAATGTTGTTGATATTTTTCTCTCTTTTTTTTCACCGAGTTTTTGGTTAACCAGTTAGATGATATTTTGTGTTTCGATTGTGTGATGATGACGATTGATTATGATGATATCACTTTTAACAATTGGAAATTAAGTAGTTAATTGTTGATTATTGCGAGAGAAAAAACACATTAACAAGATGAGAGAGAAAAAAGAAAATAAATAAAAAGGGTTTTGATTGTGAATGTAAACAGAAGATGAAGAAGAAGAGGTCACTCAAACTCTACACTCAAAAGGAAGGAAAGAAAAAGAGACAGCGCAGAGAAGAGAAGAGAAGAAAATTTAAGCTCTACCTGGTTCTCTTTCTTCATCTTCATCTTCTCTTTCTTTTTTTTTTCTTCTTCTTCTTCTTCAACTGAACAAGATGATGAAGATAATTTGAAACTGATAAAATAGGAAGATGATGATGACGATGAGAGAAAAAAAGAAAGATAAACACAGACACAGTTTCGCATTTTCTGTTATGATGATAAACACATGAGAGATGATGAAGATAAGTGAAAGAAAGAGAGAAAATTTTTTCTTTCTTATCGATGAATTAAGATGATTATCGATTCGATTATTTAATCAGTGTAAACAATTAGCTAATTTCTCGAGGTAATCAAAGTAATTAATGTAAACAGAATTGGAAAAAGTTTCGACATTTTCATCAAGTTTTCTTTCATCGAATGATTTTCTCTCTCTCTCTCTTTGTCATCTTCTCTTTCATTTTGTTATTTTCGAAATCAATTGTTGATTATAAATTGAACAATCAAAAGTTACCATTATTATCTAATTGTTGATTTATCCTCTTAATTGTTTAAGAAATTGATGTGATGTTACTGATAGAAAATGATTATTTCCATTCATTGGAAACAGGAATTAATTTCTAACCCAATTTTCATTCACGAATCAAATTCATCATCTTTCAATTAACTATTTTGTTCAACAATTTAATTTACTTTCATAAGTCACAATTAGTTAATTGTAATCGTATCCACCCTCGCAAACCAATTAATAATTTAAATTCCAATTGGATAGCGACACACAATTTAATCCAATTAGTTGTTGTTTCTTTTCATAATCGCCAATTAACATCAATCAATAAAATCCTATTATTATTATATTTATTTGATTACAATTGAATTAAATTATTTACGAATTGGGTTCATCTTTTATTATCGTAACAATTTAACAATTGATTAACTTCCGATTAATGATCAATTCAATCATCTGATTGCTCTTGATATTGATTCATTTCTAATATAATCAATTTACTCTGTAATAGATTACAAGTTAACCAATTGAGTTTTAAATCTCACAATCAGTATTTTACCCAATTAATACGATCAAGATGATTATTAGAAAGTTAATTAACCAAAATTGATTGTAAATGATTAACTTTTTGTTTACAAATTTATTCTTACACTTGGTGCCATCTATTGGCTGAGAAAATCAACTTTGCGTTCTAATTGTTTTCTGTTTGTGACAATTTCATTTGATTGAATTTCCTTTAATGTATCGATAATAATACTTATATTATTCTATTAGAAAGTTTAATTAAGAATTTGATAGTTCTATCATAGGTTAGTCATAACCATTGATCGCTCTGGAGTTACCAGGTTAAGGTTCAGTCGAGGATGGATAGAGAGTGATTGTCCGATGGTCAAACAAGCTCTAATTAAGACAATTAAGATCATTAGAATTGAAGAAAAAAAAATCAATCAATAAGTGAATGTTAATTAGTATGAACTAAAAAAAGGAAATTAATGTTATCAATTTGTTATCCATTGGAATTGAATCGATTTACAATTTGTTTGGTTCATCTTCGTTTGCAATTAACTGACCTGTTCGTTGACAATCATCATGACCATTGAGACTTTGCCGTGACACCGACTGAACAATTATCCATCTCGAGTTTCAAAGTCTTCGAAGTTATTTTCTTTTGTGAAAATTGTATGGTCAAAGTTTCTAAATATAACCAGCGAAAAAGGTTAAGATGAAAGGTTAACATGATTGAATTGACCGCGGTTGAAAGGTCAACTTGAGGCCATTGGGGATAAAAACAATCCACCGATAATCAACTGACCATAACTCATCATATGTTCACTCTTCATACTCTGACCATCTCTAAATTACAAGATGATTTGATTATTTTTCTTTAATTGTGATAAATTGTCTAAAATTCAACTGAATACCTGGTTAACTAATCACAATTGAAATTAACTGTTGTCCCTTTAACCCAATGGTAAATTTTACTTTCAATTTTTGTTAATTTCCAATGAAATTGAGATTCTAATGATTGTTTTCTTGTTCATTTTCCAGCAAAATATTTGAATATATTTGGATTATCTTAATCTCTGGTAAGTCACTGGATTACATGGTAAACAAGACAAGTTAGAGTGATAATAAGGATGACACGTTGATTAGCAAAGAGTCAAGTTGATTAGTGACAATTGATTTGTTTTTGGTTCCCAATGTAAACGCAATTTTTTCCCCCTCATAATGGATTAGTAAATTGTTACATTAATCAAAATCAACGATTTGCCAAGTTGAATTTGATGAGTATCAATCTTAAGGTTCCTCTGATTTTAACAATAATCTCGCAATGGATTTACTTTAATCGTTTTCACCTTGGAAATTGACTCGAAACCAATAACGTAATTCACCATCATGATAATCTGAGTTGAAACATGGAACATGATTACGATTGTAAAGACATTTAATCTGTGAGAAGAGAAAAAAGAAATTGATGAGGCCAAAGGAAGAGATAAACAAAAAAGATGCCAAAAATTCTGGATCAAAACGTCATTCTCAGTTCCATGATCGTTTGAAATTCTAATAACTCAGAGAAAAGGAGAGAGAGAGAGAGAGAAGATTATTCTTTTTTCGAGATTGAAACTTCTCTTTTTTCTCCCTCTTCCCGCAGTCTCTTTCCATCATCATATCATTCTCATTCGTTACTAGACCAAAGAGAGAAAGACGAACATATGAAATGTACATTCGTATCTTTAGAATTGATTATTTTCTGTTATCATGGTGCCCTTGGTGTAGATGAAAAAATTCAATTCCATCGCCTCAGTAATCACGAAGAAGAACAAGTCTATTCGAATACTGTACTTATAATTGATCATTCGAAAGAGAAAAAAAATTCTTTTGTAATCAGAGGCTTTCCACCGATGTAACTCACTGAATATTCACCATGAAAACCTTGTCAGTGTATTAACTGTTCTTCTATTCAGTCTCATCATCATCATATCTTCATCTTCTCTCTTTCTCTCTCAGATTAGTTGATATTCATTTCTATCCTTGTTTGACTTTCTCTCTCTCTCTCACTCCCATTCGAGATGTTTATTTACAATTTGGATCCATTATCTGGTTACCCCTTTAGTTACCAAGGTGAAAGAAAATTCATCCATTGTTTCATCATATAAATCGTTATAATCGCCGGTGTTTGTTTATCCAATTTACCTGAAGAGATTTGGTCGACCTGTGATACTATTCATGATCCATGATACATGGTGACTGTGATTGATTATTGAATGTTACCTTAGTCTCTTCTGCTCATTAACCAGAATCAAAAAATGTCAATATTTCTCTCTGTTGACATCACTCACTACACTCAATTCGAGTCATCATTAGTTGATTTTTCTCGGTGAAACTTGATTCATTTTACCTTCAGTTCTGAAAATGATTTACTGATTTTCTCAGGTTTTTTTCCTCTGTCTGGTCATCTCTTGGTCATCTTTCTACTCTATTGGTTATGTGGGTTAATGAAAACAACATTTAGACTAATCAACATTCTTAATCATCTGTGAGCTTAATCATCTTATATATATTTGTTTCTCCCGCTATTCAGCATCTTAATCTTCATCAATTGAAACAATTTTCTAATGTCAATTGTGATTTTGTTGTGTAATCAAAACAACTAATATTTGTTTTCTCTTTACTGTCAAAAAGCTGATACTCTTTAAATCATTTTCTATGAACAATATTGACAATCAATTGGAAGGGTCAAGCTACTCAATGGTCAGGGAGAAAGAACCACAGACCAGAATTTACGATAATGAAGGTTACAGGAGAAGAGCTTCTTGTCTTTGTGTAAGAGATGAACTTGAAAATGAGGTAAGTTGACAATCTCACTTGAAGTAGAATCTTAATCCTCACCTTAATCCCCTAAATCCACTAACTTGATTAAGTTTTCGATTATCAAACAAACATCAAATTATCTTGTTCTCTCTCCCGATTTCTCTTCATTAGTACAACTGAACTCTCTCTCTCTCTCTCTCTCTCTCTCTCTCTCTCTCTCTCTCTCTCTCTCTGTGTGTGTTGTTTATATGATTTATATAATCTATTATAATATATTTATCCATTTGATTTGATCAATTTTCCAACAATTAAGGTAATCTATATAATATATTTATCCATTTGATTTGATCAATTTTCCAACAATTAAGGTTCTTTTGGTTTCGAGTAGCAGTTCTCGAGGTCGATGGGTTGTTCCTGGCGGTGGACTTGAACCTCATGAAGATTCACGAGAAGCCGCAATTCGTGAGGTCATTGAAGAGGCTGGAGTCAAAGGCCATATAATTAGACCTCTGGGAACCTTTCAGGTGACTATTTATCATTTCTCACTAATTAGTTGATCATATAAGTAAATTTTTCTTCTACGTTATTATTGATTTTCTATTTTCTCTTCTCAGAATAACGAGAGAAAACATCGAACTGACGTTTTTATACTGGTTGTCACTCAAGAACTTTCTGAATGGGAAGATGCCATAAAAATCGGTTCGTCTTAATTACCATTTAATTAGCGAATCTTTTTCATTATAATTAGTTAATTTTCTTTTATATTATTTTCTTTCCAGGTCGTGGACGAAAATGGTTCACCTTGAATGAAGCTATCGACGTTTTATCAGAACACAAACCAATCGAATGTGATTATATCAGATTGTTGATTAAAAATAAGACAAATTAACTCATCAGGAAACTTGAAATTATTGTGATGACAATTTAGTCCTGGAAAGACAACAATCATGATTGTGGTTTTAAATAATCTCATTTAATCAACTGGTCGGTTGTAACTATTGCTTGACCATTAATCATGACCTTTTATCACTAAATCCATTGAAAGTTTACTGATTGTTGACAAAATGTTGTCACTATTTTGATGATTAACTTTCAATGATAATCAAAAATATTGTTAAATTTTCAATACTTTCAACCAAACTAATTAATATTTTTATCAATGATTACAATGAGAGTAATCATATTGATTAGTTTAATTGGTTGTAATGATTATTACCTTAGTTACCTGTTGATTGTTGATATTACAACTTTTTAAATATTAATAAAATTAATCATTCCCCCCTCCCCAATCAATATCAATCATCATCACCAATTTGATTAACTTGATATTATATTGATTGATTAACATGATTCTTGGTTAAGAAATGATTAAGAAAAACATGTAACAACAATTTAACTGGAACATTGACCTAAATTGTGATTAGTTTAAGATCAACAATTTAAATCAATCTGCCCACTCGCGATTAACCTAATAAGGATTTGACCACACCAACGATTAACATAATCAGAGACAAATGAAAATTAGTCTTGAAACAGTGAATACGATTACTAATCATGAGAATGTCAGTTAATTGTGATGATTTGGTTAAATTATTGTTCGAGAAAATCGAGAAAACTTTTCATATTTCCAATAGTTTCCATTATCATATCGCTTTTAGTTTGGACATTTGCTCCGATCGATTTGTTTCCATCTTCGTTTGATAGTTTACTTATTGCTCCAGTGAACAGTTATGATTATCTTAATCGAACTCAGGATTGGATGTTTGGTGAATTCGTGATTAAAAATGAAGACCATTGTTCGGGAAAAAGGTCAACATCGATTGTCCTTCTTGTCCATAGTGATCCAGGTAATGGTAAGAATCGAAACCTTTTACGACAATTTACTCCCTTGGATTATTGTTTAACTTTTCTTCTTGGATCTCGAGATGGTGGAACCAATTCTGAGATTGAAAAGGAATCCAAACAATTCGGTGATATTGTCCAAGGAACTTTTCATGATTCTTATCGAAACCTAACAAGGAAACACATCATGGGTCTAACTTGGGCTGCTCTTTATTGTCCATTTGCTTCATTCGTCTTTAAAGTAGATGATGATATTTTCCTTAATTACACCTTCATAAGTGATTACCTGGACAGTCAATTTCCACCGTCACAATCGGATCCTTTTCTGGTTCGATCGCCGATCAAGATGATTATCGGTTACGTTATGCCCCAATCACCAGTTATCCGCGATTTGACCAGCAAATGGTTTGTCCACCAATCGGATTATCCAAACGATTATTATCCAACCTTCGTCTCCGGCTGGGGATACATAACGACCATAGATGTGGTCAATCAGCTACTCAATCAAATCCCTTCAACGCCAATGTTTTGGATCGATGATATTTACGTTACCGGAATGTTACGATCAAAAATATCAGATATTTTCTTCTATTCGATAAACAAATTTTTCAACATTAACATAAATCTCTTGAAAAACTGGACACAACTTACTTACGATCATGTTTGGCCTTATATGGTCAGTGTAACGTCAAGAGATCTACTTGACCGTAGCCTTCAACGTTACCAATTTTGTAGAAACCACAAAGACCATTGTTACTGTTGTTTACCTTGGTTAGATTTATTCAATTCGAAAAGTTCTAACTCATCGATCCAACAGTTTGTACCTTTGAAATCTCAGGGGAAAATATCGGAAATTCACATGATAATCAAGTCTTAGTTTGAAAGAAAACGATAGAAATGAATTGAAACAAATTCTGAAAAAGAGTCACCATCTATCGAGTAATAATCTAGTCTCTTTATGGAAATTTTTTCCAATCAACTTTTTCTCTCTCAATCAAACATCAATAGACAATAAATTGATATTCTATTTAAAATTTTGTTTATTCAAATTCGAAAATGTAAAATCGATTCACCTTAGAACGATTATAAAAAAGTATCAATAAGAAAAAAAAAGTAAAAGAAAAATTGATATTCAAGTCAATTGATTCTCGAACAGAATCAAACTGTTAGAATCCATATCCACCATATCCACCATCGTAGCCGCCGAAATGATGATGGTCTCCGCCGTGGCTTCCTCCACAGTTCTCGTGCATGATGATCTGTCCTTCATCTTTGTCCTTCTTGTCGGCGGTGACAATTAATTTCCCACCGCAACCATTTAAAACGATATCACCATGACCTTTACCTGCAAAAACAACTGAAATTAAACAGAAAAGGAAAGCGAGGACAATTAATTTAGTTGACATGGTTAATTGTTGAGAGTTTGATTTGTTACTGTAAACACAATTAAATAGTTAAAACTGATTGTTGTTTGTTAAATTGTTGTTGAGGTGAACTGATGATCGAAATGAAATTTTCACTCGCTTTTATATCATTCGGCAAAAATGCTCACAATTAAAGGTTCCAATAAACATCAACAATTAATATTCATCTCTCAATCTATTGATTAATTTACTTATTTTGAGACATTTATCACAATCAACTTACCTCATGAACGATTAACGATGTTGAACACTAATCATGATTATCTTGATCTCGTTTGTACCAGAGTGTTAATTGTTATTCCCAACTGATTGTAATCCAAATGGACAATTTATTAATGAGTATAAGTTAAATTTGGAAAGTTGATTAGAATCATTTTCTTCATCTTAGTGATACACTTTTGATTATGATCAAAGAAACGTAACAATTAAAAGATGATTCTTATCAAATCGGCTCAGCTAAAATTAACGAATCAGTTAAAACAATCAACTAATCATGTTGAATTTTAAATCAATCATTTCTTAATCACATCTTCAAAAGATTCTCAGTTGATTGTTGCCAATAGTGATTTATTTGTTTCTCTTGTCTATCTAATTGTAATTAATGTAATCGATACTTTTTTTTATCATCATCAACAATTGAAATGGATTTTAAATTGTCCATCAGATTATTGATTTGTCTTTATTATTTCAATGGTCAGTTTCTTATGTTTTGGTCAGTTTTCAATAGCCAAACAGTTGAGAAACATGATTACAATTAACTTGATAAAATGTCTTTTTTTAATTGTGATTACCATCAACCGATCGTACCAATTGAGTGTTGATAATTTAATCATTGGTAAGTTACTATTATTAAATTGTAAATTGTTTCATTGAATTTAGTTTCTTGTTTTAAGGTGTAATCATTGATGAAGCTGATACAACAATTAAGAAATCAGTTACTGCAGCAATTAACTCATTATCAACTTTATTTACTATTGATAAAGTTAAATGGATTGAAGGTGATTCTAGATTAACTGGATTAGAGGTTAATTGTGATTGGATATCAAGTAGATTTAATAATTCAATTCCAACGATTATTTTTGATTTAACTGAGGCCAAGGAAAGTAAATTATCAACAGCAATTAAAAGTTATTCTAGACAATTGGGAATACCAACAATCAGTACTAATCCATCAACAATCAAAACAAATAGTTGGGATAATCTTAATCACAATGAAATTAATTACCTGATCACAATTAACAGTCCCGGTGATGTTATCCCAATGATTATCCCGGACATAATTAACCTTCACAATATAAATGAAGCAATAATTTTACATGATCAATCATTTGGTAAGTTTAATTGTACCCAATTGTAAACAATCAACTTAATCAACCTTTAATTGTAGTCATAGATGATAAGTTAATCAATATATTGGACGAGATACAAGTTGATTATAAAATTAAACGTTTAACGATTGATTCATTGGATGAGCAAATGATTGAATTAAGAGGTTCATCAGTTAAAAATTACTTTGTCTTAGCAAAAATCATCAACATCAACCGAATCCTTGAACAGGTAAATTAAGGTGACAATCAGCTAATTGTTTTACTCTAACTGGATTAATTTGTTCCAATTCAGGCTGCTCATTTGGGTATGTTCAAGTTTCAAGATTCCTGGTTCATGATTACCAAAGGAAGAGGACAAATTAAATGTGACAATTGTTCACATGGATCAATATTATTTTATCAACCATCTCGAGTTAAATCAATTGAATACGATCATGCTCCAGGGCTTTTGAACATTACAAATGAACGTCGAGTTGATGGTTTTTTCATTTACGATTTGATTAGATTTACACTGACCAGTGTCCATCAGATGATTAAGGCAAATACCTGGAAAACTTTGAGTTACCCAAGTTGTGGTCATTCTTTGACATTGACCCAAACCAATGAGAGGAAAAATTTGAACCTTCGAGATACCATGTCATCGGAAGGCTTTTATGGACTTTTCGGACAGTTCATCGTCTCACCTGAATCGAGTAATGAATTATCATCGAGTCACAGTGATCATATAATTGATTATCAGGAGATAATTGTTCGGGTCACTAAGATAGAGCTTTGGAATTGGCAACCTTTTCGTTATTACCTGGTCAGTGAGTGGATTGCAGAGCCACCGAGAGGACGATTCATGATGACCGGTGCTATTCAAGCCGCTAAGAGGCCATTGTATCGTATTGTTACAATCAAGGTAATTCAGTTAATTGTTATTTCCTTTTCAGAAACAAAATATTAACTTCTAATCGATAGCAACCTCCGTTTGTGATGCGATGGTCTAATGGTACTTGGTATGGTTATTGTATCGATTTGCTCGAGTTAATTGTTGAAAAGCTTCCGGAAGAAGATAAATTTGATTATGAAATCTATGAATGTCCTGATGGTAAATATGGTGACAAAGATTTAGCAACCGGAAGATGGGACGGGATAATGGGACAATTACAAGATAAGGTGAGTAGATTAACTTAACGAAGGAAAAAATATTATTAATATTAATCGGTTAGAGAGCCGAGATTGGAATTGGTTCCGTTACTGTGATGGCTGAACGTGAATCGATCGTTGATTTTACTGTTCCTTATTACGATCTGGTTGGCGTTTCGATTCTGATGAAAAGAACGGCAACACCTTCACATATGTTCAAATTTCTTACCGTATTGACCAACAACGTCTGGCTATCGGTGCTTATATGTTACATCGTTACCAGGTAAGGAGAATAATAGAAAATGGTGGATCACAATTTACTAATTTAGTTCATTTCAATTCATTATTATCCTCGTAGTGTGGTCATGTATTTGTTTGATAGACTGAGTCCGTATAGTTATCATAATGCTGTCGAAAGAGGCAAAGCGCTAGATGCAAATAGAGACTTTAACTTGAAAGAGTGTCTCTGGTTCTGCATGACCTCATTGACCCCTCAAGGTGGAGGTGAAGCACCGGTGAACTTATCTGGCCGTTTACTTGCAGCTTGTTGGTGGATTTTTGGATTTGTTTTAATCGCTACTTATACTGCAAATTTGGCTGCTTTTTTAACGGTTTCTCGTCTCGATTCACCAATTGATGGACTCGATAAACTGGTTGAACAGTACAGAATAAGATATTCTCCAGTTCGAAATTCACTTTCAATGGTTTATTTTGAACGAATGGCTTATATCGAACGAAAATTTTACGAAATTTGGAGAGACATGACTTTGGATGAGCAAATGGACCCAAAAGAACGAGCTAAATTGACTGTTTGGGACTACCCTTTAAGCCAAAAGTACAGTAACATCATGAAACAGATTAAAATAACGGGTATGCCAGAGACCTTCGAGGAGGGTGTTGCTCGTGTTCAAAGCTCAAAAAGTTCAGCTGAAGGTTTCGCTTTGCTAGGTAAGTAATATCTCGATTTAATTACTCAATTAATCTTATTTGTCTCCCATTTCAGCTGATGCAACGAAGATCAGATATGCTGCTATGATAAATTGTGATATTCATCAAGTTGGTAACGAATTCAGCAGGAAACCAATCGCACTTGCCGTTCAAGAGAATTCCGAGTTAAAGGATAAACTAAGCTCGGCGATTTTGAAGCTTCTCAACCAGCGACAACTTGAATCTTTGAAAGAAAAATGGTGGAATAATAATCCGGAACAAAAGAATTGCGAAGACCCAAAGAAATCAAGTGATGGAATTAGTATCAAAAATATCGGCGGTGTTTTCATCGTCATATCTGTCGGCGTTGTTTTAGCCTGTATAACACTCGTATGGGAACATTGTATCACTCCAAGGTTCAGAAAATCGTCAGCACGAGTTTCTTCAACTTTCCGCAACGAATTCATCCAGAAAAAGTCCCCAAACTTTTACAATTTCCCAATGGCCCTTGACCCTAAAATCAAGGATAAAATCTAATTACCCCAACAATAACCCAAATTAATTGGAAATCAATCAGATTATCTCGATCGTAATTCAAACTGACCACTAAAACTCCCAGTTAATTGTAATATTTGAAATTGTTGCACATTCGTATCAACCCTAATTGTTATTTGTGTAGCTGGTGAAACAATTAAAGCGCAAATGAATTGACCAACAATCGTAACCTTTCAATTACTTAACAATCAACGATATTGATAATAACTTATGAACTGTTTGGTTCCCTTTTCCGGTTTTCCCCTATTTCCTTGTTCTACTAAACTTTAATTTCTTTGAGTTCTCCAATTATCTCTGGTCCCTGTTTACAATTGTGTCATCTCAATCAGTGTATTCGATTAGATGATTGATTCGATCTCTCTAATTAACTATTAATAATTAACTTTTGGGTCGCGTCAACGAGTGACATCTATTGTTAAGGAAATTCACTAAACTTAATTTTTTCTTTTCTTCTTTCAAAGTTGATCTTTCATTTCTTGTCCGATTCTCGAGAAAGTTAATTGTTGACTCACTTTGATTCTTAAATTTAATCAGTCCAGTGTTTTTTCATCTCCTGAACTCGCATGATCTTATTAATAAATGGATAAAGAAACAAACATAAAAGATTAACAAGTTCACCTCAAGGGAAAAATCTATTGGAATGAGAAAACTGGTTCAGTTTCCATCAGATCAATTGGTAAGTGTCAACAATTAACTAATCAGTGCCTCAGTCTATTCTTGATCTTTCATCTCTGATTTATTTTTAGTTCCTCATACAGAGAGATAATACTCATGGTTCTTGGAATCAATGTGGATTCCCCTTAAAACTGTTATGATGATCAACCTCTGGATCTTTTTTTATAACAATCATATACATTATCGTCAACAATTAATTACCATGGATTCAATGATAATGACAAATATAAGATAAAATGTCGATACGAGAGAGGAATTTATTTCAACACCTATTACTAAATTTAGCTTCTAATTTCAGTACTGATCAAGAACAATCTAAATTCTCATCATTAGTTATCATGAAAATGGATGAAGATGAGGTGGAATTGTGAAAATATCTCCAATGTTATGTTTTTTTCTCCATATTTGGTAGATAATCTTTTACTTTGAGGTTACAGAATTGTCGACAATTGATCAAAATTAGGTGGAATAATTAATACTTAATTGTCACCGAATATTGTTATTCCATTTTATATATGGAACTATTGAGAGAACAGAGAATTCGGTTTGTAAACTTTTTTCCCATTCGCTTTGCATTCTGGTTTCGTGAATATGTTAACTTTTTATCGATCATAAAAGCCTGAGTTTACCATGGAATGAACATTTTTCACCAAACTATTGATTGTTTCGAGAAAAAATAACGAGAAATTCACACATCAATCTTATTTTTCATCTTTTTTTTTCACGATTTCGCATGAAATTATTAGCAACATTGATTTAGAAAAACAGAGAAATGAGAAATCAATCTAATCGAAAAATCAATCAATTAACTAATTGTAAATTTGACAAAATTCATGGTAAATCAGATTATCAATTTAATTAAATTGGTGTCAATTTTTGAATATCAATTGACTACAAAGAGTCAAAATCAATAACATTAAAAACCAAGAGGAGAAAATCAATTAATGATTATTACCTAATTCATTAGAAATAATTTCTCGTGATTAAGGTGAACCTAAATTGTCACAATTAAAGAGAAAAGATTTCCAGAACAATTAACCTGATAAGCCATATGATCATTGACATAATTAAAGTTGATATGAATGATAATCTGCCATTGATATTAAATTGTCAACAAACTTAACCATAATTAGCTAATCAAAAATTCACAAGATATATAATTTAATTGTTCCAATAAAGTTTACCTTATAATCAACGTCATGATCATTATTATATATCATGATTAAGTCTCAATTATGGTCAAACAATCAACAGAAATTAAGTACTCGGAATCAACATCATCAATCAAATGAAAAGAAAACATTAAAATTAAAGACAAACCCAGACAACAATTAAGCTAAATTACAATCAAGTTAACCATATTCACCTTGTCCAATGTTGATAAACAATTTATGGATTAGTTAAATTGTCACAATCAAGACAAACTGTTAACAGTTTTTTTTTCTCGATCTCATTTTCATTCTGGTTTCATCGTTAACCTAATTATTAAAGGGAAACCATTAAATCATCATGATTATGATGGTAATGATTATAATCACCTTCGTCTCATTGTTATGTATTACTAATTATAATCAAGCTAATCATCATTGTCTCTCCTTTTTCATTGATTAAATAATATTAATCAACAAAAATAATGTTCACTTTTGCCTCGATTGACTTAACCATAGACACAACTAATTATAAATCAGTTGTAACCCAACCAATGAGTAAATTAATTGTTGGACTACAATTAAAATGGGAGGGAAATAAAAATAAAACAACGAAAATATGATTAACTTAACCTTGAACGTGATATTTAATTTCAATAGGAATCTGAATGAATAGTTAATTGTTACCACAATTAACCAACCATCATTAAAGAAACGCTTCAATATTTAAACTGATTCACTTCAATTTTATTCAATTAAATGTTACCATTGGTGGTTAATTAAGAGTTAATTGTATCTTATAATATGTTGTAGACAGAATTAATTATCCGAAGATAATTTATATTCAATTAAAAATTGATTGTATTCCAAAGGATTAAATTGTTATGGATAATCAAATCTTCTCTATGTGAACAATTAAATTATTGCCATTCAAATGGTCATTCAAAATCCTATTATAGTGACCACAATTAATTTTATTGTCGTCGGAATTTTAATTTAATTATAACAATTTAAAATTATCGTCAAAAAATTAACCTTTAATCAAATTAACTGGTCAACAATTAAGAAAAATTTTGATAAACTAATCAATTTAAGTGGATAAAAAGTTTTACTAATCAATTGATTCAGTGATTTCATTTCAAAATCAATTATTATTGACTTATAATGGTCGCAGTTATTATGATAAAAGTTTACAATTAAGTTAATTGTTATTTGAACAATAACAATCAAAGAAACAACTGAATAAACAGAATAAGTTTCAGTTAATTGTTTGATATAATTATTTGATCATCTGTTTGCGTACCTATGGTTAATTGTTGTTGATTGTTTACCAATTTTTGGGCTTATTAAGGAAACAAAAGTTGAACAATTAAATTGATTATCACGATTAAGGAATCGAGGGAAACACACGAAATGATCAAATAATCGTAATTGTGCTTGATGAATAATTAATGAAAGAAAATGTTGAGAAACTTGAAATTGAAATTGAAATAATATCTGATAACAATTTAGAGTTGAACTAACAATTAGTCCGAACAATTTATATTTAGTTAACTTATTTTCTATCAAAATATTATAACATGTTAAGTTGATCAATTTAATTACCAACAGCCTTGAGCTGATAATCTGTCTCAATGTCGACACGCAATCAAATTTAATCAACTTTTGACGGTTAAAGAAACAAAAAATTTATCAGATTAATCAGTCTAATCATGATGACAATGAAAGATAATCATGATGATAGCCACGAGATGAAATTGATTAAATCAAATTAAAAAGTCTACAAAGATGAAAGAAAATTAAAATATCGATTAAGGTGAAAATCAAATGAAAATGTTCAGAGTTTATCTAATGTTCAATGAATCATGAATCATGAACATCCTCATGTTCATCAAATGTATTATCATGATCATTTCATCATAAGACAGAAACAAATGAAGATAATCTAAGAGAGAGAGAGAGAGAGAATAAAATTACAGAATCAATAGAAAAAACAAAAAGTTCTTTTATCATGTAATCGTTTCTGTTATCATTCCAGATCCACTAGTTTACTCAATCGAACCTTAATCTTGATTATCTTTTGGCTTTTCAATGTTTTCTTTTCATTCTGATCAATACTCTGAATATCATCATGTATCACCTTAAATTGTTTCCAACCTTGATGGTGAATAAACATTAATCTAAGAGGAAAATGTTCATCATCATACAATAAAAGCCTCGCCCAAGTAATCAGGTAATTTCAAATTAAATTAAGGTAAATGTTTCCGATTCTAGTCTTAAGTGGATTGATGTAGATAATAAGATTTACCTGATTACTCAGGTAGATCATGATGATGATGAAATTTGTTTACAAAGGGTGAGACGTCATTTATTAATATTAATATTTATATTTCTTTTTTTTCAAGTTCATCATTATCACAATTAACTTGATAGTTGATTGAAAACATGGCAATGATTTACATTATCGATCATTTTGTTTCATTATAATTATCGATTTGAAACTGATCATCAACAAAGATCTGAATCAAACTGAATCTCTTTAATCAGTTGATTCTATCAAAATCCAATTGGACAAATAATATCGTGCCAATTGTTATCAATCATTTGTATAAACATTTCCACAACTGACCAATGGTCATTGTAGTATTTTTTTTCCTCCTCTTGGTTTGTTTTCTTTTACTATTATTTTATCAATTTTTTCGATAACTTTTTCGTTCGATATTTTTATTATTAATACTTCGACCTGTGAATAAAACTTTTTCTTTCTTTTCGATTTTTCTTCTCAACTTTTAATCTCAATAACAGTTCGTAATTAATAGTTAATGTTAATCAATATACTTGCAAGCTACTGTAATTAACTATTTGTATCAATATTATTATATTAAAATGGAAATCTAATAATAAGTTTACTTTGTTATTTGGTAAAAAAATTATTTTCCATTAACAAATCAACTGATTACAATTTCGAGAGTTCGAAAAAGTTTCGAAAGTGGTTTTACAAACTATTCTAAACACCAAAATGCTTCTGCAAAAGTACATTTAATGACAGTAATTTAGTCAATTGTCATCATCAGTACGATTCGAGCTTCTTGATCAATTTTTTTCAGCGAAAAACTTTTTTCATATTAACCCAACTAAATTAAAAATCACCTTAATTGTAACCAATTAAGGTATTTGATAACATGATTGTTGGTTGATCGTGCAAATCAAGTTAATCATTAAAGGTTGATGATGTTATCAGATTAAATCATTGACTGACAATTAAGGCAAGTGAATGTACATTAAAATTGATGTTTGGGTGGGGCGATTAGGTGACTCATAATCATAATCTTAGTGAAATGGATTCCGAAAATGATCAACAAGAAATTCTTGCGGTTGATATTGGTCTCTTTTTGGTATTTGAGAGATACAAAGAAAATCACCACATGTTCGATTATGCCCAAATCAAAAGCTGTCAAAACAGATAAATTCTGATCTTGAAAAACAAAGTAGTCGGGTGTTTTGTATTTTTCTTGATCGCTGGAAGTATGGACAATTTCACATCGCTACATGTCCTGAAAATGGCAGGATCTTGAGCCTTAAGTCTATGGGGAAAATTAAATGTGTTTTTCTACTAAATATCTATGCAGTTGAATACATTGCCAATCTGATCCAAACCATCCGATCATTCAGGGCTCAGACCACGCTTATTGTTGTTATCACTAACAAAATTTAATTCACTTTCAAAATGAATGTCAGAGTCTAAATCAACCAAATGGCTTCCACAATATTGAAGAGTATGGTAAACTACAAGTTTTTACATAAAACGCATAAAGACACAAATCTTTTACAGAAAGACGTTAAAATTACCTTTCAACGCGTCTTTGGAAAATGACCTAAATGACCTTGAAGATCGTAGGTTCGGGTGCTTCAATTCTGTTCAGTCCTCTGGTCAAGTTTGACATTTATACTTTGACTTGACTTTTAGATCTTGAGATATTTAACTAAGCTACCAATTATTACTGCCATAGGACTGTATAGAATTGAAGCACTCGAACCTACGATTTTCAAGGTCATTTAGGTCATTTCCCGAAGGACTCGTTGAAAGGTCATTTTAATGTCTGTATGTGGATAGAAAAACGTCTCGTACAATTAGAGTAAGGATTCATGATAAATTTTAATGTAAATTTAAATGAATAACTAAAATTAATACAACTTAATTGTGGTACAGGTAAAGAAAAGGGAGTGGCTAACTCTTTGAGAACCGGAAGTGACCATTGATTTGATTGTGAAATATCAATATGTTAGATTGACTTGACCAAACATTGATTTTATCGTGAAAGCAATTTACTATCAATTACACTGGTCTCATTTTATTTGTATTGCTATTGACCACTGGTCACTTACTATTATACTATAATCTTACTCTGGACTCACCTAGCTCAGTGTATTTAAATTGATGTTCATCAATGAATCAACTTCATTGATGGAAACCAAGGTAACCACAATTTCAATTCACATGAAAATAATATCAATGATTAATATGAGATCGAGAGCAGAAAAAAATCAATTTGATTACAATTAGTGAAAGAAAAATCAATGATCAATATTGATGGAAAATGTTTAATTTACAATCAAATGATTAGTTTCACTTTTTGTAATATTAGAAAGTTAAATTGTTTGTATTTCATATTGAAATTAACTTTCTATTAACAATCAAAATCAACTTCCCGTTTATTTAAATTGTTACAGTTAATTATGGTTTCGACAATTTCAAACTGTTGGCTTTTATTTATCATGTTTATCATGAAGGAATCAGAAGACAAACAAAATTGGCAAACAATCAATCAATCAATTAAAAGTTTCACCTTCAATTACTTATGATTGGTAAGGATAATCATCTCAAATTGTTGATTAGCCCACAATCAAATTAATTGCTCTATCATATTGAATTGATAATAGAAACAATAGTCAAACCGGTTCATAATTAATCTTATGTGATCATGAATTAATCAAATCGTCGAGATAATCAAGATCATTTTGACCCATAATCGATCATATTAACGCTAATTTTAATTATTTGATGAAACTGTTCACGAATTTTTCGAGTTAAAAGTTCGAGATGATAAATTGTTTACGTACATGAGTTTATCTTTATAACAGTAACATTAATTCATGAGGGAGAGAGAGAGAGATGAAAAAATGATGATGACGACGATTGGGATGATATGGATGCTGATGTAGATGCTGGCAACTGAACTACTAGAACAAGTTCTGAAAATTTCGATTGCAATGCCAAAGATTGAGATTCCTCGAGATTTGGCTGCCATGTATTTCGATTCATATTAAGAATATGGATTCATATTGAATGCATGGTTGAACTTTGGTTAATCATCAACACAGAGTAAGAATAAAGTAAGAATAAGAATTAGATAAAAATTTAGAAAATTCTGATAAGGAAAAAAGTTTTTTATTCTTGTCATTGTGTTGGAACTTTTTCCACCTTAAAATTATCAACTACTATTCTTATTCTTCATGAGATTATCGTAAATGATGAATTTCTATTTCTCAACTCCAACAATTCATCACAATTCACAAGTTTCAATTTTCTCATGAATTTCATGTTAAGTGTCCACTTGAGGTCATCGTGATTAACATTATAATGATCATGTTCATCTTCATGAAGACTGATAACTTTCATGGATCATCATGAACATGATGAGTTGAAATAAATTGTATTTAATCAAGTGTTGGTTGAATTGTATCTCAGCTGATTAATAGTTAAGTCAATCATGAGTGGTGCATTAATTGAATCAATTAGCTCATACTTTGATAATTAATATCCATAGATAAATATGACTTTATATGATTATGAATAATTAATTAAACGAGTGACAAGTTTGTTGATTTAAATGATAGTCTTGATGTGTTAACAATTAACAATTAACTAATCTGATATTAACTCAATAGATAAATATTACACTCAGAAAACTTCAGTTTAATTGATCGTATCGATCATTAATTAAATCAGTTTGGTTTCCAACAACCGATCATCGTGATAATAATTCATTCATATAAAGTGACCACTGACCTTCAAAGGTCACTTGGAATAGTCACTTTAATTGTTATCAACTTAATTGTCCTTCCTGTAAATTTGATTAGTGACAGATTGTTGATTGGCAACATTGATTCAGCACAATTAACGTTATCATGGTGATTCAAAAAGTTGTAAATTAACCCAAATTTGTGACCATTTAAATCAACTGATCAGAATTAGAAATGATTAAATTGATTGGTAAACAACAATTAACCCTAAAAGAATTGATAAATTAATCAATCAATCATATAATAGTTTAATTAGCTCGTTGATCATTACCATGGTGTTAATAATCATATGACAATCATGTAATTAGTGTAATAACTTGACGATGGAAATTAGTCTTAATCTAATTGTTGATTGAGGTAAACAATCAAGAGTTTCTGTTAAGCACATTAGCAACAATTAACACCATGTTTAAAATCAGAAAGTACTTGATAATTAACCTTAATGGAAACAATTAAAACGATTTGTTAATCACTAGAGATTTGAATGAATGATGAGCTTGAAGCAATTAAAAATTCAAACATTACCGCAATTATTTGCAATTTAAATTGTTAACGGTATAAAAAAATACTGTTTCTATTAACACAACTGATTAATTAATCATTCAAGTGATTAACAATGAACCCAGAAAACCTTGATTGTTTGATTGTTTGATTAGTAATTTGAATGAATTAAACCAATACAATTATGTATATGTGAGATATTTAATCAACCATTGATTAAAAGGTTTGAGTTATTTTCAACAATTGAAACCTTATAATTACAAATCGAAAGGTAATTTAATAATAGTAAATAATTAGTATTGATTATGATGAGAATGAGATAAAAATAGCTGATTAATTGTAGTGATAAACATTGATGTTAATCAAAGTGTAACAATGACCATTGGTCAAGTAAAACATTGTTTCACCTCAAGGTAAGTGAGACAAGTTATTACCTCGTTTATGTCAACTGTTTAATTGATGGAAACTTGATTAGGATAATAACAGTAATTAAAGTTTATCACAATTAATTTGAATTGTTGACGAGACCAAGACAGTTGATTGAGTCCAGTGGATGAATTTTTGTCAAGGAAAAATATTAGTTATGGTTATGGTAAACTTCAGAATGGACAGAAAGAGGAGGAGAGGGACTCAGATGACCATTAGGTGGACAGTGTAATGTTCACATGGGAGTATCTTAAAGATTACATGTTCTCAAAGTTCAGTGGCTTCTCATTATCATCTCTCTCTCTCTCTCTCTCTCTCTCTCTCTCTCTCTCTCTCTCTCTCTCTCTCTCTCTCTCTCTCTCTCTCTCTCTCTCTCTCTCTCTCTCTCTGTTTTGGTTCAAATTTTTTCATCGTTTAAATCAATTGATTAAATTAATCATCATTACACTAAAGTGTTATTGTTTATTATCTACTCGGAATTCTGGTTATTATCTACTAGTTATCGTTGGGAACTATTATCCAATTTGAGTGGATCAATTATTTAAAACTAATCAGTGAAATGGTAAACAACAATTCAAGAGAAAAATAGTAAATTGATTAACAGTAATCAAGAGCAAAATTTTGTTCTGATTAACCCATTGTTATGAATTACAAGCAAAGCAAATTCTGGTTTACATGATTTGTTTGCACTCTTTTAGTTTGTAAATCTTATTTTTCAAGTTCTTAGGAAACGGAAATAGAATTGATGAAAAGAGAGAGAGAGAGAGAGAGAGAGAGAGAGAGAGAGAGAGAGAAATTCATATTTTGTCATCTTGGCAGAGTTTGAATCGGGTTATAAGGTTGGCTTAATATTGAATCTGTGTCTTCATCATCCTGATCATCATGAAGATGAGAATCCTTGAGATGATGATGATAATGAGATAAGACTGAAATGTTTACCATGGGAAGATTAAAATAATAATGAAGGTAAAAGAAACAATCATTTCCATGATTTATTAATGTTAATTGTAAACAATTAGGATAAATCAATTGAACCACAATTTCCCAGTTTTATTTCATTATTACCAATGAACTTTTTTGTTGTTCACTTTAAACATCACCTTAATTGTTACACTTAAAAGTAATATTATATATAAATCTTACCGAAGTGATTAACTGATCACACTGATGGTAACAATTTATTAAATAGTACTAATCAATAAATGAAAATGTCTCATTCTACTTGAAAATCAATCAATTGGCCTCTTGTTTTTTTTATCTCACTCATTCTTTATTTAATCAGGATATGATTAATTAATTAAATCACTTAACTACCCGCTTGATTAAGCTAATCAACGAAAACAATCATATGGAAAATAGTTGAACGACAATTTAATTGCTTAGGTAATCTAATCATTACCAATCAATATGGTTTCTTATGTTTTGGATTGAATGAGAGAAACACAAAATTAACAATTGGAAATGTAAATTGTTGCTAATTGATTAAAGCAATTTAGTTGATTGTAATATTATTTGATCGCAACTTCATTTTTTTTTGACAGTTTTTCATTTTTTTTTACTGGTAACGGAAAAGGAAGTAAGCAAAAATGATATTAACCGATTTAAAGTTGCATCTTCCTATTTCGTTAATGATATAATATATATTACATTCAGTTATCATGATAAAATAACAAAAATAATGATAATAATCGGGATATATCATGATAACAATCAATTGTATTTATAATCATGTTTCTTGGATTTGATTGGGTTTCTTTTGAAGCTCATTGGCTTTCATTTGTTTGCCTTTGCGTTTGTTGATTGTTTGACTTAGTTGTTGGTCAGTTCATTGATTAGGTTAGATTGTGTGATATGATTGATTGTCATCATCTTGTCTCTTTGATTAGAATATTGGTAAATTTGGTAAAAATTAGACTTTGAAGAAGAAAAAAGGTAAAAATGATAAATCCTATGGAAGCTGTACTGATTCCTGCGAGAACATCTAATATGTAATGATGTGAGGTGTAAACAGCGGAAAAGGAAATACCGATTGTAATTATGGTAAAAGTGATGATAGATGGTAATGGAAGGCCCAATTTGAGGCCATAAAATGTAACTAAAGATGGATAAGAAACATGAAGGGAAGGCATTGTGGCGAAAATATTGGAACTTTTGGAATAGATGAGACCAAATATTGGCCAACCAACGATCGAATCAAAATCGGTTAATCTTCCTGGTGAGGGTTCGATATTTGGATCAAACCAGAATCCATGTTCCTCAATGTACCAAGGTGGTGCTGCAGGATAGATATAGTAGATTGCAAACCCGATTAAATTGATGAATAAAAAGTTAAGAGAAAAATGGATGAACGCTTTTCGCTTCTTGGAAAAGAAAAGGTAACCCGCAAAGGATAAAGGTAACGGTATCCAGGTGAGATAAAATAATCCTGCGATAATGGTGAGGGTTGGTGTTGCTTGGAGTTTCCAGAATTCATTGTGAGTATATCGATTTCCTTTATAACTTAAGCCGAAAAGTGATTTCTCAATTGAATAGAGACTTTGAATGGCCACTGGACGGAGTTTATAGTTCGGGAATGCCTTCATGTAATCAAAGATAATCCAGTAAACGATGAATATACTGAAGCCGATGATAAATTTCCGTGTGGTACTTGTACCATTGTAAAATAGAGTAAATATTAAGGCGAGAACTAAATGTTCAACAGATAATCCGATCAATAAGTAGGTGATGAGAAGGTAAATTGCTGATAAACTAATTGAGGTAATCAGATAACCGATTCGCGAACGGCAAAAGGTTTTAGTTGTGTAGGAAACACTGTCAACATCAACAATGAGCAATTGTTTGGTTTCACAGGAACGTGTTGATGATATTGATGATGTGCGAAGTTGCTTATTATTATTGGATAATATTGATGATGATGATGGATTCGATATGATTGATGGACGAGGTGAACTTAAATCTCGAAAAGGTCTCATTGGTTTTCTCTTGTTTTTCTCCCAGGTAATGGTGGCGGTGGTAAAGGTGACTAGTGGTAGAGTTGTTGTTGTTGATATTCATAAGTGAATAAAACCAAAACACTGATGCTAAATAGTGAAAGAGAAAAAAAATTAACCATAACGGTAAAAAAAATCGCAAAGAAAAACAGTTTTACTTTGATGAAAGAAACACAATCAACTGTTTACCTTTTTTTTTAAGTTTATCACAATTTAAACATAACAATTAACGTCAGGGTTTCTATTAGTTGATTAAAGTAGGTAAAAGGTTGACAGTTAGAATCCATGTCCAATGGTCATCTCATGAAATTCATTTGATTCAATGAGAGAGAGAGAGAGAGAGAGAGAGAGAGAGATGAAACCCACTAAGTAGATGTTGGTGATTGTTGTGGGTGAGAAGGTATATAAGTGGGAATATTAACTAATCGAAAGTAACAATAGTAAACAGAATATTATAAAAAAGAATAAATGTTTACAATTAACAGAAAAATGGCTCAAATGGGAGAGAGAGAGAGAGTGAGAAATAGTGAGAGTGAGAGTGAGAATAGTAGTTGATCTAATTGAGAGAAGAGAGAAAAATATGAGAAGAAAATTGTTGATATGTTGTGTTTGTTTGAAGGAGAAAACGAGAGAGAATTGGAAGATGAAGATGATTCTCGGTGAGATATGTTATTAATAACGATTTGTGGGCCAATTGGTTGGCCTCACGACAGAAAATTTCCACCGAAAAGGATGAGGAGCAGGGAAAAGAATAAAAAACAAAGTGATCACCAGGACGATCCAAACAGAACTGAACAACTTTTCCACTCGGGTCACTCTCTTTATCTAGTTAATTATTATTCTTACTAGAGCCATCTATTAGTATCAATTAGTAGCTTCCATTCACAATTAGATTAATTGTTCCTTAATTGTTGATGATTAGTTTTTTTCTTCTTCTTTTCGACAACAATTAACTAAATAAATTTATTATTATGGTGTCAGTTTCACCTTTGAGTTTCTCCTTATTTTTCATTCCAATTCTCATCCGGTTTAATTGTTATTCATCGTAATCATTAGTTAATTATCTTAACTTGATTAATGTTATTTGAAAGTCATCTCATGTTATTTGAAGCAATTGATTATCTAATCGGGTTTTAGGCTTTAATTGTTACCATTCAAATCCTCTAATCTCAATTAGAGTTAGTTAATTGTATTCGACAATTTATCTGTATATTGTGTTAAGGGATGATTGTTAATCTTTTAATTAGTCAATGTTTGGATTATATTTTGATTAACTTTTTGTTTTCCTTTTCAAGATGATTTAATTGCTTTGTAATCATAAATGTCTAGTGTCATCTATTGGCTTTTAATTGTGACTTTTTTGTTAACAATTAAGTCAAGATTGTCACTATTAAGATTACAATTAATCAGCCACAGTTTTGGAATTGATTATGATTAGATGATTTAATTGAATTCGCAATTCAAATACCTCGATAATAACCAGACATTATTCAGGGAACTAAATTAGATTAGACAATTAATTAATCAACATTCATTATCTTTTTATTGGTAGGAATCAAATCCTTAACCATTGATCCTTCAATTAATGAGAATTAACCAATTGTTACAATCAACCAAATGGAATCGTAACCAAATTAATATTACCTTGAGAAGGAAAAATAAGATTAACAAAGTTAATTAAAGTAAATATTTGATTGTGGATAAAATTTATGGGTTAATTTTGTCAAGAAAAGTAAACAAATCAAATCAAAATCAGCTGATTATCCATTGATTTCCTTTTCAATTGTAAACAATTAGCAATTACCACTTACCTGTTTCTCTTAATTGTTGAAAGTGAGCTCTTGATTTTGTAAATTGTTAACTATAATTGCTACAAGTTGGGACAATCAACGTAGCTTAACTGCCGGATGAAAGGGACACTTGTTGACATTCAGAATTCATTGAAAATCATGATTGATATCAATCAAATTCCGGCAAATTGGGTCATGGAAATTGATTAAATCATTTCTCTTTCTGATTGTCATAACAATTTACCTTCAAATGTCCCTTTGGTTATGTTGATTGACTATTTTGTAAAATCATCGAAAGACAAATAAAACAAACCTTTCGATTATTTCGAGCCACCGCTTGACCACCGATGACCTTCAAGTCACTTAGAGATTAAGGTGAGTTGATATGTACTTATGGTCTTTCATGAGATTTGAACTGAAATCTGAGAGCATTGGAACTGAGAATGAGAGAGAGAGATTCCAAAAAGTTAAGGAAATGAACACATGGATCATGTAAATTTGATTCTGATGATTGTGAGCAATTCTCAGGAATCATCACAAGATTCACCAGTTAAACATCAATAGTCCCTTGGGTTATATTGAAAAATAGAGGAAGTAGAAAGATTTAAAGACAAATTCTGAGAGTAAAGACCTACCATGAAAATCTATCATTTCCGCCATGAGATTAATCTTTTGATTAGTTGCCAATGTATCTTTTTTTTCTGGTTAAACTTGAGTTTCCTTAATGAATATTTCACTTGTCAGACAAAAGTAAACTAACTTGAAACCTGGAAGAAGAGTAGAAAATTTTGTAGAAACTATCAAATCGAGAGAGAATGAATGAGAAAAAGGGAGAAAGAAAAAGGATTAAGATTATCCTTCTCTCTCTCTCAGTGTAACATTTTCTCTCCTCATCACTTTCACTTCGTTGCGATTGTAATAAAGAGCAAAAACTCCAAATCCAAGCAGAATTTTCTCCCTATCAATCTTTTAATCGAAGATTAGATCAACATTCACAATCAACAAAACCCAAGGAAAAAAATTATCAACCAGAGAGATCATCAAACTTCAACGTTCGGGTTCTTGATCCTTCTGAATGAGATTAAAGAGCAATTAAGGTTCTCTATTTTCTACCAAGAGATGTCGCTTTTATTCAACTCTGCGCATGCGCAAAAGACGTTGGACCCTTCAGAATTTGTTGTTATTAATTTAATCAAATTATCTTTACCTTGGAAAAGTGTAACATCTTAATCACAATTTAATTAGTTAATTGTTTTCTTTTTCTACTTTTCATTCGATTAATCAGTCAACACATTATCATTACCATGGCTGATAAGAACATAAACGAATATGAATTTGAATATACAAAGGTAAGTCGATTGACTGATCGTTTCTTTTTTTTCCTTTCACCAAGTTACCCCTCCCTTTTTATTGGCTTTTAATTGTTACTGTTAATCATGATTCTGATGATTTATCAATTAGCTGAGATTAAATTGATTACCTTTTTCCTACTCTTTCCCATCTCGGTCTCTGTTTTGTTGTTTCCTTCCATTTTTCTCTTGTCTGTTTACTTGTTTGATTGTTTGTTCCTTTGTTTTCTCTCTCGTTACTTTGAGATTCGTTTTTGTTTTATTAATTTGTTTTTTTCTATTCTCTTTTTTTTTATTCATTGATAAAAGGTCACCAAAACAACTAAAGTAATCAGTGGATTGTCTCTTCTTTATGGTAAAGAATTGAAAGAATATGATAATATACCTATCGAGGATTTATTGAATCAATTAACCGAAGATGAGATCGATGAATTAATCAACGATGTCGATCCAGATGATTCACATATTCCACCTTCTTTAAGGTGTAGAGAGCAGACAAAAAAAGCGCCAACAGGACCTTTGAATAGAGCGAAACTGTTGGAGTTTTTAAAAAATTTTGCCCTCAATCAGGAAGATTGGCCGGAAAATAAGCCCTTCCAACCCGGTGTTAAACGAGGTAAGTTAATTAAATCAAAACTAACGATAGTTAATCACTAAGAATCTCTTAATGTTTATATGTTATCTTAAAAATAAACTGTTTTATTTTGCTTCTTTGGTGATATTCAAAGTCTTTATTGGTTAATTGCCAAATTAACTCAACATTTAATACCTTGTTTGTTGAATCTTTTCTTCAGGTGCTGTTTGGAAACCCAAGGAAACACCTAAAGTTTCAGATGAGGAGACACGAATTATGTTGGACTTGGATGATGAATCAAGTGATGCGTTGAAAAATGCCACCGAATCCGATCTCGTTGATCTCGCCGGTATTTTAGGTTTACATTCATTGCTAAATCAAGACCAGTTTTATGCTTCCATTACCAATAAAGGTCAAGGATCAGAGGCCAAATTTGAGTCCATCGTGAAAGCAACAGTACCCAAGCGAGTGCCCAATCTACCAGACAATGCTACCGATGTTGGTAAAACGATGAAACAAGTCAGTGAAAACGATAAAAAGTTACAAGAACTCAATTGGAATAACATTAAACACATACCAAGAGATTCATTCAAAAAACTATTCGAAGGTCTCAAGACAAACACAACCCTTAAAACATTAGACTTGGCCAATACAGGATTAACTGATGGCCCAACAGCGGTAATTAACCTCTTCATTAATTACTAGTCAATATTGAAATTTATTCCTCAAGTAGATCAGCAAAAAAATTGAATCTATTTAAAGTTGATAGCCAATTGATACTCAATACATTTTTTTTGCTATCGATCTAAAAATAGTTTCATTTGTTATCTGCTGATTTTACATTTTCCATTGATTAATATTCACTAATGATGACAATTCACTTTATTTTCTTATAATTTGCACCAATTTATTACATGTAAACAAAGGTGTTGGTTGAAGCGCTCAAAGAAAACAAAACATTGACCTGTCTCAATTTGGAATCCAATTTCCTTTCTGGTTCCATGGTTAGAGATGTTCTTGCAGCAATTAACGTAAATCAAGTTATTCGTGAATTTCGAGCCTCAAATCAAAGACCAGCTATTCTAGGTAACAGAATTGAAATGGAAATAACCAAATTGGTGGAAGCAAACAATTCACTTCTTCGACTTGGTTTACATTTAGATGCTCCTGACGCTCGAGCAAGAATAGCCCAACAAATACAGAAAAATATCGATTCGATACGCTTAGATCGAAACAATCTTCGAACTGTACAAGTTTTTTAAGAATCTTAATTTGTAAATGACTTTCAGCTTCTGTAAATCAATTTCTATGGTTTTCAAAGATGCTTTCATATGTATATTCAGGTAATCAAAGTTAAATCTTGAGATCGCAACTATGGTTTACGCGATTAATTTGGATTTAATTGTTGATTTTCCAGTTGATGAAACCAATTTTCTCTCATTAGCTAATTAAGGCAAACATTTTTCAATTTATTACTCTATTATTTAAATAGATTTTTAACCGATATTGACTTTCAAAGTACTGATTCAAAGTAGCTAAGCTACTTAAAAACTAATCGACTATAAGCTGGCTAGACAATCACGACTGTTGGCTGCAGCCACGAGATTGGCTAATGTTCACTCTTCATGGTAAGAAAAGTTATCTTAACTTTCACCTTAAACTTTTGATACCAATTCCAAATCTTCAATTGGACCCTTGGATAATTTGACTGACCATCACTCGACTAATCAAATACTTACCTACTTAAAATCCTCAGAACGGAACTTTTCATGCTCGAACCACAGCTCACACAATTGAAACTTTACTGTAATTCTAAATTCCCCTCCGTAAGTGTCTAACATAAACTTCCTGCCATTGAAGAGCTACAACAATTAACTGTTGTTAGAAATTTTAAATCATTGACCTGTAACAATGGAAATAAATTATAACGGTAAAAAAATTTACAAATTGTACAGTTCAATTTACACTATTCGTTTCATGTGGAAACAATTTTCAGAAGTAAAAATTAATGATTTTAGATCAAATCTCTGATTATAAATCTAAAAGAATCCATAATCGGTTTTAGGATCCATTGATTTACCAAACTTTCAATTTCTGATAAAAACTCACGAACTATTGAAAATCGATCTTCCAAACTTCGATTGTAATCAATTTTTCCGCATCGAAAATCGGAAACAATCGATAAATAAATCGAACATAAAAATCCGAGTTAAAGTTTCTCACTTTCGCCGCCTGATGGAGTCACGAGCCTCGTTCACAATTAACAATTTCTTAATTCTTTTAATCAATTTAATCATCCAATTTACCTTAATAATAATTTGGACAATTTAATTCTTCAATATTATTCTTCATTAACTTGAGATCACATATTTTCTCATGACATAATCTCAATCCAACGAACGACCAAGAAGCTTAAGCTGAGATACTAAAGTGTTTTAATCATCTGATCCGTTGATTAATCTTCATTTGATTTAGTAATTTTCTTCAACTAAACTTAATTGTTCATTCAAATCACTCATACAATAAGATTAACAATTGAGAAAACAATCAGTCCAAACCATCGGTAAAGTATCAATCGTAACCCTTTTCAATATCTGACTTGATGGTCAATGAAACCCTAATGATCCAGTTAATTGTTTAGTTTACTAATTAAGGTTGACAATAAATAAAATAATGGATTGAATTTTACAATTAGTAGAATTTCAATCAATCAAAACAATTTAAATCTATTCTCTGGAACTGTTTTATCTGTTTCTTTTACTCCTCTTCTATCTGTGGAATTATTTTATCGCTGATGACCGATCCATTTATTGTTATTATTATTTCATTTATTATTATTATTTTTTTTTATTCTCTTCATTTGTTTTTTATTCCTCCTTAGGTTTAGATGATATAACAAATTGTATTCTTGTAAAAGATCCTACCAAAAAGCCCCCAAATTATGTGCAATGGACTAAACTATGAGGTCGAATGTTCATCAATTGGTAGCAAAGGAAGAGGAAAAAAAAAAGTTACCTCTCTTTACTTTCTTCCTATTGGGATCGCTAGAGACCAGCGTGAATTGAACAAGATTAATCGTATTTTGGGCTTTGCTGAATTAGAACTTTTGTTGGACTTAAGATGAGAAAGAGAATCGAAACCAAAATAGACAGAGACACGAGAAAGAATCATCCAAATGAAATGAAATATAAAAAAAACAACAGAAGAAGTGAATTGTATATGATTACATACATTTGGAAAGCTGAATTTAAAGCAATATTACTTGGCCTGAGAAAGATCATTAAGATGATTTTCCATTAGGTCGACATTGTTTGATGAATTGTGTGATTGATGAACCGATGATCATGCTTATTGTTGAAAAAAAGTATAAACAAAATGAATTGGAATTGGAAACACCGAGAGAGAGAAAGAGAAACTTAATGAACAACAACAACAACAACAGGAAAAGGAGCAAAAAAAAGTTGAAGACAAGAGACATGGTGGAAATGGAAACGAGCAGAAAATTCTGAGGTTCACTTGACCTTTACCGTTATTTTTTCTCTTCACAAATTGATCCAGTTTCGTTCATCAGCTCACCTTGAGATAATATTTACTATCAACTACGGAACTCAAGTGAAGAAAAAAAAATACTCATGTAATAGGATAAAGAGGAAAACGAGAGCAAGTGAAAGTAAAGTCCAGAAAAAGGACCAACAACAAGTGAGAGAGTCGAAAAAAAGTAACATTTATCATCAGAATAACTAATTGTTTTTCAGTTTATTCTCTTTTTTTTCGATATTTTTTTCGTTCTCTATTCTTTTTTTTTTCTTCTTCTTCTTCATTCAGGTCAATCATTACTTCCCTAATGTACCAAGTAACTTGTGTTCAAGTGTGTTCATCATTAATCTGACTGTAAGTTTCATCCTGAAATCAGAGCTTACAAATTTCATCCACTTACACACACAATTAATTATCGATATATAATATTTGTATTTGCCATTACCAGTAGGTGACAACAATTGACAAAACGAAAAACTGAAAGGCTAATTCCTTAATCATAACAATTATCCGATTGAACAATTGACTGAATAATATATACAAGAGAAATTAAATCCATTGGAAATCAAGTTGTTAACACAATATTACATACTATTATATGTAATGATAGAAATGATTCTGGCTGATGAATTAATATATCTACACACCAGTGGATTGAATAAACGAGAATCAAGCATGAGGAGAGGGAAAAAAGGACATGATTGGAAAAATAATCGGTGTAATTAATTATATTCCCAGTGACATGGACCATAAATATCTATTCATCTGTGAATGTATTTATATTTCATATGCATTGAGGTAAATTCATATCTTGATAATGTTTATGGAGAGCGAGAGAGAGAGAGAGAGAGAGTGAGATGGAAGACAAAGACATTGGCTCACTCATATATCAATATTCATAAAGATAATGATGATTCTGATAGTAATCATGATAACATGGAGAAACGAGAAGAGAAAATGTTGGAAAGTTTGAGTGATAAAAATGAAAAACGTCGACTGGAAATCGAGGCTGAGGAAGATGAGAAAATGATGAGAAAAAGCTGAGAATATGGAAAAGGAGAAGGAGAAAAAATTGGACTACATCCTTTGGAACTCTCAAAGGTAATTTTACCTGAGAATTGAAATTAATGGGCAACAAACAAAAGGAGAAAAGAAAAACAAACAACTTTTCTATGTAATTCTGATACATAAATACAGATACAATTCTGTATATTCATGGAAATGTATATACATGTTCATTCATTCATATAGGGTGATCATCAACATAACATGAGAATTTTTTACCTTCTCATTTTATTTTCTTCTTTTCTCATCATCATCACCATCATTTTCATTCTTATCTTCTCTCTCTCTCTTTTTTTTGTTCTTTTCTCCCTTTTTTTTACAGAATTAATTCTGTTGTTTACTGTTACTGATGCAAAGGAAGATGAAATATATGAGATACGAAGGAGCAACATGGTAGAAAAAGGTTATTGGAAACAATTCAAGTATGAAAATGATAACCTGCCAATATACAGGGAGAGAGGAGGGTATTATAAAAACACAAGACATACACCATGTACACTCTCACACAACCTACAGTGAGAACTACAGACACACACACTAACTCACTTGCAGAAAGTTTTTACAACAAAAGATAAACAGTATCACCTTCATATTGGTCAAGAAGTATTCTGATTATTATCAATGTTGAACAGAAAGAGAGACGATCATCATCATCATCAGAGAGAAAATATATTCGATATATTAAGAAGAAGGAGAGAGAATATGGACTGAGAGAGATAGAGAGAGAGAGAGGATTTTCTCAAAGTTGAGATGTAATTTTAAATTAAATCTCGAGTTTAATTTATTTAACTTTTGTCAAATTTTTGAGGGAAAAATTGAAACTCTCTCTTTGATATTATGGTTGAGCTTTTGACTGCTGTTACTGATCCTGCTCTCGGTGGTGTTATTATGCTTAATGTTTACCCTGAGTGTGCATAACCATTACCATCCTTACCAAATGACCTCTCAACTCGTCTCATTGTTACTCTGCTTAAAAAGTTACTCTTTTTTAACCATCATCATTGTTCATCTTTATTATCATTTTATTTTATTTGAATAGTTCACTTAGATTCATTTGAGAAGGAAATAATTTTAGAGAACTGGGAATGGGATTTGTTTTGTTTTCTATCTCTCATCTTTCCCACTCTCCCAGTTCTCTCTCTCTCTCTCTCTTTTTACATTCTACTCAGATTTTGAAGCAATTTCAACTCAAAAATGACCTGGAATTGCCATTAGGTCATTGACTGAAGTTCTGACTCCCTTCAACTCACTTTTTCAATCTTATTTCTGTAACTTTCCCTTTCTCACTCATGCAACTGATAAAAAGGGATGGAGATGATAATGATGAGGAAGAAGATTTAATGATGATAACTGATAACGTAGGTTTAACTTGTTCCTTATGACTTTCTCTCTCTAATTCACTCACTCATCAATTTCTCTCTCTCTCTCTTTTAATCTCTATCACTATACGAATTAACTAAAGCGATGTGTTGGATAATATTGGTTAGTTTCCTTTGGACGATTAACGAAGGAGGGAAAAGATGATGACGATACGAAACAAAGGACAATCAAGGAACCGGAAACATGGGAAAAGTTAAAAAGAAAGAGAGAGAAAAAGTTTCAGTCTATTATTCTCTCTCTCTCTCTCTCTCTCTCTCTTTGATGATGATCAATGTTTAAAGAAAAAATCACCAGAATAATCATCTTCCTCCGCCTTCTTCTTTAAATCAACCAAAGTCCAAGGAATATACAAGTTAAAAAGGAAACAAACAGAAAGAGATTCAAGTTTTTTCAATGATTTCCTTTCATCCTCATCCTCATCTTCATTCATTCACCTTTTACTCTTACCTGTTATTCCCATTCAGATAATACATAATATCCAGAGTAGATATAAATGAAATCTATCGTCAGTAAAAAAAAAGACACCTTGGGAGTGAAAATAGATTGACATGAAGTATAATTTACTCTCAAATAATTTATCATGCTGATGTATTATAAATTAATATGTTGTAAATAGATTATAGTTAGACATATAATATATAACAAGATTGGTGACGAAAATGAGAGAGAGAGAGTAGGAAGATGATGATAAAAGAAAGTAAAAGGAAACAGAAAATGCTGAAGATGAGGATGAACAGAGGAATATGATAAAGATGAGGGAAGAGAGAGAGATTGAAAGATAATGATGATAATGATACTGATGCCACTGAACAAGAAAGGAGGTTCAGTGATGATAATGATAAGAAGATAGAAAAAGGTAAAAAAAGTAAGTAGAAAAGTTTAAACTCTATTAGCATATTTAACATGAATCTCTCTCTCTCTCTCTCTCTCTCTCTCTCTCTCTCTCGCTTTTCATGATCATCATGAACTATAACATGGTAAGTATATTAAGCTTTTAAATTACTCTGAAAGATATCAGATAGTCAAGTCAATCTTTATCCTCTCCGATGTAATTTTCATAATTTATTATAATAAGATATTCATTCAAGTTTAACTGAATTACTCTGTTTCAGGTTCAACAATCAAAGGTAAATTTTCATGAATTGGCTATGAAAATGGAGGAAAAGTTATTAAGCAGTTTGAAATGAAAGATGAGGATGAAGATAAATGCAATTGATGATGACAATAATGATAATGATGATGATGATATTATCAAGTGAAAAGGTATAGATATCTACTATTATTTATATGTATCAATTAATTTTATTGGATTTGATTTTGAGATGATCATCAATTAGATTGGGAACAACAATCAACTCAAATGATGAGGATCAATTAAGGGCGGGATTTAATTTTCGGATTGAATTGATTGGAAAGCTCATGAATGAGTAAAAAGATTTTAATAGTTACGTTATTATTTGAGTTGATTGAGATAACAATCAATAGTAAACTCAAATCTATGTAATGTTTATTTACTAATATGTTTCTCTCTCACTTTTGTAGATAAAAAAAAGTAAATTAGTTGCGTTTTAGCATTAAATACAATTGGGTGGTGACTCTGATGATTTAATGATGAAAAGCAATATATACAATCAACTACAAGAAAGAGTGAGTGAGAGAGACGAGGAAGATGAATGAAGAATCGAAAGGGAAACAAACCTTTAACAGACAGACAGAGAAAGAGAGAGAGAGACACAGAAGGAAAAGGAAATCAAGTGAAGACAGACCAATATAACACTTGGAATGAGTGAGGATGATGATCAGGGATGATAAATAAGGAAGATGATTTCTAAATGAATACAACTGAACAAAAGTATCAATGTAAACCAACAGGCCAACACCATCAACATCCCAGAATCCCAGAATCCCCCAAATATCAAAGCAATACAACAACAAGAACAAGATATTATTATATAACCGTGAGGATCATTTTGTAAGGGTGAATGTTATTTTATTTTATCCCTCTGATTTGGCTACAGGGGTGAATCTCACCCACTCTCAGCTCTACCTCTCCGGCTCCCATTGTACATCTCTCTCTCTCTCTCTCTCTCTCTCTCTCTCTCTCTCTCTCTCTCTCTCTCTCTCTCTCTCTCTCTCTCTCTCTCTCTCGTGACAGACATTCATTAAGAGACAATGAAGAAATGAATAACGGTAAAAAAAAGTGAAACTTTCCTGATTTATGTATATTGGTTGTAATTTAATTGAACACAATTGGAAACTGATTGCTAGATCTATATAATAGGTATTTATTTATCTAATCATATTCATTGATTCAATTGAAAATGAACTTTGATGATGATTATCATCATGAAACAGGAAAAAAATCCCCACATTCATTTCTTAAATCCAATGATAACATTTCTTATTATCATTAGACATTATTTTTTTTTTCAGAACTTCTATTAATTTCTGTCTTTCTTTTGCCTTCTCTCTTTAATTTAATTCAGTTTCAACTTGGAATCCATTTCCAATCAATAGGAATAAGATTGATTAGGGAGAAAGAAAAAGTAAAGAAAAAGACTAATCAAGTTTCACCAGTGATTAAAGATTATCCATCCAAGGAATTATATCAACAACGAATTGAAAATGACAATTACTTTCACGATAATGTCACCGATAATGATGATAACCACAACAAGAGCCACAAATGATGATAATGATTGTCCATCCTCTGTCCATGTATAACAATCAACCTTGATTACAGAATCAAACCCACAAGCAGTTACATCGTAATCAAGTTTCACTTTTAATCGTAAGAAAATGAAAGAGAACAAAAAAAAACGAGTCTAATTGTAATTGTCCTTTTCCTCCTCTTCATCCTCCTCCTCAGATATTATCATCATCATCATCAATTGAAGATGATAATATCTTCACCTACTTAATATCCCTTTTACCCTGAGTTGTTTTACTTTCATGATCCCTGATAATCAAGCCACTGATCAGTTAAATTGATTACACTTACCAACAATCACTAACAAAGACAAATAACCATTTTAATCACCATTGATTAAAGAGCCAACAATCAAACCAGAATCATTAACAATCATCATCATCATCATCATCATCATCATCATATTTTGATTGTCTAATATCACCTTTCCCATATTATCCTTAATAACAATCTACCTAATAAGCTAATTAATAAGCTAATACAATCAACTAATCATTTACAAGATGAAAACAGGATAAGGAAAACAAAAAACTCAATCAACTAACCATAATAATGACACCAACCAACCAAACAATCAACATCATCATTAACCACATAAATGTTTCATTAGTATCATTTCATTTAACTGATAATTATCTTAATAAGGTTGACGAATTAATTTAAATTGTCAAACTAACTGTTGAAAAAACCTTCAAACTATTAACTTATTATTTTCATTCCCTATTGCAACAATCAGGAAAAAAAAAGACATCAACATATTAGATTGAAAAATATGAAGACGGGAAAACTTATCCATCTATTATCATTACAATTAATGAACTTTTTATGATAATATTAATATATCATTTCTATATTCAAGAGTATATATATGAGGGACTATATTTTTACTAGAAAGTGTTGATAGTTTCATCATTAATTTCACCTGACGATCACCATCATCATCATATCATTAATCAAGATCATTAATTGTGAACAAGAAAAGTACAGTTACAACAATGATACAGAAAAATTGAGACCAAGTTAATGATAATAGATCAACAATTTTCATCTTAATATATATTTTTTGATTACTTAAATCAAGTTGAGTAAAAAAAAGCCTCTACTAATATCATATTAATATCATTTTACCAACAATTAAGTTAATCAATCAATTGTTTTCCATTAATCAGTTGATAGGAAACTTTTTACTGATGATAATCAGTTTCTAATGGATTATTTTCAAATGGAAAAATTAATTATCATTATATTAATTATGGAGTGAAAGTTTAATCATGATAATAACAAATGAGATTATTCAATTGCTATTCAATTCAGTTTCAATTCTCATGAGGTTACAGGGTGAGAATTGTTTACCACCCAACTCACTGAACTTTTCATATTAATCTAATGGACTAATCTATTTTTGGACAATTAAGTTAATTTGATATGATTAAGTTAAATGAATCCTTTGATTTAGTTATTAATACTAATTGATGGTTAGACTTTTTCTTGAAATTTAATTTCCTCTCTATACAAAAAGGTTAATCATTATCATATTAGTCTAAATTATATTATGATGATTAACCCTATCTACTGAGTTCTGATTGTTAACTGTTTACCATTTTGATTATAATTTATTATTATTATACAATTAACATTAACCATGTTAATTGTATGGTTGGTGTATAGATTTAAATTGTTAAGTATTTGAGAATTTAAAAATTATTATGTAATATGCAAAGTAGCTCATTATGAGAATGATAATCTATATAAGAATGCTAATAATGATGAAGATGATAAAGAAAAGAGGAAGAGAGAGATGATGATGATGATGAGGAGGAAGAAGAAAAGAAAATAATACAAAGAACAGCCGCAGGTTATTCTTAGTAATTTTTATCTATCAAGATGTTACTATGATGAGGATGAGGAGATGAAAGAAGATGAAGATGAGGATGATGATGATAATGATGAAGAAAAGGTGAAAAGATTTCTCTCTCTCTCTCTCTTTCTTTCTTTCTTTCTTCTGGATATCAAGTATATGTATTTATGCTTGAGAATGCGGAAAAAGGATGATGACAGTTATTATACAAAAAGTTTTTTCTCTTTTTTTACTCTTTCAAAAAAGATTATGTAAGAAAAGAGGAAGAAAATGGAAAAGATGAGGAAAAGAGGTGGAAATAGGTGGCGATGGTGGTGGAAGATGATAATGATGAAGATAAGGATGAGGAGGAAGGCTTATTGGGTGTATGATTGATGTTGTCAGGGTCGATATGTGCCGAGGGTAAACACAAACAGATATACAAAAAAAGGGAACGGATGAAAATGAAGACGAAGATGATGACGAGGATGATAAAGATAATGGTAAGAAAAGAGGATGAGGAAGAAAAAAACTGTGAAAAAAGTAGAGAAAAGAAACTTTTTCTTCTTCTTCTTCTTCTTCTTCTTCTCTCCTTTTCATCTTCATCTTCATCATCATTCATCTATATGCATATAAGAAGATAGTTGAACTTATTGATTATTCTGAATGATTCTGATTCCCAAATTGTGATTATTAATATTACATTTACAATCTTCATTCAATCAATACAAATTTACAATGGAAAAGCTTTTTCAATAATCAGTACTGATTGTTTTTTACTTTCATGATAATTAACTTTGATTTGGAGATGATTATTTACTAATTGATTGTATAGTCTTGGAGTAATTGATTGATTGATGATGTGATTTAATTTGCAAATTGATTTAAATCATCTTTTATTTATCAAATTGCAAATGTATTAAAAGTTGATTAACTTTTACTTTTTATTTCCAATGTCATTTCAATGTAATCATATTTTACTTTCTTACTATTTATTATTACATTAAATTATCATAAGGGAATGATGAGGATGATGAAAGATGATGCTCAGAGTGGGTGGTAGTGAGTGGGGTGGGTATAGTTGATTAGATTTTGATAGAGAGGAAAACAAAATAATTTAATTCGATAAAAGTTTAAATAGTAACAATTTTAAATTCAATTTAATTGTTTCCATTTTAGATTTACTCTCGTTCACTTTTTTTTAAATTTTTAATTGACTTCAGTTAATTTGATTTGATTTTCTGAGTTATTTGTTACAATTTACTGATTGTTGTTTGTTAATTATGTTCAATGAATATTCAATCATTGAATTTCAACGGAGGAAAAAAAACTAATCGTTCAACTGAACTTTTTACTTTGCAAACGATTTTGATGAATTGTGTCAACGATTTAATGTATCTATGGTCTATAGGTGATGAGGATGATAATGAAGATGAAGATGATGACGATAGTCTGATGATGCGTGATTAGAAGCATTTAAAGGCAAGGGAAAGGATTGTAATCAGTAAGAGTGGTCAGTCCGAGAGAAGAGGAGGAGGAAAAGGAAGAGAAAACGAAAAATTTAAGAAGCAATAGATGGAGAGTGATCATCATTATCTTCATCTTCATCATCATCATGGAGGAGGGAGAAAAGTAATTTACTATTATTTTACAACAATTCATCAATCGGCAGTGGGGTGGGAGAGAGAGAGAGAGAGAGGAGAGCCTTCGGTCCATCATCAGTCTTATGGTTCAATGAGTAAACTTGAGATTCTGAAAGTTTTGTTTTCATCATCAAATCTAAGGGTCAAAACTGATCAACGTTTTTTAAACCAAATTAGACTGACCATTGATAAATTGTTCATCCCAAAGATAATTAAGTAGGAGGAGGTTTAATGATTGCTGTTGTTTTTTTACTTTCTCTTTGATTATGAATGATGATGATGATGATGATGATGATAAACATGAGGAGATTTACTTGTTAAATATTTTCTAACGTGACTAACTAATGAACATTATTTTTTTTTATAATATCATTATAAATATTATATCATTATTATCATTTAGATATTAAATACTGACCATTGATATAATGATAAACAATGACTTTAAGGTGTTAACAATTTAGTTTATAAATGAATGTGTATTTATGAGGAGGGTGAATATGGTGGTGGTGGTTAGGTGGAGGTGGAAAATTATGTTTCAAGTTTTCTGATATTTCTTGTTGGAATTGATTGTTTCTCTCTTTCTTGTGATGGTCAGTAGTGGATTTCTGTGATCATCAGGGAGAGAATTCACTCCTTGATCTTGATAAAGATGATGATGTGATCGATAAAGAATCAGGAATTTTAAGAAGCTTGTTAGTAGGATAATGTGGTTAGTGTTGGTGTTGTGATGATGATGATGATGATAGAAAGGGTTGAATAGGTCAAGTGGGTCAAAAGTAAGAGAAAATTTTGATGGTCATTTAATAGGTTGTTGAATGGGAAGATAAAGATGATGAGAGCTTGGGATTGTGGAGTAAAAGTTGTATTACATTGAAGATGTAAGGAAGATAAGAGTGAATTTATTTTATGGCTTGTATTTATTATGATAAACTGACCAATGCTGGTATCATAAATGGTCAAGTTATTAATATTGCGAAAACCCATCATCATGCAAATTAAGTTCATCAATATTGATTTATAATTTGAATGATGATAATGTTGATACATTGATAGACCTTGAAGATTTTTTATTTCCTTTTAAATAAATTGAATCTCTTTTAATTGGTCAATAGTTGATCAATTGATGTTCTGTAAAATTGAAACTCCATTCGGTCCATTATCAAAAATGGGCATCTCATTATTCATGGATGCTAATGATCATGATAAAAGTTCATGATTTATATTGAATACAAGGGAAGATACTTTCGACAGAAAATCTTCCATTTTATTTCATCTTTTTCTTTTTGGCATTAAAATTGTGAAAGAAAGATGAAGAAATTGCTACTATTAGGGATTTCTATTCTCTCTCTCTCCCTTCTCTCATCTTCCTATTAAACTGAATTTTTCTTCAAAATTTGCAAAGAAAATCAACTGACAAAGAGAGAGAGAGAGAGAGAGAGATGATGATGATGATGATGATGAGAGTCTCAAGAGTTTTAAGAGAGATTTAATATTTTTTTCTCAGTATCTTTTACCATAAAGATGGACTAACCCAACCTTCACCCGTCTTCCTCATCATCTCCATCTCCATCCTCATCTTTATCTCTCTCACTTTCTTTCTTTTGTTCCTCATCACCATCATTTTCTCCTCCTTTTTATATTTAAAAAAACTTGAAAAAACTTCCCAAAAAAAAGTTGACTGAACATGTCATCACCACAATGTTTCTTGATCATCATTTTCATCCTCATCACTAGAAAAGTGAAAGAAACTGGAATGAAGATGAGAATGATGATACAAACAAAGACCGTTGGTCGATTTTACAAAAAAAAAGAAAGAAAAAATAGAAAGAGGCAACAGGAAGAAAGATAGAGACAGAGAAAATAAGAGGGAGCAAGAAGAAGTGAAGAGGATGATGAAGGGGAGAGAGAGAGAGAGAAAGGACTAAGCCCTCGAGTAACTGGGATTTAACTACAAATGCAAAGTAAAAATGAAAAAAAAGTAAAAAAAGGAGAGAAAAATGAAAAAAAGAACGAAAGAGAAGAAAGAGAAAGAATAATGATGCAGAAAGAGGATGAGGAAGAGAGAAAGAGAAAG